AATAACTTTTATCCATCCTTCATATATATATTAACATGATAAAGAATCATAATAGATCAAAGATTCTCATTTACTACTTCATTTAAATGTACACCCATCTGAGATTATCGATTAAACTATAATTTTAAAATAGATTACCCTTACTTATCATTTATAGAAGTCTAAATGCATTCAAAATTAACTTCGGACTGCACAATTTATTTATTTTAAATACTAAACGAAATAAATTATGAAAATCACAATCATTTCAGTTATTATTGAGTATTTATTAAGATATATTAAATATAATGATAAATTATAAATTTAAATAGTATTTTTGATCTTAAAGGACTAAATAACTTAATCCTTTTTTTATTTAATTTACTAATCTTTTATTAACATAGGTTTTAAATATCTAAATTGTTGCCTCTTTGAAGTATATATCTCTCTTTTTAAATTAGAATAAAAAACAATAATATAAATATATAGAATTTTTATATATTATTATAAATAGAATCGAATTAATATTAGTCATTGCTTATTCATCCAAAATTTAATAGAATAATTATCTTTAGTTATTAAGACTTTTTTCTTCTCAAGAGCCTTCAAAATTATGACTGAGTCGTCTAAATTTTGTTTAATCAATAAGTTTCCTTTTTGCCAATCCCATAAAGACACACATCCTTATTTTTAAAATAGATTGTTTTAAGCTATTGTAATTAGATTTGAATCTTATATAAAATCTATATTGACTAATCTAACTGAAAAGAGTTCCAATTATCTTATAATGGTTGCCGCTTTGAGATTCAATAAGATTAAGGAGTTTGAAGCTTTTCTATAGGCAAAGAGTACATTATTACTTTGGTGGGGATATTCTAAATAATTGAGACCGTCTTTAAATTGTATGATTTTTGTGATTGAGCCTCCTTAATAATTCCATATGATTAATCGTTCATCTGAAGTGGCTACAGCCAAGAAATGATTAGATTGTGACAAAGCTAAAGAGTAAATTTCACTTATTTGTTGTTCTTGAGTGGAAATCTTTTTTAATAGTTTGAACTCTTCCAAACTCCAAAGACATAAATAATCAAAAGATGCTGCGGATACAAATAATTTTTCTTATTTTTGGATGTGAATAGAATCTACAAAATATGAGTGACCTTTTAAAATTTGTAATTTTTGATCACGGTCATTAATAGATATCACTATTATATCACTTGCTAAACCATATGCAATTAAAAATTATCCAGTCTAAGAAAACTTAAGTGATTTTAAATAGTCGACAGGTAAAACCAATTCTCGCTCTTTTTCGGCTGTTGAAGCTGAATAGAGATGTAGGACTGGATTTTATGATCTAGAGTTTTATGACTTTTGAGTCCCGATAATGATAGCAATTTTATTAACATTTAGATTGACATCACAAATTACAGAGCCATCAATAGAGGTTGAATGTAATATCTTTAGATTTTAATACACTTCATCTAAGACTTCCATGACTAATAAAAATAATAGATCAAATATTATTAAATATATAAAATTATAATATATATATTTAATATTTCATACCAATCAAAATGAAAATGAAGAATCTTATTCCTTTGAACATATTTAAATTGTTCTGTTATGTAGGTTTAAAATTATATTGGAGAAGGAATATAATTTATAGTATAAATCTCATAATAATCATTTATTGATGTTTACCAATTATTATCCTTTGAGTTCATTATTTTCTTGAGCTTTAGGAGGTTTGCTAAAGCCGCTTTTTCCCAGATGAAGAAGGTTGCCACTAGCATTAACTAAACCTGAGCCAGCCCACCATATACCGTATCCAACAGAATTGACTGTTCCTGTTACTACATTTTTAGTTCCACTAGCTATTGTAATTGAACTGAAAAACCTAATTTGTTAATTAGACCTGCGGAATTGGGATTGGAATCTTCATCAAAGTTGTTCATCTTTGTAAGTTTTTTTATTAATAAATTAAATTAATTAAAATTATTATATCAAGAACTGATTATTTCTTCTAGTTGATGCTACAATTAGATGATTTAATACGTTAATTTTATTCAGGAATTGCCTATCTTGTGAACTTGTTGAATCTATGAGTAATTAAATTTCTGAGAATGGATGATCTACATTACTCAAAACCAAACAGTACTTCACCAATTAATCAATCAAACCAGAGTTAATAGCTATGCAATAATATTATGAAGTAAACCTTTTAGGATGGCATTCATCAACTATAAGCACCTCAACTTTTCCCTTGGATAACTCATATACTCAATTTTATCTAATTCATTCAAGGCTTCTGCAATTCGTATTGATTATTGAGCATTGAATTCTGGAATCTAAAGATCCTTGTGTAAGTCACTCTTAGTCTATGTATTGTTCCTGTCAATCTTCTTAGATCTGAACAATTCATTCTGCTATTTGAACATGTTTTAATATTGAGGCAAAATGCAATGAGATAACTTCAGATAGAAATACTTTTCGATTGAAATCTTGCAATAAGGCATAATTTATGTAGTTTCTTATTTCCCAAAATTGAAAGATTGAAATAATGTTTCAACGATTTGATTAATGAATGCATTTAATTATTGAACATTTTATTTAATGTTAGATTAGTCATTAGAAATATTGCCTTATAATTTTTGAATATATTCTGCTACTTTTTTCCCAAGCCCATAATTTGAAGCACACAACAACTTGTGAAACATGTAATAAGCGCTTGTTTCTAAATAGTAAGGGTTTTGATTGGCAGGGTTTTCCATTTCTTCAGAAACATTCACAATCCCAACAAATTCAGATGCTTCATTCATCATGTTTTAATCTTAAGTTTTCTTATTGCGTAATTTATCAATCTTAGATAAGAAATAGTTAATCAACTCTTAATTTTCCTCATAATGTCCAGTGATCCCTCGTATGGAAACTACTCTGATACATTTAACTTAATTTGTATCAATTTAGATTTTAACCAAACATATTTACTCAAAAGTATTTTCTTACATGCAAACCAACCGTTTTACAGTATTCTTAATCACTGCGACATTTTCCTTGATTGCTATAATCTAATTAGAATCCTTTTCCAATATTTGATATTATCTAATATCATATTTTAAAAACTTTACTTCTTTTTCGTGCAGCTAATAAATAAGTCCAAGATATGACTTGTAGAAACCTAGAAAGGTAATTCAATAATTGAGTTCGGCTGATTTATCATTAGTAATTTTATTTTAATATGTAATAAACTTAATTAGTAAGTTTATGAAATGTTAATTGCTAACTTCAATATCTTGCTATAACTAATTTTATTTAATTCAAACTTAACAATAGTCTAATACTCATATTTAGATATCAACAGATGAATTTGAATCCGCTTTTTCAGTGAACCCATTGCAAAAGGAGTCAAGAAAATTAGTTGAGTAATATTTTCACAATGAATGTTTGAAATATACAATAAGGACATGTTTATAGCAATAACACTTTACATTATTTATTCGTTTTTAATATACAAAATTCAATATTTCAAACTTATCTCCATTGATATTCATGGAAAATGTGAATCTTAGGGAAAGTTAGAAGTCTACTAAAATCTAATTCTGTTTTTTGAATCTGAGTGTGATGAGAAAATAAATATACTTTTTATTAATAAATTTTTGTCAGTTAAAATGTCTAGCACTAAATTAAGAAGATTAAGCCAATAAGAGGGGGATGGATCAAAATTAAGAAGATTTAATGTCCTTTATCCAAAAACCATAATATAATAACATGTTTTGGATATTAAAAGGGAGAAAGAACGAAAAAAATAAAAGAGATTGGAATTGCAAGAATAATAGTAAATATTATTTGGTTTATTAGGAAGAACACCATTTTGTCGACCTGCAAAAAGAGCGTCGCGTCAACCAGTAAATCTAAATAGACGCAAAGAAGATTAATAAGTTCAATGAATAATAATTTACTGAATTTTAAGACTCCAACTTCAAGATTGTCTGATTATAATACTCGGATATCATCAAGGCTTTCATCAAACTCTCATTATGAAGGAGTTAAACAAATATTCTTGAAAACAAATTTCAAGCGACCTAAATATTAAGAATAACAGTTGATAATAGTGGATCCTTATATAGAAAACAAGGAAAACTTTTCTAATGTTTACAATTTAAGACCGAATCGAACAATTGAGAAATTAGTTACAGACAGAAAGAAGAGTTATAGTACAAACAAGAATTTCTTATTGAAGTCTCCTAAATCACATACTACTTTATTGAGTGTAAGATCACTAAATTTTTTATGAAGTGCTGATTCCATATTTGTATATTACATGTTTAATAATTCTTTAATAAATATAAATTGTTGTAATTTAGATAATAAATAATGCATAAATAATATGACTTGTAGTTATTCAGTGGCGCCACAATTCAATTGAAGCACCTGAGTACAAACGATTACCTCTTTTCAAACCGAATCAAGTTGACGAGCGGGTAAGGAACATCATATAAAATAATTAGATCGAAAGAAACAATGTTGGGATGTACTAAAAACCAATATTAGGAAGGGACAAAATTCTAAATGCACTTAGCGTACACAGATTTCGGAGATATGCTTTATTAACCAATAAAATATGGAGACCTTGTATATTTAAAATAATTAGATTAAATTGTGACTATGTAATTAATATTATTAAATTAGTAATGTCAATAGCAAGTCATAAACATCTAATTAAAAGGAAGCCATTTTAATGGAGAAGCAAAATGAAATTTTGGGTTCTTAAATATTTGTAATCACTCCCTCAGAACTTTGGCAAGGTTCCCTTCTAAAAATCAAAGAATCAACAATAAATCAAGCATCAATCATAAGACTCATTAATATAACGTCCAATTTATCCTTGCATTCGAATTCAATATATTTTAAATAGAAGGATTTGACTGGCTGCATAGAAGTAACTGGATGTAGTGAGAGAGATCAAAACGATGACTGGTTTATAAACATTCATGACATTAATCTGAAGGATGGGATGATACATGTGTTGCCCAGATTTAGTAAACCAATTTTTCATGGGAGTCTGGTGATAATTCGAAATGCATTTTTGGGTACAGCTTTAAATTCTCATTCTGTTTTATTAAAGTCAAAAAACTAGGAAGTAACTACTAATCCTGTGATACCCAGAATATGTATTGATTAGTATTACAATTTTAGAGAATGAACTTTGGGAGGTTGTTCTGATGAAAATTGAAGGGGAAAGAAAAAGATCAATTGAGAATCAATTGTTGTATGGTGAAAAGTTTTCTCTATTGCATTCAAAAACTAATCAGTTTCTAAAATATAATCAAGGATAGACTAATTCAGATAAAACATTTTAGGTTTGTTGTTCTGATGAAAATCTATTCTTAGAAGAATGGTCTATCATTCCTTTGATTCCATAATAAACCCCAGCAGTGTTCTGTAATGACTTTTTCCTCATTCAAAATAATACTTGTTAATAGTACTTGACTTCGATTGCAGAACCCTCTTATACAACCAAATAACAATACAAAACATTTCTAACTTAGTTGCCAACCAATGCTTCAGTGTGGACTATTGAAGCGGTATTGAATAATAAGCAAAATTATTCATGATATGAATTTATCTCTATGTTTAATAAGTTTTTATTTATAAATGTTATTTCAAATTGATTGCAAAAATATAAAGCAAAGTAAACAGCTAACCTTGATAAATGCAGCCAAATATCCAATTTTAGTTAGGATCATAGAAGACAGTTCTTACACTGTCATTCCTTCCTTTTCATTGTTGAAATTCAATGAAAGAAAGAATTTTTAGATCATGCCCAAATTGACTTCTAGACAAGAAAGCCGTCTAAAAATTGAAGCCATCGAATTTGATGAAACCAAACTTGAAACACTCGTAATTTGATTATCCTCTAATTCTAAGTCTGTTCCGCCGTTCTGGAATGAAAGAAATAAAGGTTCCTTACAGTCATAATCTCAATCTCTGTTGTTATCCACAGATGCATAAGACTCCAATGGGTTTGCCCACTATAACAAGTCCCCAACCATGAATCAAATCTTTCATGACCAAAATCAGGACTCATCCAATACTAATGAACGATATGTCTAGTAAATTAAAAAAAAAATAAACGATCATGACAACCAAAATAACTCCATATCAAGTATAACTTCTTAACAATCCATACAAAGAATGGGTTCAGCCAAAATAGCAGATGACAATAAATTTCAATAGTCCTATTCACAAAATAGGAAACATTCCTTAAGCGATTTCGAATCATATGGATATATGTCTACAACCCAAACCTAATAATAAATTCTCAAAATGCCTAATGATTTCAATAACTTTTTAGATTAGATTGATTCTTCTAATGATCCATTTCTCATTCAATTACCCTCTTAACATGAATCTTAAACCCAATCTCAACATAACTTTCCCGATAATCAATAATAAGACATGAGTATCAGTGAAACTACTTCTATTTAAAGATTCCATACTTCAAAATAGCAATTCCCTCAATTAAAAAGATCAAAGTTCAATGAAAAATCAAAGCTAAGAGTTTCATACCCTTTTGTTCACCACCCCAAATCTCCAATCAATAATTAGCATCATTTAAATAAAAATAAGCTAATAGAGGACTAGTTATTAAAATAAATTGTAAGTATTTTTTGATTTATATAGAATGAATTGAAACACAACAAAGAAGTATTTCTACAAGAGCTGAAAAAATTAGAATTCAAAATGCTATTCAATTGTAAGAATGCAAATACAATCAACCAATAACGTTTCTATATTTGGCATATCCTTATAACAAGTGTTCTATGTCTTCTAATCGGAAGCTTCATGAAAAGATTCATCCCATAATTTTGACCTTCCTATCATTAAAATTATATTATTATTCATTTTATGTTTTGTTCTTGTAAGATTTGGGTATTGCAATGTGTATCATATTAGAAAAATCAATAAAGTATTCATTTCCTCAATAAAATTAAAAAAACAATTTTTAATAAAATATAATCAAAAAAGTATAAGTTCTTAATGTTTATGGATATTATTACTTATAAGAATCAATAAATAATGAAAATAATTTTATTTTGATATTTACTTTTAAGAAATAATTGATATGTCATTTTTTATGATTTTTAACTTTAATTTCTTCTCTTAATTGTTCAATAAGCCTTTCTTCCTCTAATTCATCTTCTTCATCCTCTTTTATTGGTAATTCATCAAACATATCTTCGTCATCTTTAATAGAAGATTAATCCATAGAATGATTAGTATGGGATTAAGTAAGTTATTTTTTTGGTTTGACTCTCACATTTCTTTTCAAGAATTCCTAATCTTTAATATCACTAACTGCATTAAGAATTGATTTATTCAATAGTTCTTCTTAGTCCTAAAGTAAAATTAAGTAAATATACTTTCGTAGACAATTTTAACAATTTGTCTCTAACAGCATCAATGATGGCTTAAAACCCTTAATTTTTTTATAACCCTAACTTTTTCAATCCTCGAGACATCCAATTTCTAAGCTTGTTCTCTAATAATCCTGCCACAGTGGCTTTCTCTTCTACTTCCAATACTAATTTATCCTATTCAAATAAATCTTCCTTTTATCTGTATGTTTCAACCTAAAATTCTTTATCCATATCAGTATATTATTGCTTTAAATTTGAAAATTATGTTTAAAGATCTTAATTTTCATTCTTTAATGCACTAATCTTCTTTTCATAATCTGATATAGAAATCAAAAGATGTGCATAGGTTTATTCTCTTCCTAAGAACTTTTACACAATTTCATTCGCATCAGTAATACCTGTTGAGGCTTTAATCTTTTAAAATGTCATTTCTAAATCCTAATATTAAGCAATTCCTCTTTGCATTTTGTTTTTTAAAAAAGAATTAAGAAATTTGTGGACCAAAAGCAATTTTCTCCATTTTTTAAGTGCACTATCTTTTATATCCTTTGCAGCAACTTCAGCTATTTCTTATTATCTCTTTATTCTATCGTCTCTCTTCTATTCTATATCTTATCTCTGTCTTAAATCATCCTTAAATCTTTATAAATTCTTCTCTCTATTCTTATTTTATTACTGAATCCCTTCAGTAACATCTTTTAGAGCCATCAAAGTCTTGCTGTATATTTCTTGAATTTATTGTGTTCTACACAATTATATAAAAAATTTACTTGTATGTGCTACTATGATATTATTAAAGAGCTAATTATAGGTGTCTTTCATATTAGTTTGCTCTAAGTTAATAACCCAATTAATCTTTCTTCATTCTATTTAACATATGTTCAAAGATTTTTCTATCATATTAACTTTCACTTAAAAGTTTATGCTAGTCTTCTAATTTTTGATTTAATTCTTTCTCCTTTGTTTACAAGTTATGTTAGGTTTAATTATATTGATCTACTTAAATTGTCATTGAATCAATTTCCTTTCTCATATTTTCTATATCTTTTTCTTTTCTAATTCCATTTATCTTCATTGAATCACAACTTTTTTTGAGCTCTGTAAGATTGACATGAACTTCATGAGCTTCGTTTACTTTCTACAATAACTAAGCATAAAACCTTCTAATCTTCTATTTATTTAGGATAATAATCATCATCAAAACCCAAAACTGATTAAAGATCATTTTTTTTTATTAATTTGTCAACCGACTTAATCACAGCTAACTTTCGATATTTTTCATAATCACTCTTCTTACTCTATCGTGTGCTTGATTTATTTGAATATAAACGTATCTATATTGTCATATGCTAATATTTACATCTGGAAGTTCCACTGCAGACATTCTAATATATCAAATTATAAAAAAATTATTTATTCTCACTAAAAATAATTCCCATATATTTCAATCACATTGTTCATTTTATTATGAATTACAATAAAAAATATAATATATCCAAGTAAAATTGAAGCTTAGAAAGTATAATATATTTGATTTTTATAGTTTATTTATATAAATTAACTGGATCAGATTAAATTAAAGAAGTATTCTCCAAGATTTTTGGAACAAAATAGTAGACATCTAGAGAAAACATTAATATTAATTGAAACAGTAAAAACTTGAGTTAAATTCTTTTTGAATTACTTCAATGATATTAAATATGTTTCGTTGAAATTTAATCTATACTGCATCTCATTTTAAATATCCCAAATCTAATGTGAATCGACGAACAAATACACTGAAATTAAATTTATTTATTATTAAATGAATCATTTATATGTGAATTAAATTTATAAAGTAGGTTTAGAAATATTGTAATTCAATAAAATCTAATAATGCTTTGATTACAGATTAAGTTATCTCTTTATTGCATAATATCTACTGCTATTTTCTTAAATATTTATTTATAAATATTAACTTTTTTGTTATAAATTTAACACTAAATAAATTAAATAAAATGTAAGAACGATTTAAAGAAGAATTGCTCTCTCCTTAATTTAAAGATCTAGAGTAAGAGCTTTCAACTTAAGAATGCCGAAAATTCTCAAGTATATCAGCTGCTGAATTAAACACACCTGAAACAAAATATAGATCAACTATAGGACCCAATAAAATGGACATGTCGAAGGATGCAAATTCGTTGCATTTTAGAAATAGAACAGCAAAATTTGAGGATGAATAAAATCAACTATATATGGAAATTAAAAATTTATACCAAAAGAGATAGTTCGATGTCCCAACTCTTTTGGAACCAAAAATCTTGTTTAAGACAGAAACTGTTCCAACTAGATTTATGTAAATTTTTATTATCATAGAAATTCGTTTATAGCATCAAGAGAAAATAAAACCAAGCACAATAATAATCACAATTTAATGATTAGATGTTGATAGACAAAATGCATTAAGCTAATTAATAAAGTCTAAAGAATTTATTTTCTCATCAATTTTGATATTAATTTAGATATATATTAAAATAATAATAGAGAATAATAATTCTTTATTATAATAGATATCATAATATTAATACTTAAATTTTCTATATATTATTTTTCTCATTTATAGAAAATAAAATGCTTATAGAATATTTAGAACCTAGATAACTTAAACAAGATATCTAGAATTAAATTTAAACTTATATGAATTCTATTATAATATCAAATACGTTAGTTCCACTATTCTAAATAGCTCTTCAATATTTTGTTTCAGAAAATATTTATTAGTTATAGCACATTTAATATTTTTTAAATAATAGATTAAGAACGGTTTTAGCTTGAATATTATAGCGGGCTTAATTCAGATATCAAAGTTATGTTAAGGAACAATACAAATATTAGTTAATCTCACTTTTGAAGGCCGTAACCAAATAACTTCCATAATATGCTTAGTAATTGATATATGCAAAAATGAGATTTAGCAATTTAATCTTTTCCTATTAATAGATATTGAATATATCTTATATTTTTCTCATTTTTGAAGATTATTGGGTCCCTTAAATATGTATTATATTTAAGATTTTCCTTCTTATAAACAGCATCAACTCATAAGTCCAAAGAAAATTTAGAATTTTCAGATAAAATATTCGAAACTACATAAATTACGTGATTGGAATGTAAAATCTTATCATGATAAATTTATGATAAAATTTATAAATCCAATTACTATTTTAAACTATATTTTCAAATCTAAAATCTCTTCTGTAGGAAACCATCATTTTTCTATTAATTTATATCTAAATCGAAGGTTATAAATTAAAGATTATAAATTTTTGATGTAATGTAAACAATTTAAAATATAGTTTTGACTATTATTTCAAACATTATAAATCATTGTTAATCTTTGAAAAATCTTAATGGAATTCCTTTTTCTGGGTTAATCTATTTTTTTAATTTATAAATACCTTATAAAATAATTTTTTGCAAAATTCTTCGAGTTAAGAGAAGGGAACTGTTATAACGCCAAGTCCAATATAATTGGCCATATTATTTAAAGCACTGGCTGGTAAGGCTGTTAATTATAGTAATGATGAAGTTATCCCACAAGTAAAATCATAACTACCCTCCATTAATCCATACAACTAAAAATAACTATTATATTTTACAAAACCATTATTTGAAATGAACGGCTTACTAATCATATTCATTATAGCATCAGTAAATGAACTAGCAGCTTTTGTTATTTCAAGTGAACTATATGCCTAAAGCAAAATTCCAAAAGTTGATAATTATTAGCTTTTAAGAAATTAAAGAAAATCTTATCTAGAAGTTTGATTGAACTAATGGAAGTATAAAACCTTATTAGTTGCTAAAATTAAATTATTGAATGATCCAAATTTCAAGACTTAGTTTTTTAATCCATCAACATCCAATCCTTCTGAATCAAATGAAACTATAAATTAAATTGGAAACAGTTCAACTTATAAATTGAAAGGTTTCTTTTAATGAATGATTTCAAAACATTCATCATCGTCATCGTTTTTTACTTAAGTAATTACTTCTTTATTTTTTGTTGAAAAAGATTTAAGTAATTCTTGGAATTAGTATCCAGATAGACAAATTCTTATAGGTTTTAATTATAACCATAATGCCAAGCTATTTTAATCAAATTGAATAATCAAATCTAAAAATAACCTTTCCTTTATTTATTCACTTTAGAAAAAGTCTAATTCATTTTAGTCATCTTCATCAAGTATATATTTAAACTTACTCTATTAAAGTATATCTAATATTTATGCTCTGGCTAGTTTAAGCTAAAAGCATTTCTCTCCTAAATCAAGTTATGTATAATAAATCACCACTTCAAATGTCTATGATTCATCAGTTAAAGATATTTAATCACAGCGAATCTCAAAGCTTTTTTATTTCATTTCTATTTTATCTAATTTTTGATAATTCTTCATCTCATTAACATTATTATTACTTTTCTAAAAGTCCTTACTAATATGTTCATAATGATCAATTAGATCAACAATTAACTATTTAGAAATACGGAAAAATTAAATAGAATTGATTTTCAATAATTTATTCTTAAGTAATTCAATTTTTTAAATTTATCCTATATTCTAAAATTCTTCTAAATTTATGAGTTAATCATTTCGATTAGCCACATTGCAGTTTTAAAAATAATATTAAACTTCATCAATTTGTATTAAATCTTACTTGACGATTGTATTATTGAATACTAAAATAGTTCTTGTCCAAGATTAATGTTAATCTTTGGAGTAATTCAATTTTGCTTACCCTTTTTTCTAGAGGATAATTTCCTCATTGTAGAATGGCAAAATATCAATCATTATTGATTTAAATACAATATTTACCTGAGATTTCTCATTTTATGATTTACTTTATTATTAAGGAGGATTTACATATTAAACTGATTTTACTAATTATGTGATACATGAGATCAATTTATTAAAATTAAAATTTGTTAAATTTAATTTGAGAGCTGAAAACTCAAGATTTATGTTGTTTTATTTCATAATTAAACTGAATATCCATTTATCCTGAACTTAGTTCATCAATAATAATTGAGAATTATTCTTATAAAATCCATTTAAATCCTCTATTAATATAAATTAGTAATCTATTGTAAAGTAATATTTGAATTAATTGAAGCTAAGGAATATGGTTTAGTATAAAGTTACTTCAATTATTTAGATTTTAGCGCTGAAATAAAAATTCTATTGCTTTTTCTAATTATTCTAGGTTTATTTTGAGTTATCGTTAAATACTGAATTTAGCTAAGAAATCATCTTGTAAAACTAATCAAATGAATTATGATTTAAGATAACACTATCTATTTATAATTCTAAATGCTACTCTTGCTTTGATTTACAGTCTTTCACATATTGAGTTATTTAGGATTTATTCTCTTCATTAAATTTCTTTATATTTTAAGTCGAAGGTCTTAGTTATGATCCTAAATTGCCCTTTAAATTATATATTGCTATCTATTTATCTAAGCCCCAAATACTTTGACATCCAAATTTGAATTAGCTTCTATATAAACATAATGAGGAGTTTTATTCATTTGCATCTGGAGTTGCTAGGAAGAAATCTACAAAATCAAATTAGATATAATCTTCATCGATTGATGAATTATTTTAGTTATTAGTAGAGGAAGTATTGCCAACATGGTAAAATACGGAAAATTTAAATTTCGATATTTTGAATTGGGTTTCTGATTTAACTTGATTATTTGGTTTTACTGAATTCTGTGTATAAATATTAACAATCTTCATAATAAACTATAGCTAATTTTTGTCTACAATTAAGTTAAACTGCGTTATATCCATGTCAATATTATTATCTCTAATTTAAAGTTTTATTGGAGTTACAAAAAATGCTTAAGAAGCAAATATTGTTGGTTCTTAAATTTCAATTTGATAACCATCTTTATTTAAGTCTTAACTAAAAAATTAATCTCTTCCAGTTCTAAGGATTATTTTGCATAAAAACTTTTAAGGACCTATCATAACAAATTCAAATTCTTATTTGTGAACGAACTCTCTTGTACTAATAAATTAAGGTTCTATTTTCAATAACTCATAAATTAGTACAGAATTAACAAAAATATTTAACTTATCATGCTTTACTATTTTTATATCACATAATGAAACTAAGAAGTAGTTATCTAAGTCAACTTTAAATTTTTTTTATTAATAATTAAATTCTTGTTCGGTTTCATTAGATGTTAAATATAGACTCAAACCTTAAAAGCTAGCAACTAAAAATTCCTTTTATTCACTCATTTGCTTAATTGAAGTATATAAATCTGCAATTTTAGAATCAGGCACATTTTGAATAATAAAAGTACTCTCTAGATATTCTTCGTTTTCGAAGTTCTTCTCATGATAAGATTTTTTAAAATACTCTTCTAATTTGTATTTATTTAAATTCATGATTTTAGAACGCTCTTCAGAAGACTATTTATTTGAATTAATAATTTATTAAGTAATATGGCTCTGTCGTATTGCTTCTTTTATTGTATTTTCTCTCTGCTCTAAAACTTATGCACTCTAAGCAAATAGCTGCATTATTTAATCCAATTAATTTAGTGATGCTACTACTTAAAATTAAGAAGCTTAAATAGTTATTTTTGGTTCTGCGTCTTATTTTAGATAAACATCTAATTTAAAAGCATTATCCATTTAACCAATTTATTTTTTGTTATCAAGATAGAGTTTAAGTTAATCAACGAAGCATAAAAAAAGGATTTAGTTGCTATTTTAGGGTTTCTGCATTGTGCAATTGATTTTGTTTATGCTGAGTGTAAAACTACTTATCTTATTAGAATTTAATTTGCCAACAAATTTAATCCTTAAATTCTTAATATCAATTTTTATATTCCCAAAAATGCTATCTATTATTCTTAAGAACATGACCGTTTTCGATGAGGTTTTATTTGTTCCACTCTATTAAGTTTGAGATTTGACTTCATTTTAAAAATATGAGTCACTACCTTCGCACTATTAATATAAATATTTATTACTAAAAATTCCTTCTTTAATTGCTCCATCTACATGTGAACACTTTGGTTAACTAAATTTTCAACTTCTAGTGATTCCAAGACTTCTTCTTATTGAATATAAGTATTCAAATCTAATGTTATTTCTACATCACTCATTTATAATTGCAGTTTTTCAAGTTTTATAAATTCTATCATTAGATAATATGATTTACTAATATGAAATTCTTTTAGAGAGTTAGTTTTAAGCATTCCATTTATATATTTTGTGTTTAATTTAACATCTGTAATTCCTTTATTTAAATCTTTAATTGCAATTTTCTACTCAAAAATGTTTTCAAAGTTATAGTCTATGATAGGCTATAATGTTTTTTCGATAATTTTTGACTTTGCTTTAGATGCAAGCCCACCAAAATAGGTAAACATATTGTCAAACATTTGATAATATAAAAATTTTTAATAATATATCAATCAGAATTAAACCTAGAGATATTTTATTACTTCTAATAGAATTTTTATTAATTCAAAAAACCGAAATAGAAGTTTTATTTAGATCTGTGATATTTATATTTTTATATTATTTGAATTTAAAAAATTTGAGATCTTCAATAAAATAATAGATTTATTATAAATTGGGTAGATATTTACGAATATAAATTTATATGTAAAAATTGAAAAATAAACACAAAGAAAATAGAATTTTATGTGAGGAGAAGATTTTTTAATTATACTGATTAAATATAATAAATTATTTATAGAATTTAAAATTTCAGAGTTTAGAAATTCCAATTCGGAATTGAAGAAGGTAAATAACTAATAACTTTTAAATTATTATAATAATGTTTATTCATATACCAGCAAAAAACTTATATGTTAGTGAACCTGATCCTCGACATTTTGGAAACCCAAAAAACGATGATCCAAAGGTTAATTGGTTAAAGAGCAGATTCCACTTTAGTTTTGCAGGTAATATTTTAATCAATTCAAGAATACTATGATCCATCAAATTAATCATTTGGAGCACTAACAGTAATGAATGATGACTTAGTCTAACCTAATAAAGGATTTGGAGAGCATCCTCATTAAAATATGGAAATTGTCACTTACATTGTGTAGGGAGAATTAACTCACGAGGATTCAAAAGGGAACAAAGAATCACTTGGGAGAGGATCAGCATAATATATGAGTGCAGGATCAGGCGTTTTTCATTCTGAATACAATTTATCAAAAAAAGAAGTTTGCAGATTCATATAAATTTGGATAAAACCACGATAAACTAACACTAAAGTGCAATATAAGAGTTATAGAGGAGAGAATGGTTAAGCAAATAATAAATGGTTTCATTTGGTTGGAGATTTATAAGGAAATTCATAAGCTCCAGCAAAAATTAATTAAGATACTAATATATGGGTTAGCGAGTTTTCAACAGAATAAAGATTTGAGGTATTTCTTCATTTTTAAGCAATATAGATCAAGGAGGGCAGATAAGCCTACCTGTTATGTGTGGAAGGTTAGTTTGAAATGACTATTGATTCAAAGTAACCTTTGCAAGAACTCAAAAGCTAATTAATCAATTAGTACGATGGAGTGAAGCTTTTCAAAAGTATTGTTTTGAAGCCAATAGACAAGGCTCATGTCTTATTGGTTGAGATGAACAAGTGATCAGCAATCACAATATTGAAATATATACTATAAGTATCAAATTATCAAAATTTAATTTTATATCATTTTACCTTTCTTCTCCTATAAAATAAAACATAAGCAGCATCTGTGACTGGGTTAGATCTTAATTCTTTAACCTAAGAATCATTAAAATCAAACCAGGCATTATACATAGGATTCTTTGCATATGCAGTGTAATGTCCTCCTCCCATGCCTCCATAATGATTTGAAATTGCAAATAAATCATAAACATAAGGTTGTTAAGATTCCTGAATTATAGAGTATTTAATTACTTTTTCTAAAATAAATGGTTGAATATCGAAATTTTCAAGAGGAAAATCAACAAATTAGACAATCTTAGTGACTCCTCCAACTGAGTAGGTTCCATAAAATTATGTCACTCTTGTCGATCGGAATCTTTTCAGATGTAATATCATAATTTATGGTGCCTGAATTTGGAATAATATAATACCTTGTATATTTGCATTTGCTTTTTTGCCTTCTGATGTTTTTTACATTTAGAACAATACCATTCATTTCCTGCTCCTAAGACTTCCTCTTAACAAAATTAATTCAAACAATCATTCAAAGAGATGGTTTACTACAAACTTTGATTCGGACCCTAGAGTGTAAATTCTGCATCAACACATCTATTCAACTTTAAGAGTTCAGCTCGTAATTTAAATTGGGCATTTAAGTTAATGGACTTTCCGCTTACTTCTATTTATTTATCCGTAAAGGGCAGAGGCTTACAATTATCATCTTAGAGTTAATATATTAATTCTTTCAATTTTAATAAATCCTAATATTCTTCAAAGTAATCTTTATAAACAAATTTCTTGATATTCTTTAAGAACTACTCAAATTCCTTATTTAAATTCAAATTTGAAGTGATCTCACTAATTTGAATCAAATGAGTTCTGAATATCTAGTATATAATAAGGTGGAGACCTTAATAAGTTGTTTGACTATCAACATAGCAAACTCTAGTAAAAGATATTCTATAATTCTATTGATTAAGTTTACTTTCTTCTAGTTTTTTAACATTACAGAGAACTTGATGATAAGGTGTTTTAATATTAGAATCATATTTAGAATTTGGTTTATCTATCTTTTCATCATATTCTTCATACAAAAATGTAGTAGCTTAACTCTCTTTGATTTATTTGATAGTTTATTCTGATGATATTCCATTGTCAATTATAGCTGAATCTTGTAAGGAATAGAATTTGAGATATTCAGCTTTGATATTCTTTATCTTTGAAATGATTTCTATAATTTCTCCAGCTGTCTGTGTAGATTGTAAAGTTTGTTAAATTTTTAAAGGGGTTTGATTAGAATCCCTGAAAATTAAATAAAATTAAAATTAAACGTATTCTTTGCTTGGAATGGGTAATGAAATTGTAACAAAAGGATCAAATGTAATGGATACAAAATTACACTCAGGACATTCTACTCTAGATTTAAATTATCCTGTGAAGAGTTCAGTAATTTTAGAATCATTTCTCTTTTTATGATTATCCCAATATATATCTGCAAATTCCTAATCACTCTAACCCTTGTATTCTACCTCTGGAATGTAAGGTTTCTTTTTAATTCTATTCATGTCTTCATGCAAACCATCTAATAAATATGAGAGTAGTTCCTGAGAGTCCTATTAACTATAACCATTAAATTGAGGAGCCTGTTATCCAATCACCTTTTTAACATTCCAAGGTGCTACACTGGTTGATGTAGATTCATAAAGTTCCTTTAACAATTCAGCATAATTGCAAGCTAATCTACCTCCAGTTCCTAATGGATTTTTCTCATTTAAATCTTCGAGATAAGTATTGTATATCATATATTCAGTTAGTTCAGTGACATTACTCAAACATTGCAAACTTGAATTCATAAAGCAAGTATTTCCTAAATTACTTAATCCACAGATTCCTTTGGCTGAATTTTTGACTATTTTAGCTGGAGGTTTCACTTTATATTTCTTAGATAATTGATTGATTAAGGAATCCTTTTCCATGATTTCTAAATAGAAATGTAGAATTACTTTTACAAACATCTTAATGATTCTTTAAATCATTAGCTTGACAGGTTTCATTGCAATATTTAACACTTCTGCATTCACATAAATAAAGTTGAGAATCCTGATTACCACAACTCATGCATTTATTAGGAATTGATATTGTTTACAAATTCTCTTTTTTTTCTAATCTATATTATTCTTACTCTAATTCTAAAAGTAAAACTTCCTCAGGTCCTATCTCAGCTTACTAATTTAATAAATAAGAATACTTCTAATATGTTATCTCTGCTTATTTTAGTACCAACAACTTATTAACTTTTCATTAATTCCTCTTAGTTGACTTCTTTAGGAATCTTCCAAACATTTCTGACTTTTTAACTAGTTATCCTATTTACTTTATTAACAAGGTCTTCAATCCTTTCGTTTCCATTAAATTATAAATTTATTATCCTTTATTATTGTTATGGGAATAATTAGCATCTAACTTGAAATAAATGTGTTTCAACTGCATGTCTGCTTCTACATAAGACGAGTCTTTTTATTTCAACTCCTCCAAATAATCCATATAAGAATCTCCATATCTAACTACTGACAAAAATGAAATTCTAATTCTCTCTTATAGATTTGTTTAAAGCATAATTGGAATAGCTTTTTGCTTTCAATGGGTCCTTCTCAAATGATGTTTATGTATCAATTAAATCATCATTATAAATTGGACAGATATGAATGTCCGTATTATTTTGGGTTGAATTCGATATTCTTTCTAATTCTTCATATGTTTATTGATTACAGTATTATTTAAATATTTCTACAAATGTTTCATCATCCATAGAGTTCTTTTTATAATATGATTACATTATACATTCTTTTTTGCTATGAATTATTTTAAGGAATCTGGGTTTTCCCTTGTTAATTCGTAATATTTTGTGTATAAACTAAAACGAGCAATCCATTGAGAACTAATTAAATAAGCAGGATAGCCTTCTTATTCAAAATACCGATCCTATTCCTACTTTAGTAATAATTATTGTAATTTCTTTGCTAAGGCTGTTTTCTCTTCATCATTATATGTTTAAAATGTTTTCTATTTATTATCAATGTAGTCTTGCAAATATGATTTCTTCTAATCTAAAATAATGTCTAATTAAGCCCATGTTTTTTTATTCTTGCTCGTTTATATTAATTTTTAAACAATCTCTATTTTATCAATGCATTCTTATAACTGATTCATTTTTTATAAGGATTGTATCGATATCCATTCTAATTCTAACTTTCGCCATTCTACTTAGTCGAATTCAAGTGAATCTTATGATGGAGTTTCTTGCGAACATCCAAAGTAAGAAATTAAATAACTTAAATTGAAATCATTTAATTTATAGCTACAAAGTGCTAATAGTAATAATGCTAACTAACTGATGTCTGTTAAATAATAAATGGAAATTTTACTGTCAGTCTTTTTTTCTTGAACATTATGTAAGCTTAATTGTGTCCTTAAAGATTATTTCAATTATTAACACACCTCTACTAGATTCTTAATTTAATTTAGTTTGTACTTGTTTACCTTCCAGTCTTTCATATGCTCTCTTGATAACTCTTTCGTTACAATTATTGATGGAATCCAATAAATATTAAGGACAAATCATTCTGAAAATAAATTAAAAGAATATATATATATAAATTATCATGTAAAATACTTTAACCTTTCCTTTTCCTCCTCACTGATTTCAGTTACAACTTACTCTTCTTTTTCTTCTTTTGGTGGCCATGATCTAATCATTATGGGTCTTCCAAATCGTTTTTAAATAATAACTTCTTTTTATTGCTCTTACTATTTTTTTTACATCTCTATCAAATCTTGTTCCTGCTTTTCTTATTTCATTTTATCTTTTTTCATTCTAATACACCCTTTCTCTTTATCTAATACCAAATCCGGTGCAATTTATCTATACTTCTTAATCTCTAAGATATATTGTTCTAACTTTCTCTCTGTTTCTTTTAACATTTCCAATCCTGACATATCCTTCCTAGGTTCTGGATTTAGATCTATCCTGTACATTCTCGAAATCATCATTTCTAAATTACGAAGAGACTCAAACCCCTCATTGTCACTCTTTATACTCTTTAAGATCTTTATCTAATCATTCACTGATATTATCTATCTTTCTAAGTCCAATTTATTCTAAATGGCATTTTATTTCTTATCCTCCAGTTATCTTTTCTTTAAATCTACCTTTGATTTCAATTCCTCAACCATTTGTTCTCTTTCTTTAGTGTTTGCTATCAAAAATAGGTTTCTCTCTTCTAATTGTTAGAATATATCAAACAATTATTAAGGGTCTTTAAAATAAGAATCGAATTCATCGTCAGAATCATCCAAAATTTTTTAGAGATCTGAACTTATTAAATTATCTTAAGGATTTTTTTTATTTTTATTCTTAATTTACTACTTTTTTTGATTCTTCTTTTAAAATTCTTTGGGAGTTATTTTGTCTAGAAAATTTTTGTATTTTATTAAGTCCTCTAAATTATCAACCTTCTATTGATTTTTAGTCATTAATTCTGTTCTGTGTTCTTGCAATAATTTAATTTCATTTGTTTTCTCTTATTTTAATCTTGTTTCGTTTTCTGCTTCTTTTATTGCATCTCTGGAACTATTGTTATTAGCCTCCAAAAATTTATTAAACATCTCAATATCTTCATCAATTAATTATTCACTTTATTCCAAACCTTTTCTATGCAATCTTGCTAACTTTTCATATTCATCAATCATTCCTCTCTTTTAATCTATGAGCATTGAAAACAATAGCATTTCTTTCTTCTTCTCCAAAAATTAATACATGGGTTCTCTTTATCGAACTCTGTTTTTTAAAGCATCATTTGCAATATCCACTATATTTCTTAAATCATATTCATTTGATACTTCTTTTCTTATTCTTCCTAATCCAATAACGATTCTTCACTATCCAAACGATCTATGGTTCTCACAGTGAAGAATCCTCTTTACTTTTTGCTTTTTTCATGAATCTTCAATTTTGAAAACTTGAGTCTTTCTTCAGATCTAGCCTATTTTGATTTCTCCTTCAATTTGTATATCTCATATTCATCAGGAACATAGAATGGATTATCACCATATTGTAGTGATCTATCATGAATTTTAGGCAATTGAGGATGCATAATAATTAATTTTGTTATTTCATATTAAGAAAACAATTCAATTATAAAGTTTTACAAAATATTTCCCTTAATATTATTAGATAAATTAACAGACTTTTATTTACAGATTTACATAAAGGAAAATACTTTCAACCTTTCGTATTGGTTTAATTATTAATCTTTATTACTTACAGAATAAAATAAAATATTGGTCTGATATATATATTCATTTGATTTATGGCATTTATTCGTCTGAATGATAAACTCTTCTATGTGTTTTGATGCTTCGTACTTACTCTATGCAACAATCCTCTGGCACAGCCAAGTAATCTGGATCAGTAGCGGAGAGGAGATTCTTCCTTGTTTATTGTAGTAGTGATTATGAAGATTTTGATTTCAGTAAGGTTTTTTGTTTTTGTGGTTAAATATATCCGAATGTAAATTTAGACATTTTGAAGAGAGCCAAAGGCGAATGTTTATGTATTCTGGGGTCGAAAATGATTTTGGAGATGTTTGTATTAGCGTATGTGCATATTTCTTTAAGACCTCCAGGATGGGTGTAGGCAAATTCCGAGAGATCATAGATGGTATTTTTATAAACATAAAGTAACAAGTGATTTTATCTTGCATAAGTTTGAACGGCAGAAATATCATCAAAATAGATTGGTGATATTATTGGATTAATTTGCATAATTAAAATATGCAACAAATCAAAAAAATTGATTTAGTCAGGAACTCAAGCAAAAACAAGAGTTTTTAGGAGATTTATGAATTTAACAAATGTGATGTAAGATCCAAAGTTTATGTAGAAATTGGGGTAAGGTTCATATGGGATGGTGTATAAAGCGGTTCATAGAGCGACTGGTTTAAGCAGAGCAGTGAAGATCATCCAAAAGACTAGTGTAAATTAGTAAGAAAGATTGAATAATGAACTTAGAACTGTAGAATTATTGGTAATTCTGGAAACTTAGTTTATTTAAGGATCATCCACACATCATTAGAGTGTTTGAGACTTATGAAGATATGGAATATATCTACGTGGTAATGGAGTAAGAACTAAATTAAAATTAGAATATGTAAAGGAGGTGATATCTTTGATAAAGTGTTGGAATATGGTAATTTTGATGAGTATGGAGCATTAACCATATTTATTCAAATTATAAGATCAGTTGTCTATTACTAATCTTTGAATATAGTCCATAGAGATTTGAAGCCTGAGAATTTCTTGTTTTAGAAGAATAACGACTTAGATTCCCTCTACATCATTGATTTTGGTTTGGTCAGAGTATTCTCCCCAGGCATACAATACTAATGGACGAAAGCAGGGACCGTAAGCAATTTTATATAAAGTGTAAGGCTTATTATGTGGCACCAGAAGTGTTACAAGGCACCTATGATAATAAATGCGATATATGGTCAATTGGGGTCATATTATACGTTTTATTGTGTGGATATCCTCCCTTCTATGGAGAAAATGAACATGAAATTTTATAATCTATTTAGAAGGGTAAATTTGATTTTGATGGGCCTGAGTGGAAGAATGTATCGATAGAGGTCAAGCAATTGATTTGTTAGATATTGTAGCCAAAACTATAGAGGATAGATTTAAAAACCATATTGAAACACCCTTGGGTATAAAAATATGTTTAGAAAGGAGAAATATTACTTACCAAATATCATTTGGATAGATGGAAGCAATATCACATATTAATGCAAATAGGATTATTGTACTTAGCAACTCAGTTAGATTAAAGTGAGATTTTAGATATAAAGAATGGGTTTCTCTTTATGAATAGATCTTAATCTGGAATATTGAGTAAAGAAGAGATAGGCTTTTTGGATGATGAATTGTAAACTTTGGAATATTATCGTAATTATTAGAATTTAATAGAGAATACATATCACTCTGTTTGGAACCAACTATCTATAAAAATGAAAAGTACTAGAAATTAATGTTTGTTCATTTATCAATAGATAGTCGGATAACTACTTATAGTTTAAGGAATATTCAGATCTATTTAGAGTGTGATATGGATTATTAACAATTTATTAATTTATTTTGATTAACATAAATGTTTATGGGCAATGAACTTAGATTATATATATATAATATAGAGAATTCTTTAAATGCAGAGGACATAATCAAATGTTTCAATTCTAAATGCTTGGTTTAATTTAGAGAAGGCTTTGATTGATGCTTAAGTACCTGAGAATGAGCAGGTTACAATAATTTCAAGGCCACCTACATCGAAGATGATGAGAGATTATTCAAATTATCACTCAGTATGAGAATGGTTTGAACTTTAGCAACAAAGAACTTAACCTTTAAGACCTTTGACTGGGTTGACAAGACCTTCAACTGCAATTACGATGAAGAAACCTATTGAGTATTAGGAGAAAACAGCAACAATTTAATAATCTTAAAGAAAGATGTTCAGAAAGAAAGTGAACCAAAGACCTTTCAAGAAGTATGGTTTTGATAACATCCATATTTAAAAGTAATATTGAGTATAATTATAGGGAAGAATAAGAAGGAGAGATCTCGGAGGAAGAATTAAATTAGTCAACAGTTATACATACTTTAGACGTGGATTAAATAATAGATTTATATCACAGTAAATGTAGAGATCGAGAACTTGAATATTAACCAGAACATGCTGTTCTTTTTATAGAAAAGTTTAAGAAATTATGTGTAGATGAACAGTTCGTTTGTGAAGACAATTAATTAGGCTTGGAGAGTGCCAAAACAGTCAGAGACATATTGCTCTATAACAATCATTTTTCCACCTTGAGATTAGCAAGGAATGCTATTGGAGATGAAGGTCTTGTAGAGTTACTCGAGATGTTGAAGGTCAATAAAAATATAGTTCATTTAGACTTCTCAAGTAATAATATAACTGCAGATGGCGCATTTTACTTATTTAATGAGTTAATCCCATTGCATTCAATCATCTCAATTGAATTATCAAGCAAGGATGGTTTGAATAGGAACAAAGTCTCTGTGAAAGGCTGTGAGCCTATTGAAACTATTTTAAAGTACAACCATCCTCTGCAATTTCTAGGTTTGAGAGGCACTTCAATCTAGAATGCAGGTTTTGAATGTATTCTATCAGGATTGTAAACAAACAATACATTAGCCTATTTGAATGTTTCTAACAATGATTTAAATGAGGAAGCTTGCAACTATATGGTTTAATATATTTCAAATTGTAATTTGGTTGAATTAGATTTGAGTTACAATCCTTTGGGTAATAATGGTATGGACTATTTGTCAAGGATCTTTGACAAGGGCAGTTTTATGTTAAGGAAATTAAATTTGGCAGGATGTGAAATTAAATCATTAGGAATTTTGAAATTTTTTCAAAGTTTAGCTGTGAATCGATTCCTTGAGAGGTTGATTTTAGATGAAAATCACTTTTCTGGAAATGGATTCAATGAAATTGAAAATGTATTAACATCTAGAATCCCCTTAACTTATTTATCCATGGCTAAATGCAGTATTAATGCTACCGGAGCAGATTTCATAGGCAATGGAGTAGAAAGAAATAGAACACTTAAAACACTCATATTAAGAGATAATCGATTGACTGATGCAGGGGCTGAATGTGTATTTAAAGGACTGTTTTTTGAGAAGTTAGATTTGAAGAGATGCAATCTTACAGATAAATGTGTACTTGGTTTATGCAGCATGATTAAATAAAGTACTTAATTAACAACACTATTGTTACCTGATAATGGGTTTCATGATTCCTCAGGAATTGTAATATGTGAAGCTATTAGAGTGAATTCATCAATGTAATTATTATGGAATAATTAGATTAAATTTAGATATTTGTGAAAATCCATTGAGTTATAAATATATTGATTAAATCAATAAGGTTATTGAATCCAATAGATTGAAATATGAACTTGATAGGGTTCCTATGTACAAAAGAGAGATTGTTAAACTCAATAATATTATATAATAGAAACCAACCTTGGAAAAAGATCAAAATGAAAATCAACAAAAAAAAGCGAGATCTCTTTAAACATTGGAAAAAACAATTGAAGAAAAAAACAGAGTCAAGATAGAATAAATATAAAAGACTACTGATATGGATGCGAGATTGCAATAAATTCAATAATAATCAAGGTAGATGGATATCGACAAAATAAAATTTGATAATGAATCCAACATGCACTTAATTAAGATGGATGATGAGATAAATGATTATCAGAAGAAGATGTCTGAATGTCATTAAGTAATCACTCGTTTGGAAAAAGAAATAAGGGGTTTAAAGGATCAAAGACATGTTCGGAAAGGGCAAAGTGACTCGAGATTGGAAATGCTGAGGCAACTAAACAGAGCAGAAGAGAGAGCACTGTAGAGAGCAGAAATGGAGAAGAAACAACTGGAGGAGAGGATAAAGGCCATGTCAGGAAAGGAATCCATTACTAGTAGAAGGAAAACTAAGTAATTGTCTTAAATAATTTAATAAAAATAATGAATAAAAAATATACATCATCCAACTTAAATCCCAAAGTCTTAGACGACAGAGACGAAATTAACTTTGGAACTTCTTTTGTTGATACTATCTTGAATAAAAAACTTTTTGAATACTTAACTTCCTTTCTTGATACTTTGAGTCTCATTAATTTTTAGCTATCATCAAAAGTCTTCAAAATCAGAATTTGGAAAATTTACTTTAAGAAGGCTATATTTGGGAGATTATGCAAGCCCTTGGATCATAAACTAATCTCCTAGTTTATAATTGATCAAAAGTGTGCCTAATTTATCTTTTGGGATTCGGTAATCGATTTCAAGAGATTAAACTTATAATATTCTCATCAATACAAATAATACTCTTGTCAGCAGTCGGTCGAAGCATCTAATATACAAAAAGACATCGATCGTACTTTTTCATAACATTAATATTTCAAATAAATTCATAATCGATAAAGATTACAAAGAATTCTAATTGCATTATCTAAAATACAAGAGCAAATTGGTTACATTTAAGGATTCAATTAAATTGCAGGTTGTTTCTTAATTAACGGTCTCAATGAACAACAGACCTTTTGGATTATGTATTACATTTTAAAGAAGATGAAATACGCTACCATATTCCAAGACTAATTTAATGAACTCAAGTTTCTGAATTTTACAGTCGCAGTGTTCCTACGGAAATATGTACCATCACTCTCTAATGAATTTGTAAATCTCTTTATTTATTTAGCTATAAAACAAAATGGATATTGGAATCATAACAACAAGATGGTTCTTAGTCATTTTTGGCTACGATCTGCCTCAATAATTAGTAACAATATCTAAATATTATAGTTAATTCAAGTTTGGAACATGTTCTTGTTAAAGGGGATTAAAGTATTAATCAGAGCCTCAATTGCAATTTTTAAATTAGTTTCTGATTTTGAAGGAATCAATGATCTATATGATATGATCAAGGAAAATCTTTATGATCTCTTGGAAACTAATGTTTAATTACAACAGAACTTCATTGAATATTTCTCGAAGATTAAAATAACCAATCGTCTGATTTAAGAATTGAGAGAAAAATTTGAGACTGGAGATGAGTCCCTGAATCTCTCATTTGATATCATCTAGAAAAAACATTATTGGAGAAAAGGAGGGGATAGTGCAAGAAGCTTGATTAGTTCTTGTAACGAAATCATTAGTGAAATCTAAGAAGAAAAAGATGCATGCTTTTAGCGATCTTAGTTGCTTATGAATGCTTTCTTTCCGAAGCTTATCAATAAAAATCAATTAGTAGCTTCAGAAGGTAAAAAGCACTTAGCTATTAAAATTGAAAAAAAACCATAGTTGATTAAACGATAGATTATATCTTAACAATTTAAAATGTCCATTCCATAATCTGCCAATGGAGATTAAGTATGAATTACAATTATTAGGAATCTAACATCTATGCTGATGAACTCCAGAGTAGAATGAGTCCAAAAGAAGATGAATCAATAGAACTTGAATGCACTCCAAAAAAAATCTTTAAATTTTCTAATAAAAAAAGATGAATTTATATAATGATTTATATATATAAAAACATATCTGTGAAATTTTGAACATTGATTTTTGAAGGAGACTTAATATAATAATGATATAGTCATATTCTATGAATGAATGATGTAATTACAATTAATTTCTAAACTTATATTCTGAAAAATAAAAATAAAAAAAAGAATAAAATCTTTTAATTAATTTTATGATTGATAAGTAATAGTATGATATTTAAAAGTAAGTAAAAGGAAACAAGGTCTTATTGATAAAGCTTTATTGCGAATGCTATTTAAAAACTTATAAATTAGAAGACAATTTAAATTTGTTGGAAGTAAAACTAAAAGATATTTTTAGGTCGTAATGGCACTGAAAAAGAAAAAATTTTCAAATATTGTGGAAATATATAAAGTAAAAGTAGATGAAAAATAAGGATTGATATTTGTTTATGAGGAGTGTTGCAAATCTGATCTGAGAGAAATGATGAGAGATAATCCAAAATAATTTGATGTTAAAGAAATAATAAAATGCTTATTACATGTTATTTAGGGATTGTTAGATTTGAAGAATCTAAATATTTTTCATAGAGACATTAAACCGGATAATATAGTATATAATGGCGAGAATTACAAAATTATTGACTTCGACAGAGCCAAAGTTTTTGGAAATGGCGAGATCAGGGTTCATACTTTAAATATTGGGTAAATGTATTTTTTAGTCTTAGCACTTAAGGATATTAAGCTCCAGAAATAATTTCAAAATAGCCTTATTCCTATCAATGTGACGTGTGGAGTTTAGGATGCGTTATTCATTTTCTATTATTTTAATAAGAAATAGAAATAATAAATAATGAAATTGTCATCCCTAAACAAAACTAGTATGATGATAAAATTATAAAATTGCTCCTTAAAATGTTAGAAAGCAATCCAAGAAAAAGAATATTGCTAGAAAATCTTTAAGAAGAAACAAAAAATCTATATAAAAATTTAAACGATTCTAACTAATCTACAGATGTAGAATAAAATATAATCTCAATCTAAAAAATTGTAAATTAGCCAGATGAAAAAACAAAATTCAATACGATTATGGAAGAACTAATTTAAAAAGAGCAGAATTTATAAAATAAGATATATTTATACTAATTTTGGGTTTAAAGACTTGAACGAAAATTCTCAAATGAGATTGAATTTAGATAAAAGGTTTCACTATAACTTTTATACACAATAAAATAAGGATAAGAAGGGAGAATAAAATATAATGAATTTAATTCCCTTGACTAAATTAAAAGTTAATTAAAATGCTTTAAAGAATTATCAAAATTCTATGATTTTTGATCAATTCAATTATATTTAATAAAAATCCAACCTTTTTATAAGAATTTTTTTAATCTCCAAAAAATTAAATAAGAATTATGCAGAACCTCTGAAGCTTAATTGTATAAAATATATTTATAAACATCTCATTATTCTGAAGATTATTGTTAAAACAATAATTATTATTATGACTGTGAGATTTTGTATTGGCAATCTTATTTTTTGCCCTAATCATAGATTGTATGTTCAGTTTCACAAATACCGCATAGAATTTTTCTATTTGGACTTAACCTTAAAGTTTTTTTGCAGACATTTGATTTATGACCAACTTCCTAGCAAGACTTGCAAATAACTGGTTTAACATTTATTTCGCTTTATTTAAATGTAGCTTATTCTTGTTTTAATTTGGAATAAAATCTTTCTGTAAATCTGAGTTCCTATGTTCTATCATTCAAGTCAAATAATTTGACATGTTGCATTTTGCATTCAGGTCCATCCTTACAGAATCCATAGACATAATCCATACATAATTTTCTTACTATGTGTTTTCTAAAAGGTTTGATACAATTTTAACTTATCACATGAAGAACCCAAATAACAAAATCCTTTGTCATAATCAGGACATGGCCAATATTTGTGTTCTAAAGTACATAAAAGCTTCATGCAAATATCTTTCTAAAATTCCATGCATAAGGGCTTGTCTTTAGGACCAGAAGGATTAAACATTTTTTGTGAAATCTAAAATAATTTAAATAGTATATTTAATCATTTCTTTTTCTTTACTTTCCTATCATTTAACGAGCCCAATAACATCCACATATTCTCATCATTCGGATAGCCAATTACTGGATACTCAGAATGTGATTCTTCCTTGATTTAAGGGAGTTGAGCTTGAATTAGAATTGATAATTACAAATTTATGGCAAAGATTACTTATGAGGCTACTGTGGAGGAAATAAGACATCAAGAGTTAATTTGAATGCATCATCTAGCATTCTAGGAATGTACATTTTTAATAATGGACTTGATTCTTCTATACATGGATTAGTATTGACCTCAATTAACCAAACTTCCTAATCAGAATCTAAGATGAAATCAAATCCAAAAATCTCAAAGCAATACTTTCGGTCTTCAAAATTAATCTTGCTGCGTACAGAATTAAAGACCATCCAAATTCTTTCTTTCATTTTATTTATAATCTGAAATTAATGATGAAATTTACATCCTAAACGTTGCAAGCAATATTCTATGATTTTAAATAATCCTAATAGTTCTTAAAGGATAGTTAATTACCATCCTCAAATTCTCCATAATTCTTCGAATACTTTTAAATAGCGTTGTTTGTTAAATGAACAAAGGTATTCTCAATATTATAGGTGAAATCTTCAGAAGACGTTCTAATATATCCTTCCTAAAAGAAATATGCATCCAACTCATGCGTTACTAATCCCCAAACCCTAATATCGAATTTTCTTTTATTAATCAAGGCTGGTCTTTCAATGTATTTTTAAATAACAAAAGAATGCGATTTTATAATACAAGGTCCTGACGGTTATTGCCGAATGTATTAATTTGGATCCTTCTTAGTTGTTCCTTATGCACTTTAAACCTGTTTAGGTGGATCTTCTTCTCCCGAGGATCCATCCTTCTGATTCAAAGTCTTTTCTTTCAACCCTTCCTAAAAATCAGACACCAACTTAACTAAAGTTTCTAAGTTATCAAATATTTAAATCCCTCTTCCTCTATTTAAAAAAGTAGGTTTTAATAACCACATATAAGGGGAATCTTCAGATAAAAATGTATTATTCATTTGAATTTTTTAAAACTAAGAGCTTGAATCTCTTTAGTAAGCATTAGTAAAATTTCCCCTTAATCTTCTCTTAACATCTAACATCTGTTTTGCGGTGGGCTTTTTGGGTGCAAATTGCTCGTAAGTCTTGAGGAATTAAGTGATATTAAAGTCGCAATTTTCATCACTGAAATCAATCACAAATGTTAAAGGGGTGTAATCAAACACGTTCAGTTTATGCTTCTAATAAATAAATATAAATACTTACTTCGCAGTATTAAGACAGATTTTTAATCAGATCAGATTTATTTGAAATTTCCTTGTGATGTTCAAAATGATTAACAAGTTATTTATAATTTTAACTAACTATCAATCTTTCGTATCTATAGCCTCTTTCGCTTTATTGCCATTTCAAATTTACAAACATTGAACTAGAGTCTGTTGTTTCTTTCCATTGGGTTCTTTTGGACATGACCCGTTTTACTAAAGCCTCATTATTGCCCCATCCAACAAAATACTATTTGATTTAAACTTATTTATTTACTTTTAAACAAAACTCTTGAGGAGCTGGTTTGAATTGATTTCTCTTTTTGGAAAAACTAGTTGATTTAGGATTCAATTTTTTAGTTACATTAGGTAATGACTCTTAATTTTATTATAATCTTTCCTTTGTTTTACTCTTTTTATGTTGTAGTTATTATTATATAAACTAAGGTTTTACTTACGGACTTTGAGACTTGCATTTTGTCTAAGTTTTATTGCGAGATTTTCTAATCTCCACATTGGTTGTTGATTCTTCAGACGGATTCATAAGTATAAATACTTGAAAACAATTAATTATTTATATAATTATATATCATAATTAAAGATGACACAATCCCCTTATTTTCATATTTAATAATAAAATTGTAGATTGTAATGAATATATAAAAATGTATTCAGTTTATTCAGGTAACTCATCCACCAATTTTCAGTTTCTTGAGACCCTCTAATTTCTAGACATTTCTTTAAATGATATCCCTAAAGTATTAATAGAGCAATTACCTCTTGAGAGATTCATTCCTTTGGATTGATCTTATAGTTTTACTAAATCCTTCAGACTATTTTTCCAGTAATTTATTTTGTAAAGTTATGCTTTAATTATATAATGAGTCTACATTAAATTCGTACATTGAATTTAAGGAATCATTAATTGATCTCGAGGATTTCTGTGATATCCCATCATTAAGATTCAAGTAAGATTGTTTATGAATTTTCTAAAGTATTTTTAAATTTAATTGTGAGGTACTATCCCTGCAGAAATAAGCAAAGATTTTCTCACTTTAGATTATATCTCTTTATCATGAAAAGGATCTTCAACTTGAAAATCTGTAATATATTTAATCAATTCTAAATCATTATTTATATATTGATTTTTTAAGTAGTTTTATTTAATAAATGGAACTATTTATTTGACATTCCTAAGACTATGCAAAGATTAAGATTGCTAATGAACTATATTTTTATATTAAGAGTTTTGGAATATTTTCTTTTTGGCTTTTTCATTTTGAATGAAATCTCTATTCTGTAATTCATCAATATATTCTTTTGCTTTTTAATTTATTTAAAGTTTGATAGCAGACACTTAAGTAGGAGGAACATATTTGTTTTTAGCTTCATTTTCATACGCAGCTGTTTTTTAATTTTGATATGGATTTTAGTGTTAAATTAATTTAATTTGGTTTCCATTAACAATGCTTTTTTAAATTGTTGGAGTTATTTTTTTTTCTGTATATCTCCTAGATATCAATTTGATATATTCATCACTTATATCATACATCTGCTTGATAACACTAACATTTTTCAATTCCCGACTTCTTTTTATAATATCTTCCTCTTCTTTTAATTTTATCTTATGTTCAATTAAATTTCTTAAAACAGCAACCTAGATTCAATCCTTGATTTTTTAGAGATTTCATCTGATTTGTCTTTCAGTAATTTGAGAAAACCAGATTGCTTAGGATTATCGTTCCCATGAATTTTATCTTTATCGATTCTGAAAAGTTAGAATTTTTTTGAAGAATTAGGTCTTTATCGAACAAGCAACTCTGATTAATTTTTACGTGTTAAAAACTCACAAGCTGATATTTCGCCTTTGATAAATTTTTCAAAATTGTCCCTTACTGAAGGACTGTTGTACACATTACTCCCACAAAAGATCGGAGCCTCTCTCAAAAAGGCAGGATCGATATGTTTATTTCTTTTCTTTTATCTAACGAGTCCTTCACCTAAGAAATTGCCAAACATAATGTTCCAATTCTTGAGTCTGTCATCTTTTTATTTTGGCTCATCCTATTCAGTCTTATGATCACTAAACTAAAATTTGTCCAATAAATACACAAGTAGTAGTTTAAGTTGGCTCCCTTCTTCTATATGCTAATCTTTTCATTAATTTAATTATGATTTTTAATCGAAGAATCTGGAAATTCGCATTTCATCCAACACCTCGATATTGTTTCTTTTAACCTCCACAATTTGATGTTAACAAAGACTACTACAAAATCCTAAATAGTTCGCCTACAGATCCAGAACAAAAAATAAAACAAGAATATTATAAATTAGCTAAGCAATATCACCCTGACATAAATAAAGGAAATGAAGAAAAATTTAAATAAATAAATGAAGCTTGGGATGTACTTAATCTCATTTATTATTAGGTTTTATCAGATAAGCATAAAAAATAATAATATGATTCAGCCAGATCCTATAGCAATAACACTAATGAAACTAATTCTAGAAATGCTAATGAGCATGGATAACAATACAACTATGAAGAATTTATTAGGAAATAAGGTCCAAATGGGTTTTATCAACAATATTCATATAGAAGTAATCACTTAAAATTTATTTAAGGTAGTAGTAATTCCTAACAATTTTCAAAAGAATAAATGGAGGAAATGCAAAAGTAAGCTTAAGAATTTATGAATATGTTCTAAAATGGTCAATTTAGTTAGTTCTCCTAAGCATTTCGACAAGCCACAAAAGGAGATCCTAAATTTAATAGGGTTCATACATTTATGAATTTTGCTGAGATGGCTGGAAAATTCTATCAGGATAGACAGCGATAACAAGTGGAAAATGAAGTTAAAAGATAACAAAATGTTTAATCTTTTGCAAATAAAGAAGAGAACCTTAAAGAATCCTTACAAAACATAAAAAGTGGAATTAAAGGTTTATGGGATTAATTTACTAAAAAATGAATTTATTTATTATATTAAACATCTATTGTTTAAAAATTATTTGTGTTTAGAAATCATAATTAGTAAATCTTATTAAAAGTCTTATGCTAATTTTAAAGAATTATCATTTTTTGTTGTGTTAAATCATAGCGCTTAAAAATAAATAAAATTAAGATTTAATATAAATTGATTAATTACAATCATTAATTACTTCGTTTTGTATCCATTTTAGAACTAAATGAGATTGACAAACTTTCTGAGTTTCTTTTATTTCTTGTTTGGCTAGCACTTCTTTTAAATTCTGTGTTCTCAATATTTATTAAACTTAAAATTGTATTGATTCCTTATGATGTTTTTTCTCCAATAGAAAAATAGTTTGACTTTGTGATTGAATTAGTTTCCCTTTATCTCCAACTTAAATTACTTCCATATATATGTTCTTTTAATACTCTTGATGATTTTAACCTACTTGCACTTCCTTAACTCTATCAAATATAAATATAAATTACATTGCTTAAGTCTGTGAATTAATTGACTTCCTTGAATTTACAAAAATTGGGAGCAATCATATCATTTTTTTTACACCTTAAACAGATCCTATGATCAAAAGGAGGGAAAATATCTTCATTTTATTAATCTGTTTGAACAGCATGATCATGTATTTATACTCTTCCAGAACTGCTATAATTTTAAACAGTTGAATTTTATTCCTAACTTGTATTGTTATCATCTTCTATAAAAATATGTTTATTTTATTTAATGACTCCTGTTGTCCTTTTTTGAGAATTAGACTCTTAGGAATCATCTAAGTCTTTTGAGAATTTAGCCACTTCTCTGTAAAAGCTTTGTTATATGGATGAGGCTGGAGAGTTAGTATAGCAATTAGGACTCTTGTGCTAACCTCTTGGGGGTTTTTAACTATTTCGATTTTATTAGAAATCCAATCTATTTTACAGTTGTAATTAGTCCTATAAATAGTTTACTTATTTATCGTATTATTTAACTAAATCTTAAATAATCTATTCATATTTTTATTAAGTTTGGACTATAGATTTATTAGATGATTCCTAAACTTATGACATTTTTTTCTAAAATGATTTTTCAGTTTCTTTGATTTACTAAAAGCTTACAGAAGAATTCAAAACATCCTTGACTTACTCTAATTCCTTTGCAAATTACAGAGACTTCTTATCATTCTCAATTTTGTATTACAATAAATCTTATTGTTTCTAAAATTCTAACTAATCAATTTATCTTTGTTAAAGCATGATCTCATGTTTTTGGTTGGAAATTGTCTATTATAGTGATGTGATTTGTGATTAATTTTCCTAAGTTTAATTTTTAAATTATTACTTCAACAATACAATTGTATTCCTATTGAATTTCATTGACTTATTATTCATATTAAGCAGAATTACTATCGAGTTCATCTTAAAGTTGTTAGATTAAAGTCTATTTTTCTAGTACGGCCTATTATATAAGATAAAATCATTACTCGTTCTAATTGTGAAGCCTAAATTTTCAGTTTATCAAACAATTAAGATTATTATTGGTACTAAACCTAAGTTTGTTCTAATGCTAGCTTAGTAACTTTGATTTCATTTAATTAATTAATTTCTTATTATTTCAATTACTCTTGTAACATATTGAGTTTCTGATTTAAAATTTGATTCTCACTCTTAAGAGTTGTTTCTTTTTCAATCAATTTATAGCTCTCTAACAGCTTTTCCTATTCTTAAATCTGAAACTTTTATTAAAATTCCTAAGACTATGTTAATGCTTTATTTAATCTATTTTCTGATTATAGTTTATATTCTTTGTATTCTTTTTGAATTTCATTGTATTTTATTTAATATTTAATTTCTTCATCTAATTCTTTAAAATCAGAATTTTATGTATTATTTAGTTCATAACTTTCTTTCAATTGCTTTTACAATGCATCATTAAGTTTCATTTATTTCTTAATTTCATTTTCTTGATTATGAATTGACTTTTATAGATCTTAAATTTAATTTCTTAATTATTGCAATTACTCATCTTATTCTTTCTATTTACCTGATAAATTTTAATTCTATTATGAAGTGTGATTTAATTCAGATTCTAATTGTTGGATTCTATTGGATTGAGATTTGGATAATTGAATATATTATTTGACTTCATCACTTTCATCATTTTTGGATTAGTATAAGATTGATTCTAATTCATTATTCTAATTATTGAGTCTTTCAATGATTGCTAAATGTTTTTCACATTGATCCTCTAATTTCACTCTGATATCATTTAATTCATTGAGATCATTTTTGTATTTTTGCAATTCCTTATATAGATTGGTGTTGCTCTTCTGGAGTTGTTTAATTTGATGAGTATACATTTATAATTGATTATTGTATACTTGATTCTCTTTTTCAACTTCAATACTGTTATTCAGAATATTCTTCATTTCATCTTGAAGTTGCAATTTTTCTTGATGTTTCTCATCAATCCTTAGTTTTACCTAGTTTTGGATCTACTTATTCTCCCTAATGATAATTTCATTTTCTTGTTTTACTTCATCAATTTCTTTCTGGTATTTGAAAATCTAATCTTATAAATCTTTAATTTCACATTCTTAATTATAAACCAATTGATCTAAGTAGTCAAAGACATAGTTCACTAAATTGCCATCTGATTTTGGTTATGGAATTCTAAATCTCTCTAATTGATTGAATATCAATTATTCTAGATCTCTCCATTATTCCCATAATGAATTCTTTTATAATTATTGAATGACTTGATTTTTCTCCTCCAATTATTGACTTAACATCAGATTTATTTTCTATTCATTTTTAAATAGACTATTTTAATATTCTTAATTGTTAAGTTTCTATTCTTGTAATTGTAAGATGATTCTATTATATTCACTCATGGACAATAACTTAAAGTCCATAGAGCCTAGATCCAATCTTTTATCCTTTAGAGCTAGCACTTGTTGTTCGACCTCTTGGAACACTTGAGCAGCAGCCTCAACCTCTTGAGATGACACTGTCTATTGACTAATATGATATAGGGCACTTATCAATACTTTTCAAACACGTTTTCAATTTCAAGAGTTATCTTTTGATTAAATTCAATTAATTTTCTTACGAAAGCCAACATTTCTTTGATTTGATCTTCATCTTGCTTTTATAATTTATTAATCTCTCTTGTTATGATTGTGGCCATTGATATTTTGGATTCCTTGAACCTTGCATTTTCCAAATCAATCTAATTGGAAATGTTAACCATCTCTTATTTGTAATGGCTTAACTTTTTACTATATTCTTTCAACTTCAATCTATTTTTATTATTGGTAAGTATTATTTAAGGGCCTGTGCTCTCCTCTTTCAAGAAGGACTCATTGACAGATGACTTATTTTAAACAGCACTGACTTCCCTGAAATCTCGTAATAATTGATCCATGAATTGAACCTTGCTCATTTTGAATTTGTATAATTATTAATTTGTTCGTTAATATATATAATTTGTAAATTACACTCCACCTCCAAAAAAGACAGTTCTTATCATGCAAGGTCAACAGGGAAAAGTGTACAAGAAAAAAAAGTCTCTCAAATCTACTTAAAAATTCTAAGAGATTGCCCCAATTTCTACACAAAGAACACTCAAGACAACCGACTAAATTTTATCGTAGCGAAGTCCCATTACAGGCACTACTAAATCTACAAAAAATACAATTGAAACCAAACGAACTATGTCCCCTGAAGAATTGAAATCTTCCAGAAAAAGTAATAAGCCATAAAAAAATTAGGAAGGCACAAAGAATCCCAATCAAAGCTCTCCCTTATTCACTGAAAAATAACAACGTCATAAAAAATAGTCACTACAATAATTTATTAAGGAAAAAAAATAATCTGAGGTGTTACAAGAAAGGCTTTTGTAATAGAAGATTCAGAATGATCAATAAAAGAAGTATTATTCAGAGTTTTATATGATTTTAGATTACTCAATCTCTAAAAATTGAAATTAAAAACTAAAAAAATATTTGGAAATGCTAAAAAAGCAAAGTAGAAAATGGTAATGAAAAATAAACTGAAAAAATATAAAATAAATGAAATTATTGAAAGGTTTCAAGAAATTTCCAAAAGATATGAAAAAATCTAAATTGATTAAATTTCCTAATTTTAATCCGAAGTAAATAAGCATTAGCAATCTTACAAAACCTAAACTGAAAATCAAATCTAAATGAAGATTATGGAAGAAGTCCAGAACGAATTTTATTAAAATTAAGCAGCCACATTAATATAACATCGATGGAAAGACCTTAAAAAGAATAAGGAAAAGCAGAATTATTCTTAAACTAAATTATAATAAATCAGCTTAGATTGGGAACCCAAATAACAAGTCTCATAATAAGTATCTCCTACCAATTTTGAGGATGGATTTCTTTTTAGCTAAGGAGGAGATAAATAAACTCTCATTTCAAACATTAGAAGTTCAACCCTGTCAGAAGAATCCTCACCTATTGTGAATTAATTAAACTAAGAATTTGAAAATTGGAATCTCTTTATCTAAAGAATAGTTTAAAATACAGATATTTCAAACATAAACAAATAGATGCAATAATAAATCATATCTATAATTTAAAATCATAAATTATTATCTGAAAATATTTCAGAAAGAAAAAGTGAAAACTAAATAAATTAAGAAAAAAGTACAACTAGTCATCAAAAGAAATTAAGTGAGGATCTTACTAAAAACAACGTGTTATAATTATAATAGCGAATATAATAAGAAGAAAACTTAATATCAAAGTACAGAGAAGAAGCCATATACCTCAGATACGATGTTGAATTAAAGTAAGTTGCAGAAAAACATCACTATATCCTTCAAGAATGGTTAAATAAAGAGTTAGAAGATTTAAAAAATACAAGAAAGGCTTTTGAGATTGGCCATATGAGAGAAATAACAACATTAAAAAAAATTCAAAGAGATATCCTCGTTGCATCAGCAGAACTCTCATCTGATCAATAATATAGTTTATAGATTTAATAGATCTAAGAATATATAGACGAATAATTCAATGGTTTAAAAGATAAACAACAGAATTATTAATCATAATAGGAAATCTAAAAGAATGTGGATTTGGTAACTACTGAAATCTTAAATGAAATGATGATAGACATATCTGAGGAAATGTTGAATAATAGAGAAGATCTTTATTTAATAATTTCAAACCTTATTGCGAATTAAGAATAAACACCTTGTGTTCCTACTTCCATGTCTGATATCTCATAATATATAGATAACCTCTTTAAATATATTTTGGAAAATTATAAGTAATCTTTAATTGAAAATTTGAATACTCCTTTTGGATTTACACCTAAGTAAAGATTGAAAATAATACATGGAAATGAAGACTGCGATTTTGATATTGACAATGATCATGAGGATTTCCAAACTTCAATTGCTTTTCCAATTGATGAAGGTATTTTTGTTGAATAAGAAAATAAAAGAATACCTGAAACTGACAATAACAACGATGAGGTAGAGTGTGCTATTCTAGAATTGCAACATATTCATAATAAAGCTATTTTTGATGCTTGCAATGAGGCTTTAAATAGTTATAGACCTTACTATTACAGTAATAATTTTAATTAAATCTTCTAGATTCTGGTATAAAATATCCATGGGAAAGAAGTAGTTTAAATTTATAGAGAATATCTAATGAAAACTTAGTATAAATATTGGAAAAAGTGAAATCGGTAGTATTAAAACAGAGTAAAGTTTTGTGTGGCTTTTATGAGCCAGAAGAATTCGAAAATGTTAAATAGGAGAAATAAGAAATAATAGATGAGAAAAATTTATTAATGCTCATGTAGTAGTTAAATTTAGTTGAAAACCCTTTGTTAGTGGATACAAATATCTAATTCGATAATTTGACTTTGATTAGAGATGAATAACTGTATAAATTACTTGTAGAGGATGTACAATATTAAAAATATTTTAGTTGAAATAATAGGAGTATAAGTGGAATTTGATTGAGGATGATAGAACTGAATATTTAATGGAAGTGAGTGATCAAATTTTAGAGTATCTGATAGAGGAATTCCAGAAAGAAATGTGATTATGTTTTTCCTCAATTGTTATGTATTAAAATAATGTGAAACTTTATGTGTCTAATTATAAATAAAAATAATAAAAATCCTTGTGATGTTAACAGAGGGCGTTTAGATAAATTCTGGACATTAAAGCATGATCCACGATATTAAATACGATTACTACGGTGACAAATTAGCAAGCTGTGGTAGTGATGGATATATTAATGTCTATGACGTGTCAAAAAAATAATAAGTTGCTTAAATTAAGACGTACATAAAATGAGTATTAAATATAGTCGTGATTCTCCTTTATTTTCAATATCTTGGTCGCATCCTAGATTTGGCAACGTGATAGCCACTTCATCTTATGATGGAGAAATATCAATATATAGAGAATAAAAGGAGTGGTCGAAAGTGGCGAGTTATTAGAATGAGGGCAGTGTTAATTGTGTTTAGTTTATGCCAAGAGAATTACTTTTGGCATGTGGCACATCAGATGGATTTGTGATATTATTAGATAATAACAAGAATTGGGATGTCGAAAATAAATGGTAAGCACATGAATCAACAATACATGGATTATGTTGGAACTAGGATGGTTCGTTATTGGCAACATGCAGCGCTGATAAATTGATTAAAATCTGGGAATTTACTAACAATAATAAACCTTAATTGAAATACACGATCCAATCTCATTTAGATGTAGTGAAGGATGTCCAATTTCATCCTTTAGAAAATATCCTTGTTTCAGGAGGAGATGTAAATATCTACATTAAATGTATAGGACGGGAAACTAATTGTCAATAGATTGGATAATAATAAGGTTGTTGAAATTCAAGATATCCAATATAATATGACTATATGGAGAGTATCATTCAATATGTTGGGAAATTTGTTGACTGTGAATGGAGAAAGTAATGGTTAGAGTCAAATTCAAACACTAAAACAAGAGAGTAATTTTTAATACGGTACAATTGATTGCTATTGATAATGTATAAATGAAAATGAAGTTATATCAACTTGTTAAATTCACATTTATATTTGCTTCCTTTGCTAATCTTAATATTGCTGCCATTCTAACAGCCTTCTTAGCAGCTTCGTCTAGATCTTCAGTAAATATCATGTTGAATCCTGATTCGTCAATCAATTTCTTTGCTTCCTCAACTTTTGTTCCCTTCATTCTCAACACCATTGGCTTTTTCATTCCTAAAACTGTCAATCCCTTTAGTAATCCCAAAACTATTTAATCACACCTTGAGAATAATAATTACAATTACCTTGCAATACCAGCAAAGATATTAACAAGAATGGCTTCAACATTAGGATCTTTATCCATAATTTTCAGTGCAGATACAATTTCCTAATCAGTGGCTTTACCACCAACATCCAAAAAGTTAGCAGGTGATCCTTCATATTATTTAATCAAATCCATTGTAGCCATAGCCAATCCTGCTCCATTAACCATACAACCTATGTTTCCATCTAAAGCAATATAATTCAATCCATGTTTCTATGCTTCTACTTCTTTCCAATCTTTTTATCTAACATCTTCCATGTGAAAGATAGCATGTTGTCTAAATTGTGAGTTATCATCGATGTTAAGTTTTTGATCACAAATAATCAAATTTCCTTACAAATCGATTCCAAGTGGATTTATCTCTAACAATGTGGCATCAGTTTATAAAAAGATATCGAACATTTTCTTCAAAATCTAAATATGAATATACTAGTACTTACATCTTTCATCTGATTATGCTATATGGGATTCAATTTATAGACTTTTGACACATTTTCATAAATGGAAAAGTCAATTTCATCTACATTGTTTGGCATTTCAATTGAGAATTTCTTGATATAATTAGGATCACTCTCCTCTATGTGTATGCCTCCCTTTTCTGAAGCCACAATCCCTAAGCCTCCTGTATTTCTGTCCAAGAGAATTGACAAATACAATTCTTTTCTTAGGAAATTTCTTTCGACTACGTAAACCATCTCACACTTCTTTCCCAAACTTCCTGTTTATTTGGTTATCAGAGTGTTTCCCAACATTTTACTAGCGTATTCCTTTACATCTTCAGGATTTGACACTATGTGAATTCCCTAAATAGATATTCACAGGTACACTATTAAATCCATTCTCTTTGAAATATCCTTTCCCTCTTCCACCAGTGTGACATTAAGCCTTCACAACCAAATCTGTGAAGGAATTTCTTTCTGATCCCTCTTGAATGATTTTTATAGCCGCCTTGTAAGCTTCATCTGGGGTCTTGCAAATCTTTCCAGGAGGGATGGGAAGTTAAAACGATTTGAAAAATTCTGCTGTTTAATACTCGTGGAGAGATAGGAAATATTTGGGTATGCGATGAAATCTAAACATTAAAGATATTGTTTATATTATATAATTTCATTACCACAATCTATTGTGCATATTTTCCAATTATTCTATATCTTTATTATTATTATCTAATTTTTACAAAATGTTATCAAATTAAGAATAGGATCCTTCAAATCCAGAATCATTCACATTTATTTCAAGTCTTCTCACCTCTAAAAACTATCTCAAATGAGCATTTTCACCTATTGTAGGTACCTTTATTAAATCAAGCAAATATTGCTATAGATTCACACATCTCACATTTGGATTTATCTACTATAATGCCGCAGTCGTCTTATATGGCAATTGAGGAAGTAAGGGATATCTAAAAATAGATCTCATACATTCTCATACCTCTATTTTAAAATACTATGAAGTTCATCAAATTGACTGAATCTCTTCCAAATTAAGTGCTTTGAATCCCCTGACCCTATGACAAATGAGTATCTAATGAATTTCTCACCATCCTTTCCCACAACCTCCTCAAATCCTGTATTTTTAATGTGTAATTTGATTATCAATTCACTCTCCTTAATCACTTTTGCTTATAGGTTTTTAACTTGATCTTCAATAGATTGATACATTCCTATGAATTTGAATAGCGCAGAAACGTGATATTAACGGTCATTCAACAATACTTTCATAAAGATCTCTAAGTCCTACTTTCTCTCCTCTATTTCTTCATTTGACATCTTAATTAATGACTTTTGAGGGAAAGGAGGAAAGTTCTTGATATCAATGATATTTTTCATAAGTTCACTAAACTCATAAAATTCTTTAAATCTTTTTTAAACAATTAGAGTTTCATCCTCAAATTATGTCATCAATGTATATTGTACATAGGTTTCTGTAAGATTTTTAATTGTTTGAAATTCTGTAATTCGAACATCTAAATATGGCAAATATTATGATTGGATATCCCATTTATATTTCTTATTTGGTTAATTCTTACGGACTATCATTGAGGATTTATGCAAGTTTTAGGAATGATTTGCTAATTTCATTTCTTCAATTAACATTTTCTCTGTATGTTGCAATTATATGAATTCAACAAAAGAAGGTGTAATCAATTCCAACTTGCTTACGATAAAGTTAAAGTATTTCTGAATTTAATTAATTAGCAATAAGTCCTAGCTTTCTTGCATCTACTTCATTAGGAAATTGACTTATAATAAATCATTAGAATGTTGCTCAAAGTAGTCATTATTCTCGAATATATATTATTAATGATGATAGAAGATTTCAGATGTCCTCTTTTTTAATTTGTATTGTTTATCAGCCCCAACGATTATGCTTTAAATGATAATTAACAATTAATTACATATCAAGTTTAACTTCAATATCATCATCTACTATATTCCATTACTTCTTGACATCTATTTTTAATAGAAAGGAACTTTGGGAATCTAAATTAAGTATCTAATGTACTATTCACTGTTGATGTTCTGTGTCTTTGAGATTCTGATAAATCTATCATCGGTAATTCACTCCTCCAAAAACCCAAGGTTTCAAATTCCGCTATATCCTATCGTCTAATGAAGAGAGTAAAGATGATAAGTATGGTATAATCAAGAACTCGAAACACAAGCAAAGTGTATTCAAATATCTTCCCATGCTAGAGTAATTAGTGAAAATACTACATAGAAAATGAGTAATGTAAGTGTAATACTTAAAAACAACCAATTTAAGACCCAATATATTTTGTGAGCAAAGAACATAGGCACTTATTTCTTGTATTCATATGTCTAAAATTAAATGAATCATACCATTAAAATAATTTGCATGATAATTGCTGAAATGTTTACAAAGAGTACTCCAGAGATGTAATAATATTTTTCGTCGCCTTTAAATATCATTAGAATAAATTCAACGAATTCAGCAGCTCTGAGTAGTTAATAAATTTACTAATATCTAAAGTTAATAGCGTAATCCGCAAAATGATTGAGTAATTATAAGGGAGTGGTTAAGCTTGAATATTGGATCGCAAATCAAAGAATCTTGCTGCCATTCCTATAATATAGAGAACACTGATTGATGCTGGAAGCAAATAACTAAATACAATTAAAGCCTTCAAAATTGGCATTTAATATTAAATATTTCTTTTGCAATTATTTAAAAATTAAATTATCTAATTTATGCTATCCACAGCTGCAGGTTTCCAATCGATGCTCAAAGAAGTATGATAAAAAGTATTAACCTTTCTCAGGGTGCTCGCCATTATCAAGGATTAGAAGAAGCCATCCTAAAAAACATTTAAGCATGCAAAGAAATCTCTAACATGACTAAAACTTCATTGGGTCCAAATGGAATGAAAAAAATGGTTGTGAATCACATTGATAAAATATTTGTAACGAGTGATGCAGCAACAATCCTCAAAGAAATGGAAATCCAACATCCTGCCGCCAAGATGATCCTAATGGCAGCCAAAATGCAAGAGACTGAATAAGGTGATGCTACAAATTTTGTTATTACTCTAGCTGGAGAGTTATTGTAATAAGCTGAAAGTTTAATTAAACTAGGATTGCATCCAAGGTAATACTAATAATTCATTCATTTAGCTAAATTGTGGTTGGGTATGAGACAGCATTGAAAAAGGCATTGGACTTACTAGACGAACAAAAGGTATGGGAAATAACTGATGTTGCTGATGAATAATAAGTCTTTTAAGCTATTAGAACCTCTTTGAGTAGTAAATTATCAGAGTAAATTCCTAAATATAAATTATAGCTATTCCAATCTGATTGCTGGTCTAGTAGCCAAGGCATGTATTAGATGTTTGCCAAGAGAAAAGTCTAACTTTGATTCTGAATATGTTAGAGTCACCAAAATCTTGGGAGGATCTGTTTTGGACAGTCATGTGTTATCTGGATTGATTGTGACTAGAAATGTGGAAGGACAAATCAACAGATTGGAGAATCCTAAAATTTGTGTATTTAATGCACCATTAGATCCATAATAATCAGAAACCAAAGGAACTGTTCTAATCAAGAATGCCACAGAATTAAAGAACTACACAAAGACTGAAGAAGATCTTGCTGAAAAGATAGTCAAGAGCATTGCTGATGCTGGAGTTAACCTCATTGTTGCCGGAGGAAGTATATCAGAAATAGTATTGCACTTTGTTGAAAAATATAAAATGATGATTGTGAAGGTTTAATCCAAATTCGAATTAAAACGATTGTGCAAAGCAGTTGGAGCTAGTGCATTATCAACATTGTCTGCACCTATGCCAGATGAATTAGGAACATGTGATAGAGTCCATGTACAAGAAATTGGAAGTCAAAAAGTTACTATCTTTGAAAAGCAAAGTGACACTTGCAAATTAGCAACTATTGTTTTAAGAGGAGCAACCCAAAATCTCTTAGAAGACATTGAAAGAGCCATTGATGATGGAGTTAGTTGCTATAGATCATTGATTAAAGATTCAAGATTTGTTTATGGTGGAGGAGCTACAGAAATTGTACTATTCATATATCTATCATATTTAGAAATTGGCTTAGCAATTAGAATAAGAAGCAAACAAGATTAAATCTATAGATCAATATGCTTATAGACAATATGCCTAAGCTTTTGAAATCATTCCCAGAATCTTAATTGATAATGCTGGTCTTGCTCAAAATGAAATGATGGCTTAATTACACAAATTGAATTCTGAGAAACCTCATTCATTAAACATTTCTGTATATATCCTCATCTTATCTAGAATGGAACCTTAACTGCCTCAAGTGAATTAAAAGTGTTTGATCATCTTAAAACTAAATGGTGGGCTATCAAATTAGCAACGGATGCTGCCATCACCATCTTGAGAGTGGATTAAGTATCTTTTATTCATTATTTAATAGATCATTATTGCTAAACCGGCTGGAGGACCAAAAATGCCAGATAGAGGACATTGGGATGATTAAGATTGAATGTGATCAAATAATAAATCATAAAATCGATATTGTCAATCATTTTCTTCTATTTTTATATTCATTATTATGATAGTTTGAGTTTTTGAATTATAAGTATAGAATAGCTAATTGTTAAATATTTATTTCTTCTGCATATAGATTTAAAAGCTATGAAGAAAATTAAATGTTATCTTTAATTATCTTGTTTCAATTATTAATTGTTTTTTAAAAGGTCTCAACTTTTAAAGTATTAAACCAAGGAAATGTATCTGAAAAATATACTTAAATAGAGATCAATATACTTTAGTTATTTTTAGATAAGTGATTGTTTCTTAATACATTAACCTAAAAATAATAGAAAATGCAAATGATTACCAACCTAACACTACTTCCATTTTTCATTTTTCTTATGTAAATATTAACTGAAATCATTTTCTAGTTTAAATCTAAAATCAGAAGAATAAATGAATGAATTTTAATTGGCTTAATTCAAAAAGTTATCCCTATTGATATATCAATGGTGATTAATTAGTTGTGATTAATTAAAATCTCTTTTTATTATTTTTTCGAATGAGTACAAAAATCCATTAAAGAATTCTCACTTTCATCAAAAAATACAAGGATGAGTAAATGCTTCATATTTAATTTAAGATTGAGCTCATCTACAGGAATTGATGAATTTGCAGATTTATTGAATGAATGCTTTACTTCATTCGAATAAGATTCGTCAAGGAGATAGAAAGTGAATTTAATGCTTGAGAATCTTGTTTTAGATGATGATAGCAAACTTGTGGAAGGAGGTAAGAAAATGAATTATTAAAAGATTTATAAAAATATGTGGAGAGATTAATTGATTTCGTTGAAGGACATAGTGATGATCCATTAGAAAAAAACAATCTTAAACAAAGAAGCTCCTCAGGTAGTTCAGATGAGGATGATAACAGAGGTCACAATAGATAATAAAACAAACACAAAAGAGATAGAAGCAGAGATAGGGAAAAGAATAAAAAATCAAAAAAAAATTAGAAGAATACAAACATATTATCAGATTTATAAAAAGCATTAGGAAAAGAGATGAATATCAAGGATTTACTGTCTTCACTAACCAATAATAATAATCGTAAATAATAACACAATAATAATAATAAAAATGTTGTCTTTTTACAAAATGTCCCCAGAGAAATGAGATCATACACAGAAATTGAATCATTGCTCTAAGGAAGAGGAGACTTAATTAGAATTCAATTATTAGGAAGGTAATTATTAGATTTAATTATAGAGTACCATCTGTCTAATTTAAGAATCATAGTGACGCCTAAGCTTTAATAGATAAATTTATAGTTCACAAAGGAGTTAAAATTGAGTTTACTCAAAGCTTAAATAAAGTATTTAAATATCTTATAAAATAGCAGCAACACTAAGATGATAATAAGAATAATAAGATTATTGTATTAGACAAAGAAGGAAAAAAAGTATCAAACCAATCTAGTTAACCAGCAGCACCTCTTTAATAAAACTAATAACAACAATAATAATAATAATAATAGGTTCAATAAAAATCAGACACAAAAATGGAAGAAGAAAATGACCAAAAAAAAACCAAAGAAGAACAAGAATTAAATAATCAAATTGAATAAATTAAAGGGCAAGCCAAAACACTAGTCGTAGATAAATTGAGATTAGCTTTCTTGCTAAATAAGAGGAAAGACAATTATCCACCATAACTAAGTGCTGAAATTGAAGAATTAAAAAAGTAACAAATAAATTAATCATAGATTATTAACCTAGAAAAAGGAGGAAATATCAAAAATGAATTCTTTAGAATAACTCAAAACAGAATTACAATGGCTAAACGAGAATTACGATTACACCTTATTAATTTCTCAAATACCAGAATAATTATTTAAAGAAAAGACTGTTACAAAGGTTCTAAATGAAGAATTCCAAGTAATCATTCAAATAATATCCTTAGAAATACGGAAAAATAGACAATTTACAAATCAAAATCAAAGATAAAGCTGCTCATCTTAAATTCTTCAGTTTTGATTCTGCAGAAAAAGTATTGTATTTTTATATTAAATAGGCCTATTATTAAGCTAATGAAAATTCGAATTTCAAGGTTGAGTTTTTAAATTAAGGAATTAAAAAGGTACTAATAGCCCAAAGCTGAAAGATTTATAAATCATCATATTTAATGTAAATAAATCATATTTTTCTATTAAATATAAATTATGGATTTTTTTCGAGGACATATTAAATACAAAGATGACCATAAATCATAATTTTTCTTAAAAACTTATATATTTGGTTTCTCTTTACTCAAAAATATATTATTTAGAAGGACTTAATTTAATTTTCATTTTTTAAAGCACTATAATTGAATTTTTATTTAAATTTTCTCAAAAATATGGTTCCTTTGCAAAAGAAATATTATAGAATCATTAAACTAAATAAATTGCATTTTAAGTCTGCTTATTCTTGAACTAAAATTAGTATTTTGTTATCTTATTCAGTAAGATAACTCGGAATATATAAATTTAAATCACAAAACTAATGGTTAAATTCTTAAAATCATAAAAGTGAATAAAAATTCTAAAAAGTTTAAAATCTGTTTTTAAAAAATATCAAGTTGAAATAATCTATTAATCTAATCTGATATACATAATGCTGTTCTCTATATTTTAATTTAATATTTAATTTCATAAAATAAATATTCATATTAATGATGAATCGTTATTCCTTGTTTTTTAAAGATAATCATTTAGAAGATTCCTATCAAAAATATTTGCTAGAGATAAATAGAAAACCTCTTTTAAAAAGATTAATTATATCCACCACAATTGTTGAAATCTCCGACCTATTATAAATTATTGCGTCAGGCGAATATGAGGTATTAACTTTAAATTATGCATTTGTGCATTACTTATTTGAAATTATTCTAAATTTAATCCTAATCTTAATATTTAGATATTATCCTAAATATATTGGGAAAAGCCTTTTATTTTATAATCATTTTTTTGTCACTGCTTTTGTAGTAATTGAATATTAGGATGCAATGTATTCAATAAATTATTAAAAGATAATCTAGATAGGCATTATAGGATCATAATTTATAATAATTTTGTAATCTGACTTTATAGAGGCTGCTTACTAAGCAAGTATTTTCCCTTCAATATACTTATTTATTTGGTCATATAAGCAGGAATAGATTTATTATGCAGGCATTGTGGCAGTGGTGTTATCAGTATTGGTCTTTTTATAATGTTTATATGAGCATTAAGTTGCTTTAAGATCTCAATTTTAATTGGGTTTTATTGATAATCAATGGGAAAAGATATTTACCTAATTAATTGGTGAATAATATTTAATATTTTATTTTGATAATGGAACATTTAGTTTCTAATTGTCTAATTCAAAAAATTACATTTACAAAATTGATACAACTTAATAGCTAAAATTCTATTTGAGGGCTATCAAATTAAGTAAAACATAAAACTTTGAGTAATATTGTTTTGAATAGATTTAAAGTCATAAAAATTTTTCTTAAGATGATCTTAAATAAAATCTGACTATCCTATTTTAAGGTAAAACTCAAATAATTCAATATTCAATTTTTTATAGTGTTCGACCTCTTATACTTTTATAAGTTATTTCCAAAGATAAGCATATCAATGAGACATAAATATAGATTGACAAAAAGATAAATTTGGATTCAAATTATTAATTTAAATATAAAAAGTTTATTTATTTGTTATACTAACCTCTTAAAAAGAAGAATAATGATATATCTGCATCCCTTAATTGTTTATCAAAAATTAGAAAAATTTGTCTATATGCAAATTTATAAGAATATATCACCCCTCATAGCATTTTATCAGTATAAATTTTCAAATTAGATTACTTATTCCAAAAAATAAATTTTATCTACTCAGATTACGACATATAAATTGATAATAAAATCAATTTAATTACGAACAATAAAGAACTGTTATTAATGTTATTTATTGAGATAATAGAAAAAACAATATCGAAACATTTGAAGATATCTACAATATTTTTAGAAAATTAGTAAGTATTAATCAAATTTACCTGCTATTATTCTAAAAAGTCTTTAGATAAGTTAATGCAGAGAATACGCCTTTACTCAAATTTTTTAAATAGCATAGAGTTTGATGTTCAATGTAAGAATAAAAAATTATTTTAGTTATTGGGCTCTATATTAGAAATATATCTTTAGATATAGGAAATAATTTTTCTTTTCTTCCATCCAATAAAAACTAATTATTTTAAAATTTATTAAATACTGATCGATGAGACATTTGCTTTTGAGTTCATAATTATTTTATATTAGAAATACTATTTTATTAAGCTAATAAAACATCCAATTGTTATAGGATTATTAAAATTAAGCATTAATATGGTTCTAAAAAATTTGTTTTTAGAATTGATAAATTTTCAGATTCTGGAAATTTATTTTTTGTAAAATTGCATTATATTAATATAATTTATAAATAATAATTACAATGAATGAAACATATTAAAGTCTGGTTTAATAATATATTGAAAAATTGAAAAAGGTGCTTCCCTAAAAAGGAAATTATTACAAAGAGACCCTTTCAAAATTCTATGGATAAGACAAATCGTATTTCGGAGATCACATTATTGCTTTTAAATAGGGAATGCAAATCAAGTAAAGTAAAATTAAAGAATTAACTTTAACAACACTAATTGTATAATTTAATTACATTTTAGAACATAGTATCAAAAGGGTATATTGATGGATAATTAATTGATAATACATAAAACTTTTAATATTTTGAGACAATAGAAATAACAGATGCTACAGGGAAAAAAAAAGAATAATCGATTAATGTGATAGAATCACTAATACTTCTAGTATAATAATGCTTGGTCGAGAAGGATGAAATAATTTCATTAGCATTAAAATTATTGATATCACTTGTAACAAATCCATTTTGTAATATGTAATAACATGAGCTAACAAAAATAATTAAAACCGTTGTGTATATTTATGCACAGTCAAAGTCTTAAAATATTGATAGATTATGCAAAAGCATTTTCTTATAGATAATTTTAATAACATTTTAAGGAACTAATTGTGAAAGCATTGTGAAAATTACAATGGATAATATTATAAATAAAGTTTCTGATAAAAAATTATGCTAGTATTGTGGAAAACAAGGTAAGTTTGAATGTAGACAGTAGAAAGTAACAGTTTGTTCTTATGGATGCAAGAAGAATATTTAAGAGACCCTAGAATTATAATAAAAAAATTATGAAAATGCATAAAATGTCTTTGATTTGTTAATTAGACTTTTATCTCCAAAGCAGTAATTTTAATAGTAAAGAAATTAAATAATTTTACTAGAGGGAATTTATTTCATATGCGATAATTATGATTTCTCTGTGGAGAGTAAAAGCTTAAATAATTTAAGTTCAGACTTGTTAAAATTTTGTTTATAAAACGAATACTAATTATACTCATTAAGTTTTAAAATCTTTTAAAGATTAGCATTTAGTAAACATAAAGAAATGATTAATTAAATAAATATCTTTATTAATCAAATTTATCTCAGTGTTCTCGAAAACAAAAACACTACTGATTAACATAAGTAAACAACTTTAGAATCGTTGTTGAATATATTTCAAAGAAAGCACGCCTCTCTTGAGTTCTATTTGAATTATGATTGCAGCATAAAGCATGAATTCTTAATGGAAAATATTATTAATGCATTACACACTATCTTCTAACAAAATGAATAATTCCGTCCATTGATTACACAAATATATTAAGCAATAATTGTAGGCATAGAATAAACCTTTAATGAAAAAGCTATTAGTAATTCATAGTAGGAGTAATAATAGCCTTAGGACATTGATGAAACTGTATTTATAAACTAATTAGAAATGCAAAGACAATAAAAGTAAGAAATATAAAAAGGAGTAGAACTTTTTAAAAAGAATCCTGAGAAGGGAGTTTCATTTTTTTTAAAGGCAAATATAATATAAGATGATCCAACTTCAATTGCAAAATTTTTATTGGAGAATAAAAGTTTACCAAAGGAATCTGTAGGTTAATATCTTGGTGGCCATCATCCAATCAATATCTAAGTGTTGAGAGATTACACTAATTTTTTAACATTTCATAATTTGTCAGTTGAATAAGCCTTAAGACAATACTTGGATTTGTTTACTTTACCACCTGAATCATAGTAGATTGATAGAGTTGTCTAGAAATTTGCAGATAAATTCTACGAGGACAACCAAAACAATTAGAATTTTCACTTTAAGTCTAGCAGTAGCATTTATACTTTCACATATCTCTTAGTCATGTTATAAACAGATTTACACAATCCTAAGGTCGTTGAAAAAATGAAATTAACTGATTTCACAAAGTTGGCAAGACAAATAAATGATGGTGAAGATTTGCCTTTGGAATATCTAACGATTACTTATAATTCAATTTAAAAGAATCCACTTGCTGTTAGGGAATCAAATACATCAATGAATCCACTAACTCCCAACTAATATTAAAATTAAATGGAAGAACTCTTAAAGAAGATTAAAGATTTAATCAAGAGATAATCAGATTCTAACTATATATAAATAGATCAAGAAACTATATTATTATCAAAGGGTTTGCTAGAATCCTTTTCAGGCAAATTCTTAGAAATTCTTTTAGTAACTTTTGAAACTACCCCTAATGGCGATGCATTAATCAAAAGTATCCTATAATTAATTAGGTTGTCCTCAAAGTTATAAATGAAAATAGAAAATCTAGTTTAAGATGTTGTAAAGGTTGGCTTGAATAGTTTAAAAAAAGGAAATGGTATGTTAATGATTGGCTTATTGTCTATAATTCCAATAATTGGTAATTCCTTGCATGAATAAGGATGGAAATGTGTATTAGAAGCAGTAAGTTTAATGGATGAATTAAGATAATTAGATTCTGATCACACAGATAAAGTCTTTATGAGTTCAAAAGATTTAGATAACTTATCTATTGAGGAATTTATTATTCAACTATGCTAATTATCAAAATAAGAAATCTTTAATAAGCATCGTATATATTCTTTACAAAAGCTTGTTGAAGTTAGTGATTACAATATGGATAGAGTCAAAGTCATATGGAATAGATTATGGTCTATTGTAGGTTAACATATTTAAGAAGCAGTTGCATTTAGAGTTAAATCAATCACTATTTTCGCTGTCGATTCTTTAAAATAACTTAACATTAAATTCTTATAGAAAGAAGAATTGTACAATATTCAATTTTAAAGAGAGGTCTTGAAGCCATTTGAAATAATATATTTAAATAGTGATGCAGATGAAAAAGAATTTGTACTGCTATGTGTTAAGTAAATCCTTTAAAATAGTAAGACCTACATTAAAAGTGGATATAAGGTAATATTTAATCTTATTAATCTTGGATTGAAAGAGGAAAATGACACAATATCTAAGTTAGCATTTGATCTCTTAAAATTTATAGAAATATAAGAAATGATACTGATCGATTTGATTCAAACCTATTAGATCTTAGGTAAAAAGGATAATGAATATATGGCAATAAATTCAATAGAATTTGTAAAGCAATGCTAACGTTTTATGGTAACATAAGAGTAATAAACGTTATAAGTTCCTCTATTAGGAATCTTATCAAATTTGGCAGGTGATAAACGAATTCAAATTTAAACTTAAGCTGTTGAAACATTATTTTACATCTTAGAAGAGAAAGGCAGTTTATTCAATGAAGAGTACTGGATAATGATTTTTTCTTCTGTATTAAGACCTATATTTGATGAAATTTAATTTACTTTAAGTACAAGTCCAGAGCTCAATTAATATTGGTTTAAGGATAGTTGCCAAAAGGTATTTCAAAATATTTCAAGCTTAATAAAGAAACATTACACTAAATTGAAAGGATAATTGGCAGATTTCTTAAAATTATTTTAAAATTGCATTCAAAATTAAAATGAAAAATTAGCACAATTAAGTATTTGGGCTTTTAAAACTATGATTATTGATAAAGGACTATAATTTGATCAAAAAGATTGGGAATAGATATTGTTATTTATTTAATAAATGCTAAGATATACAATACCAACTAAACTTAAAGATATTGATTAAACAACGATTAAATAAGAATAGTAGTTCAATGGCATATTGAAGAAACAGAAATCATTTTAGAGTATCACGAATGATATCATTAATGAATGCTATAGTTAGTGTGCTTCCTAATTACTATTAATTTAAACCAGTAAGGATATATGTGAACTTTATCATTAGAATTGGAATTTAAATTAATTGGACAATTTAGAGAAGACCTTTTACGAATCATATCAATTTGCCAAAGACTTTAATCAATAAATAGAATTAAGGTATAATATTTGGAGATCTGGATTTATGTAGGAAATGAGTGTTTTACCTGGTTTGCTCAGATAAGAAAGAGAGGCATTTTCTTGTATGATTATGATAATACAATTTAAAATGAAGATGTTAAAATAAGAATAGTAATAATAATAAAAACAAGAGTAAAATGAACAATAATCATAAGAATAATAGATAAAGGAATAATAACTGAGAGAACAATATTAGATAGATTTAAATAAATATTTATAGATTTTGTTAGACTCTATTAAGTAATTTAATTCTAAGCACATTTAATTTGTGAATCAATAATAGGAAGTTGTTGATGATAATCCACTTATTAAAATAAAATAATAAGAGACAGAAAGGGAAATGACGAATCTCAGAACTCTGTTGGATGTTTCTATTTTGCCGAAAATTCTATTGCTGTGTGATGAGGAGGTAGTATAATTTATTAATTTAGATTAAAATAAAATTAAGTGAATTTTATGAATAATTACTGAATGCATGTAGTTATGTCAGTGAATACTGTATTTTATAAATGAGCTGTTAAGAGTGTAAGAAATGTGGTAGATGCTTGAGTTAATAGAAAAATAATTTATTTTTTCAAATTAAGAAATGCTTACTAAAATTGTTTGAGTTAAAATGATTATATATTATTTTAAAATGGATTAAATATTTATTTCTGGTATTGCAGGAGGCTCAGCTGGAATCATTACAGATTTCATCTTTTTTCCTATTGAAACAATCAAGACTAGAATCTAAGCATCCAATAATAAAATTGATTATTTCAAAACAGCAGCCAAAGTAAATAAATACAGAGGAGTATAGCCATCTTATGTATTATTTGAAGCTTTTGTCATAAATCACAGTCTCCTTCCCATCAGCGTTTATATTTTTCTCCACTTATGATACATCCAAAAATTATGGCTGTTCACATATGTTGGCTGGAGCATTAGGCGAATTTGTTACAAATATTTTCAGAAACCCTTTTGAAGTTGTCAAAAATCAAATGCAAGTAGGATTGGACGGAAACGTAAGAGATACCTTAAGATCAATCTATAATGGATAAGGATTCCGTGGTTTTTATGCAGGATTCACAACCATAATAATGAGAGAAATACCATTTAGTGCAATTCAATTTCCTATATATGAAAATATGAAGATGCATTTTGGAAATGATGGATTTGCAGATCATGCATTGAATGGTGCAGTGGCAGGTGGGACAGCAGCCTTTTTAACAACTCCTTGCGATGTTGTAAAATCAAAATTAATGACACAAAGGAATTAATTTTATGATTCATTAACAGGCTGTATAAAGTCGATTTATGAGACAGAGGGAATTTTAGGCTTTTTTAGAGCTGCGCATATAAGAACAATGTAGATCTCAGTATCTGGAATTGTATTTTTTAGTGCATATGAAAGATGTAAATTTTATATTTCATCATTCAATAATAGATCATGATTATAGCTTTTTATTGAGATATTCTAATAGTGAATAAGAATTTAGGACATTTTCCAATCTATCTACAAAAGAAATATGTTTTCCATGTATTATTCTGTATGTCTTGCTGTCTTCTACTGTAAGTTTCTCTTTTATAACTTGAAATCCTCCATTTTGTAAGATTTATGGTAAATGATATTCACTACTCATTTTATTCTAAAGTGCATATTTCCTTGAGTGTTTGCCCTTAACTTATATTTCAAGTTTGTCCCATGTTTCCTTTGAAATCGATAGAAACATTCCTTGCTCAGTATTCGTATGTGCATCATAAATCTAAATTCTTATTCCTATTGGTTTATCTTGGATTCCCAAATAAGACATTGTGAGTGGTATTTTATACAAACTGTTTTGATTGGCTAACTTCATTTTAATGATTACTTAAAAACATTCTGCAATTACATTCACAAGACAAATCAACTGGCATGATAGCATTCTCTTTAAATCTTTCATAATCATCTGCATCCAATTCCTTTGTAAAAGTTAGCACTGTGTAGAAGTTGCACAAAATATTGCATATCAAAGGATAATCTACTTGATCTAGACTACTAACATTTAATCCCAATTTCTAACATACATTATCATACTAAATTTATGTATGCCCCATTGCTTTGACTTTTGATTGTCTTGGACCTACTATTAATTCTATTCTTACCATATGTCTCAAATGTGTTGCTTAAAAACAACTCAAAACATTGCTCTCTTGAATTATCAGCTATAAATATAATTCTTTAAAAAGTATTTTTATCCCATATTTTTAATAAACACATTTAAACTTTTGCCTAGCTTTTATTTGGCATTGTTATTTATGTTCCACTCAATATTTTATTTATTTATGAAAATTTTTGAACATTAAAAATTCTATATAATAGTTCTTCTAAATCATTTACCAATTTTTTATAAGAAAGAAGTCAATTTTTATTAGTTTTTAACAATATAACTTCGAATATTGTAAACCTTATGTTTTGGCTTGACTGTATCATTCGATTTTTCTAAGTTATCTTATATCCTTATCATTTCCTAAACTTCCTCTCTTTCATAATCATCTTAGCCATAAATATCAAATAATTAATCTAAAGAGCTTTGATCGAATTATAAATCTATAGCAACTGTATTTAATATTAATCGAAATATTCCATCCTCTAAGGGATACAACAATGGAATGCATTATTCGTCACACAATTAAATCTTTTCACAATCATTTAATAAACTTTATGGCTATGCATATATTGATATTTTTTATTCTCCTTCATCATCTTTTATTGATATGAATGGGATTATCAAATATTAGATAAATTACTTAAAGGTTGTAATGCATTTCAGTTGCTAAGTATAGGGCAATACATTCTTATAATCTATGAATTATATTAAATCCTTTATTATTGATAACTCAACATATTCGATTTTAGCAGTTGAATGTTCTTTTTTGGTATTTAAAGAAATCTTAATAGATAATTCTTTGTTTTTCTACACAACACCGCAAGATATTTCATATAACACATTTTCAATCAAAGCCTTTTTTACAATTGTTTGATCTGTTGTTAAATTAATGCTATATTATTTAGATTGATCCATCTCTAAATTAATTTAATAATTTATTACAATCTAATATTGTTAAATTCAAATCTAATGTGAAATCTGTATCATTTATCATAGATATACTATTAATTTTAGGTTCATCTGGATCTACTAATCCATTAATTAAGTTATGGATATCAATGGTACTTTGTCTTTCTTATTTTTTTATTTGTAAATTCTAAATTTTTTAAGATTAATTTGAAGCAACACCAAAGCTCATTCTTTCTTACATTATAGCAGCTTAGGAATCAGAACTTTATTGTTATTAGGTTGAAATTTATGAATATTATTATTGCTATTATTATTATTGTTATTATTATTATAATTGTTATTATTATTATTATTGCTATTGTTGTTGTTATTGTTATTATTGTTGCTATTATAACTATTTCATCTTTTCTTATGCTGTCTCTTGTTCCTAGAGTCTGAATTTTATTTTTGAAGCTTCTGCACTTAATGAAGTTATTTTATCTTTTAATTCTTCAATTTCAACTTCTCTCTCCTTTCTTTAATTCTAAACTCTTTTATTTTCTTTTGTTAATTCATCAATTTTTTTTTCTAGCTCAACAATTTTTGGTTCTTATTTCTTTTAACTTTAAGATTTCATAAAAGTATCTATTTTCCTTTATATTATTGATTCAAGATCATTCTAAGGTTATACTTACTGGCTTTAAATTAACTAATAAATTCAATAAACTTTTACCTTAGGAGATTGGATTCTAAAACTTCCTTTTTGAATGTTAGTCTGTTAGATTTTTTACAGTTGAATTTGTTCATGTCTTTATGACTAGGGCTTGACTGAATCAGGACGTTTAAAAGTTTTAAATCCTTAAGCTTCACTTATAGATCTTTCAATATGTCTTGGATTTTTAAAAAGAGGAGCTTTCCCATTTTTTAACGACTTAAGTAACTAGTGTACTTGGATACAAATTTTTTAGGTATTCAATATTTTGCCTATTGTTTTTTTCTAATTTATTGATTTTATTTGATACCATAGGAATAAAGTTATTCATACTTTTTTTCATATTCGATCCTCTTTCGCTAAATAAAAATAGCTTTGTAATATGATGTGATGGTCCCAAATACTTTCGACCAAGTTTGGCTCCATTTATAAAAAATTATTAAAAATCTAAATCTTAACAAAATCCAAGAACCTATAAATTTTGCACTGTTTTTGCATAGAAAATATAACCATTAAGCAGTAGAACAATATCTTTAGGTTTGCAAGAATTTTTTATTTCTTTGAAAATCTGATCTAATTAAAATGCAAAGCCTTACATACGGTTCATAATGAATTAAGGCCTTTTCTGTAACTGAGAGGCATTTTTTGAAATCTTACAAGAAATAATATATTCTGGCTAGGTTCAAATGTGAGATGATATGTAGTTATGGGATGTCTTATTCAAAGTATTTCAAGTTAAATTTTGCTACATTTTTAGCTAAGTCAATCATATGAGATTAGAAAAGCAACACTGTTAAATTATTTAATGATTGCACACAGTAAAAATGAGGAACATCTTAAGATAATGAAATGGTTAGGATAATTAGATCTGGACTTTCTGGATGTTCTTCAAACATTTAAGCAAACATCTGGAACAGTTCATATAGGTTGGAAACATCTTTATTCAAATTTCTAATGAAATCGATCGGTATTGACTTGACTTTTCCAAAATAATGGAGTATTTCAATGTAATAATTATTCATATTAATAAAAATAAGCAAAGGAATCACTTAATATTATTATTGAGCCTATATACTACCAAAAAAGCATTCATCTTGATGATCAGTCTATTGGTCGTTGAATGAATGAAGAATATATAAAAATAAGGATTATTTAAAGAAATTTGTTATTAAATTATTGGAAGAGAAGAAAAAATTTATGAAATCTTTTTTAAATTTCCAGCTTTTATTTTACATGAAAAACTTTGCAGGCTTAACTTCATTTAATAATTTTGAATTATATCAAAATATATAAACATTTACTTCTTTACTCTATATTGAATAAAGGAATGAGCCTACTATAAAAGGGAATTTTAGTTCATTTTCTGAACCTAATATTTAAAAACTCCTTCGATAATTGCGAATCAATTGTAAAAAATTTGAAATTTTTTGTAATCTCAAAAATAAATTTTAATCGATAAATTCTTCAAATTTTCAAATATAAGTTATATATGCTTATCTGAATTAAGAGAGATATCTGTACTTTACTAACTTTTAATCAATTGATAAGAGATGAGGAAGGGATTATATTCTGGACCAATTCACGGAAATAATATCTTAGAATTATCTAAATTAAGTTAGAAAAGAAATTAAATCATGAAAATAAAGATAATTATCACTCAAAATATAAATTTTAAATATGATCTCGCATTATAGAAACAAACATCTTAAATAATTATTATGATTCTACTTTTAGGATTAAATTAATAAATAATAATCTAAATGATTTCATATTTTAGAAATATATAAATTTCATAAGAATGAAAAAAAATTTTAATATTTTTAAATAGATTTGGAGTATTTTAAATTAGTTAATTTCTAATAATTAGCAGAATTTATTGAAGAATTTAAAAAACTGGAACTAATAAAAATGGGTACATTTCTATTAGGTAAAAGGAGAATAATCAGTACTCAATACTAAGACATTTCAAAGAATATAACCTTTGATGATGAACTAACAATTCAAAAAAATTTACTTATGCTAAACTTCCCCTTAGCTAATTAAACCATGCTAATGAAATAATTTGTACTGCTAATCAAGCTTGTTATCCAGTTTTGAACCAAAGTTTTGTCATTGAGGCATGTTGCTAGATGTACAAATAAAATATTTCATCATAAACAATATTAATTAAATCTAATCTATATTTTAGATATGCCTTTATATATTTAAAGTAAAATATTCAAAAGGTTATAAGTTAGCTTTCAACTATCTAGAACAATCTAATTTTTCTAAAAAATCTTAAAAAAATTGTATAAAGTGCAGAATTTATAGATCATTTTGAACAATAATTCCATTATATTAAGGTTAATTTAGAATATTTAATTAGAATTGCGTTATTACTTCTATTTAAAAAATCAGTATATATATTTTAATTATTTGAAATTTAAATAAATGTTTTTAACATGATTAAGAAAGAAGATAAGATCACTTGAAGTTCTATGATCTAATTTGCTATTAGGAAATAAGAGCTAAATAAAAATTAATTAAATTGTATTATTTTTGATTAAATTGTTTGAATGTTCACCATTCTGAAGGAGATTTTGGGTTATTGCTCATGGATTAGCATTGATATTTTATTATTATTTAATGATTAATTAATTAATTAAAAATGTAGAGATCATACTAAGAACAGGTGAATTAGAAGGATTACTAACATAAATTGTATTTCAAAAATGGTTATCCTTAAAATTAACAGTTTAAGAGAGATCCAAATTAAATGCTTAGAGGATTAGTATGAAATAATTAAAAATAATTAGATTGTAAAAACTTGTTTACTTCACTTTATTGATTGGTTGAAATAGGGGTTTAATCTATGGCTGTTTGTTGTAATAATTCTTTCAGCAAGTTTTCGAGCAGATTAATAGTTGTTTATTTGTATAATTTAATTGGCAGGAAATCTATTCATGTCATCTTATAAGCTTTATCAATAAATTTGTAAGGCCTTGAGACAAGTGAATGAATATTTCAACTAAACTGTATATGTGATTGGATGGGATCCCAAATGCCATATCAGCAAATGCCCTAAAAGGAATGTGACAGTAGGAAATCTAATTTTCTTGAAGAGACATCAGCCAAGTCCTATGAGCATATTGATTTTAAATTCTTAAGAGGAGAAATTTATGGTGTAGACATCTGAGAAAGAAGGGATGACTCATATGACTTAGAAGCAGTCAATAAAATTAACATCTACTTCCGATTAATAAAAAAATCAAACTTTAATCTATTATAAGAGAATAATGACAGGTAAAATAGAATTTGATCATTTGGACACTAATGACAATTAATTCAGAGGTTTCATTAAGTTACAAAAAGATCCAAAGGGTGAGTATTTGGACTATAGGAATATAGTGAATCAAAGTAGTATGATAATAAATACAGATTGGGTAGTGGGGATAGTGATCAGTCATGATGATGAAGATGTGATTAAAATGTGGCATAATTGTTTTAAGAAGTCCACTACTCATTTTGATAGATACTTAATGAAATTTTCTCGAATTTTCAGCCTTTTATACTTTATACAATTGGCATTTTGCATTACAATAATAATTAGATTTCAAAAAATTCCATAGGATTTTACAATCTATAATACTTTATGTAGAATATTTTAGAGCATAACATTTGTACATCCCTGTATAATAACTGGATTATGTGAATTAACATTTTAATTTTTTAATAACATCTTTGAAAAGAACAAAAACATAATAATATCTCATTCGTCCGAATTGCTAACTTTGACTAAGATAGATCATTGTATTTACGATAAAACTGGTACTTTGACAAACACGAACACAATGCTTTGTGGAGTGATTTGTGGAGTTTACTTCTACAATCTTATTAATGGAGTAGGCATAAGAAATTCTACAAAGAGATATAGACAATTAAAGACCTCATAACCTCAACACAATAACATGTAAGAAATACTTGAAGAACAGGATGAATAGGAGGAAAATAATATAGGGATTGGTTCACTTTAAAAGAGCGAGAGAATGATTTAGAATCCAGGAAGCCATCATTCAGTAAAGAGCAGATTATAATCATAACACGACGAAGCAATTAGCTTTAATTAAGATGATGCAGTCTTTAATGAGGAAGAACCAGAATCCAGAAATATGGTTTTCAATTTCAATCCTCATTTCATTAGATAACCAGAATAAATAAGACCACAAAATGAGTAAAGTATGGATGAAGAGCTCTCCTCTCCAGAAAAGCAAATATAAACTAATAGAAATAATCGAAGAACATTTAATAATAATAGTAGATTGATAACAATAAATAGAAGAGAACCCAGAATTTTGTAACGGAATTTAGAATAAGCTCAGGAAGTAGCAAATGGCTCTTTTTTATCTCCTTCACCGTTAACTTCTTCGAATGACATAAGAAAAGAAGTGAAATTGTGCGAATCTTAAATTAATGAGGATGAACAACAATAATAATCTGACAGTGATAGTGGAGATTAGGATCAAGAATAAAGAAAAGATTTATTAGAAATCATAAGATTAGGAGAGAAATAGGCAGACAATTTTATGAGATCTTTGATTTTATGTTAAGATGTTAAAACCAAATATTCAAAACCTTAAAACAAACCCAACAGAGATAAAAATAGCTAAATGATGGGGATTTCTGGAATTATGAATGAACATCCTAGTATGAATCCTTAAAACTTCTTAAATGAAAACACTGAGGAGTATCAAGAATCTGTAATTAAATTTGCCAAGTAATATCAGTTTGAATTTAATTGTGCAGGTCTCCTTAACAAAAGAATATGTTATGAAATTAGTGCTAAAGGTTTAAGTGAACGATACTTAGTATATAAAAAAGTCAGTGATAATGATACATTTGCAATTTTTATGAAACCTATTTAGCAAAGATTGAGGAATCAAGGAGGTCAATATGACAGACAAGGAACAGAAAGAAGTCAAAAAGGAGGTTCATTAAAATTGTATGTTAAAAGTGAAAATCTAGGACTTTTGGATAAGTGTAAATTATCATAAAAAAAAAGAGTAAATCTTGAGAAATAAATCACTCATCAAGCTCAATCTGGTTATAGATTTATAGTTTATGCTGGCAAAGATGTACCTGAAGAATCTGTTAAGAATAAAAACAAATATTAAGAAGTTAGTTTTGATACGATGGAAATGACACATCATGATAAAGAACTTATTAAGGATTTGGATTATTATGGATTAATTTGTCTAAAAGAAGATCAAAACCCAGGGGCTTATGCTTAAGTTAAGACTTTTAAGAATCTTGGCATCTCATAATGGATATTAAGTGGGGACAAGAAGATGTAAACACTTTCCGCTGCTAACCATGTTGGTATTGTCAATAATAGTAATACTTTATTAAGAATTGATGAAGAAGATGAAGAAAAGTTAAAATTATAAATTAAGTCCCAATTATTATTTATTAGAAAACAACTATTAAAAGAAGATGAAAGTCAATAAAATGAGTCTACATCTAAATCATTTAACAGTTAAAAATCATTTTCTGAAATGAAAAGAAGTGGTATTTCCAAAAAGGCTACTTTTGATGAAAACATGATTTTGAAATCAAAGAAGGGAGAAGAACCTTTGTAAAAAGTTTTTCTATTAGTCAATGGAAAATCCATTAAACCAATTTTTAGTGATGATTATACGAAAAGCCATTTTCTTTTTATTGCTTTAATCCTTAAAACTGTAATTGCTTATGATTGCTCTCCTGCTGACAAAGAATTGATTACAAAAGCAGTCTCTAAGATTATGGAACCCAGCAATACTCTTTTAACAATTTCAGATTCAGTTGATGATTTTAATATGAATTCACATGCAAATGCTACTATTTAATTTTCAAAAGAAAAACGATCATTAAAAATAGCTTATCAAAACATATAAGTAAATGATTTACAGCACATTAAATAATTAGTATTATATTTTGCTAAGATCCTTCCTATGCATCTTAGTCAACTAACGGTAATGTGTACAAAAATCAGTTTATATCAATTAATTATATTTACTTTATTTGTTTGTGTGAGAAGAACACTTTATATAGAAGAACATGTTGTATATTTATTAGCACTATAGATTCATATTATTATTAATGGTTTGCTACCTTCATTTGAAGATAGATCAAGCCATGAATAAATTGAATTGATGCTCCCCCAATATTAACCTTAAGCTTATAAATGTTTTAAATCTAATTTTAGATGGTTATAAGAATTGTTTTTTGAAGTGGTTATATCTGCAGCCCTAACTGGGTTTATGAACACTTATATATTTGCTGAGTTTATGATGTTTTTTACATCTGATCCTAACAATCTTGCTCACTTGATGTTTTTATTTTAGCTGTTTTGTGTTTTTGCTTTTGGTACTTCTCAAATGATTCATTTAAATGTTCCATTTGGAAAGATAATTTGGAATTTCATCATCACTTTAGGTTTGCTCATTCTTTCATTCGCAATAGTTGTCGAATCTGATCAACGTGTTTAAATAATTAGGAATATATTCAAATGGTAATTCATTATTGGTATTCTTACAGGAGTAGTAATCATCATTACAATCGATCAAATAATAAAATAAACAAGGGATTCAATTTTTACCCCAAGAATCATAATAAACTTTGTAAAATACATGGAGAATGCTATGAAGAATTAATCAGGTAAAATAGCATAAGAGTCTGTCACATAATTTTCTATGTTAAATCACATTAAAATAAATCGATAATTCTTTAGAAAAATTAAAAAAGTATTTGAGAATGTATCCATTGATCCTTTCATTAGATCTTTATTTGAAAGTGAGAAAACTTAGTCATTTAATGGTGAATATTCTAAATTATCACTTGTATTCAAGAATCATAATTATGAGAAGTAATTTAGACAATTCAAGGTTTAATACTATTATTAATAGAGGAGAGAAGTTGTTTTAGTTCTTTTTATTGTGTTAAGAGTTAGTAGTGTAATAGCATGGTCTCCATTTTTGACAGTTGAAGATACAATACTCAATATACTTTGGGCAATCTTTATGGTGATTTGGATTTTAATATTCATTGTTACTCACATTGTTGAAAAGAAATAAACAGATTTAGCAGCATTTCAAATAAAATGGGGCACTATTGAAGCATATTTCTTTATTCCAATAGTGTTGATTTTGGATCATTTTTTGAGTGTTACACTTCCCGAGGATAAAAGCTAATATTACTTTAGCACTTTTGGACAGTTGTTATATTAATAATTTTTAGCCTGGGATATATTTCCTCCTCCTTTATATTATCCAATAATTTTGACATTGATATTTTTTATAAATTACACAATAAGAGTGGCAAACTTTTACGATATTCAGGTGATTTCAGATTCAGAGACATCAACATTCAGAGTAGAATTTATCACTTTATATGTTCTTTTATTCTTTTTGAATTTGTTATCCAATTATACTCATTATAATGTAAGAAATAATATTATTTTAGTTTTAACGATTTTAAAGATTAGTGTTTTTATTTGACTAAGCCTTGTAAACATAACAAGAATAAACCAATTAGATCTTGAAGTCTTTGTTGCCTGCATTTATCTATGAAAAGATTGAGCAATCAGAGGAGACTGAAATAGAAGAGAATTAAGGATCAGTGTCAATTATATTTTTAGAAATTTGTGAATTCGATAAAATCCTTTAATCTAAACAACGGTAGGTTGTAACATTTTTGGATGACATTTTTAGAGTCTTGGATAAAATATGTTTATAATATGGAGTGTAGAAGATTGAAACTGTAGGTAAGACTTACATGGCATGTTCAGGATTGAAATCAACAGAGATTGAAAATAATAAAGATGGATTGAATCAGCAGAAGAAAAATGAAACTGCTATTGCATTAGAATTGTCATTGGATTTCTTAAAGGCAGTGTCTGAATTCAGATATGAATACAAAGATCAGGAGGTTGTTAAATTATTCAAATTAAAAATCAAAATTGGTATCCATTATGGATAAGTGATTGCAGGTGTAATTGGATATCATAAGCCTTAATTTTCATTGATTGGAGATACAGTCAACACTGCATCAAGAATGTGTTCAACTGGATAAGTAGGCAGAATAACAATATCAAATGAGGCTTATGAACGTGTCAAGGACACTGAGTTTCTTTTCACAACAAGGGAAGTAGAGGCCAAAGGAAAAGGTATGTTGACTGTCCATTAAGTCACTCAAAGGAAATTACAGACTAAAAAGCATCTATCATAAGTGAAGTTTTAAGAAGGCTAGAAAAATGGGAGACTACTCACTTTTAAAACTCATATCACAAATAATACTCGAGCCACATAGTTGAAGTAGACTTATAAGGATATTTCTCCTCCATCATCGGTAAATGATCATTTAACAACAAAGGAATATGGACGTAGATCTAAAATCATGAATCATCCGATGCAAGGCTCGCAATATTTGAAAATCCCAAGGAAGAAAAAAGGAGCTGAACCTACAAGGGGAATCAAAAAGGGTACCATCAAAGAAGAAGTGACTTCTATGAGTGAGACTGTATGGAAAGACAGGTCTAAATCCTAAGTCATTTAAAAAACTGATTATAACACAAATGACTGGGAAGAGACAAAGGAAGATGAAATCTAAATGAAATAAGTAGAAAAGGATCCTGAAAACAGAATTATTGGAGTTTCTGATAACGATGTTGATGGTCCAGAATAAGAAGTCAAAAGTGAAAGAGTAAAAAAAGTCATGGATTTAGAAGTTCTTAAATATAAGAAGTTAACACTTGAATATGAAAAATGTAATGAAGCAATTATAGTCATGCAGTTTGAATAGTATTATTAAGAAGTCAGATCAGCTTTAAAGGATATCTTTTATCCCATGACTATTGTCTATACTTTATTTAAGGCATAAATATAATTGATAGATTCAGGATAAGATGGACTAACTATATATATTGTTAGAATGTTCTTAAGTTTATACTTAATAATTTTGTACTTTATAACTAGTAGATTGAAGAAATATAATATGCATAATCTAGATTTAGCTTTAACTGGTCTCTACTATGTGAGTGCATTTTTAACAATGTTCTTTGTTACTTTTAACAATTAACAGAGATTCCTTATATCTGATAATGCTGAAGCCTATTTCTTTGCATTTTCGGCTGTAAACCAATAATCATTAAAATTCAAATATATGTTTTTCTATATTTTATTGCAATAAGCTGCATGGTTTGTTTAGCTACTACTGCATGAACATAATAATTTATTAGTATTTATAGTGTTATCAACCATAATCTTGGTAATAGTATCACATAACAATTTTGAATTGACAATTAAAAATTTCAATAGTGCTGCAAATGAAAATTTGAAAAAAGAGCAAAGAGACTCTTTATTAACCAATTTATTACCATCTCACATTTTAACAAGATTCTACTAGAATAGCAAAATTAAATTAGAATTATCAGATGTTTTAATAGATGCAACTCTTTTGTTTGCTGATATAAGTGGATTCACAGCATACTCAGCAAAGGTCTCAGCTGAATAGGTAGTAAAGATGCTAAGGGAATTGATGACATCCTTTGATAAGGAATGCTTATAGCAGAATGTTTATAAGGTATACACTATTGGAGATTGCTATGTTGTATTGGGAATAAATGATATGGAACAAAGACATCCAGGATAAGAAGCCAAAAATGTCTTAGAAATGGGATTAGAAATGGTAGAAATTATAAAGAGAGTTAGAAAGGAAGTCAATTTCAAAGATTTGAATATGAGAATAGGAATACATACAGTAATAAATTTAATTTATTAATTCTAGGGATAATTCTATGGTGGTATTATTGGAACAGATATAGTAAGATATGATATTTTTGGTATTGATGCAGTGATTGCTAATAAAATGGAATCTTAAGGAGAAGCAGGCAAAGTTATGGTAAGCGAAGACACAAGGAGATTAATCAATATTCATTTTCCTGGTGAATATATTTTTACTCCAAGTAAATAAGTAGACATTCCTGTTGCCAAAAAGAAGGTTTAACCATATTTTGCAACAAAAGCAGATATTTTAAATCGTCCAGACAATTCTAGAAATATTTGATTGCTTGTTTATCTTTTATATTTTGAGCTTAAATTTCAATAAATAATAATCAACTTGATGATATTTAGACAAAAAAATAATATATCACTTTTTGGCTGTTCCATCTATTTATGCTAACATCTACGCCATCAATTTCTTAACTTCCATTGTTATCTTCATCATTAATAATGACTATTGTCTAGTATATTCCATGGATGCTTGCATTGAAGTTGAGATATACTCTATAAACTCAAACAACTATTGACTTTGCTTAACCGATCTATTATTGATGAACTTTATAAATACGCATATAATTCATCTTTGTTTACTTTCTATTGTCCCTTGAAAATCTACTACATAAATTTATTGATGTCTTAATCATTCAATCTTTTGTTTAGGCCAATGGGTTTATTTTCTCCTTTGCAGATTAACACCTTAGAAATTCCTCTAAATAAGCAATCTATAAAAAAGAAGAATTCATCCGAAGTGATATGGTTAGTCTTGTCGGAACCAAAAATCACAGCGATGTCTAATGATATCAAATGATATTTACTATAAAAAATTTAACTAATTTCCCCCGTTGACAGAAGCAGCATAACAGAAAACAATTCAGTAGCATCAATTCTACCTATTCCTCTTGAATCAAATTATTAAAAAACTGTAGCCAAAGCCTACTTTTTATTTGAGATAGAATCCATAGCTTAAGAAGAATCAAAAAATAATGGCAATGGAGCTTAGTTCTTCTTTGTCAATTTCTATAAAATTGATTTCAATGTCTCTTAAGTCCCTGATAATATGACTAATTTAATTACATCCTCCACAAAGTTCTTCTAAGGCTGGTAACAAACAGGATTAATCTCTTAAATTATTGAAGTATTATTATCTAAATGATGAGAAAGGAGTAGTTTCAAACTTTTAATACATAAATAAATAAATTAATTCATTAGAATAGACATTATAAAAGTATAATAAAAATAGTATTATAAATTCTTTTTGGTTTCACTTGCTTTATCTTTTCCACCTTAACTCAAGTTAATTAAAGGAGTAACCCTTTTGCTATAAGAGTAAAAATTATAATAAATACAGCATTATTGAAGGATTTCATGTTATAGCTAAGACATTAATTAAAAAGAAACTTATTTAGGTATTTTTAATTTTTAGTTTAGAATTTACCACCAACAGTAAGATAGCTTAGTAAATAATTTATCGTTCATTATTGTGAGGAATATTAACATCTGTAACTGAATTAGGTAATTAATCAAATAAAGGGTTTTATAATTTCACCTTCAACTTTTACAACAATTAACTATTCTTACATTTACCTGCATATCTATTGAACTTTTTTATTCAAAATAGTCAATTTAAAAATTTAACGATTAGATAATACTTTCTTGAAATAATTGTTTTCAACATCTCAAGTTTTATAAATTTATTCCATCTCTCATTTATCAATTTATTTTATATTTTAAAGACATGCACATATTTATTATTCATTGTTGGGGAATTTTAGGCCCTTGATATCCATATTTAACCCAAGGTGGTATTTAAGGTTTACTAAATGCTTCAGAATTTATAAGAATATATCCCAAGTGGACATAACCATTGCTAATATTAAAAGCCAAAATAGAGAAGGCAAATAATAAACTTATTTCTAATCTGGAAAGTAGTAGTATGAATAATGATCTTCAGGTAAAAATGGCTTATTTATCAAAATTGTCTACTTTAAGTAATAGCCATGAACAATAATATATATATTGACTTATTAAAATATATTTACGTTTTTCTAAGGATTTCTGATTATTTAGAATATAAAAAAGTATTTAATTATTATTATATAATTTTTGATCATTTATTATTTATTAGCAAATGTACTATCAAAAAACATCTTAAGAATCTCTATTCTCTTCTTTAATGACAATATGATCCAACAATTAAAACTATTGCTAGCAATCCTAAAATTCTCATTATATTAATTAATGAAGATAATATTTCAATTTCAAAATTTATTAAAGTGTATTAAAACGCTAAGGAGACTCACCACACACAGTAAATGAATAGTTCCTGTATTTAATTCAATTTTTATTCATTAAAAATTATAACTATCTACATCAAATATTTGTTACATTCTTGCTATATAATCTTGAGGTTCATACATAAAGTTTAAATTGATGTTTAATTGCTTTCGTTCTGATTAGATTTACTCTTAAACTAGATTATTAAAAATTAATTAAAATGTTCTCTTAATCATAATCTAATAATTTGAAATTCTGTACGTAATTGAATCGTGTTCTTATTGTTTGCGTTTTCCCTATCTATGAACAAATTTCGAAATTAAGATATGCATATGTCAACTTAGTAATACCATACCTTGCCTCTTTTACGCTTCAAAATATTGATAGATTAAAATATTGATATTTTTCAATTTAAAGGTAATTGTTTTGGAGATAATAATATTTTAATTGCAAAAGTTGAATATAATTAAATTGTATGGATATATAAAGTGATTTCTAAAATTCATAAATAAAAGTCCAAATTTCTATAATTTGTAATCAGTAATAATTAAAAACCATTTTCAAAACGAGAAATTCTTAAAAATATAGAAACCATTTTTAACACCTCAATACAGAAAATGCAATACTCTTTCATAAATTAATTAGTTATCTGTTTTAAACAACACTATGTTTTAATTAAGAATCCATAATTAATTGATTATTAAAAATATTCACAATTAATATAGTTATATGTGAACCTAAAATTTTAATAAGCATCGGTTTTATTTTTCAAACCAAATTACTCGAAATGAATTAGAAACCCTCAAATACTATAAAGTCGCTAGTTTCTCAATTTTCTATCACATCTTGAATTTCTGAATTTCATTATTGCATGTTCTATAGATTGTAGATTTATTTGATTTAGTGGAAATTAATTTATAGAAAACAATTTATTATAATTTTGATCATTCAGATAAAAGTCAAAAATATATAAATTTATTTTAATTTTTATGTTTATTTTTTATTTATAACATATATTTAATCTACATAAATGCAAAACAACCAAAAGTTGACTACAATATCCTCTAAACTTCAATGATTTATTATTTTTGTTTAATTTGGTTCACAAGGTTTGAATATGTAGATCATTAAAGAGATCTAAATTATATTTAATGAACTGATTTATTTTAACATGAATAAAATATAATAACTTAACTGTATAAATAAAATAGCATCTCTTTTCTTTAAATGCTTCCAATTTCTTATTAGATATTATAAATGTTGTTAAGACAAAACCTGTGGAACTAAATATAAATGTGAGTTTTTCATTAAATTGAAGCTGTAATTAATCTTGTTGATATTTTTGCTTTAAGTAGATAAATTTGTAAAAAAAACGAGGCAAAGCCCAAATATTTAATGTTATATCCAATAACAATTCAATTATTTTTTTAAAACTACTTAATAATTTATGGATTCAATTGACTATAAAGAAGCAAGATTCAAATTTTAGGGAATTAGAAAGCACTTTTTTAAGGATGTAACCTATCACATTACGGTTTTTGATGACATAGTAACGATAGGAGCAGTAAAAAGCCATAAAATATTTTTAGACACCAGATTGCCCCAATCCTAAATATAGGATTACACTCAATCTTGATACAAAAATTAACTGGGAGATAAACAAGAATAGATAAGAATTGGAGTACTTTGAAATCGATTATTAAACGGGAAAAAAAATTTTCCACGCATAAGCAAAGGACCTCTTAAAGTACTTTTAAGTTTGAATAATTTAAGATTTAAAGAAATTCTCACAGGAAAGGTGATGTTTGAGGGCATCGGAGACTTATTTAAACCCATATTTTAGGTCGGTAAAGGTAGTTCAGCAAAAGTATATAAATTTATCTAAGTCTTAAGGTGTACAGTGCAAGAAATGTTTTAGATAAAAGAGTTTATGCAGTTAAGGCAATCTAAAAGTCTTTTTTGCAGAATTAAGAGCATGGCGATGGAATGGTATTTATTAATTAGAAGATTAGTAGGCATTTTAATCTGAAGTTCAAATCCTAAAAACATTATCACAATATGAGTAAAATTTCTTGGTTTTGAAGGAAATCTATGCAGGTGACAGCACCTTTTATTTAGTAACTTCTTATTTGGAGGGGTTGAGTTTGACCGGAGAATTAGAAAAAGCAAAGGTAAATTTAAATCAATACAAATTAGACCTTGCCTGAGAAACGATTGCCAATTCACAGTATAAAAATGATAATGTGGAAATTGCTCACCAATTTAAAGATTCTCCATTCCCATAGAGTATAAATATATATAAATAATAGATAATTCATCGAGACTTAAAACCTGATAATTTAATGTTTGCTAGAAAAAACGATTATTCTTCGTTGATTTTGGTAGATTTTGGTCTTGCTACTTCAGAATTACAAGAAAAGTATTTAACTAAATCTATAAAAGATATTTATTTCGAAAGTGTGGCACACCAGGTTATGTAGCCCCTGAAGTATTAAGTTCAAGAAATGGTTAAAAGTACAATTGTAGAGTTGATATCTTTTCTGCTGGCTGTATACTCTATAGATTACTCACGGGACAAAGTTTGTTTCAAGGGTAGAATTTTGAGGAAGTTTTGAGATCAAATCGACACTGTCATATGAATTTAGAATTGCATTAGGATGGGAATTATATAACAGAATAATCATTAGTATTTTATTGAATCTATGTTAGGATCTATTAAGAAAAATGTTGAATAAAAATGGAAAGAATAGAATCAATGCTATCTAAGCATTACAGCATCCTTTTGTTGATTAAAATAGTGAATTTAGTACCTAAGCAATATAGAATTCTAGCTAATAATTGATAAAGAATGTCATTCATCAATTAAATCTTGCTGAACTTGAGTCAAAATACAACAGTCAAATTGAAATTGGGGATGAAAAGAATTCTAGAATTAATGATCTAAAGAAATATTCTTCAATAACTGAAGTGCAATATTATTAGCTGTCACTGTCAGCCAAAAGAAGTAGTAGTTAATTTTCTGGCACATTCTTTTAGAAGGAACCATTATCCGTAATGCATACATTAAAATTATAATCGGAATAACCCCTGAAGAACAGTAACTCACAACATTCAGCTTCATAATTGTGATTCTTTAATCTTGTATAAAAACTATTAAATCATTTATTAGACAGAGATTTTTAGGATCCTGCACTTTTCTAACTTTATATTTCTTCTTAAGCGGCAGCCAAGGTCGTATAGTCTCCTTTGGCAGCTAATATGTAAGCTGAAGCTGATGCTTATTATGATATCCTTCTTATCATTTTTCTCATATCTTCTTTTGAATTAGGTCCGTTGCTATCAGTTGATTTAAATGAATTTGTTGACATTGGTTATACGAATTTGTTGATAGTGGCTTGTGCTTTTTCAGTCGAAGATATTAAGGGAGGGACAATCACTAAGAATAGTCATATATATTATACTAGATTAACTTAATTTGCTTCCCCTTTAAAATGCTTATTATTACTAATGTTATTTCTGTAATTCGAATTGCATCTCATCATTGCACATTTATATTCTGTGAATTTTTTGCTATAGTGTCTCTACTTAATCCTTTAATTCCTAAATTTACTAATCCTTTTGAGCCAACTCATCCTACAGCTTCTGGATTTGATCTGTATCATCATACATTGATGTAAACAAAGCAGTGCTGCATGATATTTTCGAATCGCATAATTTCAATTCTCCCTCTCGACAATCTTTAAGAGCTCCCAAAAGAAGATCTTATCTCTTTCTTAAAACTGGTCCCCTCTTATCGATAAGTTGGTTTTAAGTTTACAGCTTCAAAATCAATTCTTATAAGTCATCTTGATATGTTTCTTATATTACACCTAATTAATGGGACATAAAGTAAATAAAATTTAATTGAAGAATAATTTTGTTAATTCAAAATGCTTAACATAAATATTCCCTTATATATTGAATTTTTAATTGATTTATTGCTATAAAATCTTTATTATCGAATTAAATGGTGAATGTCAACATTAAGATCGATAACTTTTTAATTTCGTTAAAATTCTCTATAAATAAATTAATTAAAATGTAAATATGAATATATTCCAATTCATTATGACAGATAGAATTAAATGACTTTAATAAATTTTTCCATTAAACTTGATTTTGCAATTTAATTGCTAAATCCTTAACCAAATAGAATAAAAAGGACAATTTTTCAATGAACAGTTGAGAAAACTATTAAAAAATAATTTAAATATGCAAATGCTCTTCTTATTTGCCTTGCTTTATCTTTCGAACCCAATTAATGCATTATGTGAACTTATTAATGGAAAATGTTCAAATGGATGTAACTTAATAAATAATAAATGTGTTTCCGAGAGCTGCCTTACTTTTATGAAAAAATTAGGAGACACTCAAACAAACCCATTCAAAGGGACAATTGACTATATTAATGACACTCTTGATTTGAATATAACAATACATTATACTGATCCCTAGTTCGCAGATGCTGCAAATAAAGGGATTACAGAAGGAGAGAATGCTGCTTCATGTCTATCACTTAACCTATATAAATATCCTAATAAGAACTATGATACGTAAGATTTATCCTCTTACACTATCAATTACATCAATGATAATTTAAGTGTAAGAGCATATTAATTCAGCATTCCAAGCAAAGACTTTGTAAAAGAACTCTAATTATCAGAAGATGGAACCAGCTACTTTTTCAATGGTTATTTTAGCTTGAATTTTAACATTGAAAGTAATTTACAAAGAGTTATCTTTTTCGACTTCTTTGTTGGGATAGAGAGAACATCAACTGGAAAAAGGGATACAACCTTTGGAAGTTTGAGTTCATCTTAAAATCTTCCTTGCTAATCGGAATGTACAACATCAGTTACAAGTTCACTTTAATTCTGTCCTGATTAAATGTGTGAATCCACAATTGACAAACCTGACTTATATTTAAATGATCAGATATGGCTTAAACATACTCTAACTAAGTAAGGAACAGAAAACTATTACTTGATCAATCCGGAAATATATTTCACAGGAGATAAGCTGTTCAAAAAAGCAGATATTAAAGAATAAGTAATATCCTAAAAAGGATATGCCATGTATTTGATTAATATCGAGATTGCATGGACACCTATAACAATATCAGCAAAGGCTATGGTATCTTCAATAGCAGGATCAAGAATATTACATGAATAATCTCGATTATTAGAACTAGCTTAGACATCAACTATAGGAATTACTCCAGAGATAGGATGTGTTAAAGATAAAGAGACTAATGAATGCATCAATTGTGATTAATCATAGAATGTTAATAATTATGACCTACCTTAATTAGATGGATGTCCATTGAATGCTAATATTTTGATTGTTGGAACATTGATTTTAGTTTGTTTTTTCATTTGATCAATTTATGAATATGTTTAAATTTTTTATAAATCTATTTATTCAGTTATCAAATTTCAATAGTTCAAATTATGTTATTTATAAGTTAGATTTATTTTTAGTATTGAGATGATAATTGTACCTAAACTTTCAAGATTAGATATTTATGATCAATCAAATTTATGAGAATTACCAAAATAAATTTGAGGAAATTTCTATATTAAAGTCATTTATTTATTCAGTAGAGAACGTAGGAGTTAGACATAAGTTACTTTGAATTTGATCTAGAACACTGAAACTATAGTTTTTTAGAATTTTCAATAAGTCCTTTAAATTGAAATTTTTAATAGTCTGTTAAATATAACAAAATTTTGGTTGATTAAAGGGTAAGAAATAATTGGATAATATTACTATAATTTCTTTCTATAAATCATCCCAATATTTTTAGAAAATAATTATAAATTGAATCATATATTTATATGTCACAAAATTAGTGAAAAATACAAATAATGATAATTTATCTAATTTTTATTCCTTTTTAATTTACATTGGCTAATTGGGATATATCTATCCAATATTCTACTTTATGTAATTGCCAATAAATTTCAGATCCAACCATGTGCAGCTCAAGTTAATTTTGTTAGCTTGATGTGGATTTCGAATGTATTGATGTACTTGATTACAACTGTTCTTACTTCAATGAATAGACAGTTCTATATTTGTGTTCACAATTGGATAGATGCTATTTAAAAGATGGTCAATGTGTAGAATTGGATAATTGCACAGAATTGAAAGGATCAACAAACCAAGAATGCTATTCATAATCTCATAGATGTGGCACAGCTATCAATAATATATGTTAGTTAACTTAATGTGATAGTTATTTAGATGAAAGTGAATGTAACAGTTCAATATTTAATATACGATTTGATAACGTTGGTTATGGAAATGTTTGTTATTGGAACAATCACATTTCGTCATGCCAAAATTTGCTTTGTGAAAATGTATCTATAGATTAATGTTAATAATATACAAATTTATGTCAAATTGTTAATAATCTATGCACATGGGCCACTTGCTAAAACTCGTCGCCAGAAGATTGTACATTTGTTTGGGAAGGTTCTCAGAGAAATGTTATTTAGCCCTGTGTACTATCTGATGGGATCTGTTAAAATGCAAATAGTGCTAATTAGCTGAATCAATAAGATTGCACCTAAAATACACTATATACTTACATATATACATAAGATAATTGCTAGTAATGTTCATATTCAAATTATTTTGAATTTTAACTATTACTAATCATCATCTTATTTAATTGATATATAATACATAATCATGATAATTTAAAACCTAATTAGAAAGCATCTAGGTATTTTTTTTTATTTTATTAATTTAATCTATTATATTGAATTTAAAATAAATTGATATATAATCTTTAAGTAAATTTTGCATTTACTAATTTTATTATTACAATCCCTTTATCTAAACTTAATTCCAATTCTAGAATAAACATTCCTTTTATTTCTTATTTTATTGGATATTAATAATTTATGCTTGTTCTACAAAACTCATGTTTTCGGATTTGATTCATCAAAAATTCTATGTTAACCTCACATAATGTATCATATAATATTTTATGAAACAATACCATATTTTGATATATTGTCCCCCTTTTAAATAAGTAATTCTTTAATAATTTCTCTTTCATCATTTCGTTTCAAAGATATCATATTCACTCATCCTTTTAGTAATTAATTATTGTTTTCTCGATTATTGCATATTTAATTATGAAAATATATTTGTTATAATCATACCTTGATTATTAAAAACACTATTTAATTTTCAAGAATGGGAAACAATCATGAAAAATTCTTTTCTAAGGAAAAACGAAAACTCCTCATTTTAGGACTTACTGGAGTAGGAAAGTCAAGTAAAATACACCAATTCCCATATAGCATTAATAAAAACATTGAACCAAGGAAATTATTAAGATAAGAAGGAAGATTTATAAATTATTGACATTAAATTAAAAAACATTACACTTTGTGTTTTTGATATGGGAGGAAGTGAAAGATAGAGAATTTTTTGGAGACAAAACTTTTATGGAAGTTAAGGAGTGATTTATGTTATGGATGGCAATATTGATATCTAAAAGGCATTATTAGAATTAGAAAAAATTGTGATTGACACAGATCTCAAAGATGTATAGAGCTCAATTTGATATTATTAAGACTCCAATTGCAGTATTTGTGAATCAAAATGGAAAAGAAAATCCATTTGACACTACGAAAGAATTCTTAAAGTATATTTATTTAATTTTCCATTTAAAGAAATAAACCAGGAAAGGTAAATGTGTTCAAAGGAAGTACATTAGAATTAAAGGATATTATGAGTTGTATAGAGTGGCTTGGTAAAGAAATGAAACCTATTTGAATTATTTATTTTTATTAATGTTTGAGGATGATAATAATATCAATTTTGATTAGCTTAATTATAGAGAAACGCAAAGAAAACATCATAGAAAGAATATACTTAATTAAGAAAGTAGAATTAGAAAGATTTGAGATGGAGATGGCTAAGATTATTCGTTGATTTAACAACCATATTATAATTGTTGAGATCAACAATCAATTTAAAATCTCACAAAAAGAAATCTACGAATGTGCAACCCTTAAAATTGCTTAGAATTTAAATGCATTTATAAAAATATCAAATAAATTTGCAATAAGAAAACTTTGAAAATACTTATTATTATAATTGATCCTAATTTGGATATTAAATTCTTAATTGTAAAAAAAAATAAAATAAAGTGAGGATCCTAATCTAAATAGATTAAATGATATATGTATGATAAATTATTTAAGAGACAAATTAAATACTTCTCTTATCTTGATCCTATTTTTTGAATCTTACTCAAAAATATGTATTTAACCATTATTAATTAAATTACCAATTATTTGATTTAAAATTTTTTAATAAGAAAAGATGTAAAGTTATAAATCAGATGTCATTTTTAAGAATTTAATATTGAATTAGCTCTAAATTGATAGAATAATCTGAATCAAACTATAAAAATAGAATACAGAATACTTGTAGTATGATAACCTTAATTAAATATTGAAACAAATTCATCTAATAAGAAAATGTGAGAAAGAGAAGAATATATAAGGTGAATTAATAAAAACACTTTGATTAGTTTGAAGATGAAATTTGATTAACTACTCAATTACTGAAACATGAATATACGACTAGTAGATTTTGGATTTCATATTTTTTATTTCAATAATCCCATGAATGTTACAGTATAGAATATTCTATTTTATATGGTGAAAAAGTTTACCGAATAAAACGGGAATGAGTATTTTATAGTTTATAAGGTTTAATACATTTGGAGAGAAATTGATGATATTATTTATTAATTATTAATAAAATGAGTTTAACCAAGCCAATAAAGGAATATAAGTTGATTTTACTATAGAACAGTCTTTATAAAAAGAAATTTGAGTACAAAAATAAGGATAAATTTTTGAAGATTTTGAGAATTTCTATATCGGACGAGAACATAATAAAAATAACTAACTTTGAGATTGATAACTTAAACACCTTAGAAATACCAGCAGAATGTAAGTATGGAAGGGATTAATTATTATTTAGAATCGATAACAATTCACATCACAATATAGGCATCCAAGAATTCGAATGTGTATATGAAGTTCATACGATATGACACAGATTAGATAGAGGAAGAGTTACTTTTCAAGATAGAATTAAAATAATGATGTCAATTATAGTTTATATTCTATAGATGTTTAATCATCAGTTTTCTAATTATAATAATAATAATTTAACGATTGCATAATATAATTAATTAACATATGAAATTTAAAATCAGAATAAACCATCTAAACGAAAGGGTAAGGGTTGTATATCACAATTTTTGCATTCATCACAACAATTGCATCTGGCTGTGCATTTGGTTTTTCTCTTTTGGCATTCACAATAGCCTTTGGAGCAACTTGGAATAAATTAAGAACTAATACTCTTATCTTCTGCAATTGCATCCCAAATATTCAGAACCAGATTATTTTGAGACAGCTGATTTCGGCTGTTTGTTTGAACAATTATAGCATTCGCATTTGAATGTACACTCTTGATTGTTGGCACTGCAAACACAATAGTTTTTGATGCATTTTGATTTTCTGCATCTGCACACTATATTGTCGTCTCTGGAGAGATTGATTAAATCATCATCGCTAGGTTTGGCTAACTTGTTAATGATAACATTATTTTGGTTTAGTTCGATGGAATTTAAAAGACCCAAAGTGTAGGATGAGTTAACTAAATTAATAGTTAATTGTTACCTTTGTTTTCTTTGGGAATGTTACGTTTACTTCTTCCCTGTATTCCATCTTGTCTTATTACTATCTAGTCATCATTGAATTCCAATTTCCTGATGATCTTATATTTTTTGAATTCTTCCTTCAGTTTCTTGGGTGAACTTTGTTTATTGCATGTAATAGGTGATTTGGACAATTGTTATTTTTATGGAGTTTTAACTATATATAAATTTAAATAGAATTACAATCTGTATCATCTAGGTTCATTATAAATTGCTAAAATTTCTTATCACACAATACTTCCATTTATCCGCCAAAATCAACAATATGAATTGTCAATATTATAAATATTATTTAATATAAAAAAATTCATGTTTATTTAATAACCACCCTCCAGACAACCCTATCTCCAACCAAAATTGCCTTTCCAATAATAATTCCATCAAAATAATTTTATACAGCAAGTAAAAACAAATAGAAACCCATTAGCATTTTGCACCTTAGATTAAGCAATAATTTGTTGGTCAAAATTAATACAAACCTGATTTGATGTCCAGTATTCCTTTTGCTAAATCAATTTAGTATGAAGTCCCAAGATAAAATGAACAAGCTCACAATAACAATTAAGATCAAAAGTATATCCAATGATATTCTTCTAGAAAGCATTCCTCCGAAATGGTTTAGTTAATTAAGGAGAGTTAAGAGTTAAAAAAAAACATTAATGAAAAAGATCAGGAAATCTAGAAATGCAAATAAAACATAGATAGGCTTGAATAATTAATAGATTACTTAGAAAAATAATAAAAGGAAGCTTAAAAAGAGTAATGAGATTAAAATGATAATCTAAATATGATTTTTTATAAATCAAAGCACCATATTCTTCAAGCTCAAAATAAACATTATGCAAGCAAACATATTTAATTTATAATAAGATAGCAAATCCTTTAATCATTTAAATCTTATTTTCTTCAATTTTTCAGTTTGATTCTATTTAAAAACTGTTTATTCTAATTGATCAATTGTTCTAAAAGAAGCATGAATTTGGAACCATTATATTATAATAAAGATAATAAATTATAAGATGTTTTTGTGTTTGTTATTCTAACTCATTAGAACCTAGATTTTTGATTGTACCATAACGTCAGCTGAATGCTCAGATAATTATTAACCTGTGTGTGGGCTCACTATTAATATGGTGTCCATATAAACTTTCATGAATGAATGTTATGCTTGCAAAGCTAATCTTGTTGTTAAATACAAGAATGGTGAGTGCACTAATTATTAAGATGAAAAAACCCCCAGCAATCATAATGATGACAAAAATCAATATACTAATTCAACTTTCAACCCTTCTGGAAATTATACTCAATTATTCTCTTGTTCAGATCCTCGACCAAGTATTTGTGGAACTAAGTAAACTATAGATTATATCATGAAGTCAAAAACGAACATGTGGATTCTTAGACTCCTTGACTGATTGCTATGGAAAGTACTGCTAAGCTTAATTCATTAATGAGTGTCATGCTTGTAGAAATACTTCGATACACAATTATTTCTATGGGGAATGCTCAGACTACAAGTAAATACAATAAAGTTCTTATTCTTAGATAAAGATAAGCAACTAAGATTCAGTGTATTTCAGAATAAAAGAATTAATGCGATATAATGGAATAAATAGATGTTTGTGGTTTCTTAGAAGAAACAGCAGTTTGTCAAAATCGACCTTGTTTGTAACCATTTAAGAATACTTGTGAACCTTGCAATTAATCTAATATCAAATCCTATTTTATTGGAAATTGCAATGATTACGACAATCTATTCTTTAGCACAGACTAGATAGAAGAGGTTTCAGAAGAATAATAAAAATATAAATATTGTTAACCTGAGAGACCTTCTTCTTGTAATTAGGAATTTTCATAAACTTGTGGGGTATTAAAATCATGTAATGGAACCGGATGTGAACGAATATTTGATAATCCATGTAGTGCATGTCAAAATACTTAAATTGAAGGCTATTACAAAGGATAATGCTAGACAAATTTTGGTTATGTTTTCTCTATCTTTGTGATTTAACTATTAATCTGAAATTATTTGTAATTTTATCTAATTATAATACTTTACACATTTTACTTCAATTTATTGTAAAAATGCATTTATCATTAAATAAATGTTAATTGTTACTCCAAGATTTACATTAATTTCCAATTGTTAATTTGAATGTCTAAAGCGAATAAAATTGAGTAGTTTCATAATAAAACAATATAAAATTGAAATAATTCAGAAATCTTATTAGTTTTATTATTTTTAATCTTAGCAACTTTAAGATCCACAATAATTCAATTAGAAATTGAGAAATTAACATATAATTTTTTTATGAAATATTTCTTTTTAGTTAATCTTAAATTAAGTTATATGGAATTATCTAGATCTTAGATTTACTTGATATATTGGCTTGTACTTAAGGGGATTATATCTTAAGATAATTATATTGGTAGAATGGATATAAGAATTAATCTGTCTTCAATATATATTTGTTCTATTTATATAGTAATATCTTTGCTCATACATATTTTTTAGGATTACAGTTGACAGTTTTAATGAGATATTTAGTTAGAGAGTGCAACTATTAGATATAGCTTTGTTTGTATCAAGTTTTGATAAAGCTAAGGGGATCAGTATTTAAAAAGTAGAATTAGAAGTCATGTATATAAACAGCGATTAATGATGGAAGAGAATACTTTCCAAAAACACTATATATAATGTTAATTTCAATGAGTGTAAAATTTACTCCAGTAGACTTTTATTATAAAAGAGGATTTTAATTTTTTCATAGAATTTCTAGGTACAATGTAATCATTTTGATATATATGAATCATTCAGCTACATTTCAATTTTTCATTTAAAAAGAATACCAATAAATGTGTTAAATGAAATAAACGAAAAGTTTGTCTAACTTTATATATGAGGTTTCGATCTAATAAGACTAATTTAAAAGAACTATCAACCAATTGATAACTAAGAACAATTTGTAATAGTCATTTTCCCTTAGGCAATAATATCTCTGAAAACGTTGGATTATTATAACTACCAAAAACATAAAACATAATTATAGAAATAAGATTTAATTTACTTTCTAAATATTTTTATTAAATTTTAATCTATATATATTTTCTAAATATTTTTTATTAAATTTTATATTGGATTAATGATTTTAATCATATTGTCCTTTACTAAAATGATTATATTGTTATATCATAGAAATAGCTAACTCTACTAATAAATTAAAAGCTTGAAAAATTAGATTTATAGATATATATTAATATGTGAATTCAATATTTTCTAGTTCTCTCTTTATTGGTATTAATTTTAGGCGCCAGGAATCCAGTCATTTATTTGTTTAAATTATTATTATTCTTACTATAAGAAGAGTTTCTTTTTTTCTCTTAAGATGCCTATTAGGACAACCTAGATTAATATTGCATAAGTAAGGGAGCTCTTATAGTTTAAAAATTGCTTTGCTTAGTAGTGGCTGGTATGTCTGCTGTTTTTTGGGGGATAGCAACTCCTATGAATTTCTCCTCCTTTATAATTTCATCTTTAATCCATTCGAATTTATAATCCCATTCAAAACCTTGGTTTTCTAAAGGCTTCCTAAAACAATCAAATATTTTTAATACTCTAAATAGATTCCTAATGTAATTCATAATCTGGTTTGTCTTCAAACTTCAAATTTCTGCAATATCATAGAAATTGAGTCAATTCACTAGGAAACCCCTTACACAACTATTCAGGAGTTGTTTCTTGCTTTTTTTCCATAATTTTTTAATATTTCTCTTTTTGATTGGTTGCTTTCATGTTTTGCCATGGTAATTGTCCTCTTAATAAATACATTAAGACATAGCCAAGAGATTCTAAGTCATCCCTTCTCGATTATTCTAATCCAACATGTGTATTAATGGATGCATATCTGGCAGTTCCAGTTAAACTTTTCCCTTCCTTATAAGGAATGTGTCCTTCTTTGGTTATATACCTTTTGGCCAACCCAAAGTCGACAACATAAAGTCTTGAACTCTTGCTGCCAACTCCAACTAAGAAATTGTCAGGTTTGATATCCCGATGGAGAAATTATTTTGAATGAATGTATTCGATTCTTTAGATTAACTAATCTGCTAGCATCAGAACTGATTTCAGTGATAGTTTCCTATGATTTTTGTTAAATAGCTCTTCAAGGGATGGTCCCAAGAGATCCATGACGATGTAATTATAATCACCGTCCACTCCTTAATCATGAATTTTTGGAATGCCTTCCTTAGAATTACATAATAAACTTACCTTTATCATACTGATCCTATCCTTAAAGATAATTGTATAGTTTGGCTTCAAAGAATATTTATGGATGTTTGTTATCACTCCTTTCCAGTTTCATGGCATATTCAGATTTAGATTGAGATTGTACCAAGTATATTTCTCCAAATGCTCCAGATCCAATTTTCTTGATTAACTTGAATTAACGTGCAATAGTATTATTAGTAAGGTCTTTTCCTAAAATGGAATCCATATAAAATTAATAATGATCTAAAGTTTAGGGATGCAGACCAAATTTCATAGACAGATGGAGAAAATGAAAGGATTTCTGGTCTCAGCTCGCACTATATCTCCCATAAATGATGATGAACCTATTCGGAAAACTCAGACTCCTTTGATTGGCCAATAAGCCCAATCAATATCATTCAGTGATGAGGAGATGGAAGATGAGGATTTCAAGTAAATAGGGGTTAAGTCCACTAATTTTGAAGACGAGTTTACACTTGGCAAGAAACTAGGCGAAGGCACTAATGGTATCGTCAGAATTTGTTGGAAGAAGGACAATCCTTCATTATTATTTGCTGTTAAAATTGTACAGACTCCAGATGAAGAACAATTAGATATCGTTAGACAAACATTCATCAATTCCACAATCATCAAAAGTCCTTATATTGCAAAATGCTATAAATTATATATTGACATTAATGTAATATATATGGTAATGGAGTATGTCCCATTTCAAAATTTACAATCCATTTTACAACAGAGAATAAAATTAAAAGAGCAGGAAGTTTAAAAAATTGCATGTTCCCTATTGAAAAGTGTTAGGTGTTTACACAGTTGTGGCATTTGTCATAGAGACATTAAACCAGATAATGTTCTTGTTAATCCGAAGTACACAGTCAAACTTATAGACTTCGGAGTTTCTAGAAGATTTGTTTCATTCAATAATAGCACTTTTAGATATATGAGAAATCAGATGCTAACAGTTACTGGTAACCTACATTATCGAGCCCCAGAAATCATGGGTAGCCACATCTATGGATATAATTAGTAAGTGGATATATGGGCTATTGGAGTTATCATGTATTAATCCTTAACTGGTGTCTTGCCATTTACTTCAGATAATACTGCAGACATTGTTGCTTTATTATCCAATACGTATCCTATTTTTATATACCCAGTTAATCAATAAATGAAGCCTTTCAAAAACCTTAGTTTCTATCCTTGTCTTCTAGTTGCAGAGACCTTATCAAAAGACTAATGATGTGGAATCCCTTGAAAAGATTAACAGCCTCTGAAGCTCTCAAACACATATGGATACCTAATATGCAAACTCCCAGAAAACCACTCACCAAAAAAATTACTAAGGATGATATGGATACTAGTAAAATAAGTCAAAATAGTGATCTTCTTAATAAATCATTAATCAATAGTGCCACCATTCTGAATTTTGAGTTACAAAATACACTAATCAAAAGTAAATAAATTGATTCTGTCTTGGAAAACTCTGATATCACTCGATCTCAGAAAAGTCTAGGTTTCTCCATCAAGATCAAAAGGGATAAAGAAATTCAGGATTTCAAAGCCAAATTAAAGCAATTCAAATTAGAAACCTCCACAAAGATATACAAGAGAAATAATTCAAACCAGAATAATGCCATATAATTGGTTGGTGCTTTAGTAGATGATAAAATGAACAGCTCAATTAAACTAGATGATGATGATGATATTTTTGGCATCAAAGTATGTGGTAGTCATCACTCGCTGACACAAATTGATGAACCTATGTAAATTGATCAATAAGCACAGCATAATAAGTTAGATCCCACATTATTACAGAAGCTCTCAGAATTTAATTTGTGATATAATATATAAATAATGAACTCTTCTAAAACTTCAAGAACTATCAAAGCCTTGCATTTAATTCATTTAGAATAAAAAAATTCAGATCTTCTTCATTATCACATTCCTACATTTAGAGGACCTCCTATTCCTATTATCTTAAAACCATCCAAATTATAGCCCACTAAATAATAATGTCCAGCCTCTCTCTAAAACTAAGAAAATGGACAGACAAAGTTATCCGTCGAAAAGAAGATAGTATAATTAAGGAAAGAAATTTTAAATGTCAAATATACAAAATAGAAAGAATTGTTGCAAATAAATCAACTATAACCCAAAGAAAGTGCAGTAGTCTAAGCAGTTGAAAAACCAATTGATTAATAGTCAAAACCTATTAAATATTGCGATAAAAAGCCTAATTCTAACCTTAAATTCTTCGAAAATTTAATCAAAGTTCAAGAAAGGCAACCCTAATAATCAATTATACCAGCGTAAATTAATAAAACTCCAAAATTTAAATTATCAGAAAAATAAGCCTTAACAATAGAAGATCGAATAGATGATAATTAAATGTTACCATAGTGTTTATCATCAATCAAACTAAGAAGTGAACCGAATTCTCCATAAATATTTAAAAAATTCTAATCTTATTAATTTACTTAGAGAAAAGTTAGTTAAGAGAGTATATAAAAACCAAAAAAAATAGAATTGAATCCCTGGTCATAAAATTTAGAAGGTTGGCATGCACCCTAAGCTGATGAAGATTTACCACTATACTATAAATAATGTTTCTGAAATGAATTTAATTTCGACTATAAATTATTGTAATGCAGGATTTGCTCTATTATATAACTGAGGTTAAGGTAAATTTTTGTTATTTTGTTGAAGAATTCATATTTATTCATTAAATTATGCAACATGTTTCCCTTTCCTTAGGTGGTTTTATGTCTTCCTTATTTCTATCATTTTTAGGTTTAATAGGTTCATCTTTGAAGTCTTATTTCTATCCTATTCCCTTAGCAGTTACGTATTATAATTTAGGATTCTATTTGAATGGACACAAGAGCTATTCCATCTGAGTTAATCTTTATTTGAGTTTTTCTTAGAATTTCTAGAAATTATTAATATGACTAGCTTACTTCAATCAATCCACTCTTAAATTCCTTTTGTTACTTGATAATATTGATTCTATCATCATATGAGAGTCTCACATCAAATCTTAGATTTACAGTGACATTATCTATATAAGGAGCATCCAAACTTTAATCCTAGTAATTCACTATTAAGTAGCATTATGGTATGGTTGGGAGTGCAAAATGCCTTGGTCTAATTTATTGATAGATATCAAGAATAGGGATTTTGATTTGAGCTAATTCTTTAAAATCTTCTCCCAAAGTTCTGGCATCTCCCAAATTTTTATCGAGTCGTTTTCCCATCACTACAAGGGTTATAGAATCTATGGTATTATCTAAAGAGACGCAAGTAGATCGATTTGAATTCTCTGGATACAGTGGTTGATAATTTTAATGAATAGTTCCAACTTTGTATTTCAGTTTGTAAAACTATAAAATAGATCTTGGTTGATACTTTTTACATCTCGCTTATCTAATTGACTTGATCTACAAAGGAGATGACTAATGCATTTTCTTGATTATATTCAGGCTTATCTAAGATAAATATTTTATTTTGTATTACTAGCTTCAATGACTTTTGAAAACTTATCGAAATTAGTAAGTTCGTCTTTGAAATAATCAATGTTTTTTTGGAAATCAAGGATTTTCAAATGTATCATTTTTGCTTAATCCAATAGTTTCTGTACAAAAGTATCAATGGTTGCTTCTGATGCAAACTAATTAAATGAAAAATCCTACATTCTCATCGTAAACTTAATCTTGACCAATTGTATCGCTTATGACCTTCCATAAAATGTGTTCCTAGTCCTAATTGATTTCTGGAAAAAACCAAAGTTAATCGTCAAATGCTGAGTCAGCCTTGTAGCCTTTCTGATCAAAGAACTAAAGAATTTCTTCTTTCTTTTATTAAATTATATCCTCGGACTGTTTAATGAAAGATGCATTTAATTGATCTGCCATTTTTAATAAAAATATATTATCGTTTTCATTTGATTCATAACAAATTATAGTTATCCTATAAAATCATTTGTTTCTTTCGCTTTATCAAGTCAAAATAAGTGTGACAAAACAATTTTCCTTTTAAATATTCACATTGAAATCATTATTTACATTTATTGAATTTAATAATTGGTACTCATTCGAAATTTACATCATCAATATTTTACTCACTTTTTAATCAATGAGTTTATTTGTTATTTCATGATAATAACCTAAAGAACAATTCAACTGATTACCTTTAAAATAAAGTCTATTATAAATTCCTTCTTAATAGTCCTTAATTTTTAGAACTTCTTCTTGACTTGATATTATTTCACTATATAAAATCGCATTAGTCTAAACTATTTCCTTAGCTCTTTTGCACTCTTAATACTTCTAATGATTTTTTATGCAATAATTACTTATAGAATCCAATAATATTATTACTCTAATAGATTTATATTTCCAAAGCATAAAATTAAATAGGTTTACTAAGTATTGTATATAGCAATTGTTTATACAAATTATTATTGTAATGATATTAAAAATTAAGTAACTATCTGATTAATATCAAGAACATATCCGAATTTAAATTGATATGACAAATTTTCAGAGTCTATACATCTATAAGAATGAAATAAAGTTTTTGAATGATAATATATTTTGAACAGAAGTTGGAAATACCTTAATTATTCCATCAAATCATTGCTTTTTTACTCTATTGATTATTAAATAACAACTATAATTACATTTAATGAAATCTTTATTTAAATACTAGTGTCTTCATCCATATTTTCTTCACTTATAAATTTAGTAGGAATTTTCCTATCATTGTATTCCAACTATATTAACTCAGGATTCATTTGTTATTTTAATCATCTAGATAAGTGATTGATTATTGTTTATAAATTTATATTTGTATGTAATTTAATATAATACTAAAAAAGCCAATTTCATTTTTTCTAATCTCTAACAGGCAAGAAATATGGATGATCTAAGGCTTCTTTAGGTGTAATTCTTAATGCCTATTTTAGTGAATTATTTTACATGATCATACAACAACATTTTGGATAATAAATCAATAGCCTCTTCTGTGCACAAATGCTTATTCTCTTGATTAATAAACTTTGACCATTCTCTTTTTGGATAACTAAAATCAATTTTAATAACTTACTTTCCCAATTTATTGTCAAATACTGGATCTAATTTCAATCTGTACTTCTTAACGTATGCTAATAAATCTTCAGTCCCCAATACTTTTGCTATGACTACTAACTGGTCGTAATTGTCATTTCCCTAAAAGAATGGCTCTTTCTTGAAAATCTTAAAAATACAATCTTATATAATAGAGTTACCATAGATGCAAGCATGGCTCCACTACTCCAAATATCCAATGAATAATCATAATAAACATTATCAACTAATAATTCAGGACCTTTGAAATATCGAGATGCAACTCTAACGTTATAATCTTGGCCCATGTGATAATATTCTGCTAAACCAAAATCAAGCAATTTCAATAACTTTTTCTAAGGATTCACTATTATATTCTAAGGCTTAACATCTCGATGCATGATTCCTCTAGAATGGCAAAAATCCAAAGCTTTCATTAATTCATATAGATAAAATCGAATTTCTATATCAGTGAGTTTTGGAAAGATGCTTCTAAAATCAACATGATCAATGTAATCAAACACCAAACAAGGAGTTTTAGATGCTGGGTCTCTTACGATGTCACTCAACTCAATGATGTTTGGATGTCCTTTTAATGAAAGCAGAATCTTTGTCTCTCTTTTTATTTTCCTTTTCTTCACAGGCTTCAACACTTTTATTACTACTCTCTAATTTTAAGGGTATCTGATCCCTTCATAAACATCAGAGTATTTTCCTCTTCCAATTTTTCTAATTATTTCATATTAATCATTATCCTAACATTAACAGTAGTCTTACACCCCATTCATTTTCAAAATTATCATAGTCCCAATACTCTTTCGGTTGATTCTTATTATAATCCGCATACAATTTTGGTTTAGCTTACACTATTTAATTCATATACAATTATATTATAAATAAATATTTAAATCAGGCTGGTTAACATTTGACCAACATTATAAAAATATATTTATACTAAAAATCATATATCTTTCTATCCATACTTTCCATTCCCCTATGAAATTAGATAAAATATATTTTTATTATCCAATTATGTCATATTAAACCAATCCTAAAAATAATCATATATAAAATTATATTAATCTATAAATACAAATTTTCAGAATTTCTGGATTATTGTATTAAAATAAATTAATAAAATGATCAACGAAACATTCCTAAATCATGAGCCTGAGCACTTTTATGACTACTTTCCAACTAGTGTCTCATGTCCTCAATCAGAATTAAGCGATTATGAATCTCCAATTAGATAACATTATATTAGTTCTTTATGCTTCTAAATTAAAAAGTACTAAAAATAGAAAAATATTACTTAGAAAAATCAAAAGATAATAGAATCGACCGAGTTTTTTGAAAATTGAAGATAGTGGAAGAAATGTAAAATTATATTCATGCTCTCTTTCATCTAATAATACAGAGAAACCTGAAAATGATACTAAATGAAAAACTATACGTAAGCCTTTCAATTCTGATTTATATGTCATATTAACTTCCTCTAATTAAAACTTAAAATCAATCTTATTGGGACTTCTTTCTGAGTTCTCAGTCAAGCTAATTCAAGATTAAAAATATTTTTAGACTATTTAGAAATAATCATTTTTAAATAAAATTTTTGAACTTCAAAATGAAATCAATAATCTCATGGGTAAAATATAAATTAAAAAGGAATTTGTGGACAAGAGTGAGAAATAATAAGTAATATGATCTAAGTGGTTTTTTACAGACTTAAAATAAAATTTGATTATTTGATATAGTTTTCATGTTAAATTTGAGATGTTTGAGGAAGTAAAATTCTGACATTTTTAAAGTTAAATTATATAAAAGTGTTCTTTATCATAATGAATAATTATTTATTAATCTGCTTAAATAATAAGTAAAATCTAAAAATAGTATTGTAACAAGGTGTTCAAACAACTGGAGGTGAAGATTTAATTTGGGTATACATGATATCGATAAATCAAGGAGTTTTAAATGGATTCATTGAGGGATTTGAAGGAAAGGGAATTAGTTTTCTTCTTGAGAATATAAAGTTATTATTTATCGTTTTTATTTTATAAATAATATATGAGTTCACTCATTATGTATGAAGATGAAGCGATTGATCATTATAATGAGTATTTGATGAGCAAAAGGAAAGAAGTAACAGAAATAAAGAATTATAAATTCAATGGGAAATTCAATTCAAAGCCAACGAAAGCATTCAAATTAAAAAATAAGAAAATTCATTATTTAACATAATCACAGATATTGGCTTTAGTAGTTTTAACATTTGCAGTTGAGTATGGTATTTTATACACGTATAGTGAGGGTTTGCAATTGAGATGGTTTTTATTTCTCCATTGTTTTTGAAATTGGACACTCCAGAACTTTTGGACTCTTCAATGTAATAAATTACAACAATATTCCAGTTGGTTGTTTCCTCCTGTAATTAATTTATTAATCTATCCTTTTATTCGATACTACAGCGAAAGCAAATCACATTAATTAAAAAACGCAATGATTTATTTCATCATAGTTTCCATAATGGGAATAGGACTGTTAGCTGATACAAAGTAAAGTCTATGTATATTTAGATCATTGTATGTGGATTCAATAAATAAAAAAACATCAGTTCTTATAATTTCAATCATAAGTTTCACAGTGATGGATGTGGGCTTAGAGATGCTGGGAGTATGTGTTCCATTTGTATAAATAGTTTGCTTGTTCGGCTCTGTTAGAAGATTACGTAAATCCAAAGCAACAGTAAAAAGTGTAGTCCTACCGAACATTTGTAGATTCATTTGGTAAATTTACAGGATTCTTAGTTTCGAGTGTCTTGGCATTCAATTTTATATATTTGAACTTTGATAATTTCATAGAGAACTTATCATTCGCATATCTAGTAGGATTGATAATGATATTGATTGGATTTGGAATGGTTCTAATATCATTCCCACGCAAAGGATTGGATTTAGTCTAATCATAGCACAAGATGAGATTTAGCATCAATTCATTTTTGCCCGGAATAACATTTCTTTTGTAAATATCTTGATAATATTACTAAGTCAATTGCCCTAGAATATGAAGATATTTTTGTTATCCCATTTTTTTACTTGTGGATCCCAATTGTTTGTATCAGTCTACGCAACTCTATGGTCAGGCATAACCATGTTGGAAGAGGGTCCTCAATAGTATAATGAAGCTATAAGGAATATAGTATTTGACATAGGAATTAGCTGGGGTATTGTTTCAATATTATACAGAGGGGCTTTGGCATTGTGTATGAGTGCGATACTTCATCTCTTAACAACTTTGTTCTTAAAACAATTGGGAAATCGTTACACAAACACAATTTATATGATCGTGAATGCCTTGGCTGGGGCATCTCTGTTATATACTTGGTCAGTTAATGAATTCTATTCAATTTTTATCACTCTTCCATTTTGGGGAGTGCAAACAGCTGTTTTGAGTGAATTACCCTATAAATTAGCAAACCAATTAGAAGATGATGTATGGATTCATTGATTATTTTGATTAGCAAGTTAGGGATACAATCAAGGGGCTCTTACCTTAGATGCTTAATTTAACAACCTTTTTTTCTTAAGCATTTATGTTTTTCATTATCCCATTAGGTTTTTTATTGTTTTCTAGTGTTGATGACATTTCAGTGAGCATGTTCATGAGTGGGATTTTCAGTTTAATAGGATCATTTTTAGTTTGCTTTTTATGAAATATTATTAATAAATTTATATAATTCAATATTTTATTATTATTATTTATATTATAAATAAGTAGTCGAAATCAATATTAGGTTAGAATTTCATAATGAATATATAAAATTTGAGTTTGAAATATCAATTCATAAACTATCATTAAAGTATAAAAAAATTCAAAATCACTAGCATAAGGATATTACTGTATGTAAAATCACAAAAGCCTGATACTAGTTTATAGTTATCATCACATAATGTACAGTGATTGAAGGAACTACATTCTTTGCAATTCTAACAATAACAAAATAACATACTCCTGGACAGCCTACACAATACTTTATCGACTCGTAAGTGTATAAATTTGAAGGGCATTTCTCGTAGCACTCTCCTTAATAACGATATCCGTCACATTTTATATTACAATCTTTACCAGAATAACCATTTGTGCAAATACACTTAGATAATGAGAATGTTAATACCTCCTTATTGACACATACACCCTTCTCATTACAATGATTAGGACAATAATTATCATTCTAGCAAATTGTTTGAGAATTTGAGGGACATGTTATGTTTCCATAATAGGCATTATCATATAATTTATCAAATTATGAACAATTTACACTTAATTCGCCAACGGTTATAATCATATTATTGTCTACATCACAATGAAATTTTTAACAACTGAAATTAGATATATACTTTTATTTAGATAGAGAACCCTAAACACAAATACTATCATCTCCAAAATGTTGTATTATTTTTTATCCTGGTTTCATCTAACTAGGATCTTTGCAGTTATAATCTTCGATTACCAAAAAATTTTTGCATTCTCCACTTAGTTTACTCTTTTCACAAGACCCAACCCCAGAATTAGTAAATGAACAACCTTTTTGATTTTCAATTTAACAAAATTCAGTAAATTAATGATTATCACATCTCCTTTATAAAAAATCACATCCTTGATGTTTTCCATAATAGATTTAATCAGTTTTGTGTTCAGCTAGCTAATAGAACCCTGTATCTTACAAAAACATTAAGGTCAATGTTGTTATCATAATATCGTCAAAATGAGTTCCTTACATTAAATCATTCAAAAATATTTCATTTTCAAAATGCTTCCCAGCAGTTGCCTCTTATCCTTAATTTTCCAACTAAATTCCTTAAATATCTCCACAATCAAAGTAGAATTTTAAATATTCTTTTGATCTACTTAATATTAGAAATTCTGTTGTTGTATTACTGGAGACGACACTTTTATAAACTTCTCCAGTAGATGAATTGTAGAATAGTTAAAATACATTTTTATCAAGTCCCAAACAATGAATAGTTTCATGTATCAGAGTCTTAAGCATTTTCTAATGATTGAAAACTGTTGTGGCAAATTATAATCCATTCTTTAAATAAAGTTAGCAAACATTTGGCCTTTTAGTGATTGAATCAAAATGAATAGAATCACACGTAGCTTTATAATCTGTCATATTCTTAGTACCTACAAAAACAAGCTTAGAATCAATAATGATATCTTACAGTATCAAATTCATTAGTTTATTCCTTGAAGACTTCCTCATCTAATTAATCTAGTGCCATTTTAGAAGCGATTGATTCCACGTCAATTTTTTCTGGGTTCCTTCTTACAAGAAGGGTTTTCTCGAAATATAGAGATACTTATTTTAACAATTCAACCAATTTATCATTATATTCTACTTACTTTATAATTTGAAAGTAAATCCTTAGAGGGTACCATTATAGATTAGTCATATTTTAATTTGATAAATTGCTTTATTATTCCGCTTTGGCAAAGTTTAAAGAACAATAGAAGATTAAATATAAGAGTGTTCTCATTATTTAATTTTTATTTATAATAAATCTATAAAAAATATATTCTATTTAAAATTTATACATAGTTTTCACTGCCAAATCTTCAATAATTAAAATCGAAGGATTACCGTTTAACTTACTATCATATTTTTTTCGATAAATTCCACCTTAAAATTAAATTACCATTTATGAAATTATTCATAATTTAGGATCTATATAGATTCAGAAATTAATTCTCTAAGAATTTTCTGGAAATTATAGAAATGCAACCAATAACACTGAGTTATATTTTAATATGAATTATACTTCAACACAATTATAAGATAAAAGTTCAAACTCTATAAAATTTAGAATCAGTGAAACAATAAAATTAAAATTAAAATAATCAAAAAAATTTAGACTATCAAATATTTATTAAGTTTGAATATCATAAAACATAATTGCTCTCTCTAATTCAGTATGTCAAAATTAATTTATTACATTCCTTGATTAGGGTGGGTAGTTAATAAAAATACCAATTATATATTCCGAAAATAGATGAAAGCACAAACTATTCTTTTTCTCATGAAAAAAATCTAAATTTTTTTTATTCTTAATTAAATTAGATTCTCTATTTTAAAGATCATAATAGTTTGATTATGAACTTTATCCTTATCAACCCTAGAATCAAACATGATTATAATATTTATCAGATATTTTTTTACCATCCCGTTCAGGCGTTTAATTTTAGCATACGGTTTCATTTTAAGTATTTTGAAAGCTTCTAATAATTAAAATTTTGTGTCATCATGTCGTTTCTTCAATATAATATAATATAATATGATAATTTAATATTTTCCTTGTTTCTTAATTCTAAAAGGTTATTTTTATCTTAGAAATTAGATGATATTCATCTATTAATCTTCATTCCATGAAGTTTAATTAGGGAATTACAACTCATATGAAATGAATATTTTTATTATATTTATAATTCTATCAATTATGTCAAAGTTTAAGGGTGAATATTCTGTGGAAGAAGATCCTTTAGGAGAAGGATAATTTGGTAAAGTACACAAAGCTAAATCATTAAAGAATTAATAGTTAAGCGTTTGTGTAAAAATAATGAAAAAAAAGAAACAATTTGGTGAGCATCTTCTACAAACAGTTCAAGTGCCAGAATTCGATATTTGTAAGATGATGGTGGGTAAAAAATATGAAAATTTGGTTTAAATTTATGCAGTTTATGATTCTGATGTAGAAGATGACCATGCCTATATTTTCATGGAAAGATGCGATTAAAGTCTAAGATAGCTAATTAAAAGAAAAAAAAATGAAGAAAATAAATTATTTACAAAGGATGAAATATTTTATATAGTAAGTAAAATAACCTAGGGTTATCTTTAATTGATTTCTGCAAATATTATTCATAGAGATCTAAAACCTGAAAACATTTTATATAATATGATTGACAATTAATTATAAATAAAAGTATTAAGATTTACCTTATTTTAAGATTGCTGATTTTGGTTTGAGTAAAGTAATGGATCCATCATCAAGTGGATAAATGACAAAAAAAGTTGGAACTTAGTATTATTGTGCTCCAGAGATTTCGAATGAATAAGATAAAAATGCTTACAATTATGAATGTGACATCTTTTCAGTATAATAAAAAATATTTAATAGCTTGGAGTAATCATATTTGAATTGGCAATCTTAGAAAGATAATTTAAACATAGATAAATAGAAAAGCTCAAGGATACCAATTTCTCTAAATTATATGAAGATGTTTTGTAGAAAAAAGAAATAGATAAAGAGATTATAGAATTATTGGATAAAATGATTACTTGGGACCCAAAAAATAGATTAACATGGCAAGACTTATCATCATATTTTGATTAAAAACAAAAATAATAGAAAGGTTAATTTCCACCATCATAATAATTCAAGCAATAATTCAATAATCCACAACAAAAATAACCCTAAGCTAACGCATAGCCATAGCTATAAAATTAATACAATGGGAATCTTTAATAGTAGGTATTTCCATTCCCAATAGGACAACAAAACTAGGCCAATTAAAATAATTAAAAAAACAAATTTTAAGCAAATTAAGTTTTTCCACAATAACCATCAGTTTTTCCAAATAATTTTCCAAATTTGCAATAAAATCAAAATACAAATCCTAGATTTTAATCTGTCACAAGTGGATAATAATACTAATAATAATAATAGTAATAATAATATTAATAGTAATAATAATTTTAATAATAATAATAATTTTAATAATAATAATTTTAATAATAATAATAATAATAATAGTAATAATAATAATAATAAAAATAGTAATAATAATAGTAATAATACTAATGGTAATAATAATTAATATTATAATAATAATAATAGTAATAGCAATAATATTAGCCCTAACAACAATCATAATTAGGATAATTACCATAGTTTGCACAATAAGTCTAACCTCCATAATAATTCCAATTCAAAATGGCATATAACCCAGCTGTAACAATTTAAGGTTAGCCAAATCCTCCTCAACCTATTTAGCTCTAACCTAATTCTTAATAAATAAATCCTTAAACTTAAAAATAAAGATTTACAACAGTAAACTAAGGGCAAGGATGGAAGAAATGAAATAATATAATAAAAATCATTATATTTGTTTAATTTCTTCATTCTCTATATATATGATTAAGTAAATTACAGTTGATGAAACTGAATAGGAATATTAAACTAATCATTCGATAAGCAGTCGTTACAACAAAATTTAATCAAATTATAGATTAGACTTTACACTTTTCTAAATTTAAATAAATTTTCTTTCAATTTATATTTTCACAAGAAAAGTTATATGAAATATGAATTTCTAAAATAGACATTTCAAATTAACAATTATTTGTTTAGAGATTTCAAAATATAAGTATGGCAATCAAAATTAAAATTAGCCTTACTGGACAACATATAACGAATCATTACAAGAAATTGATAAAATAAAATTGTTTGCAAGTTTGATTCTAATGAATTATTTAGGAATCATAGTTTTATATAATAATAATCAATTTTGTGATTTCGTTAAAACTTTAATACGTATAGAAGATCTTTTTAATAAGGCCATGATTGGATTTACAGCTTAATAAAATTCTCCATCCACCTAGAAATAAGGAGAGACATTTTTTTTAAACGAGATCAAAAATGGTCCTTCTCCCTAAGCAATCCGAACTGCATTTCCATGAATAAACCTACAAATAAAAACAAAATAACTAACCTTTCATTAGCCATCCCTATCATGGAATTAAATCCTACAAACTCTATTTTTCCATCTCCGAAATCCTAATTGACAAATTTATCTTAGAGTTTCTGAGTACCTTCTTTGACAGCAACCTTTCCTCTGCAATTATCCCATATAGCTCCAGCTCCTCCAGAGTATGATTGGATATTTAAACAAAGTAATGTAACTGGATCTCCACTTAGTATAAATTTGGATTCATTTAAAAGCTATTGATCTTCAGGTTGATTTTGACCTTTCGTCTTAAATAATACGTCAGTAGGAGCATTGGTAATTTGTTCGATGGTTAAATTTTATTCTTTTAAGACTTGCATTCCAGAGATGACTTAATTAGTGGTTGGATTCTTAAGACACATTTTTTTGATTCCCTCACAGAAGTAAACACACTTATTGCAACATGCAGATTAGGTTCTCTTCTTATCAAATCCAAATCCAATACGAGCATCTACTCCAATGGAAAAATAATTTGACATTCTTTTATCGAGTTATTTCAAGATATCTTTGTCTTTTTAGAGAACCTCTTTTTGGAATAGATCTCCTTATTTTTTAATTCTTTTAAACGATCCAGTTTATGCATCTACAGTAACACTTATTTCCCATAGATCGAAATCATGTATTTTGGCATTGAGCCATTATGATATTTGCTGTTTGAAGTTTCTCAAGCATGCCCCCAAGTCTCCATCTGTATCTCCGCCCCAACCTAGGACCCTTGAAAAATCATTTCCTGTTCCAAAGGGAATTATGCCAATAGGACAACTAGCAAAATCAACATTATGTTTATGCATTTCATCAACTACCCACATAACAGTGCCATCACCTCCACAAACAATTACTCTGACTTACATATTTCTTTATAGGAATTCTTTAATTCTTTTTAGATTCATTTCTACTTAGTCTCGTTGGAGCAGACTTGTGAAATAGACATTGATCGGTTTTTGATTAAGATTAAATTTAATTGTTTCTGCATCCAATTAAAGATACACTCCTGCCCGATTTCCACCAGAAGTGGGATTTACAAATAGAAAAAAAGCAAATTCCATATATAAAATTAATAATATGTCAATAACAAGATTAGGCGTATGCACATTAAATTAATGGGCAATGGACTTTACTCAGAATGTCTAAAATATTATAGAAAGCATAGAAATTTGCAAAAGAAAACAATGTTTATACCGCTTAGGACCAGAATTGGAGATATGTGGGTACATGTGTGAAGACCATTTTTTGGAATCCGATACAGTTACCCATTGTTGGTATGAACTTGATTCTAAGTTATAGGGAAGCATTAGCAGAGATACTTCCTCATACAGCTAACATAGTTTGTGACATAGGGATGCCAGTTATCCATAAAAGTGTGTTTTACAATTGTAGAGTGATTTTGCTAAACAAAAAGATTCACTTGGTTAGACCAAAAATGTATTTGGCAGATGATGGAAATTACAGAGAATCTAGATATTTCACTCCATGGAGTAAAGAAATTGAGGATCTTGAACTTCCTCCAATCATTTAAATAGCCACTGGATAGAAATGTGTACCCATTGGAGTTGCTATTTTGCAAACTCACGATACAGAAATTGGTATAGAAATATGCGAAGAAATGTGGACACCCATTCCCACTAGTGCAAATCAAGCATTAGATGGAGCAGAAATAATTCTCAATTCAAGTGGATCTCATTATGAAGTTGGTAAAATTAAAGAAAGAACAGAATTATTCAAAGATATAACAAAGAGAAATGGTGCATGTTATGCGTTTTGTAATCTGAGAGGATGTGATGGTAATAGATTGTACTTTGATGGATGTTCATGCATTGTGTTGAATGGTAAAGTATTTGCCAAAAGTGACGCATTCTCACTTAAAGATGTAGAAGTAACAACATGTGATATTGATTTACAAGAAGTTAGGAACATTAGAATTAACATCAAGAGTAGATCTCTTATGGCTTCCAAATAAAAGCATTTCCCAAGAGTCAAGCTTGACATCAATCTGACCTAATAATAGAATTACATTTATTACCATGATATTCCTATCCAATACGAATCGGAAATTGAAGATTCGACAGCCTGTTACTTATGGGATTACATGAGAAGATCTGGAGCCTGTGGATTTATGCTTCCATTATCGGGAGGCTTGGACAGCAGTGCCACTGCACTAACTGTATTTTTTATGGCGAACAAAATCTTCAAAACTATTAACAATGTTGATAATGATTACTAAACTCATATCAAAGTATTGTAATAATTACGTAAAATTGTAGAAGATGATACCTTCACTCCTAAATCTCCATAAGAAATTGTTAATAAACTATTCTTTACTGTTTATCTTGGGTCTGAAAATTCAACATAGGATTCTAGAGCTAGATCAAAATTATTAGCTGAGTAAATAGGCAGTAGACATTACGAAATCGAAATTGATTAGGTTTGCAAAGCTTGTACATCCTGTATAAAACCTATTTTAAAAAAGGAACCTTAATTTGTTTCAAATGGAGGATCTCTATCAGAAGATCTAGCCTTATAAAATATCTAAGCAAGATCAAGGATGATTCTTACTTATTTATTGGCCTAATTAACCCCATGGAATAATGGAAAAAAGGGATTTTTGATTGTACTTGGATCTAGCAATTTAGATGAATCTATCCGAGGATTCTTTACTAAATATGATTGCTCAAGTGCTGATATCAATCCAATAGGTAGTTTAAGTAAAAATGACTTAAGGGAGCTTCTTTTATTTTGTTACAAGACTTTTAACTTTTCAGCCATTTAATTAATTTTAGAAGCTAAACCATCACCAGAATTAAGACCTTAAACAGCTGAAGGCCATATTTCAGAAAATGACATGGAATTAACATTCAATGAATTGGAAACATTTGCAAAATTGAGAAAAGTGTAGAAACTGGGGCCAGTTAGTATGTTTAAAAAGTTGAGATATCTTTGGTCCAATTTGACTCCATAACAAGTAGCTGAAAAAGTGAAGAAATTCTTCATGTTTTATGCCTTAAATAGACACAAGGTGGTCACTATTACTGCTTCATTTCATGCCTAAGCATTTTCACAAGATGACAATCGCTTTGACTTTAGGCAGTTTTTATATAATTGGAGATGGCCTTGGCAATTTAAGAAAATAGATGAGAATTTATAATGAAAAATATTATATTTTTCATAAGATATTATATTATTTATTTTATAGAATTCATAATGTATTAATAATCAAAGTCTTATCGGGGATAAGGATTTTATAATAGTAAAAGCAGGATATACTCCTTTTGTAATTATTACCTTCTTAATAGGGCTACTGCAGGGATCAACAACTGCACTCACCATTCCTCGTTTTACAGTTCTTTATTCACTTATTCTCTTATCAGAGTCAAACTAAGAAACTTTCATCTACTTAGATTCTTAAATAGAATGATACAATTAGGAAAGAATCTCCTTTTGGGCTGCTAATTGTAACTTAATTTCTTGGATATTTTGTTTTGTATCTGATTAGTCATCTAAAATGGTTACTTGAATATTTTCGCTCATTTAATCTGGTTTAATTTGTAATTATTTATCAGAGAAGCTGACTTAGCCAGGCAGAGAATGCTAAGAGGGACAAGCCACAAACTTTAATTCGGCTTTTGAAAATTATTGTTGAGTTTATTTTTTCATCAATTAATCTATTGATTCTTCATTTTTACTTTAATTCTGTTATTTTCTTTTTTATTGAGTATTTTGTTAATTCTATTTTAGAACATTGTTGTCCTTTTAATTTGGTATTTATTTTGACAAAATAGACTCCTATGGTGTTTATTTATTAAAACTATTTTATTGATGTTGGAACTGATTAGAAATAATAGACATCTATTGTGAACTAAATGACTAGTCTTAGTAGTTATCCTTGTTTGATAGTTGATCCGACTTATTTTAGATATTAATGAACTCACCCTTAACTTATTATTAAAGATTTTATGGCTATTCTTTTTCTTAAATGACTGATGGTTGTTTTTATGGATAAAATTATTCTTAAGATTTTTGTTAATAGAATGAATGCTATTGATTTGAATAATTTCGTTAGCTGGATTGGTGTGATTGCGACCTTTGTTATTTATTTTCTCCAGAATATCTTGATTGTCTTGATTATCTAGATTATCTTGACTAAGCGTCTTACATTTTATCAATTTGCAAGTTATCTAATTCACTATGAGAAACAGGTTATTTTTTAATAATTGAGTCAGCTCTTGATTTATTTGCCTCATCTTGTTATTGACTTGATCTTCTGTTATTCAATCTATCATTTACATTCACATTATCTAAACTCTAAATATCATTAAAGAACATAGACTATTGGTTATTTGTTATTTATGATTATTCAAAGTGAGGAGAATTATTTTAATTATCTCTGTTAAATGAATCCTCCTACTTTTTTTTCAATTCACTTTTCAATACATCACTTACTGTTTTAATAAAATCTTAATGACAGCTTTCTGACTATTATTGAGGATAACTTTCTTATGAATCTATGGAGGCATTAGTTTTATATCCTGGTCTACTTTATGATATTTGATTCTCTTCCTCTAATTATTATTGTTGCATTTTAAGTTATTCTAATTCTCGTTATTATAGCTCTATCATCTATTACATATATAATTGTTGTTGTTTAATCAACTTCATTTGAGTATCATCCCCAATGTCAAATTTATCAAAATCAGTTTGAGATTAGCTTCTTTTATGTCTATGAAATTTGATTTGACTTGATTGATTTGATTCAACCTAATTAAAGATAGCTGTATTTCTCATATCTAAGGCAAAGTCTTATTAACAGAAACTCAATTTTTTGTTGTGATCAATGTCTTATTATTATTATTATTATTATTATTATTATTATTATTACTATTACTATTATTATTACTTTTATTTCTACTATTAAGATGGATGTGATTATTATGATTAATTAAATTGTTATGACTATTATGATGATTCTTCTAATTGTTGGAATTTACTTTATTCCTAATGATCTCTATGAGATTATTAGGGAGTTATTTGTTTAGAAGCTACTTAATTTATGGATTTGATAGAAATTCTTTATGATACCGGCTATGAAGACTGATAAGATCGTTTTGAATCTCGCTGTTATGAGAATTCTTTAATTTATCTAGATTCCCATAATTATTATGATTATTAAGATGAATCCAAAGGGTGCTATTCTGTTTTTTTACTATCCAATTTTTGGTGTTTATTTCCTTCACTTTTTAATTTATTTTAATCCTCAATTTCGTGTTACTATTAGAACTTTTTGAGACCTTCAGATGATTTACACCTAGATTGTTAGGATGATTTGGATTGTTATATTTGTTCAGGAGTTTTGATTTGTTTTGATTGATAGGATGATCTTGATTAATCCAGCATTGACTTTTTAGATTACTCCATAGATTGTTCTTTTTGGTATTATTTGGATTTTTAAATAATCTAGTCTATGTGGTCCTTTGGTGATGACTACTACTTTTCTTAAAACAACTCACTCCTCTAACTTGAATGATCTTCGCAATCAAATATCACCTGACTTTATTAAGACTAGACACTTTTTGTGTGATCAAAAGGCTTTGTAAATTGAGTTTAAAGCTTTTTTATTTCTTCCACATATGCTGATTAGTTTAAATTGCTTGATGATTTATTATTGATGGAATCCTTCTTCTTTGTACTTTAAATTAGATATTACTTTGAATTAGAATGAGACTTTCTTGAATTCTTCTAATTAGACTTTCTTGAATTCTTCTAAGATTAAATAGACCTTTTTGGTTAAGATTGTTCATTTTAATCAATATCTCTCAATTATCCTTTATAATACTTTATTAATTAGATGCTGTTTCTTCCAGGAGAGGAGTGTTATTAACTACCATGTAAGGCATCTGATATTCTCTAATACGAATTTGTCATAGAGTTTTGAAAATACTTATAATTTGATAGCTTACTCTTTCTTTCAGGACTAGGAGAAGCACTAGTCTATCTTTAGATGGGTTCCTATCTTTAAAATTGGATTTCAAACAAGTCTTCAATCTCCTTAATATTGTTAAGGGTAATAGGTTGTCTGATTTAGATTGGATTTTTATGATCGCTATAGGGAACTATAAGGTGATAATAAAATTAAAATACACATTAAATCTTTGGGTGAAGTGCAATTTTTAACTAATCCACTTTGAAAGATTTCAATCAATTCTCCAAATCTCCACATTCCTTTAGCCCATTATAATTCATCTTCCTTAAATAAATAAATGCCTCTTCCATGTTACTTACCGTTTTCAAAGTAACCTTAATAAACTTCTCCTGTTGGTTGCTGTAATCTGCCTAGACCATTCAAGATTCCATCTTTAAATTGTCCGCATTGAAATAATCCATTTTTAGGAACAAATACGCCTAATCCATTAGGTGCAACCTTATTTGCTGCGTTCTTTCCTGTTACACCATAGAATGTTCCATCTAACCAATCAATTGTTTATAAAGCAGTGCTATTGTAACATTAAACACTCTTTAAGTTTGGAATTTCGCATGATTATTCTCTTTAACTAAGACCTCGAGTTGGTTTGCCATCTTAAAATGCGATTGTAACTTCTCCTTACTTGAAATGGGCAGTCATGTTTCCATTGGGTAAACCGTTGAGCCATTTACCATAATATTTTGCTTGTCTTGTTTAAATGAGACAATTTCCATGTAATTTAGCTGTGTTAAATTATCCTTAGATGGTTGTTTTGGGAGGCAGGAAGAGTATTCCATTGCCATCTATTTAATCTGATTTCCATTCACCAAAATAGGCAGATCCATTCTCCCATAAATAAACTCCGATCCCTTGTTTATATCTGGATTGCAATGTTTGTCCTTGGTAGATTCCATCTTTGAATTCAAGTTGAGTAATTATACTATTGCGCATTGCCGTTAATATTATAATATTAGGAGGGGAAAATAATAAATAAAAATTTAAATTCTGTAATGCCTCGCGAAATCATCACACTTCAAGTTGGATAATGTGGTAATCAAAGTAAGTGTATAATCAATCCTTTTTAGTTGGTATTGAGTTTTGGAAATAGTTAATCAAGGAGCATGGTATAAATAATGAGGGAATTTTGGAGGAATTTGCACTCCAAGGAGATGATAGGAAGGATGTGTTCTTCTATTAGGCAGACGATGAGCATTACATACCAAGAGCATTATTGATCGACATGGAACCCAGAGTTATCAATTATATATAGACTTCTCAATTTTCTACTCTGTTCAATCCTGAGAATATATTCATTTCAAAAGATGGAGGTGGAGCAGGCAATAATTGGGCATGCGGTTATTCATAAGGAGAGAGATACTAGGAAGAGTTGATGGAAATGATCGACAGAGAAGCCGATGGATCAGACAGTTTGGAGGGATTTCTAATGCTTCATTCAATTGCTGGTGGTACAGGTTCAGGATCAGGATCATACATATTGGAGAGATTGAATGATCGTTTTCCCAAGAAAATCATATAAACATACTCTGTGTTCCCTAATCAAAATGAGACAAGTGATGTTGTTGTTCAACCCTACAATTCTCTACTCACTCTTCGTAGATTAGCCTAGAATGCAGATGCAGTAGTTGTATTGGACAACACAGCCTTGAATAGAATAGCTGTTGACAGACTCAAAATACCCATTCCAACTGTATCTCAGACCAATTCTCTGGTGGCAATGGTCATGGCAGCTTCTACCACTACACTTAGATATCCTGGATATATGAATAATGATTTAGTTAGTATTTTGGCTGGATTAGTACCCACCCCTAGATGTCACTTTTTGATGACTGGATATACTCCTTTGACTATTGATAGACATGTATAATTTTACATATTAAATTTAGATTTCATCTGTAAGAAAAACTACAGTCTTGGATGTCATGAGAAGACTACTCTAGACTAAGAACATTATGGTTTCAACATCTACGAAGAATGGAAATTATATTTCAATTTTGAACATCATTCAAGGGGATGTGGATGCTACTCAGATCCATAAAAGTTTGTAAAGAATTAGGGAGCGTAAACTTGCTAGTTTCATTGAATGGGGTCCCACTTCTATTCAAGTAGCTCTTTCAAAGAAGAGTCCATACATCGAGACTTCTCATAAGGTTAGTGGACTTATGTTGGCTAATCACACGAGTATTCATTCAGTATGATATTTATGAAACGGTTTTAGCTTTTTGATAGAATATTAAAGCAATATCACAAGTTGAGAAACAGGAATGCTTTCCTCGATTAATACAAGAAGGAGGCTATGTTTAAGGATTCATTGGATGAGTTCGATGAGTCAAGGGAGTGTTTAGAATAGCTTATTAGCGAATACAAGGCAGCTGAGTCAAAGAATTACTTGGATTGGGGCAACGACGACAATATGAGAATCGAAGAGTAACAGTGAAAATTTATATATTTTTATTAATTAAAATAAATGGGTAATTGTACTAAGATGTGTTATGTTAGTGAAGGGGTACAATAGCTTACAAAGAAGGAGGAATTTGCAATTGAAACTGGGATTAAGAGTGATGATCTGATCATGCACTCGACCCAAGGGAAATCAAAGGAGAACAAGGAGGATTAATATTCTTAATGTTCAAACAAAAGTGCTCTTCCTTAAATAATTTCAATCGAAGATGAACTCTTAATTTAATCCACTCTGAACTCAAGTGTTCCTGCCAAACTGAGAAAAATACTAATGGAGAGTGATGCTTACTATGAGGGAGAGTGGATGCAAGGGAAACGTTGGGGATAGGGAGAGCAGAGATGGCCAGATGGGTATGACATATCTTATTTTTAAGTGTCTAGGTCAACTTATAAAGGGGAATGGTAGAACAATAAGGCTAATGGGTATGGTATTTTGACTCATTCAGATGGAGATGTTTACAAAGGAGAATGGGTAAACGACCAGGCTCATGGAAAAGGAGTCTACATAAACTTTAACCAAGCGAAATATGAAGGCGACTGGGTCGAAGATAGACAAGATGGATACGGTGTTGAGAGTTGGCCGGATGGTTCTATTTTTGAAGGTAGCTGATTGATAATATATCTATGCTCAGGGCATTACAAATAAGGTAAGAAGGAAGGATTTGGAAAGCTAACATATCCTGATGGTTCTAAGTACGAAGGCAATTTTCAAATGAATAATCTGCATGGACAAGGAAAGTACGTTTGGCCTGACGGGAGAATATACGAAGGTGATTGGGTCAATAATTAAATGAATGGGAAGGGAATGATGAAATGGGAAGATGGTATGGAATGCAGCATAATCTAGGGAGGCAGTATGAAGGAGAATATAGAGAAGGATAGAAGCATGGGTTTGGGACGTTGATATGGGAGGACGGTCATAAGTATGTGGGTTAATGGGTGATGGGAAAATAGGATGGGGCAGGAGAATATTTCTTTACGAATGGTACTTCTCGTAAGGGAGTGTGGAAAGAAGGCAAGCGGATTTAATGGGATTGATTATTTAATAAATACTATGTAAAATCATAATCCTAATGATGAACTCAATTTAGAGAACGACAAGTTTTCTAAATAGTTGGATCAGGATGGTAATAAGCTTTGATAATCTATCTAGAACGCATTTTGTTGTCATGCAACTTGTTTAAGTTTAATGATTACAAGAAGAGACAAGAACGTAGTTTGCTGGTGTCAACAAAGAATGTCATAAACCTGAAAGGCACATGTATAATCTTTATTAATGCTCATTCGCTAGCCATCAAGAGGAAGATTCCATACAACAAGATAAAGGCCATTACATTGTCCTCCATCGGTACGGAATTCGTGATCCATGTTCCAGATGAATACGATTACAGATATAGCAGTTATGACAAGTAAGTGATTTACCGAGATCTCTTTTTAGACGCAATAAAATCGTGTCCAAGATCTTAGAAGGCTATTGTCTCTTCACTAAAGCCAAACTAGCAATGTATTGTCATCATATATATTGTGTATAGATATTTTAAGGAGGATGTATCCTTGTACAACTATGCCACTACAAAAAGTGATAAGAAGAAGCATGTCTCTAAGATCCCCTCCGAATAACCCTAATATATGGACAATGAGATTTTTGCCCAAATCTTAGAAGGAGAGACCAAAGAAAAGGATGATGCCAGAAAGAAAACGCAAACCTTATGGGCAAGAGAGAAAGGTAAGGAGGTTACGTTAGATGACTTCTCAATCCTGAAAGTTTTGGGCAGAGGAGCATTTGGGCAAGTGATGTTGGTCGAGAAAAAAGACACTGGAGAATGGTTTGCTATGAAGACCATCAGAAAGGAAGATATCATAGAGAAGGACCAACTTGAACACACCAAAACAGAAAAAATGATTTTGGAACATGTCAATCATCCATTTTTGGTCAATTTGGCTTATGCATTCCAAACTCCATAGAAATTGTTTTTCATTATGCAATTCATGAAAGGAGGTGAATTATTTTAACATTTGAGAATGGCAAGAAAATTCGATGAAAAAAGAGCTAAATTTTATGTGGCTGAGTTATTGTTAGGATTAGGACATCTACATACCAAAGACATTGTTTATCGTGATCTTAAATTGGAAAACATCTTAATGGATGATGTAGGCAATGTGTTCTTGACTGATTTCGGAATGGCTAAAATTGTACGTAAAAATGAATTGGCAATGACCTTTTGTGGAACTCCTGAATACCTTTGTCCAGAAGTCATTCTAGGATATGGGTGTGATAAAACAGCTGATTGGTGGAGTTTAGGTATCCTTACTTACGAAATGATGTATGGTTTGCCTCCCTTTTACAATAAAAATTAAACCATTATGTTCAAATTGATCAAGGAGGCTGAACTAAGATTCCCTGAAAGACCAGAAGTCAGTAAAGAAGCTAAAGATTTCATTTCAAGAGTAAATCTATAATATACTATAAAAACAGTTACTTGTAAGAGATCGATTTGCAAGACTAGGAGCCAAGGGAGATTTCTAAGAGTTGATAGCACATCCTTGGTTCAAAGATATCAATTGGGAATAGTTGATTCAAAAAAAAGTACCCACTCCTTACAAACCAAGAGTTTAGGGAGAGTAGTGGTTGGATGGCTTCGATAAAGATTTCACGAGTGAAGGTACTATTATTATTGATATTCTAATGTAGATCCAAACAAGGTCATTGATGACGATCACTCAAAACCTTAAAAAGATTACGATTAACAATTCAAAGATTTCTGAAATATATTCACATATGGATTAAATCATTTATTAATACCCTTATTAAATTAATAATTAAAGTGAATAGAGAAATGACTCGCAAAGCATCCAAAATATAAATAAATATAAATATAATCACAAAAAAGCTTAGATTACCTAATAGCATAATTATTGATATATACAGTTCCTGAACTTATTGAATAATTTCCTAACTAATTCTAATCTATCAACTCTCTTCCATTTAAAAATAATCTGCATGCTTTCTCTTTTGTAACCTCCAATAGGATTTGCTTGATCTCCTGTATTGTACTTGTATTCTGAGTGGAAATCTCGTAATCCTAAGGCAGTTTACTACTGCGCACTCTCACCTAAATAGCTTTCTTAATTACTTTTAAGATGGACGTTTCGAAATTCAATTCAAAGTTTTAATTGCTGTAAAAAGTAGGCTCATTAATTACGAATATCGGGACTTGAAATGTTTGCTCTTAATTAAATAGCAATTATACTATTTCGAACCAACAACTAAATGGAATTCCTAATCAACTTGAAGTTGGCCTAACTAAGAATTTGAAGAGCTGCAGCTACAAGGGAGTATGATTAAAGCTAATACATTCATCTTTTTAAGAGAGGGCCTTCCTTATTAGTTGCCATTCAGAACTATCCTTATGACTATCTTGATATAATTTGTAACTCTACCCCAAAACTAATTTTACATCATATCCCACTCAATTCTGGATAAACTAGTTGAATATTGATTAGTTTATTTGATTCCTGTTCCAACCGACTTGTTTGGAATGAGTGTAAAATTATAAGCATATCTGTGATTTACATTCCCAGGATTATTAATATCTAATAATTGAGTGATTTGCTATTGCACTATTCTCAAAACATACCTCTTCCTTCTAATTCAAGTTTTAACTCTTATTGGAACATGCCCCCATTTTAATTATATTTATACATATAATAAATATGTTATTTTCAAAAGTCTGCATCTTCGCCATCATCTTCCAAATTATCAATATCTTGCTCATCCTCCTCTTCCTCATCTTCTTCATCCTCACATCCACTTAAATTATCTATGTCATCCACATCTATGTCTTCATCCATCTGCTATTTATTAAATCCTCCTTGTTACTATCTCATAAATTCATTTTTTCGTTTCTCTTGATTGCTTGATGGTAACCTAGAGTCTCCTCCCAATTACACTAACTAATCCTAGTTATCTTCATCATCTCCGCCTTTAATTTCATCTTCTTGTTGTTTCTGAATTTCAATTTAGAATCCCTCCAATTATTGCTTCTTCTTTCTCTATTCTATTTCTGCTTATTCATTTTGAGCATCCAAAACATGTTCTAAATATACAAGATTTCTGAATTTCTCAACGTAAATCTAATGGCTTTATGTATTAAATTTACCTAATATAGCTTTTCCAATTCATATTCCTACCTATCATATTCTTCTTAATAAGCAGGCTTCACGCTAGTCATCCCCTTCAATCTCTTTTCTGCCTATTCCAATTCCTTTGTCTTTCTCTTGATTTTTTCATCAATTTGCTTTTGATCTCTCTCCAAGCCACTTACATACATAGACATATTCTGAATGTTTTTTTCTTATTGTTTCAAAATAGAATCAATGCAAGTTTTAATATAAGATTGCTCTGATTGGGAATTACCTCCTCTAGAGACATTCTATAAGAACTATAATGCTTTTTCCTATCCATAGAATTTGAATTTATACTCTAGCCACTCTCACTTCATCCTCCTTCCCTAATTAGTCATATAACCTTGTGGCCAAGTCAGTAATTTCTTATGCCAAAGCCTTATGACTCTTGATATTACTTAATTTAGAGGGGAGAGACTTTGAATCAGATTAATATTTTTACGAAATCATGCACTTCATCTTCTTCTGCAGGCGAGGAGACTTATGCCTTATATAAAAAAGTTGAAATTTTCAAAATTTCTTGAACTGCATACACATCTGCCATATATAACCTCTTTGGATTTATCTTGAGCCTGGCTTTACTTACAAAAAGAGTAGTAATCTGTTTTATAAACTCAACTCGATGACGCTATTTGTTAATTTACATTGAGTACTTCCTCATCGATATTGTCTGAGATGTCTGTATTCGGGTCATACTTCAAGGCTAACCAATATAAGATATCAGCAACCAATTCAAAATTAGGCCTTCTAAAGTTCTCCATCGATATGATTCGGTGATATCCCAAAGCCCTCATCTATTCGCAGAAGTTGCGTAGTTCTCGGTATGACATTTATTGATAGTAAATAATATTTGAAATTATAGCATTTTTAAACATAAGTATCACTTTCTATGATGAGAATGATGTTTGTGATGTTTTTTATGTTTCTTGTGACTCCTACTCCTACTTCTGCTTCTTGACCTTTTCTGCTCTCCCTCCTCCTTTTGTTCTTAACCCTACTCCTAGTCCTTTTCTTAATTCTATTGTTCTGCAACTTGCACCTGTTCCTGTTCCTAATTCTGCAATTCCTCCTCCAACACACTCTTCCTTGGCTCCAATTACCCTAATTCTTCCAAAATCCACCTTTTCTGGAATCTGGGCAAGGATATTCCAAAAATAATTTCCTCACTTAAAAGCTTCTCTGCTAATTCATCCATATGCCAAATTGCAAACGTACCATCCAAATTTCTGATTCTGATTTTTCTAAAATCTGCATAAAACTATTCTATAGTTGGATATGCTTCCTTTGGTTTTGAAGTCAATCTGATATAAAACATAGCCAAAGCACTTATGTATTTGTAATCTTTGCTTTTAAGAAATTCAATAATAATTTCTTTATCTGGATTGATTTACAATAGCTTCATCAATAAACAAAGGAATGGCACAGGCTTTCCAGTGCCTGAGTATGTAGCACCTTTATATGTACAATTGCAATATTTACCTACACAATCCAATTTGCATGCCTTATCAACTAATGTTACTGCTGTTAAACCAAAACAATCTTCCTTCCAATATCTGCAATTGAACACTTTATTCCTAATGATTTAATCGATGAGAGTCATCTATCTACCATCATTTGCCAGATGCTATTTCTCCTATTATTCGTCGTCCATTATTAAATAAAAAATGTAATTTTATTTCAATATTCTGAATCAATTATAATAAGATGAATTGTAGTATTTAAACTAAAAACCAAATTGAAATTATAATTGTGTATTAGTTTTTCATAAAAGCTCACTCTTTTATTATTGATCCTTTTTAAATTAAATAGACAATATTAAAGAAATTATCAACACTGTATTATATTCAAAATTAATATTATATTTATTAATGTATTATTCAGAATCGAAATTTTATTCCTTCGATAGTGGATCTATTTATTTAGTAATCAACATTAAGCAAGTAAAATGAATCAATATTATTAATTTATTAATCAAAAGAAATGATGAATCTTATTTTGATATCGATATTCATTTGATTATTATTATTATTAGATAAGATCAAATTGGATGATTTGTCAAATGAATAATGGAAAATTTTGGAATAACTAAAATATTCCTGAATTTGATCAGAATGAGATGAGGAATGGTTTAATCTCAAATTTCTATAAATTTGGCAAACGATTGGGCCAGAAATGTTTGCGAAAGTACATCCTAATTCGCCAATACTTGTTATATTCAAATATTGGGAATTGCTAGCACTTCAAAGGCAGTGTTAGATTGGATGGAGTCTATGCATCATTTTAAATATCTAATTCAGAATGTTAAATATATCTAAAAAAGAATGGACTTCAAATTGTGTTATACACCGATGACGTAAACCAATTTGAGACATGGGCCAAACTTCTATCAAATTGTTGCATACTTTCAACATTTCATGAGGATATTACATTGGGAAATCTGATTGGAAATGGAAGCTTCTCAACAGTACTTTTGTATTCTTATAAGGTCTATGAGGGCAGAAACAAAGAAGGAGATGTTTTCGCAATTAAGGCAATACATAAGAAGAAATAAAAATCATTCGCAATTAATTAGTAATACGAAGAGCAGTTGTTAAGCGAGATTTCAAGTTTAAGAGAAATGGACCATGCAAGCATTCTAAAGCTACATCGAGTTTATGAAACAGCTGAAAAATTATATTTAGTTACTGAATTTATTTAGGGCTATGAATTAATCGCAAAAGCTACCAGCAAACTTGTCTTTTAAGGTAACGAACTGAAATGCTTCATTCGTCAAATGCTATTGGCAATCAAAGAAATACATTAACACAACATCATGCATAGAGACATTAAACCATAAAATATCCTATTAAAAAATGGCCAGCTTTCTTAACCAATTCTTATCGACTTTGGACTGGCTGTTAGTACTGAAAAAAAGGAATTGCCATTTCCATCTTGTGGATCTCCTGGGTAATATTCAGGTTTATTTTTTAGCTATTCAGCTCCGGAAATAATAAGATTTGATGAAACCAAAAAATAATACAGTGGAAAGTGTGATATCTTCAGTTTTGGTATTACCCTTTTTGTTATGTATTTATATTTAAATAATTTTAGAATCTATGGATACAACCCATTCAAAACTCAGGATTAGAAGTAAACACTCAAGAGAAATGCAGATGCGTATTTTGAATTCCCTAATTCCAATTACCCTTAAGAATGTAAATACTTTAATCAATCTATTAACAGTAGAACATTTGATTTTATTAATGACTAAAAAGTATCCAAAAGATAGAATCACCGTTGCATAAGCTCTCGCTCATCCGTTTTTTCAGACGGAGCTCTATTAAACAATAAAGTTACCTAAGGCCATCCTTTCTAAATAGCAATATGAAATGAGCAAAAACTTCAATAAGATTAATGTTCATGCAAGCTTAGAGATGGACAGAGATCTTGAATTGAATTATGCCATACATCTATTTAGTTCTTCTCCTTAAAATCTTAAAAAGCTAACTTTAGTTGGTAATTCTAATAACTTAAAATAAATTGATGAATTTAAATTAGACTATATAGTAGACTCAGTTGATATAACTCATATAGAGAAATTAAAGATGGGTCAAAGTTATTTTTCAAATTAGAAGTTAAAAATAAGCATTTAGTTTTGATAAAACTTAATTATTTGTTAACTTCATAATACTATATAAATAACATATATAATTTATTATATTTATAAATGGGGTTAAAAAATGGATCTATTTGAAATAAATGTCATTAATCCAAAAAAAAGAGAGCCAAAGATCTTTCCATTAATTTAATGATAATGACAATAAAGATGTGTAATGTACGTTTGTAACAAGATAAAAAAATAATTTCCTTTGTGATTATCTTGTTAATATGACTACATTTTTATTAATCAATAATAATTAATAAATATTAATTTTATTGACTGTTAATTTCTATAATATAAATAATTAATATCCTTAGATAATAATACCACTAATGACAATACAATTAAACAGAAGCACTAAAATTGAGATGCAATCAAATTCTAGTTAATCTTCTTACAATATCATAGGTCTTTAATGTTGTAAGATCTTTTGTTTAAAATTATCAGCCAATCCATATTGAGCCTAAAGTTATGAATGTAAATTTGTTTCTCTAGATGAGAAAATGCTTATTTCATAAGTTAATTACTTGATAATCAATTAATTTATAAAAAAAACTATGATTTTTTATATACATGATAAAGTTGGTAGATTTCTATAAGGATATGCCACATTTAGTTATCAAATGGATCAAGGAATTGAAAATAATAGGATATCAATATAATTTAAATATCATGTTCGTAATATGAACACAAGAGTTCTTTTATTAAATAATTATATTAGCTAATGAATATATTTTATTTTAGATCTTTAAGTATATTTTAAAGTTCAAAAAATATGTTACTTTCACAGAAACAGAAGATTATGAAAGCAAAAGCTCTCATAAAATGAATATTCTCTTAGAAATATAGTTTGTAAATTACAATTTTCATCCTATGACTCTTTGCTAACGACTTGACAATTTTGAATCGCTGAATTATGATTGAGTCATTCTTAGTTAAGCTATGTTAATTTTAAATTGCATGTAGATTATCAACTTACTTTGGCATTTAAAATTTAATCATAAACAAAAATTAATATTAAATTCAGATGTCATATATCAATAAATTACTTGTTGCTAATAGAGGAGAGATTGCTTGTAGAGTAATGAGGACAGCCAAGAAAATGGGTATAAAAACCGTGGCGGTGTATAGTGATATTGACAAAAACACTTTATTTGTTGAGATGGCTGATGAAGCTTATAATATAGGTCCTCCTTAAGCTTGTAACTATGGGTTAATATATGTTAGTGCAATCATATTTAAGAAGTGACAAAATTATTGATGTTGCCTTAAGCACAAAGAGTCAAGCTATTCATCCAGGATTTGGATTTCTTTCAGAGAATGCACAATTTTCTGAAGATTGTCAAAAAAATGATCTTGTATAAGTTACTTTAAATTTTGCAGATATTTGTAGGACCCAGTGCTGATGCTATCAGAAAGATGGGATCTAAAAGCGAGTCAAAAATAATCATGACAGATGCAAAAGTTCCAGTTGTTCCAGGTTATCATGGTGAAACCTAAGATCCCAATTTGTATTTATGATTGTAAAGAGATTAGTCTTCTTCAAGAGGCTGAGAAAATAGGGTTCCCAGTTTTAATAAAAGCTGTTATGGGTGGAGGAGGAAAAGGAATGAGAATTGTTAGATAGAAGTCTGAGTTCCTGGAGGCTTTGGAAGGAGCCAAAAGAGAAGCCTTAAAGAGTTTCAAAGACGAAAGAGTGCTTGTTGAAAAATACATTGAAAAGCCTAGACACATTGAGGTTCAGATCTTTGGTGATAAGCATAACAATTATGTTCATTTATTTGAAAGGGATTGCTCAATATAAAGAAGACATTAAAAGGGTTATAGAAGAAGCTCCTTCTGCCTTGGATGAGAAAATACGATATGATATTGGAGAAGTATGATTTAATCCATAAATTAGAAAGCCAAAGCAGCTGCTAGAGCAGTCAAATACTCAAATGCAGGAACAGTAGAGTTTATATTTGATTTGGATTCAAGTAAATTCTACTTTATGGAAATGAACACAAGATTGTAAGTTGAACATCCAATTACAGAAATGATTACTGGGGTTGATTTAGTTGAATGGTAACTTAGAGTTGCAAGTGGAGAACAACTACCATTAACTCAAGAATAAATTAAAAGAAAAGGTCATTTCCATTTGAAGCTCGTATCTATTCAGAGAGTCCTAATAACAACTTTTTACCAGGGAGTGGCAAACTTGATCATTATTCAGAACCAAAAGCATCTCAATCTGTTAGAATTGAAACTGGTGTAAGAGAAGGAGATACCATTTCAATTTTCTATGATCCCATGATTGCTAAGTTGGTTGTATATGGAGAGAATAGGCAATTGGCTATCTAAACTCTTTTAAATGCCTTGTAAAATTATTAAGTAATCTTTACCATTATTCTTTCAGATTCATGGCTTACCTAATAACATTTCATTTTTAAAAACTGTTCTTTAACATCCAGAATATGTAAATCAGTAATATGATACCTCCTTCATTGGTAAAAACTAAGACACTTTATTAAAATTAAAAGACCATTACAATCCTATCGATATTGCTCTAGCTATTGCTGGTAGACATTTCCTAAATTCAGTTCAGTTACCTAAATCACTATTAAATTTCAGAAATGGCGCTCAAATTCATAATAAATTATCATTGCATATTTAAAGTGCTTCATATGCACATTAAAAGGAGATTAAGATTACTCATAACATTAATGGAAACACTCATGAATTAGAAATTAAAGGTTAAAAGATTGTAGTGAATAAAGTAACTAAAAGTTAAGAACATAATAATTTATTAATTTTTGAAACCAATTAAGGCATTTTTATTAGAACAATAAGAAATAATGAAAACCTGTTAATTTTTGATGCCGAAGGTGATCCTATCTCAATTACTGTCTCTTCTGATGAAGTCAAGAAGGTCAAATCGGATCAACATGGACATGGCAATAATAAAGAAATTGTTGCTCCTATGCCTTGCACTCTGACCAAGGTTAATGTAAAGGTTGGATAAAAAGTAAAAAGAGGTATATACTCTATAATTATTAAAGGTGATATCTTAATTATCATGGAAGCTATGAAAATGGAACATACAATTAAAGCTGCCATAGATGGGGAAGTTAAAGAGATAAGATATAAGGAAGGTTAATTTATAGAGGCAGGAGCCATGATTGTTAAATTAGAATGATATAGAATTTATAAAGCTATATTGAATATTCTATCAAATAGATTCAAACATTAATGTTAACTCTTCTCTAATAATCCTATCAAATATATAATTATTTTTATTATATTTATATGTTAAGATTTAAAATAAAAGAATATAAAACTCATCTAAACTAATTATAGTTAAGGGTCTAATAATTTATCCAAAATCATCATAAAATAGTTTTCTTTAGATTTTGTTAGAATATATTATTAAAGTCATTCATTTTTAGAATAAGGTCTTGAAATATATCTTTTTGGAACATATAATGTTTGTTCTTGTATTTTAATAAAAGTAGATTCATATTTTAGATATTTTTAACTTTTTATTAAACTAGTTATATTAAGCAAAAAAATTGAATTTAAGTTGATTCTCAATTTACCCTTTCCAATGATTTAGTTTAAATTAACCAATTATAGTTATAAAGGATCTGAATTATTAAAAGTCTTAATTATTTGTTTAGACCTTCGCTTAAATAACATAAATCTAGTTTCTTCGTTTATGAGTTCTTAAAGAATGCGCCTTCTCTATTTAATGAATAATTAATACAGAAGTGTCAAGATAAACTTCAATTCCTCAATGAAGTAAACAGTTAACTTAATTCTATTATAGATAAGTATTAAATAGATATTATTTTATTAATATTATTGCTAAGTTAAAAGATTGAAAATATGGATAAATTAGAAAATCTTAAGAATGAATCTTGTGTGTAATATATATTTATTAATAAATTTTATCAAATTCGTTAAAAAACACTATTATCTAATCTTTTTAATTAATTTTTTTATTTGTTTAATGAGAAGTGCCCACCAATTAATAACTCAATTTGAACTTAATGGTTTCACTCTGCCTTAAATGGAAAAGAACATGTGTATAGCCTTTCTAAAGGATCTCCTCTAATAAAATCCTATTGATATGGATTTCATACTAGCAAATACATCACCATCTAAATCATAGAGAGGATTACTAACAACCAAATCAAATATCCTCCATCTCTTAAATGAAGATAAAGATCCTTCCATAACCAAACCTATATTCGATTATAGCCAACTTGAAGATGTAATACCCAAGAAAAATAGAAACAAAATCAATGAAATAAAAACAAAAGTTGAGACACTGCTTAATAGCAATAACATTGATCCTCCCTTAACTATAAAAAAGAGGTACTTTATTAGTATTTATAATAGATGGTGGACTGAAGAAGAAGATCAATAACTTAAAGAATTAGTAACATAACATGGAGCAAAAAATTGGAAAAAAATAGCATCTTACTTTGAAGAAAGAACAGATGTGTAATGTTTACATAGATGGCAAAAAGTGTTAAATCCTGATTTAGTTAAAGGACCTTGGACTTAAGAGGAAGATGAATTATTAATAAAATTAGTAACAAATTGTGGACCTAAAAATTGGAGTTAAATTGCAAAACACTTGCCAGGTAGAATTGGAAAATAATGTAGAGAGAGGTACTAATTTTTATATGACCTAGATTTCACAATCACTTAGATCCTAAAATTAATAAAGAAAGATGGACAGATGAAGAAGATTAAACAATAATTGAAGCACATAAAAAATTAGGCAATAGATGGTCATTAATTGCTGGACTCTTAAAAGGCAGGACTGATAATTCCATAAAAAATCACTGGAATAGCACTTTAAAAAGAAGATTGAAAATGCAAAATAGATGGGAAGATCTTTAAGTGCTTCCAAGATAAGATGAGACCTTAGTTAAAGGAGTACCTAGAAGATAAGTATAAAGGAGAATCATGTATTATAAAACACCTGAAAAATTAATAAAGAGAGATCCAGTGTCTAGATAATTAAATTTCTAAACTCCATACTCCAATACTACTCCAAGTAAAAATTAAGTTAAATTTTAGAATCTGAATAAACACCCAAAAATTTGAGCATCGTTTATCCAAATTTATTAGTCAAAGATGCTTAAATGATGTAAGACACTATATTATAAATTAATAGAGATTCTTGTTAAGTATTATTCAAATAATTGAGTGAATTAACTAATATGGATCTTGATTTCAATAAATAATATAGTTACAAATGATATATTTATAATCACATATATATTCTCCTTAGTATATTCATGAAAATGCTATTTAAATTTAGAAAATTAAATTACAGTTATTTTAAGATATAATTATAATTTTTCATAACAACACTAAATGAAATCCTCCAAACTTACTAATGGATTTCTAAAATAAACTAATTATACTAATAAATACATTCTGAGCCCATGATGCCTAAATTAAATGAAAAGTTTAATATTGTCAAAAACAACCATAATATATAAGTCTAATATCCAAATAAGATTGTCTTTAAGAAACGGAACTAAAAATTAAGCTCAACATAAGGATTTGAATAGAGAAGATACATTTAAATTGATTTTCTTTAGGAAAATACAAAAAAATTAGTTGACAATATCCCATACGAAATTTGGAGTTATTTATAGTTAATCCAAGTAGATTGAGTGGGAATCTAAGACATAATAACTGTCCTTTCCCTTAGTTAAGTAAAGTGAAGTTATAAAATAAATATTTTTATTATGCATTTCAGTTTATTTGCTTTGTTTTTTTCACTATTAATCTATTTCAATTATGTAATTTTAGTAATAAAATATTCATGTTTTCAAACACAGCCAAGGATTCAATTTTCTAAGATGAAATCGTTTCCTAAGAGAATATCTTATCTCCTCAATCAATTGAGATGGAACCATTTTCAGATTTTGAATCAAATTATCACTGTACTATTTTTTTATTAATTTAACCCAACAGTGTCATTCAATACAAAAGAATGCCTATAATTTTAAGATAAGGAGGATCAAGAAATGAACTATAAAATTAAAGAGGATGACACATCTCTTTAATAAGAGCAAAACAAAAGGAAATAAAAAATTTGGAATGATGAGGAGGATTAGAGACTCAGATATTTATTTGTTCAATTCCAAGGAAAATGGAATGAAATCGCGAAGCACATGCCTCAAAGGAATGCTTCTTAGTGTCAATAAAGATGGAGAAGAATTAATCCACCCAAAGATGTATTTTTATTAAATTATTTAATTAATAGACAAGACATATCTGGACTCAGGAGGAGGATGATAAATTAAAGTAGTTGGTTTAAGATTTAGGAAAGTAATGGATGAAGATTGCAAAATGTAGTTTGATTATCTAATTTAGGTTTCGGCAACATTACAGGCAAATAAGCTAGAGATAGATTTATAAACAAATTGGATTAATCCATAAAGAAGTAGCCTTGGACTTACGAAGAGGATATGTTCATTTTGGATTAGTACATAATCAATGGCCCTAGATGGACGAAAATTTCGAATCATCTAAATGGAAGACCTGTAATTTAATGTTTTCTATTTTTATAGGAGAATCATGTTAAGAATAGATTTTATAGTTTCATAAAAAGGAAATACTTGGGAGAATAGAATAGATATCAAATAATATATTCTTGAATTGCTTCTCATTTTCTCATCTCACAAGAATGAGAAGCTCAATTATTTATTGAGTTATATATATATACATCGCGTTATAAAGTATACATGCATAAAACAATTTCAATTTATCACAGCTTTGTTCAAATTTGAATAATTGAATTCACTATCAAGTCTAATTTATTTATTCAGTTTTTTCAAGAAATGTATAAACTAAATAAACACTAATATTAACAGCTATATAAATTTAATTATTAATATTATTAAGAACATTATTTATATCATAAATCATCATCATCTGGAGCTGGTTTGTTCATATTGATATCAACTTTGCCATCATCTCCCATTTTAACTTTCTTTCCATTAATAGTGACATAATCATCATTTTATTTTCTCTATCCCTTTTCAATATCTTTACATGACTAATTAAAGGTAGAATAGATAGATTACATTAGTTAATCTGTAGCAAATTTCATCTTCAATTGAATCGTTTCCTTTTCTGTTCATCAAGGCTTCAGTGACTTCCTCTGACCATCCAGACATAAATGCTTCACATCCTTTTTTCATATCAGGGGGAGGATATTCATAAACACTGAAATTTTTCATTTGGCACATCTCAGATAGAGCATCTGTAATATCGGATTCCCTGGTTGATGTTTTCACTTTCTTTAATGTTTCTCGAACGATTGCTTAGCAACTATTGCAATAAAGTAACGCTTCAACAGTTGTTGGTCTTCTGTCATCAGTCTTTTTCTTTTTTTTAGCTGCCTCTAAGAGGAAAATCAATGTCACAAAAACGAAAAGAATTTTCATTTTAATTAATAATACGTGTACTTTAAAATATTATTCCTTCTATTCAAAATTTATATAAATTCATGTTTTATAAATATAAAAATCTAAAAGAGAATGCTTATAGATGCTATTATGAAATTTATTACCTATTTTACCTCAAAATCTGTTATTCATATGAAATACCTGTATTTTTACTTCAATCAATTTCTTTCCTTTTTTATCCTTTGATTTATAATTATAAGGGAATATTTAGTTATCTAGAAAAAATATAAATTAATCTTAATATTAAAATTAAACTATAGAAATCGTGTAATGTTAAATAACAAAATTTATATAAGAATTTTACAATTTTACTAAATTCTATTATATTTAGGACTCTATTTAGGCTATGCAACTGCTTAGAATGTTTAATTCTATGATGATCAGCAGTTTACTTTTTATTTGGAAAATTAATAAGCAAATTCCTATATAAAATCCATTTTAGCTTATAATATGCAAATAAACTATATTGAATTCAAATTTTAATGCGCTTTATTATTCTTAATCATAAGTGTATTTTTGAATCATAAATTGATATTCTAATAGTGAAAAGTAATAAGATATAAATATAACATTTAAATAAAGTTTTATGGGACCTATAAAGAAATTACAAGCATTCGTTTGTGCTCAGACCTTCTGGCCATAATTTATGGTGAGATGGTTTTAAGCGGAGAAAGGGCCATTTACAATATTTTTCTATTGTCCTTTGGCCAAATGTGGGATATCGGTGGCTAACATATATGATATCATTAAGAAGCCTGTAGATACAATAAATCCAGTTCAATAGTCTGTAATCGCAATGTCAGGAACTCTCTTTGCAAGGTTAGATATAATCTCTAAAATAGATGGTGCTGGATTCTCAAGCCTCGATAGTTTATGCTTGTATTTGCGAACTCAGTAATGGCTTCAACAGGAATCATTCAGCTGTGGAGAAAATTGTAAGTATTTTGAAAGATTAGATTTAGTCAATCAGGGTAATCAGTATGAAATATAGAATGTGTATCAATACAAATTATATATATGAAGTATTACCTATAGATATGTCTGTAAAGCACTAGTTTTGATGCTAGACAGGATTTTAGAAAGAATACTATTTTTAGATTCTAATTCTTTAAAATAAATTATTTTTTTGAGTAGAATAATATCGAATATTCTGATATCCTTATATATCTACTTAAATTGGATCTATTCTTGGAGAGTATCAAAGATAGAAAGAATTTAGAGTGAAACAAATTGTAATTAGAATAAATCGATATTCATTTATTTACATTTTTCTTTCTTTCATCCAATAGTAATTTAATTTGTTATACAACTTTTCCTTGAGCCCCAGCAACAATATTCACTGCCTTCTTTGGTAACATTCCTTTAGGATCAGCCCATGTAACAAAAATACAAAATGTACCCTAATTAAATTTATTAAAATATAAATAATACTCCTTCTCTTTTTTCAAGAATCCATCCCCCAATTTTCAGATCTCCTCTAACAACACCTTTAATAGGTGGATGATTAGGATGTTCCAAGGATTTCCCAATAGCATATGTGAAATCACCTTCAACAATTTTTCTTGATATAACAACAAAGTCTCTTGAGCTGATGACAAAAAACATGGATTTGAACTTTTAGTAGAATAGCATTAATTCATCAGAGAATCTCCTAATAATTTGACCCTAGTTTTAAGAATTTGATTTACAGATTCGCAGATTCCGTCATACTTGGGTCTTATCGGTATGTCTTCGATGATGGCAAATATTTCATCAACGGTATATGGTAAAAAGCCTTCTCCTCGTGTCAAACACAAACCAGTTTCTGGGTCTGGACGTATGTGAATCTTAAATCCACCTTCCTCTGAGAATGGTTACCATTGATTTTCTTGAGTCAAAGGGGCAATTTTTTTCAAGAATTAATACCCATCTAATATGAGTAAACGCAAATACCTTGTCCAATCTGCATATAGGCTTCAATATCATAAATTTCTGATTAAATCATAAATTAATATTCTTATATAAATGAAAATGTCACTCTTACTAACCGGTTCTTCTTATTTAGGATTAAGATCCAGTTGTTCCTCCTGTAACAGACAAAGTGTTACCTGTTCTTGATGTGACAGTTCTTGAGGTCACGACCACTTCCTAGTATATAATTATTTATAACTTTCTTCTATTAACTCTTCTTGAGGGATTCCAATTCAGCCTAACACATAGTCAACTCTTCTTAACACTTGTTGTATTCGTGATTAGTCTTAATGAACTTTTATTTCCAGACTTCGACTTCCTATGATAAATATGTCACTTTCTCTTGAATCACAGTAGTTCCTTGTGATTCCAATTGAGTGTATCTATATCTCCAATCTTCAAGTTCTGAATCTTTACTTTACAATTGTGCTTATAACCTATCTAATTCAACTGTAACCATGGCTAATTTATTCTAATCATATTATCTAATTAAGCATTACCTCTAAATCTCTCAGTTACATAATGAGTTCATTGTTCTTGCTGTAGGATTCCTATTCTATTGTGGTGTACTTGTTCTTCCAATTCAAAATATCTTGGTTGGCCTATTGCAATTATCTTTCTAATCTGGAAATTTCATCTCTGGCCAATCTCAATTAATTTTCTAGGTCCCTCAATTAGCTTGTATCCTGAGCACTTGTCTACAATTGAGATAATTATAATCTTAGTTGTTGGATCTCCGCATCCTTGTTTTAATTTAATTGTTTTAATCTTTCATTGTCACTTTGCGATTGAGCATAAAGAAGTTCTAGATCAGCTAATTGTCTTCTTAGTCCTGCAATCTAGTCTTCTAATTGAGTTCTCAATGCAAAGAACTCAGCCTACATTGAATTTGCATCTGCAGCATTGGCACTGTGTAATGAAATGTCCCCTCGTAAACTCTATATCTGAGATTCATAATTATTTCTCATCTACATCATTTAACTTTTAAGATTTTCATTCTCCGATCTCAAAGACCGTAATTGGGATTCCAGTTACTCTACACGAGTGTTGTCAGTCACCTTCTCCACTACTACCTTCTCAACTACTTTGCCTTCCTTTCTCCTTTCCAAATCAGCAATTATTGATTAAAGATATTCACATTCCAATCTCCAAGGAGTCTCTATCTCTTCCTTTGATACAACTACTAAGTTCATGCACAAGGGAGGGGCTTATTAGCAATTTTGTTGTACACTATAGGTGCCGGGATATGACACCTATGGTATTTACATGTTCTGTCTTAAAACATTTTGGCTTTAAATCCTTGGGGGTGGCAATTATTATATTTGTTTCAATGGGGCTTCGTTTTAGGTTTATATTAGTGTTTTTTGTTATGAAATTTCAATCACTGGTTGCTATATATATATTAATAGATATCAATTACTTAGGTGATTATTTATTTAGTTTCTGAAGTAACTAATCTCATACTCTAAGGACCTTCATTTAATAGCTGTACTTTCTAATTATCACTTTTGAAGATTTCTTAACTCATCTTAAATTTTATTGCAGATTAATTAAATAAAATTCAAGTAACTAGTTTGAGGTAAAATATCTTGGAGAAAATAGTATATTAGCAATTAATTATTATATTCTTTATATAAAAGGAATGGTTTCAGTTTAAGTATCAGTATAATTTATATCTCTAATATATACAGAATTATAAATATTAAACGTGGTTCGAATTTATTAAAATTATATTCTAAAAATAATTATATATTCGTATATCAAGTATTGTCTTTACAAATAAATACAGAATTCTAATTTAATTTCAATTGACAAAAGGTAAAGTACTTCAAAATTTTGTTGAAATATTAACTTAATTGATTAATCAATCTTACAAGTTGAAATTATGCTATTATTATTTCAATCTAACCTTTGTTATATAGAGTGCTATTGTAAATTAAAGATTTTCTAACTTGAAATTTGGATTAATATTTTTAGATCCATTTTAGAAAATAATTTACAATTTAGTTAAGTAAACCAAAGCAATCATCTACTTTCAGTAATATAGTTTGTGTAATTTCATCTATTTGTTATTCACACATCCTTTTGATTCGTAAATTAACAAAATAGTAGGTAAATCTCAAATTTAGTTGAACTGCCTTAATCAATCCCGAAGTTGGAGTATTATTATCTTATGTTTTATTAATATATGCGAATAAGGCCTAAAACGATGTCAAATAGTAGGTGTAGTGCAAAGAAAATATAATGATTTTATCTTTTTTTGATAACTTTCATCTGGAAATTATTAATTTCTTTCAGATTATTGTTGAGTTTAAAATATTAAATGGCCTTACATGGTTATTATCATAGCAGTATATTTTTTTGAGAAAAATGATGGAACATAAGATATATGAGAAATCAAAAGGTAAATCAATTGATGAAAGAGTCTAAGAAAGTTGAGACTTAATTTAAACAATAGAATAAAAATTAAGATTTCAAAAATCAAATCAATTAATACCATAATTTCTTCTTTGTTCTGATATTATTCTTGAGATTAGAATTGTTCTTGATCTCTGTATATCATAGATTTTAAAATTACTCTTGTTATAATAACAATTATATAATGGCTTTATCTTATTTGGAGTCTCTTTCTTTTATATGGTTTTAAACATAGATATTAAATGAAATCATAAACCACAATTAACAAAGTTGAAACTTCTATAATAAATCTTTTCAATTATAATAAAATCTAAATTATTATAAAAATTCTGTCATAAATGCTCTGAGCTATATATTACATAATATATACCGCAATTCACACTTTCGAGTCTTAATTCTTAAGTTTTTGTGGATTATTTATTGAAAAACTTAGAACCTAGAAGTTAAATACACTCTTAGCTATAAACTTAGAAATCTGCAAAATAAAAATATTAATATTCATTGATAAATGTGAATTTTCATTATTCTAAAAATTCTTAGTAAAAAAATCATAAGTTGCTAAGTAAAACAGAGATAGTGTTCTGTTGAATTGAAGTCATTTCAGTAACATGATATATTAATTATTAGCATATATATATATGGGTACATAGATATCATAATTTTTCGGCAATATCTAATGCGATGATTATTATTTAAGTTTTAAAGGATGAATAAAAGCAAGACTTTTTATGGGAAGGTAATAATGTGAATTGAATTGAATAATAGGTAAATAAATAAATTTTTATCAGAGAGAAAAGATAAGTTTGACTTATTTTGAAAATTCTTGATTTCATTATTATGTTGCTAAATTGATAATTAAAAATATATAATAATTTATTTACATAACAATATATATTATGAGTAAATTAAATTATACATTTTCTTTATTGATGAAAGGAGTTGGGGATTAATCAACAGCAATTTATTTTATATCATAAATAGATTTTTAGTGACAGTCATAGAAAATTGTGTAGTAAAATACTTTGGCTTGTTTTTAATAATTATATATTTTTTTTAAATGAATAGAAGATTATCATCAGAACAAGACAATTTAAGAGTTAAGAGGGCGTTAATGAGATAGCAAATAAATCAATCGCATAGAGTTGATCGAGAATTTGAGATAGATGAGAGATTCCATTCGGTTTCTATGTATATAAAGCATGATGAACTCGAAATCGATGATTGCGAATATTTTGATCAATAGACTTGGGAACGATTAGATAGATTTGACTAAGTAGTACCAAACTAAAGAAACAATTGTTCTTGGGTTACATATGAAGATTTTTTGTATATCTTTGGTGGATTCACATTTAATGGGAGATTGGATGATGTTCATAGATATTCATTTAGTTCTAATTAGTGGCAACGTTTAAACACATCAGGACAGAAACCAAGTGCCAGAGAAAATAATGGGGCAATCTAGTATAAGGGTCACATGTATGTGTTTGGTGGGTGTGATGGATTATTATGGTTGAATGATTTTTATTCTCTCAATCTTAAGACTCTTCAATGGAAAAAAATTGAACCTACTGGTTAGTGTCCTTCTGAAAGATTTGGCATAGCTTGTGGTGCATATTAAACTAAAATGCTCATATTTGGAGGATGCGATGGTAGTCATTATCTAAATGATGCATATGTTTGGGATTTTGAGGAATAGGTGTGGAATAAATTGTAATTGATAGGAGATATTCCCTCTGCTCGTTCTTGCCCTTCTTTTAGTACATTCAATAATTAAATATACATATTTGGTGGATTCGATGGAGTTAATAGATTGAATGACTTTTATAAAATAAATATCTTCACAGGAAAAGTCAAAAGAATAAGTCAACATGGTACAATTCCTTGTCCTAGATATGTAAAGATTCGACTGTATTTTATTAGTTCCACACATCTGAAGTTTATCAAAATAAATTATTATTATTCGGAGGATTCAATGGGTAGGCGAGATTGAATGATCTATATGAATTTGAATTTGGGAGTAAGACCTGGAAGAAATTGGAAGTACATGAACCTCCGAAGGGAAGATCATCAATGGTATTTTAATTATACAATGACTCTCTTTATGTCTTTGGTGGATATGATGGAGACGAATTGCTAAGTGATATATACAAATTAGAATTCAAGAATGCCTAGGTGCCTAGGTCCAGTTTCATCTAGGATTTAAGATCATTAATCAATAATCCTTAGATGAGTGATGTTGTATTCATTGTTGAGGATCATTAAATCTATGCCAATCGGTGCATTTTAGGAGCCAGGAGTGAACACTTTCAGACTCTATTTTTTGAAGAATTCAGAGACAAAGAATAAATCTACATAGAAATTACCGAATGTTGTCATTAGACTCTTATGGACATGTTGTAATATATATATACTGATTAATTGGACTCTTGTTTAAATACAACCAGGTTGTTGAGTTTGATAATATTGTCTGATTAATATCTAATGTAAAGGTTGAAGTATTTATGTGAAGAGTAATTAATACGAAAGATAAATTGCAATAATGTTATTGAGTTAATATTATTTTCAAAAAAGTAAATAATATATATATACATTCTAGATATAATTGTAGATTGTTAAGAATCCAAACAATGAAATAGTTAGTTGATAATATCTCAACTATAAAGAGAAGAAAAGATTTTATAAAATTAGCATAAGAACCAGAAATACTTTTAGAGATAATATAAAAAAAATGTTGATATATTTTTATTTAATCACTATTACTTTCTCTTTAAATATTCTTAATATATTTCTTCGATTCTATTTTGAGAAGGGAAATATTGTTCATCTCTGGTAATGAAGCCAGCCCATAATCCAAGAGGAACTCCTATAATTCATGATATTCTCGATATAATTTGAAATGCTCTTGCCATATTTATGTTTATTAATTTATAGTGAGGACGCACATTAATCCAAAAAGGAATAAGAATAATATAATTAAATGGATAATAGTTTTAAATAGGAAATATAGAAGAAAGAGGCCAATTTAGTAATAGTTTATGCATAATGGTGGAGTCCTTTGGGAATTGAATACTTTTTTTTGATAAAATAGCAGATCGACTGAAATTGAATATATTGTAGTCTACTTGTGTTCGAAAAGAATATAATTAGAGTTAAAATTAATGATGAGAAAAAAATAATTTGGTTTTAAGGAATATCCAAATTTATATAGATTGTAAGGTAATTGAAAAACATGCCTAATAAAAACTCATTTAACAAGATTACTTGCAATCATAAAAGGATATAAACAACACTGCTTAAAAATGGGATATATAAAGAACACCAAATAAAATGACTTGTAGAAATTAGTAATAACAAAGTTAATCCTATTTATCAGGAATATATATAACAACAATTACATAAGTTACAACTAAGGTGAAAACAATTACTTAAATTAAAACTAAATCGAACTTATTTAAAAAATAACTTAGATAGAGATATGACAGAAGAGGAATTATAATATTGGAAGAATGGAAGTCTTATATTAATGGATAATGGAATTGATCGAAATAAATTAATCTGTCTTTGTGTAAAAGTCAGATATTTTGATGCGATATTTTCAATAGCTCCTATTCAGTCTTTAGAATTTCTTCCTTTACATTTTCAATAAATTTCTTAAATATTTGGTTAAACTTGGATTTGAGTTTTTCTACATTCTCTTATAATTCCTGGGATTCTACCTTAACTTTCTACTCTCGTGTGATTGGTTTTCTGGTATGCCTGGAAATTCGTTTCAGTTTTTGATTGGCTTTGTCAATTTTTTGTGTCTTTTTTTGAGATAGTGATATTTGCTACTTTTGGAGTTTGGCATCATTTAAGGAGGCATAAGTCTCTTTGATTTGGGCCATGATCTTGTCATACTAAGGTGTGGTACATTAGCGATCTTGTTATTTACTATCTCTAAGAGAGATTGATCGGGGGGTTGGACTGACATTTTATTATTTTTGTTATTATTTTTTTGGTCGCCCTCGTTTTTTTTTTTGCATGTTTATTATTGTGATCCAATTTCATGCAGGATATCATTATATGAAAAATCACCCAAATAATTAGTTTATATATATGTGTGCTTATGTAATTACATTTCCTATTTGGAAAGGATAATAATGGTCAGCATTTCGCGGTCACATCAGATTGTCTAATGAATAAGTGTTGATAGCAAGATTCAACGACTCAGCCTCTATAGAGCAAGAACTGAGATTTTTAGAGCAGCATTAGAGAGTCAAATCTAAGATTGAAGGGAAGTTTGTCAAACCTGTTTACAACATGCTTCCAATGATAGTTTAGGTAATAAGAACACCAACCTTTACGGATGTCTTATTCGATAATTGCGTAGATTGGTAACTGACAGGTGGAAACATACAACATCTTCTTAGAATATATTTTGCATATGACATATACAAAGGTTAACCACCCAGAGACTGTACACTTGAGAATATTATGCGCAACGGTGATTCCATAGTAGTATTAGACTTTGGATTAAGAAAGAGGACAGAGAATTATTGTGCTTATTGGAACCCGATGATTCTGAAAGGCAAGCAATGCCTGTCCTAATATTAATGGTCCTTAGGTATCATGTACTTAGTGATGACTAATGGATCATTTATAATAAACGAAATCAACAAACGCATATCAATATGGGTCAATGGAGGAAAATTAGACCTTGTTTCATTAGTAACTACTAAAAAACAATCCATCATCTCCTTGTTGTAATAACTTCTAAATCCTGAAAATCCTATTGCCTGGGACTAAATACCTCATCATTCGGCTTTTAGAGATGACCCTAAATGCAAAGCAATCCTAAAATTGTATGAAGTTAGATCAATGTCAGATCTCAAAATCAGACCTGCTTCTCGACTTAGTAGTAAATAATCAAGTAGAAAAACCTAAAGAAATTCATTACTTTTACCTGAAAGTACATCTAATAGCAATCAATCTACTTCTAATTAATCTCTTCTCAGCAAAATTTCATCTTTGTATAAAAATAAATTTATTGAAGAACACAAGCAAAGATGCAATCCTTCGGTCAAAAATGCTAAACCAATCAACAACTTCTTTTCAAATAGTAAAATGAGACTTAAATTTGCTACCAAACAATCCGATCATACTTTTCAATTGAGTTGCGATCTTCGAAGTCTTAGAACTGGATCCAATCTATCAGGTAATGGTCTCACTCAAAGAATTGATGATTCTGAAGATAAGAAACTTAGTCGAAGACTCTCACAATAAGAAATCGAGTACGATAAAATGAGATCAAGAGTAAGTTCAATTAGAATGGCTATTAAACAATATAAGGCTCGAAGCTTGAGGCGTCTATCTCAAGACTCCAATTCACCTGCTTAACATTCTGATGAAGTTGCTCAGCCAGATAATTACATCTAATTAATCAAAAGACCTCAAGTCGAAATTGAGATTCTCACTTAAAATTATTTAAGATCTCTTGAATGCATTAACATCATCGGTTAAACTGTTGCCAAAGCTATTGAATTCTTGGATGCACTATAAAACTTTTGGATTATTCCCTTATTTCTGGTATTCAAAAGAATGCTCTAACTTAGAATGGAGGTTGAAAAATTTCTTGAAGCTCAAATAAACTCATTCAATATAGCTCAATGGAAGGAAGTATGCAATTCCAGAGAATATCTGAAATTCTTGACTCGTATCAAATCCGATAATTGTCTAGTCAGAAATGAAATGATTCTTATTATGAATGCTGCTCAAACTAAAGCCAATTAACTTGATAAGACTAAGAGAGAAAAAGTAATGTGGTTTCTCAATGACAATTTAGATTCTAACATCTAACCAATTTGTTTATCTTACATGAAGGATTAATTACTTCTGGCTGTTGTTGAAAAAAGAGGAGTATCAAGAGAACCTATTGAATGGCTAAAACTTTAGCTTTCACTAGAGGCTTCAATCATAATAACTCAACTGCCTGTACTAGTATGTGAAAACAAAGAATTTAGTTATGAAAGATACTTAGAATATCAAGATTCACAAAATTATGCTTAAATATAAAAATATTGCGAGCAACTAAAGATCATTATTTGATTTATATTTATTTTATTTAGATTCAATTTATATTGTCATTCTAATTGTTATTAGATTTATAATAAATAAATAATGATTTCAAGAAAAATAAATTTAGATTCTAGAGAATATCAAGTGAGAATAAACTTTGGTTGATATGTCTATACTTTTATTTGTCTAATAGATAAAATCATATAAAATAGTTTTATAAATTTCAAAGTTTATATATAAGTGAATTACATTAATATGATTGAGAGTGGAAATAGAAATTTCAGGGCTCGATCATATTATAATTTCAGGTTTACAATTAGCAAAATAAATAAGAATTTGCTATATAATCTTGCATTTTTACATGGTTTTGTTTTTGCTTCTTTTAAATTTAATTTTTATTATATGTTTTACTATTAACCTTTAATATTTTATAAAATTAATTTATAACTAATATTATTAAATATTTATTAAAATAATTCATTAGGAAGTTATTTAAGTTATATATTTTACAGAATAAATTTAAACACATTTAATCTTTTAAAGTATATTGTAATAGATTATTGAATATTAACTCCTTACTTTTTCTATAATTTAATAATATTTTAATTTAATAATGATTGGGAAAAAAACATCATCTAACAGCGTAAATTTGATTGATTTTATAAATCCAGCTTTATTGCATCCGCCCTCAAGAAAAATATAGCTTATAGAATAAACCAAGACAATTAAGTTACTAAAGAGTTATACGAAGATTCCACAGATAGCCACAGAATTTCAATCCCAAATGATTGTGAATAATTAAAGGATTAAAAATGATTCCTTATATTCACTACCCTTTTAGTAATAATATTTGGAGAAGGATAGATAGATTACTAAAACTGAAAGAGAAACCTCCAATAAAACTAGATAAAATAATCCATTAAGCAGTTTACCACAAATACCTTTGGCAATTATCAATACTCAAGCTAAACTAATCGATTTAAGTCGAACCAATAATATGATACAATCACCTCAAAACACAGATACAAAAAGGTCACTGATTTCTCCGAAATTGAAATCCAATAGTAATATATCAAATAAAAATTATACTTGTAACTCTACTACCACGGGAAGTAGCAAGGATTCAAGTTCTTAAATAGCAAATACCCAATAATCCAATCTGACTAAAAACATAATGGATTCCTATTATGGTAAGGCTAGAAAAAGAAAATTAAATGTCACTGCGAAAAGTTTTATTGTTTACGATTGCATTGAACATAAAACAGTCTTGAAAAGAAAGAGCAATAAAAGAGTTGAAGTAGCCAGCATAACTAAAATCATGACTTTTTATGTGACTTTGCTCACTATCGAATTATACAATCTTGATGTGAAATAGATAAAAGTTAAAGTGACAAAAAAATCATCTGAGACAATAGGCACAACTGCTGAATTAAAATATAATGACATTTTATCAATGGAGGATTTACTCTATGGATTAATGTTACCTTCAGGAAATGATGCTGCAGTTCTTATTGCCTAAGCCATTGGAACTATTATGTAAAAATAATATATCTATTGACTTGATTAGATTGTTTAACTAATAAAATAAGAGGCTGGATCTTAAATTAATTGATATCGAACAATTAAGTGCTGAAGGATATTTTTATAATCATGAATTTAGATTCCAATATTGTCCTATTGAAGTTTTCATCAAACACATGAATAAATATTCATCGTAAATTGGATAATAGAACACTCAATTTGCATGTGTACATGGATTGGCTAATGAAGATAATGTAAAAAAAGGATATAAATTAGTATTCTTGTTGCAATGATATCATCACTCTATCTATAGAATGTCTAAAGTATGAACTATTCTAGACTGTAATTTCTTCTAAAGAATATGTGACAAAATCACTTTATAAATAATATGAATGGAAAAACACAAACAAATTATTAGATAAAGGGTTTTTTGGAATTAAGACTGGTATTACTGAATCGGCTGGTCCATGTTTAGCAAGTGCTTACCGTTCTAATGAAATGGATTATTATATTATAATTGTATTAAATTGTAAGCATATGAACATGAGATTTGATGATACCATTATTTTATTATAGCATGCAAAACTCAAAAAAATGATGACCTCAATTCCATACTGAACATAATTACTTATATAGATGTTTGAATTTTATTTATTTTTTATAATTAAATAGAAAATCTCAAAATTTGGAATCATTAAATTAGCTTGATAAGATTAGTGCCTGTTATTATTTATTTTGATCATTTCATTGTTTTTCACAATCGCAAAAGGTTTATTAATTACGAAATAGTTTTCTTAAGTTTAAATCATAGTGATTGTTATTTTATTGCCACTTTAAAATATTTTAATGTATGTTCAACAAATTTTAAGTCAACATGATTATGTAATATTCTTATTTTCTTAATTTTTCTACAAATATTATAAACTAACCAAATGATCTTATATTTCAAATCAAATTCAGTGTGCAAATACACATAACCGAATTTATTTTGCAAATTTTTGTGGTTCCAAAATGTTACAATCATCAGAAATGTTATAATTTATATAATTAAATAAAGTTGTTAAAAAAAGTAATATGAATCAAATTGAATGTGAGAAATGCTAAACTGTTCCTGAGAAATTCGTTTGCTTAGATTGTGAACATTCCTTTTGCCTTTCGTGTTTAGCTAAATTGTTTAAATAAGTATATAAACTGCCTATCATTACTATAGCACGAAAGCTAGATTGAATGTGCAACATGTTTCGAAATAACACTACTAGATGATGAAACTATTAATGCTTTGATGGAAGCTAAATTACAATTAATTTAACCCCCATTTATCATGCCTTATACTACGTCGAAAAAATAAAATAATCAAAAAGATTAAATGTAAATTAAAGGTCATCCATTTATTGAAAGACTAAATGTCTCTATTGAAAAATGTTTAGACAATATTCGAGTCATTTAATTTGATAGATAAAAGATAAGGGAAATCTCAAATAAAATTAAATAGGATCTTGAATCAGAATTTAAATCCTTGCATCTATATCTAGATGATAAATAAGAAGCATTTATGAATGAGATCTCCAGATTTGAAACTCTGAATTCTACTAATTTATAAAAATAAGAAGATGGATTCCAGATAGATATCAAAGAAATGCAAATAATGAAGGATGAAATTAAAAGTATATTATAGTAGCAAACTGGAATTTAAAATGATATTGAGCAATTCAAAATCATATTGAAGCAGATTGATGAAATTACTATCAAAACAAATTAATAATATTAAAGTCACCTTAAGCAATTTTAAGATGAAATATATAAACTACCTCTTTAATGGACTGATTTTTCAAGTGCTTATAAACAATTTTTCAGTAGCTTCGATACAGGGATTTTGTAATCAATTATATCACAAAAGCAAAAAATAGATGATGTAGAGAGTGAATTAACAAAAGAATCAAGTAGACTGTTTAAACAAGCATAGTTTATAACAGTAAATCGATTGGAAAAAATTCATTAATCTTTGGCTAGGTAAATTTAATATTTAGTTTAGTTAAATCTCTAATACAAATGTTAAACCTATTAAAGCATCTCATAAATCTCATATATCGTTATGTTCTCCTCCCAGAAATAGTTTTCTTTAAGATGAATACTAAATTCCAAGGAAATCAAGTAGAGTTGAGTTATCCAGTAAATTATAAAGTACAGCGGAAACCAGGGTCAATTCAATGAATAGAAAAAACACAAGAACTATGATACCAAATTTAAATTTGGGAGGAATCTCGTTTATCAAATGACTTTAATATATATTTATAGTAATTTCTGGAAGGTTTGATTTGTAAATGTTATTCATAACTCAACTAATTTTTTAGATATAAAATAAAATTAAGTGATAATGTAAAAAACCATGTAAAATATATCCTTCAATTTAAAAGTGCTCCGATAGTGAAATGGGCTCAAAGAAAAGACAATGTATTTCTGACAGTTGAAGTGAGAGATTTGAAAGGTGAAAAAGTTGAATTGACTTCGAATTCACTTAAGTTTTCAGCAACTGCAGAAGGTGTTAATTACGTATTCGAAATTAACTTCTTTGGTGAAGTTGTTGTTGAAGTATCACTCCATTGTAATTTCTATAGGAAAGTAAATGGACAAACTATGGATTGAATGTCAGATTTATACTCTCCAAGAAAGATAAAGCCACTTCATATTGGACAAGGTTGATAAAGGAATCTCACAAATTGTAATATTTATAGGTAGAGTACATAACAATAATGGTTAGGTTGATTGGACTAAATATATTGATGAAGATGATGAGGCTGAAGAAGGAGGCAAAGGATTGGATGATTGGGATTAAAACAAATTCTAAAATTTTGATCATGGTCACGATCATGGTCACGATCACTGTCATGATCATGGGCATGATCACGAACATGGACATCATCATGAAGAAGATGATGATGAAGAAGATTAAGAAGAACCAAATGCTGGTAGATTTGATGTCTATTTAATTAGGAAATATTGATGATTTGGACTAAGAGGAGGAAGTGCAACAATAAGAATAGGTACCCAAGGAAGGTGATCAATAAAAACAAGAATAATAATGAGAAGTTAAGTGAGTATTCTATTATTCTATAAAATAGATTTTTTTTAATTTATGTTTTACTAAGTAATAATCTTGCATTTAAATAAGATAAATAAATTGTCATATTTATTCTCTCCACACTGCTGATTAATTCTCTTAACCAGTGGTTACTATTATTTTGCCATCATCACTTTTAGCTAATCCATATATATCTCCTCGATGATATTATAAACTTTACAAACACTATCCATAAATTGAACTAATTGAAATATTATATTTACTAAATTTAAGCAGTCTTATCTTAACTTGATGTGACTACCCTCTAATTATCAGGCAAGAATAAAACCTTCAATACTTCTTCTTTATGTTAATTCAGAGTTCCTAAAATTTCAAAAGTGTTCACATCATACACAATTGCTGTATGATCTGCAGATGCTGTTACAAATTTCTTCCCTGAAAATATTATTTGTTAATAATTACCATCTGCACTAAAATCGCAATCCAAAATCTCATCAGAATGATTCTTCAGTTATATTAGACATTTTTCAGCTCGAATATCCCAAATACAACATGTTCTTCCATAAAAATATCTAGTACTTATCAGTTGAAACAGTTGCTATTAAAGTCCCAGTATTGTTAAATAATGCCTTTGAAAGTTCTCCACGATGATTTTTAAAGTTTGCTATCAATTTTCCATTTATTGTATCATAAAGCTAGATTTTTCTATTTAAAATTTACATTTGCAGTTTAATCAAATGATGTTGAAAGTAATAATTTTCCATCACTGTTAAAATCTAAATATATCACCTCTTAAGTGTGATCTACCAGGTCATGCACTAATTGCCCTGTTTCAACATTCCATAATTTTGCAGTATGATCCATAGAAGCAGTGGCAACATATTTAGATGTTGGATCGAATTTATTGCAAACAATTTCTTATGTATGTTTATTTAAAACTTATTAGCACTTACCCGTTTCAACATCCCAGATCATAGATTTCCTATCAAATGATCCTGTAACAATTTTATTGCTATAAAATAATTAAAATGTATTTACTCAAATGGACTATTAAAAGCTATTGAATATACCACGTTGTTATGACCTTTTAATGTTCTCAGCAATTTACAATTATTTGTTTGATAAATTTTAGCAGAATTACCATAACTCCCCACTGCAAATCTATTTATCTTTTATTTTCATACTTATCCCCTTTTGCTGTAATAATACAATCTGTATTTGGTCTTGAATTCAAATTGCAGGCTTGAAGTTCATAATTAGCCTTAATAGTTTATTTAACTTTTTAAGTTAATTGCATTTTAATGAATTATTATTAACTCTTCATAATAAGTCAACATGTAAATATAACTTTCTGATGAATTTTGATTTAAACGTCAAACATTTTTACTTTTGATATAACCCAAAATAATTGAAATAAATAATAGATAATGTTTTATATAAGATTGAAATTTAAATTAAGCTTAATTATTATTTTGAAACAAAAATATATTATTAATGAATGATTAATCATATTGATTTATTGTAACTATCATCAATTTATTATTGCTAAAGCTCATTTTGGTTGATTACTTAATTAAGATCTTACTTTGATTAAGATTAAGAATCTGTTTAAATATTTTACTCCTAAACTGTATTTTCTTAATGTAAAGTAACCTATTCATTTTTATCTTCAACTTTTTCTTAGTCTATGAAGTTTCCATCCTTGAAATTACCATCTTAAATTTTTCCATCAATAAATTGCAAGTACCCCTTTCCATGAGGTTAATAATTTTTAATCTGTCCTATATAATTAATCTCTAAATTACCTTTATAAATGCTATCATCTGGAAATTTAATAATAACTTCTTGATTTATAACAAATTCATCCTTTTAAAATTATCCTTAGTATTTGCAATTGTTTTCTTGCAGTGTAATCACACCAAATCCATCCTTTAAATCATCTACCCATTCTCCCTCATATGTGTATTATTTAGCTAATAGTAAATTAAAACTTATGCTTACTTTAATAGATTCCCATACCATGTCTCTTCCCTGCCTTGTAAATACCTTTATAGATATCACCATTAGCCCAAACGTATTGACCTTCTCCTTGAAATAATCCCCCTGAAAATTAACCTACATAAACATCTTTGTTTGGCAATATCAATTTTCCAGTTCCACAATATTATCCATTTTTAAACCAACCTTCATAGATTTAATTCTCTTTTTACAAATTACCATATCCATTAAATTGATTATTTCTAAAATCAAAAGAGAGATATTTACTCGAAATGACCATTATATTAAAATTCATTTACTACTATTAGTATACCATCCCCATGAAATTTGTTCTATTTAAATTGTCCCTTGTATTAAAATCTCTTGTCAATTAATTTTTCATATCTTCCTTAACCATGTTTAAGGAAATCCTGAATTTAGCCTACGTAGACTCTTTTTTAAAATAGTTCTATTAGTCCACCATATTGCATATTCCCAATAAATATGTCTGCATTTTCAAACACTTTGTAGAATGGCACTGTTGTAGTTTTATCGAAACATTCAGAATTTGTGATGATAGAATAATCAAAGGATTTTAACCATTTGAGTCCATTCTCAGTTTTAGTGATCCAATATATGATTCCTTTTCTATTGTGCTTTCTTATCACTCTCATTAGATCGTAGAGCATATTACGATATTCCTTGATTTTTAATTCTTCAACCAAATTTTCTTTATGCTTCTTTATTTCTAATTTATGCGGGTCTTAAGATTCATTATCATCATCATCAGAGCTCTTTTTATTATAGATTCTAATATTACATCTTATGGACTTATTTCTTATTTAATTATCATACTCTTTCTAGTTCTAATTGCAGTCAATTTATTTATCCTTTCATCAAATGTTTATAAATTTATAACAAAGGAGCTAATTTCAGATAGCACTTTTATATAATGATCATGAATTATTTTTCTTATCCAATCCTCACTACCTTGAAACGTGATTTTTTGATTTTGAATGGGAATTAATTTTCTTAACTAGTCCTATTAATTTTAATCCAATGTTTTTAAACAATCTGTATTAATGGCACTGTAAAGTTATTTTTCAGTTAATTTAAGACTTTATTATACAAAAACATTACTTTAATAATTTCTTGTACTGCTCTTTCAAGATATTTAGTTCGCCTGTGTCAACATCAATAATAATCTCTGGATTCAATTGATTGAGACCCTTAATAAATTTACTTGTTGTTCCAATCAAATAGCCTTTAAGATTGCTGCTTTACAACATATTTAGGTCTGTCACACTAAAATGCATAAATAACTTATAGTTCTCAGTAAATATTTTAAAGGGCAAACCAAAATTACTCAAGTAACTTTCCTTAGAATAACAAATTGTATTACCTATATGAGTGATTACTTGGATTACATATTAAAATTCAACAAACCTGGAATTAGAGATAATACACTGATTATAAATCTAGAACAAACACTAGAAGATTAAGAGTATATAATTATTTTCAACTAATATTAAACTGCCTTAAGGATTTTGAATATTTTCTCTTTAAAGATCCAAAACAACCCAATCAAATTAGTATCTGTATATAATGCTGAGATTTCTACATTCTTTAAATCAAAAGTTTATTATATACTATCAAAGGCATAATTTAAAATTGACATATCTTTAAAGTCCTACAATTAAAAGTATGCTTATATTGTAGGCTCCAATCTACTCTTGATATACCCAAAGAGAGGTACAAAGGACAACAAGCAGATGGCCTTTTAGATGTGGCTTCTGGTTAATTCTGGGTTTTACTTTTTTAACTCCTCTGTTACTTTAATCTATTTGAAGCATGTTACACCAAACAATGGCTTGGTCTGCCCATTTATTTATGCATCGAAATTAAAATATAAATAGTCTTCATTAGCATTATGGACAGCATCTGGCAAAGCACAAGTTGTCACGGTGTTGATTATATTTTCCATGTCATTTGTCAATTATGATAATTCTGGATATGAGTATTCAATTTCTGATCCTCTTTTATGATGAAATCCAACTGCAAATATTGCCAATACTGGTGTTTAATCCTCTTATAGTGTATATAATTCCATTAATTTTTATTGCAATTCAACATCAAAGATTTATTCAGGATTTTAAAAGATTTCTTTAATTTGTTTAATAAATCCTTATGATTCTCTATTTTGATTTACTTAAACTAGATTATTGGATGTCATAATCTCCCAATAATTATAGCACTTTTCAGAATTCAAATATTTTCTCATATATCTTTCTTTTCTAGTTAGTCTATGCTTATTTTAATCATCGGATAGGCCTTAATTCAATTTTTTCTATAGCCACTTTTTCATTTAATTAATTTTAAATATAATTAGTATAATAAACTTTTTTCAAAATTAAAACATTGTTAAAAAGAAGAAAAATAACCAAAATTTATTGATTCAATAGAGAGTGTGTTTCTGTGTGATATATAGTTATACATCTGAAAATTTGTTTTTAGTGTGAAAGAACAATTAAATATTTAGAATAAAATACTAATTGCAACTTTCAAGGAGATTCATTAGTTATTATTGATAATTTTGTTTTAAAATCAAAACACATTTAAATAAATGGAGAATTCAGTATTGATTAATAGTAGAAATTTCTATTTAGTCAAAAGTTTAAATTGCAATTTCTATATTTTATGATTTAACTTAAGATTTTAATGATAACTCAATTTTTTATTTTATCCTAAACTAATATATATTGATATCTTTGATATTAATATCATTATGAGTAATTTTCAAAATTAATTCTATCGGATTGCATGTCACTCATATCTACCTTTTTGTACATGCTTAGGAAAGCTTTGATTTTAACAGTCTATTAATCAGAGGATTTTTATTTTAGAACTGAATTATCATTTGAATAATGTGAGATTGAAGCAGTGCTTTTATTTGCAAAAGTATTAACAAATAGTTTTTTTGCTAATTATTATCGATAGATCTGTCTTTCTTCTGGAGTTGAAGTACGATTTAATTAGTCAATCTTTTTCACAGGAGTTTTAATCAAATTTTAAGATAGCTATTTGATTAATTCCTGTGGGTTTTGAACATTTTTTTTATGCAATTTGCTCCAAGAATTTATCTTTCCTAATTAGTAACCATCGCATTCTATGAAGGGTTTATTTTAAGGTTTTATTTCTGACTACAGTATATTATGATATTAAATAAGTTATTTCTTAAAGCCTCTGTTAGGGTTGATAACTAGTCTTTTCTCTTTTACATAATAAAACGTCTTTTCATAAGTCCATTTATGAGTTTTCATAATGAAGGCAATTACACATGCACTTGATCTTGAAATCCCTGCAACACAATGTACTAAAACTGAGCCATGATTTAATCCATTCAGAATCTCATTGTTGATCTCTTCAAAATGATTGATGATTTAAGCTTTTTCTGAATCCTCAACCTTAAAAATCTGACTTTCATAATAAGATATACTTTGTGTCGTATGTTTAAATTCTGCTTAAAACTTATAAAAAGGTTATTGGCTACTGTTATCACTGTTTTGATGTTGTTTTCTATCAATTTTGTAATATTTTAAGCAGCTCTTAGATTGCCTAGCCATAGAGCTCCTTGTTAATTATTGTTTTCTATAATTAGGTCCATTTCATTCACATTTACGAGAAGCAAATGGTTTTTCATGGAATTAATATAAGACTGAAAATAATTATAATATAAAAATAATATTATAAAATAAAATAACCATTCAACTTAGTTCTTCTTTGATTAAGGGCATTTAGTACTACAATATCTTCTGTTAAAGAGACTATACATAAATGACAATAGTGTTACGGAAATCATCATGACTAGTTGCAAATTAAGGAATTTTTATTTTTCTAATTCCCTTTTACAATTAGCAAGTGCAATAGATACTTTCTTTTCTTCTAAAATTTGAGTAGATATGATATTTTGAGTAGTTTTTGAAATCAATAACTAATGTTGATGTAGTAGACTGTTTGTTATATGTTAATCAATTGACTAGTGATTTATAATTAGTTAATGTATACTTTTAAATCAGGAGAAAAACTTCTTTATTTCTGTGATACATCTCTTTCTAAATCATACATGGATTAAACCTTTCGCTCATTGCTAAGACTATATTATTTTTGTTCTTTCTCTTTCTTTTGTTTCTCCCTTGTCTTCTTCTTTCCTATTCGACCTTCTTTTCTATATGTTGATAAAATTGCTTTGGCTGTACTAAAATTCACACCGAACTCTTTAGCCGCTTCTTTGATCGTTGCCTCTCTTGATAGAATCCGTTTCAACAATAAAACCCTCTTTGATTGATCGATGACAGCATATTTTTTTGATAAATCTTTTGGTTTTTGATCAAAGTGGATACTCTTAAGTTTATGTCTTTAATATAAATATAATATTCAACTGAGAATACGGAGAAAATTATTCCTCGTTGTCTGAAGGTATCATTTTAGTCAACAAAAGGTAAAATTAATCTAATAATATATTCTTAAAAATTTTGATAAATTTAAAGAAATGATAAAAGCAATTTAATTATATTTCATCATTCATTAGATAATTTTGAAACTTTATGAATAAATTTACTAGTTGATTCTTTTCGTGCTTTCTAACTCAAAATCTCATTTTTATCAGCAACTTGATTCATCAAAAACCCAATAAGTTTTCTCTTGAATTATGTTTCACTCTAAAACTTTTTGAATTCCTCATGTTGTATAGTTTATTTGTCTTAATTATGAAATTATTCTGATACTGTTCTCACTGATCGTTATATCTCCTAATCCATTCTCCTCATTTTTCTTTTAAATTATTTCTTCTCCTTTTTCTGTTCATCCTCTAATTCAATACAATATCCAATAATATCTTGCATTTATTATTAAGTATCAGGATCAACACCTTTACCATCCCATTTTTATTTGGTCGTCAAGAATGTCTAGGATTGTGTATGTGTACCTAAGGCAGTCTAAGGTCTTGATTCGAAATGGCTAACTCCAGGAGATTACCTATGAGATAAAGGTTTGGAATTAATAGCATAATTTGATCTTCTTTTAATCTTACCTGATATTTATTGGGGTGGAGCTCTGAAAAATTTGTTCATGTCAACTTTTTGAGTTTTATTTTGAACTTCATCCTCAAATATTTAAGCAAATAATTTATCCTAAATCTCTTTTTATTTTTTAAACGTAGTCATTTTTAATTTGTTCTTTTTACTGTACTCTGGTTCGAATTGATCATACCTGGATTCTTTGTAGACTTTGACCAAATTTGTTTTCTCATCCTTGCTTAGTAATTAATCGAATTCCTCTTAATTTATCCTCTTCTCTATTAACTCGTTCAACTTGTCTTGATGATGGATCAATGACACTTTTTCTACGTCCACATCCAACAGCTTGCCAATATCCACTTCGGGATGCTACTTACATAATTCAGTCAAATAATAATTAATTTATTCATCATCAGCCAATTCAACATGATTGAGTTCGATTAGGTTGCATTTTTTTTGGGCTTGCAATTTTTAAAGGTTTGCCTTGAGATTGGCCATTTTATATTCCTGATACAAGGAACTAGTTGAATTCTATTTCATCAATTCGTCATTTATTAGGGATGCAACCTTTTATTCTGGTTTTGGTTAAACTTTATGTTATTTTTTATGATAAGAGGTTTTTGGTCGCGATTAACATTCCTATTATGAAATCTGCCTTCTTCTAAAATTACCCACTTTATTTGGTGTATCAATATTTGTTTAAATGTTTAAATTAACTAAACTTTTAGCATTGACAGAGTTTGTGCCATTTGACACTAATTTATTATTGTTATACATCTCATATCTGCAAGCTTTTTATTTATGTAGAGAGTCAAGTTCTATCTCTGAAAATCCTAGTAATACCCTAATTGTTATCTGATTGGATAATCTTGTATAGTTTTTTTCACAAGAAATCCCGTAAAAGAAGACATTATATAATTAGTTATATTATAAATAATTGATCAAATACTTTCAATTTTAAGTATATTAGATTCTTCAATATTAAAAATAAAATCATCCTTAGCTAAGACAGTCAGTATCAAATCTTATATTTGATGTTCATAAATACTATATTTTTTCAGATATATTAATTATTATTCTTAAAATTGAGGTTTAGTAATTTATTTAATAAGTAGGAAAATCCAATTGTTAAGACTTATTTAATTTATTCAAGTACATATTTTTTATTTATTTTCAGTTAATTTTTATATAATAATAAACACTTAGATTTATTATGTGATTTTATTATTAATAATTATGTAGTTACATTATATTATTCAAAATAACATAAAATATGTGGTGCTTATAATAGATTAATAAAATATTGGTATAATTGATTGTTAATATTATTATAACTTAATTTAATGGGAATTAGAGTGATTAGATAGTGAATTAAAATCAACAATTACTTATTTCAAATGTTTCACGACTTTCATCATCAGTTTAATCATTTAGTTTCATCTCAATGTTAGGAGAATTTATATTTGCTTCAGCTCTCAATTCGATTTCCTCTATATCACAATGATTAACAGTGTGAGTTCTTTGGGCTTTGGTATCCAACTTTTTATTGCTGTTCTGATTATTCAAAATCATGGATTATGAGAGTATCTGTCTTTTGGAATGTTTTCTTTATATCGATTCATTCATAAAATACTATTTAAATAATTAAGAGACTGGACGAACATCATTTTACTTAATATTTCATAATATTAAATACCTAACTTAACCAAATAAGAAATGGTAATAGAGTCTCTAGTTCGTTGTCATTTTTATCTGCAATGAAATCTTTGATCAAATATCCGTTCTCTTATTAAAATATAAAAGACATTTAGGAATTCTAACAGTGAACAATTCTTTTACATCTATGATTATGACATCCTTTAAGTTTCTCCCCAGTTTGCTTAGATTTTTGGTTAATCCTCCTTGAATAGGAGTGCAACTTTCTCTATATAATCTAGTCAAAGCTCTTCGTGAGGGATCTATAATGTCCATAACAGGATCTGCATATTCTTTCAAACTAGCAGTCCACATGATAACTTCAAAATATTCGCTTAAAGTATCAATAAAGTTTTCAACACCAGGTCTAACTGTCACATAAACTTTAAATAATTGACTTTACACTATGATCTAATATATTATAGATTATTACATCTAGCGAAAAATCATGATCGTTCTCTGCTTTAAATTAACTATGGACTAGTGTTTCATCTAAATCTAGAACGCATACTTTTCTGCTCTCATATTTATATGTTTCATTTATACATGTGATTTTGGAGTGTCAATTCCAAGTTGATACTTGTCATTCGTTTTATTAGATTTCTTGCGAAAATAATAGATGCAAGAACACAACTTTTCTATAAAATTTGGTTTTCTTTCTTATTACTCCTGCTATTACTAATAAATTATGTCATTGGTATTCATTCTTTATTATTTAAATTATGAATTAAAAAATTAACATAAGAATTTTATTTGAAATGAATTTCCCTGCAGTGATGGAGTTACCATCCAAAAATTGTGTTAAAACAATCAATTGATAGGAAACTTATTCAGGTTTTTTTAGTTTATAGAAGATATTCATCATATTTTGATAGTTTGAATAATTAATTAAACGGGATTGATTGTTTTAAATTAGAAATCTTAATTATTAAAAATGAATAATAATAATAATAATAATAATAATAATAATATTTTCATTAGTTACAATTAAGTATAAAAATGATAATTAACATAGAACTGAAAATCATGATTTATCTAGAAGATCTGCAACTGTGTACATCCTTCTAAATGTTTTTTAATTAGATTTTGGTTTTTCCTCATTTGGATCAATAACTTTAATTTAAATTTATTTATTAAATGAAACTATTTTCCTTCCTGGATTATATAATGGGGGAGAATGGTCTTCCTTTTCTATTGGCTGAAGCGAAACCTACTTATTGTGCTTTAGTCTATTGAAATTAGGCTTTTATTATTAATATTTCAAATCCTAATTATCTAACTCAAAGAAATCAAAAATATCACCATGTTCTCTACTGTTAGAGCTTTTTCTCTTGAGAATGCTTTTTAATTATGTTTGCTAATCTTCTATTTGATCTTCTTTTCTGCCTCTATTCCTATGAGTAGTTAATTCTTATTATTTAATTAATGGTTTGAGTGCAGCAGGCTTCTTGTCTTATCTAAATATTTCTCTAATTAGTTCTTTACGCTACAATTCAGTACGTGATGTTATCTGATCAATGTTCTATTCGGCCTATGAAATTTTGAATAAGTTAAACTAATCCATTCCTTTTGAAGAATTGAAGATTGAATTGGTTTACTGTTTTTGAATAAAATTGTAGGATGGTGTCTGAGCAATTTCAGGCAGAAAACTATTATTTCTAGAGGAAGGTCGAGAAAAGTGAATCTACATTTTGTTGTCCTTTCTAAATTGTGCTTGAGAATTCATTAAATAAATTATAAACTCTCTCTTCATTTCTATATAACATCATAATGGGTTATTTAAATAGTAATTTAATGATATGACAAACTGTGAAAAATCAAGATCCTTATAGTAATAAATCTAAAATGAAAAAACACTCATTTTTCTGTAAGTTCTCTGTAACCTTTCCAATCATGTGGAGCCTTTCCACCATTAGAATGTATCACATCTAAAAGTGTATTGGAAGGACCATCCTTGTGTTCAGGAATCATAATCTTTAAAGTTAATGTAAAAGCATACCAAAGTTTTTTGGAATACTAATTGAGCCTTATCCCATGCGCCTTTGATATAAAATTGGAACCCTTCATTCCAAGTTTAATAGAATTCCTAAAAGAGTAAATATTTCAAAATAGATTACTTTTGTAAAAGGTTCTCTGGAGAGAAGGAGTTCTTCATCAGTTTGAAATTGATCTGCAACATTGACTTTGTTTTTTGAGACATCCTTTTGCAATTGTTCCCTTTTGAATCGATTAAGAACTCGAAACTGCTTTTATTGTTTCTAATTCATCTTGCTAGTGTCAAATTTGTCTTTCATTTCCTTACTTTTTTGGATCAGATTCTTTATCGACATATCTACAGTGTGAATTTCAACAGGTTCTACACTACCCTTTACAGTTACAATATCAATTTATCTTAGTTATTTTTGACATTCCTCAGTCAAATATTATTTTAGGACTCCACTAATTAGAATAATAGAACCAAATTATTTAGTGGCAGCTTCCAATCTGGATGCCATATTGACATTAGGACTCAAGTAAGAAGCATCGATTTTGAAAGATGAACCTATTGCTCCTTCAATGCCCCATCCCATATGCAATCCAAACCCCATTTTCACAGAATAATCCTTCATTCTTGCATTCAACCCAGCATGTTTCTTATACCTCTCTAATTTCTTTGAAATTGAGATTGATGTGATTATCTTCAAGAAAGCCAAAACTGCCATATCTCCTTTTTGTTTAATGTGGTGATCTGTTTTTACAATCAACTTAGATGGATTTTGTGGATTGGGATGATATTCCATAGGTAAGTATTTCCAGACCAATAGAAATGCATCACCAATATTCTTATTTGCAGATCCTCCATATTGATTCACTGTTTAATGCACAATCTCAGCAATTTCATTCACAAATACCATTACATCCTCTTATAATACTTCTGTTGCATCAGTAAAGTTTCTAATATCACAAAAACCAAATATAGCCATTATTTTCTTCCCTGGAAGCATTGGATCTACACTCCCTCCTTTCTTAATATTCTCTGCAATAATTTCTGAACCTGCTTCCCCAAATCCTACTGCCAATAAAGCTCCAACTTTCATGATTAACCTTTGAAGAATATATGTTTCCATTTGCTTCTCAATATACTTTTCCTTTATCTTCTCATGATCTTCATTTTATTCCAGCTATTCCATTACTAGATCTTCCTATTCTTCTATATTTACTGCCTCCAATGGATTCTGGGCTATTAATTCTATCTTTTCCATCATTTTCTCTATTGGCTCAATAACCAATTCATTTACATTCTTATTAAATAAGATAGCACTAGAAGCCAATACTATACATACAAATAATGTCTAAAATATCGAGAGTATAGCATTCGTTTGATTATAGTCAATTAAATCACCTACTGAACATGTTATTAATTTATTATTTATATCTACTGCAGCATAATATTATTTATCAGAGAATCGGTGTTAATCTATATTTAAATTTGTTGGTTCAAACCAATCAGGGTTTTGAGAATAATTGAATATTTAAAAATTGGTTTCATTTAATTTTGGAAAATTATTAGTTACATTATTTCTTATGACAAAGACAGCCAAGATTGGAAAAAGTTCATCTTGATGAAATTCTACATATTACATTGTTAAGATATCAAGAATTTTTTGATCATTTCTAAATTAGCCTATTCTAAATATACCAGAATCATAAGAGTTTAGTGTTTCTTAATAAGTATCTAAGGTTAATACTGGTATGCTTATTAATATTGCTAAGATAATAGTAATAACCCTTCTCATTACTAAGTCAGACAATCGAGAGCCCACGTTGCTTTCTTAAAGATTTTAAGTTTGCTATAGAGATTATTGGCTTTGTCTAAATTAATCATTACTGCTTCCTTAAGCACTTTGATCATATGATTATCCTTATTGAGCTGGTAAAGCAGATACTTCAGAATTCTATTACTATTAAATTTATCCGAGAAACGGCTTAGCACTGTCTTTCTATAATTCAATTTACTCTTATTTGTCTTAATTATTTTAAAATTAATTTCCATCAGAAGGAAGAGGCGAAGGAAATGAGGGATTATTTACAATATAGATTTGTTTTTGAGATTATGAATTGATTTATTATTATTATTATTATTATTATTATTATTATTATTATTATTACTTTTAATTCTCATCACTCATTAGTCTATTTTATTTTAATATATCCTAAAGGATCTTTCTTTATTATTCCTTTTCATATTATTATCTGGCATGTTTATATAATTTTACGAGCCTTACTAAACGAATTATCCTAATAACTCTTGCTGCTTTTCTTGCAACCCTGGATGCTCTACCTAAGGCCTTAATTGTTGCAGCATTTCCAATATCTCCTTCATCTCCATACCATAAATCCGTTACCCAACCTATATCTAAAATCATTGTTGCAGTCGAAATTACATCAAGACAAAAATAAAACTAATCTTAGAACTTAATTATTTACATTTAGGATATAATTTGGATTTGCAATGGAGGTTAAGATTATTTCTAATGTAAAAAATGACATGCTTATTATTGTTAGGATAAAGAAAATATCATCTTGATCTTTGTTGACTGATAATATTCTTATATCATCTCCAAAAAGTGCATAAAGTGTAACAATAGCCATTAAGATTGAGAATGCCCAGCCTTCAATAAATTAAGAAACTATTTTCTGAATTGCAGATGTTTATTTGAGGTTTTACATTTTTGACAATCTTGCCTTTATTTTGCTATTCATTCTTCTTATCTATTTCTTCTTTGGCTCTCCATTTATTATTTGATTACTAGAATGCCTTGCACTCTTGGCACTCTTTGCACTCGACTGACTCCTATTTGACTTTTAATCATTAATTTCTGCTACGCTTGAACCACTATTTATTTTTCGAACCTTTCCCTCTTAATCATCCAATTCCTCTAGACTCAATTCTTTTTTTATTATTGGTAAGCAATTTGGTTTATCAATCAGCTTATTATATTTTTTTACTTATATACCAATGGGCCATGTTTTTGTTAATTTTCAATTGATTTCCGCTGGCTACCTCCATTGAAATCTATGTTTTTTGCATAAAAAATAGCTTTGTAATACATACTGGATGCGGTTAATTATTAACAATGCTCATCATTGCATAACTAGGCCTTTTTTATTCTTCATTTTCAGATTCCCTTGAGTGATAGTATTTCATAGATTCCTCCCTTTCTGCCATATGATTAAATTAAATATATTATATGAATTTAATATAATCAAACTTGAATTTTCAAGTTATTCTCGAAATGGATCAAAATTTTAAATATAATTAACAAAAAGATTAACCACTGATTAAATAATCTCAGAACTGTATTGTGTAGATGACTGCTACAATCCTCAAAGAGTCTACCGCTTACCTATACTGAAATTTTGCATTAATTTCATAAATTTAGATTATCCATTAGTTGATTTCATAATATTTGCATTTCTAAATAGCGGATGAGAGAGATATTAAAATTAATACTTCAATTATGCAACTATTTTTCAATTCTACTACTTTCAAATAAAAGACTAAATCAATCTATGTAAAAAATTCTATCAAATGTAGAAATGCTCCAAATGTAAAGTTTCATATCTTAACCTTCTAAAAATTTATTATCAAATTTTAGAAAAATTCCAAAAGAAATATCCCATATATAAAACCCCTAAACAACAATTTGAAAGGAAATAAAGGTGTATAAGTAATTTATGGAGTTTCAATAATTGATTTTCCTAAAAAAGCATTCAAAATTTAAAATTTTAAAATGCTTCTCATTAAACTTAATAATAAGAATAAAAGTTTATCCTCTGTTGGAGCAAAACTCAACTAACAGAATTCAAGTATATTATTCAAGTGAATATCTTAAGGATATATATTATAATTTTATTTTACATCCATTTTATTATTCTTAAAGAGCTTATATATTTCAGCTAAGAAAATAATCTGAAAGTAATAATTAATAAGAAATTTAATAATGGTATCTGAATAGTTTATTAAATTAATTAAATTTAAAGTAATATCAAGTCTACATATTGTATCGGAATGCTTTTATTTTATTAAACTGATGAATAAATAGTAACATTGTCTCTTTATAAAATATTATTACATGATTAGGCAATCAATAGAGGGAATAAAACTTTTCATAAATTACATTATTTATAAATAATATTTGAGTAATTATATATAATTTCATTCATTAAACAATTGCTTGGCTTTATCATTTTTTAAGGCTGAGATTATTTTAAACGAGTTTTTTGCATATGCAGATTAGATAATTTAATCACAAATTTTGTATTCTTCAAGTGAAAATCTTACAACGCGAGCGACTAGTATTGCTCTTCTTATTAACATAAGAAGCAAAAGCAACTCTATTAATATAAGGTTAGCTAACAAGATAAAAAAAGGAAGATCGAGCTATATTGCTATCATAAGGGCCACTTCAACGACGATTAAAAATTACAACAATAAAAAGGCTAGGAAATATGAGAATTTTTGTTATCTAGTTAAGTTATTATAAGAGAAGCTAATCTTAAATTAATATATACTTGGTTTCAATCACAGTTGGATAATATAAACTGCAATAAGGACATTGCATGATGCCATTACCTTATTTGTATTCTAAAGTTATACGAGTGATTAGACATAATAAATGATATTATCTATCCTAACAGGCACAGAATTTGAGTATTTGTGTTGATGTATTTTTATTGCACAAGTGACAAAAGTGATTAAGGCTGTTGACTGAGGAATTAAGGGTTTTATTTAAATTAAACTGGTTAGCAGTGTTTTATGGATGGAATGATTTTCTAAAACGATAGACGTGTTCATTTGGAAGAGAAGATGTACCTTGTATGGTAATCAATTTGGATTCAAATGTTTCAATTTAAGGTTAGTTATGTGTAGTACTTGTATCCATATATAAATAAATAAATTAATTTGGTCATTTTCTAACTCCAGTGTTATGGTTCCTCATCAAAACGAGTAACTCCTCCTTTTCTTATCTCAATCTAGCGTTCTCCTTTTGCATGATGATGATTTTTTCTTCATTTTCATTTAATGTTTCTAATTTTAATGCGTAAGTTTTCAATTTCTCTACCAGATTTTCTTTAAATAAGTCAGTTTATTTTTAAAATTTAATGAAATTTTTTTCACTAATTTCTAATTATCTTATCAATGATTAGTTTTTATCTTTTAAAACCTAGATTTCTTAGTTTTGAATGAGAGACTTTTCTTATTGTTCTGCAACTATGGATTAGAGTTGCTTAATGGTTTAATCTTGATCTTATATTCGACTGGTATTGTTATCCACTTTGAATTTTGATAATCTTTAAGGAGATTGTGTGTTAAAATATGATAAATTAGTTGATGCTGATCTATTAGTTTTACTTGATTTTTGAAATACCGCCGATTACTCTTAAAATGATATACCGGATTACTCTAAAGTAGGCATTCTTCTAGAGGAATATCTTCTTGAATTTTGATTGATCAATTCCTAATCAAAAATATCAATTAACTCGGTTTTCTCGTTTTCCAAAAGAGTTTCAACTGTCTGTTAATTTTGATTTTGCAATTTCTATAAAGATTTCTTATGAGCAAATAGCAAGTCCTTTCCATTCAATTAATTCTCTTTTTATTACAGATTTTGACGTTATTCCAATAAAAGACTCAATTTCTTTTGCATTGTATGTGGTAATTCAGAATCCCAAGTTTACATTTTATTATTAAATAATGAATATACAACCAAGTTCTGGTTCAATCAATATGTCTGGAGATAGTCATCAGAATGGGCTTGATAATTATCTAAATGAACTCAACAATAAGAATCTGATGTAAGTTAGGAGACCAAATGAGGAGTAGATTTTGGCATTTATTGATTTTGAAGGTATCAAGGCAGATCCATCAATTCAACACAAAACCTATCCTGAAAATCAATAGGACAATAAGAGCAAGGGAAGTAAGTCTGCTAAGTAAATTCGACGGAATAGTTTGGATTTGTCAGAAGCATCACCCTTGAAACAATCTCTAAGGGATGAATTAATCCTGTGTGATAGTCCAAATTTAGAATTAAAAAAATTGGGAGAACCAAATGATAATAGAAAAAGTAAATCTATTATTAGTCCAGCTATTTAATCGGCAAAGTCTCCGAAAAGAAAAAGTAAGCATTTTTCAAAGATTTTTTCAAAGCTAACCAACAGAATGAGTTTAGCTAAGAAATTCATCTCAAAGATTAAGATTCTATCGCCATTTGCTAAGAAAATATCAAAATCACAATTGTAATTAATATAAGATTTGAGTTCTGATATAAGCAATTCTAATGAGAAATACAACAATAAGAGTTTCATTAAGATTCACGACAAATCCAAATAGAAGATGGTATTAAAACGAATGGAGAGCATGAAGGCATTCATTGTACTTAAGACGTACTTTAGTGTATGTAAGATTTAAGTGATTCTTAATAAGTTTAAATAAGAAACAATAGATCCACAAGGCAACTTCTTATTTTTTTGGGAATTGTTAAAATTCTTTGTGACATTAGCATCTCTATTCCAATTATCAATTCAAATATGTTTCAATTTGAATGTTTTGAATTGGTTTTTCACCTCTGAGAAATAAAATTCGCAAAATATCCTAATTTTGATGTTTCTCTTTTATTCATTTGACATTCTTTTAGGATTTCGCACAGGATACTATGAAAATGGGGAGGTAGTAATAAATTAAAAGAGAGTCGCTAGAAGATATTTAAGGAAATATTTTGTTGTTGATTTGATCTCAATAATACCAATATTCATCAACATCATTTTAATATAATCATTTGAAACAGATAATACAATAATTAGGATTGTGAATTGTTTATCATTCATAAGATCAAATGCTTTAAATAGAGTATATCATTCTTTAGAAGGAAGATTATTAAGTAATCCAAGGTTTGTTATTGGATATCGATTTTTGAGTGTTATAGGAACTGTATTTTTATATGCTCATGTATTTGGATGTCTTTGGTATGTGGTAGCATAGAATAATTAAAATAATTGGATCAATAAAGCAGGAATAGTTGAAGATTCTTGGTTTGCTCTATATAGTTATTCTATTTATTGGTCTGTAATGACTATGACTACTGTTGGATATGGAGATCTGACACCAGCTAATCATGAAGAAGCCTTATTTTGTGTTTGTACCATGTTTATTGCAAGTGTTGTTTTTGCATATTCAATCAATACAATTGGAAGGATCATTACTGAAATGAATAAGTTTGATGAGAAAATCAATGAAAATATGGCTATTATAAATAGATACATGCAAAGAAAGAATTTCGAGTAGTCATTGCAATTTAGAGTGAGATAATACTTGTAGAATCTGTGGACATAGGAAGAGAAGTTTCGAATTGTTGATGAAAATAAGATTATAAATTGTTTGAGTCCAAATTTAAAAGAAGAAATCTAGATTTGTTTATATGGTTAATTTATTGCTAACATTCATATATTTTATAGATATTTTAGCTAAGAATGTCTATTAGATTTGACAAAGAATGTTCAAGAATACAGGGTGGCTCCAAATTCTTATGTCATCGAAAATGGAACTCATGACGGAATTGCATTATATTAATTAGTCAGTGGAGAAGCTGAGATGCTAGTTGATCTTTAGGACAGAAAATATTATTTAGGAAAATTGAAACAGGGAGATATCTTTGGCCATGGTCCATTCTTTATGAACAACGCTCATCCTTATAGCATTAAAACAGAGACAGCTTGTTCGTTTGCTTACTTGTCTAAATAAATGTTCTTAGACATACTTCAAACTCATCCTAAAGATTATGTAATATTTTAAATAATATAGTAAACCTATAGAATGATCATTGATTAGTGGACTTTTCAAAATCAGAAATTAGATCTCGGTGTCAAATGTTTGGGATGTGGAGATGCTGATCATGACATAGATTTATGTCATAGATTACATTTAATCATAAATAAAGAGATTTTATTAGCAAAACATTTGTTTTCTGTTCCTAATGGAAGAATCTTATTTAAGAGAAATTGTAGAAGAACTACAAATGCTAAATTCGGATAGAGATTGTTTGAAGATGCAGTCTCATTATTTCAAGAAAACAATTTTTCTTTCTCTTCTGAAGAAGAAGATCCTAATCCTAGTTAAATGGAAAGAACTCACTAAACCAAATTGACTTAAGAGATCAGATATTAGGAACCTACTCATAATACTCATAGATCATAATAACAATAACACTAGCAATCAAAAAATGTGAGATTTAGGAAAAGATCGAGATCATTAAATTCTATCAGTGTTCATTCAGACGAAGAATCTAAATTTCAGAAATCCATGTCTGGCTATAAATCCAACGACTCCTAAGTCGATAAAATTAGTGCTATTCCTGTTAAAGTGCAATAACTCCCGAGTTCTTAATTATCTTAAAGTTCATTTAATGTATTTTTAAAGGAATATCCAAAAAGAAAGATATCAAAATAGCAAGATTCTGATAAATATTCTAATCATTCTATTGGATAACGATAATAGTAATAACAGTAGCATCATTAATAATAACAATAATAATAATAATAATATTATCATAAATCAAGCAGTTAATCTAGTAGTGGCAATATCCCTTAGAGCAGCATTGGAATTCCTCCTCTACCAAATGGGTCTCCTCCTATGCTTTATTAAGATGAGAAATAGACATTTTAAAAAGGAGGTGTTGAAGATAGTTTATATGTTGCATAGGAGAGGAAAAAGAAGTCTTTAATTGGTACTAGTTATTCAAATACAAAATAAATAAAAAATCCTCTGTAAGCTATACCATCAGTTAGTGAAATGAATGAGACCGATAAATTGAATAATTTGAAGGAAGCTTCTTACACTTCTAAATAATTGTCAATGCAAAGTAGATCAAGAAGTTAAAGATATACTATATCAATTCGTACAGAGAGTTAGAAAATTCGAGAAGATACTAAACACGATACTGCTTAAAAGCATGAAAAACATGATTTCAAATTAAAAACTGACACTTTTAAATAATATCATGAGAATAGTCCCTTAAATGAAGAGTAATTCCACAACACATTTGAATAAGCATGTAATCTATACTCTTATTACCCTCAATATAATAAGGATAGGATCATCGAGAAATATAAAAAGTAATAATATAACAAGAGTACAAAATAATATTAATTTAAGTTTTGATTATTTATTTATACTATAAAATATGAAAGAATTAAACGCGTAATTTATAAATAAAAAACGAAATAGCAACATATTTATTAATAAAATTCATGAACAAGCTTACAGGAGCCAAAACCTACCAAAATAATTAAGGATAAAAGTCTCGTAAATCCTTGTAATAAAAGCTCCCTGAAAAGGTCAGATTAGAACATCATGGATTAGTAACAGCTAGATTAAAGGATAAGAAAAGAAACAAGGAAGACATAAGAAAATATTTAAGCGGAAACAAATGTGATTACATTTGAGTTCAATATTGATTTAGAATATATATGTGTAGTCGATTATATATTGAAATAAGAAATTAAGTTGGATTGAATTCAAATATAGATTGATTTAATCTTTTTAGATATAAATAAATGTACTATACTCTAAAACATTATTTAATATTTAAATGGAAGGAATACCTATCACAATTGACAACTTAGACATTTAAATATATTATATTAATTCCCTTTAAAAATATTTGATTAGAGTTATTATTCTAAGCTCATAATTTTCATTTTACTAAATCCTGATTATAAACTATTTATTAAGAAGCTTGATTCAAAGTAAAATAGACAGGCCAATTTTTTTTTGGTAATTAATTTATTTAACAAAAATTCAGATCTCTAATATTAATATTAGAAATTCCTATTGAACTAGGCATCATTATTGCTCTTTATTTCAATGAATCCCATTTTTTATTCTTAAGCACTCACTCGATAAATTTCTTAAATAGAGTTCTTAAGGATTATTGATGTATTTATAAGTATAAGTTTAAAAAGATTATCTGCAAAATTAATTTCAAATGAGAACATCAAGCTGTGTACTCCCTCATAATTAGCAATTAACTTTTTAAACTTAAACATTTCATTCAAAATAATATTGTGGATCTCTTTAGAATTATGCAGGAAACATCTTTATAAATTGACCAGATATAAACATAGTATTCTCTAAATAAATAGAAATTCTTTTATCAACAAGGCATTATACATTAATTTATTAAATTATGTATTAGGCATATAAAATACTATATGAAATTACTCTAAAAATTAATATAAAAATTAATTGAAAGTTGTAACTTTTATTCTGAGATTAAATTTTAAGCATCTTCTAAATAATATTCAGAAAGCATTTAATTTTTGAATATAAGAATAATAGTTTAATAATAGGCCATTTTATTTGTAGTAATGGATAGAATGAAGTTATTGAATTATATAAGAGGAGTATAGATAAATAGTGAAATAAAAGATGAGAAATGACTGAGAATCCAGTTATAAATTAAATGATACATATATCATAATTATCTTTTTAATGTAAAAGAATTATTATGTGCTTTGTAAATTTAAATTATTTAATTATAAGAATCTATATAGTATAACTTCATTCTTTCTTAATATTAATTTGTTAATGAATTCTCGAGATCCTCCAAGTAAGATATTATTGCTAATCATTTCTTACTTGCCTCCTTCATTTCCCCTTACCAATGATTATCTTTTCGATACGTTCAAATCCTATGGAGAGATCAATAAAATACTCATTTTTGAGAGAGGGAAAACCAACAAAGCCTTTGTTGAATACTTAAATGTTAAGCATGCAATCCTTGCAAGAAGGAACCTGATGGGGAAATCAATAAGTCCAGAAGGAGGAAAGTAAATGCTTAGTTTTTATATATAGACTACTAATTCACTTTTCTCGTCTCAAGGAGCTCAACCTCGAAGTAGTTGATCAGACCCGTGGAACTTCATACCAAAATAATGAAGTTGAGACTCAACTGTTATTAAATCATGTATCGAAAATAAAAATTAAGAATAACAAAGATAACATCGAGAGTTAAAAAGTCCAATCACCTCTTGTTGATTAAATACATCAAAATTAAATGAGTGTCACCTAAGATTTAGGAGAGTCTCCTAATAAAACAATGTTTAATTTTAAATTATTATTTAAGAATGGATTCATAATTAAAATAATTAATATAAATTCTGGATGATGACTTCAATAGTGAAATTGAAAAGTCTCAATAAATCTAATTCAATCACTAATAAATAATAATTGATTAGTTATTATATTAGAAGCCATCCAAATATCTGATAGTGTCCAATATAGATGTTAAAATTACATCTAAGATGCTGTATAATCTCTTTAACAGATTTGGACATCTTGATAGTTTGATTTTAAAAAAAAAATAATAAACAGCCATCCTGCAGTTTACAAACTCTGATTAAGCTACTATAGCCAAAGAATTACTAAACAATGTCTAATTTTTCAATAAAGAAGTGAGTAAAATTAAATAAATCTTTAGTTAAGAATTCTGTTCCATCAGCAAAGCGATTTCAGAACCACAAATGTAGATGAAGAACTATATATTGGTTCAAAAACTAAATTCAAAACTGTTCCTATAAGCAAAGTTTTAATCTTTTAGGGAATCAAAGATATTATTGAAATTTAGGATATGGTTAAATTAGTTGGAATGATATAGGGTTATTTATTTAAATTAATATTATTAGATATTAGATTGGAATACAATTAAGTTCAGATGACTATGGTAGATATTTATGAAGCCTTGAAGGTTATATCAGTTTTCTCTGAATATGAATATAAGGGAAATAAAGTAAATATATTCTTTAAATGATTATGCTGAATATATGTAATTACTCATTAATTAAATATAATGATAATAATATTATCAAATTAATTTATCCAAACTTTCTTAAATACTTTCCAAACTTTCAAATAATTCTTAAATCTAGGCCTTCTAAAATTTAATGCTGAATTTATCAACTTTATTAGTCTCTCCTGATGGCTTCGTTTCAAATACAAAAGTCGTTGCTGGATTTCTTGCGTCGTACGAATATAAATCATTAGCATCTTCAATTTTACCGTCAACATTCATGAAATTTGCTACATCTGTAATTCATACTTTATTATAGAATACTCTTTTATGGTAATCTTGATTCATCAACTTATAAACTGATTTTCCAATTAAATGAATGCAATACGTCTTAAACAGCAATTGGTTTTTCTCTTATTCTAATTGAATACTCATTTCCATATTGTATCCATTATTGTCTAAAAACCTCAATGTGATCTTAGGACTATTAACATATAGAATAGTTTAATACCATTCCATTTTATGCTAATACTTCTTCAACTTAAGTCAAATTTCTTTCTGCCACGACATGCATTAACACAAAAGTGAATGCATTTACAATGTTTGCTAATTACTATTCAGAAATATTCAGATTATTTTGAAATTTCTTAATCTCATCCTCTGTAAATAAATCTTTGTATAATTATCCAGGCTTGCTAAATATTCTTCCAATAACAATTTCAGTCCTTGGAATACTTAAAGAATTCAGATTAATAATTGCATCTTATAAATTTTTATTCACCTTCATTTTATAAATTATATTTATTTATATATATAATAGTAATCTCATAATTAGAATTAATTAGATTAGCATAATTGAAATTCTTTATCTTTTAAATTATATCCTGTAAATGAAATACATAAATATTTGCTGTTTTAGATAACCAACTCAAAGGATACAATAAATTTAACAAATCTACCCCTAAAACTCCACAAGAAATTCAAGTTATGGATAGCTTTAATTGTGCTTTGAAAACAGTCATTCATACAAGATACAATTTTGAACTCATTAACATTGAAACTAAGTAAATTTTTAAACCACTTAGAAAGATTGATAATTAATTTAATTAATATGAGTGTATCTTTCATTTTTTCAATGTGCAATTTTGAGAGTTTAAAATCTTATTTAAAGTCTTCAAATTAATAAATATTGCAAAATTAAATCAATATCTTTATTAGTTGTCATTGAAGATTTAATTCTATTTTTGAATTTGCGTTTAAACAAAAATTCTATGAACTTAGATAATTCTTCTTTAAATTTTAAAAATTAATTTAAGTATAGATATGTGGATGAATCTGATTAACACTTTTAGGCTTAAGTAAATAGTTATTTTAAAAAAATTTGTATTTTTGGAGGATTATAAAAAATTCTATTACTTAAGCTTTCGAATTTTCAGATTTGTTTCACATTCTCTACTATATTAATATGAGTATAGCTTCTTTGTCTTTAAATCTCAATGATATAATATAGATTTATTAGAATATTCATATTTTCTCCATCTATCGTTTCCATGATAAAATATTATAAAAAAGTAAATCCCGTTGATTTAGTTTCTTTTAATCTTTATAGTGAATAATAACATTCAGTATTGCCTTTCATTTTATGTAATTTTTCTCATTTCAAGATTAAATTCAAACTATAATATACTTATAATTAAAAAATTAAACTATAAGCTTTTAAGTTGCATAGTAATATCAAATATAATTATATCCAATAGAATTTAGATTAAAGTTTAGAAAGATTTGAGACATTTTTATTTAATAAGATTTGATACTCTAAATTTTACTATTATTTAAAGTTTTATCGTTTCACTAATGTATTTTAATAATTGTTATAAATGTTAATATTTAAAACTAATTTTTTTCTCTACAAATAATTTTACTTAAATAATTATTTTAAATAAATAGATGCGAGTATATGAGATAATTATCTGTGATTTAAATTATTATACGATATTCTACCTTTTTATATAGTACTTTTATAAATAATATTTATATTACTAAAAATTTATACAAAAGTAATAGAAACATATGGATTAACCCAATTATTAAAGTGTTGCAGAATACAAAGAATGGCTTTACCAAAAGAATGTAGCTTATCAAATTGAATAATTCCTTTGCCAAAAATTGGGTTAGGAGGCAGAGTTGAATCTGTAATGCACTTTTTCAAGAATGCCTGTAACTATACCAATACGACATCAAAATGTGGCTAGCATTAAATGCATATTTGATCTTGAATAATGGCTTGAGTTTTTCGAAAGCAAACTTAAGTATTTATTTTTAGTATTGCTTTCCTAGTAATCAAAATAATTTCAGTTGTCCAGGATGCAAATAATATGTGTATTTTTCAGACTTCGGGATAGACTTCACATTATATCACATTTTGGCAGAAAAAAAGAAATTAGAACAAGGGGGTTAAAAATTAATAGGAGATAGAATAATCTACAGATTTAACAATGGAAACAAAGCTTATTATGCAATATCGAAGGTGGACAAGTAGACCAAAATCAAAATACCTGGATCAGGCCCTGTTATTAGATTGACAGTTCAAAATACCAATATTAATAATCAGAATTTGAGTCAAAGATAGCAAGATATCCAAGAATAAATTAACTATACTATTTCTTAAGTAAAGGATTGCATCTCTTCGAAATTTTACTAAGGTAAGCAGAAGGGAAAATAAATAAATTAAATGAAGCAGGCCTTAAAAGGGAAAATAGATTAATTGAAATCTACATTTAAATAATCTCTCAATCTAATTGAATTAGGCGTCTAATCCTTGGAAACTTAGTTTGTTTTTGGATTCAAGAAACTACAAAATGATGGAAAGAATGCAGGGAGTGTGGTATGAAATATTTAAAAGTATAGCTAATTGTGTATTATCCACATCTGGGAATTTGGGCAGATTATGAAATAAAGACAACACCAGAGAAGCATTTCTAATTTGAATATCAATTATATGTTAAAGAATAGAGTTTAGAGTAGGAGAACATTATCTACGTAATAGGAGGAAGAGTCTAAAACTTGGTACCCACAGATTTATTTGTAAGGATAAGATTTCCTAAGGATCCTTTCGCTTAAAATTAATAAGCTTCAATTGAGTATCTTCCAAAATTACCAAATGCTGGGTTCAACTATTTGGGAGGATGCTACAATAAGTATTAGTTTGATATAAAGTATTAGTAATGTGTATATCTTTTGTGGATAAAAAAGAACACCAGATTAATCATAGGTCATAATTGATACAATATTTGACGCTGGATATGTTTTTAAAAATAATTAATGGAGTAAATTAAATTAGAAAGTTGAGAGAAGATATGATGGTAGTTGTACTATTATTAACCATTAAAAATATGATAAATGTCTACTCTTATATGGAGGAGCTGAATAATTACCTGATGGAAGAATTGGGTACAACATTAAAGAACAGCAACATATAGTTTAGGTGTTCTAATTTAAATAAGAAAAATTCTTAGGCAATGGATTCAAATTGTAATTCTCAGATAAGAATGAGGATTAGTATTAAAAATATATGCTCTCAAGTCCAATATTTTCAGTTCCGTTTGGTACTCACAGTGAATTGTTGATTTCAGGAGACTTTTTGAAAAAGAATTGGAAAGAAAATAGGGAAGTGTTCATCTTTGATTGGCAAGATGGGACAATAAAAAAGAATTAATTGTAAAGCTAGGCTCTTGATTATTAATTACTTTCCCATATTAAAAGAAATCACAATTACTAAGGTGCTGAATTTCTATAGCCTGTTTAAGATGTTGAAGGTGCCTTCATGTTTGGAAATTATTATACAATTCACTAAGATGAAACTTAGAAAGATTAAAAGACAAAAATCTAAAATTTTCAGTTATTTGAATACAAGGTAGCCAATGGACAAGGTATATTATTATTTATATATATTTAGTTTCAACTAGACCATTCGTGCAAAAAGATATTTCAATATAAATAGCAGTTGATGCTTTGCAAAAATTACCAAATTAAGAAAATAAAATATTATGAAGTCTGTCTTATCAATATATTAAAATATGGAAAATAGAATAAATAAATCAAAAATGGTGATACTATCTATTCTTATCAATTTAAACTTAAATGCAAATGAGGGTCAGATATTCCTGCCTCTATATTTCTTTGCATTTAATCCCTAAATTTCCTTAAAGCATCTCTCACATCAGGAAAGTTCTTCTAAACAATTTAACTCAACAAAGGAGATAACAATTATAAAGCTTGATCATCTGAATCACCATACCAACTTTATATTTGTATTCCATTGTCAGGTTGCAATTAGAAATTCTCAGCCAAATTGTCTATTATTATTGTCTTCTTAATGTCTCTTCCAATCTTCTATATATCTTTTACATATGTATTTTTCACAAGTGTTGTGTGTTATCTGTACAATCTATGAGATATGACTTTATCCTCATCTATTAGATCCAAAATAAAATCTGCATAATCTTATTACGCTGCAGTAAAAATAACAATCTAATAAAACTTAGACATATCTTTCAGGAATTACTAAGCAAATGGTCTAACTAAGAATTGGCCCTCATCTACTAACTATATAAAAAACCAATTTATACTTCTTAGTAATGAACTAATGTTTCATCTAGATCAATGATCAAAGTGTAGTTATTTGTTTTAGATAAATAAGGTATCTATTAACAATCTATCACTTCTTCATAGTCAAATTGAAAATCTTATGAATCCATCGTCAATCTTAACTATTGTATATGAACCAACTACATATTTGTATTATATCATACAATTTTGTGATATTCTTGTTTAATAAATTCAGTTCCCTGGTTTAAAGAGAGTCGATCAATGTTTGTTAAGTTTTTCTCTAATGAATTAAGTTTTTGATCAGTTGAATTTTCAATACTAAACATATGAATAAAGTATTTACAATAATACTAAGAGTGAATAAACGACATTGTTATTTTTACGGATTAAATTTATATCTAAATTTTAGCAGTTTTTTTATGGTCTAATTTTATTCAATCTTGCTTAAATAGCTGCCCTTTGAGATTGTGAAATAGTGTTAGATTAGTTTAAGAATTGTAGATGTAAAGTCATACTGTTGTGTATATAAAAAAGCAGGTTTTTCAAATTCTATTAATCCTCTTCAAACGTATCAGATAGAGCCTTATACAAAATTGCTAAGATGCCTATTCTCTCTAAATGGATCTATTTGGACAGTATTTACTAAGTAATTTTATCTTTTTCTTCTATTAAAAAATGAGATATCCGATTAAGATAATTTTGGCATTAATTTATGACTTTTTTCTTTCTGCTGATGACTGCCATAATTGTAAACACAATTTCCTCTTAATTTATGAAATTTTAAATTTATTCATCTGAATCATTTATAGTGGAACTTGTTGATTCATTTTTATGTGATTTTGATTCTTCTGTCTTATATTTTTAAGTATCTTTATTTTTCTTATTTTGTTATAATTTCTATTGATCTAATCTGTGATTTATTTATTAGTATATTTTCTTTATCTCTACTGGCATTTAGTAAAGAATTTGAGGAGAAATAGATCGTTATGATTTATTTATTGATGTATTTTCATGTTAGGATTTTGGACTAGTAGTTCTGTTAAATAGTTGCTCCTGGGAATTTTATCTTTTAAAGAACAGTTCTTGTAAAATAGCATTTGATTTGGGCACTGATTTTTTCTTCTCATTAAATGACTTATTTATGGAAGACTTCTCTGCTGATAATTCATAAACATTTCTTGTAGACCTACTATCAATAGGAGGCTTATTAATCTTTGATGAATTCAGATTTTTCAGTTGTTATAGATTGTTTTTTTGCATTAAAATTATATTAATAAATATATAAATCAATGATTAATATATGATAAATGAAGCTAATCTTATTATAATTATTTATAACTCAGTCTAATCATTGAATTAATCTTTTTTTGATCTTAATATTGTTGACTAATTATTTATGACATCAAATATAAGTAAAAATGCATTATAAAATCTAATAAATATCTTAGCGCAAAATTTGATAACTTTAATAAAAGTACATAATAATTGGAGGATCCCAATGTACTTTATCAACTTAGATATTAACCTATGATAAACATCAATTTGAAACTGGGTATACATATTAAAATAATTAATAGTATTTATCATATCAAAAATATACCTACAGTTTTTGACTACTAAGCAACTATTTCTGAATTCAAAATCTTATATTAACCTTTCCTTAAAATACTATATACATCTTTTTGTTTTCAGCCTACTCAGTTATATTACAAATATTATTAAATTTTGTATAACATTTTTAGCATAATTAATTTACATTACATTTTAATTCGACTATGATAGACTTTAAAAAATAAAATGAGTAACTAAACTTCATTTAAATATCGTTTGTTTTATAGGGTACTAAAATTAGGATAATTTGCTTCTTAATGCTTCAAACCCTCTTATGATTAAAGCATTAAATATTATATATTAAAAAGTTCCGTTAATGGAATAAAATATTTCAATAAAATGTCCAATTCATAGAAGAGAATTAATAGTAACAGGATGTATTAATCCTAATTGCAATCGCTCACCTTTGATTTGTCAAATGTGTCCAGATTCCCATAGTGATCATTATTCAAATATAGTTCAAATATCTGAATGGCTTTAAAAAGTTGCAAAGACTATTCAAGAAGGCTCAAAAACCTTAAAATAGATAAGAGACATCAATTAAATAGATTCTGTTTTAAAATGGTGTGAAGATAATGAAATGCATCTTAAAAAAGTAGACGAGCATTGTAAAGCCTAAAAAGCCTTGATAAATGAAGATTTTAATTATCTAAAGGATCTTTTTGTGGAAAAATGCAATTAAGCACAAGCATAATTAGAATAAGATATAGAAGACTTTTATACAAAATATAAAGAACAATTTAAAATTTGTAAACTAATTATGGATGACTCATATATTTTATAGAAGTAATGTAATCCTTATAGCAATGTGCATAACCTTATATTAAAACTATAGTAATCCAATCCAAAAGAAGCTTAAGAATTGATAACTTAAATCAGAAAATTAATAAACAAACCCTATGATCCAATAGAAAATATTAAGTAGTGTGCAGATTCAATAACTGAAATGACTTATAACCTCCCAGTGTTTGCATTTTAAGATGGCATAGATAGTTTTGTAAATTAATTGGCAGATTAGATACACAACCACTTTAAAACCAAATTAAACATTACATTACCTAGAAAGATAGTTTCCCCCATTAAATACTAACCAAAAAATCTACATAAACAATATTCTTTACCAACTGAAAATATGACTAACAATTACAACAGCAATTAAAATACAACTAAATCCCCGCGTTTAAATCAAAAATTAACATTTTCTCCCTAAAATAGCATAGCTTTACATTCTAAAACTATAGTAGGGTAATGTAGTGATTTTACTTTGAAGCCATTAAAGAAATATTAATTAGACTTTTGTGTTTCAGCAATTGAAGTTGTAACTCCATAGGTAATTGCGATGACATGTAGCAATGATCCACATTTAAGAGTTTTTGATACGATATAAAAACGCATTCATACATTGTCTACTCATACGACTCCAATCATTCAAATACATAAATCGATAGATACAGTTGCTCCATTGTAATAACATAATAATTAAAAATCCTAAACATATTTATTCACATTATCTAATGAGTTGTTAGTGGTTTGGGCTTTCGATTTTACTAATACTTAAATGATAGTCCCACATATTTATCATAAATACCTATTTAATAATTAAATTACTTAGAGTTGCTATTTACAAGATAATTCTTGTATTGTTGTTGGAGACTCAGTTGGGACAGTGGAAGTTTACAACTTTTAGTAATCTAAATTATAATAGAATGGAATTAAGGGAAAACATTAGAAATAGATATCATCTATTTTATTATTGAAAAAACATGATAAGTTTATTTGTAGTTCTTATGATTAAACTTTATCTATTTGGAAAATGTTATACAATTAGTAATCCTTTGAAAATACTTATTGCGAATCTATTATTCAATGTGGAAATATGCTTGGTCAAATTTAAATAATTAATTAGTTTTAATCGAATCCAAATTTACTGTTAGTTGGAAATCTAGAAGGTAATATTACATAATAATTAAAGGGTCATTAAAGATAGTCAATTTGATGAATCAATGTGTCATTTTAGAATCAGATATTCAAAAAAATACCAATTCGATCTGTGATTTTATTATTGCAGAAGATGCTAATAAAGGTATTGAAAATAATATCAATAGAAACAATTTCTGTGATAACTTACTTATAATCAAGCAAATCACTAAGATTTTGGAGATTGTAGAATAACGATATGGGATGGGCTTAAAATGAATAGAAGATCGAAGTTGCTTTATCTTTATCTGAGAATATGATCAGATCTAAACTTTAATTGGTTTAAATGCCTTCCAGCTCATAAAATACTGTAGTTCTAATAGCTAATGAAATAAATAAAGAATTGTTAGTTTATGAAATTATAAATAAATAGTGATTAAATAAAATATGAATTATATATTTAAATCAATACTTTTAAACAAGATAAGTAATAAATTCTTCGAATTAGATTTCACCATCTCCGTTTCCATCGCATGTCTACAAGATTTCTTACCATAATTAATCGTCTATTCCTCCCATTATTTCTTATAATTCATCTTTACTTATTTATCCATCTCCATTCTATATAATATTATTTAAATTATACTATATCAAAGATTTTAAAAGTTTGCTCTAATTTAATCTTGTTTAACATTTTCTCTTGTTAGCATGCTGCAGATACAAAAGCAGTAAAATCTACTGCTCCTGTTTTGTTGATATCAACTTTCTCAAATACTTCTTCAACCATTTATTATGCTTTCAAAGGATCATATTGCTAACTGTATACTAATTTATTTTTATGTAATTTACCAGCTAGGAGTTCTTCCTTACTCAATAAACCATCCCCATTTTTATCAATTGATTTAAATAGTGTTATCAATTCTTCCTTTTCTTAGTTTGTCATTACTTATGTGGTTATAAACTGCATCAATGCTGTTCTTACCTTATTTTTACTCTTAATATATATATATTATAATACATAGAAAGATTATAAATTTTTCAGTTATCGAGCATCAATTTTGGCTATATGAACATTATGTTAAATCCATGGATCTTCATATGCCTACTTTGCTGTAATCCTTTTATTGGGTTCTTTTTCCATCATCTTTTTAATTAAACTAATTGCTTAATCTGATATTCCACTCCAATGTTCAGCTATAACGCATTAATTTAATTAGAATACATGGAAAATCATAATATCCAATGTCAATCTTGGATAAGATCTCATCTTGTTGTCCATCAAATGGTAATTTTCCACTTAACATTTAATACAAAATAACCCCACATGACCAAACATCACATTTTTCATTATATTTTTTTTTGAGAACTTCTGGAGCAATATAATAAGGCTAAATGATAAATTATTAGTTTACTGTTCCTAACTTTTTGGTCAAAAATTGGTTCTCTTAGATGCGTCTTGAGGTTCCAAAATCTATAATTTTTAAATTCGCTCCTTATTTAATGGACTCTAATAAAATATTTTCAGGCTTTAAATCTCTATGAACTATCTTTCTCTCGTGGCAATACATCACAGCAGATAAGATTTGCTTTAGAAATTCTGCAGCAATTTTTTCTGTGAAAGTTTTATACTCCGAAATTCTTTATAATAGTTCACCTCCTTCTAAATATCTAAAATATTATAAATAATAATACTCAGTAATTAAGTAATAACTACTTTTATCTTAGAACAATTCATATAATTTGACAATATTAGGATGATCTAATTATTTTAGTATTGTGACTTCATTTAATAGGTTTTCTTCGTCTTCTTTAAATATTTTGTCTTTCTTTATTTACTTCATTGCTCTTCTTTATCCTGTTTATTTATGAATGACTAATCGAACTTCTCCATAGGCACCTAAATTATTAATCATTACATACCTTGACCAAGGGATTTTTCAACTCTATAATAACTTGTAACTTATCCCTGTTTTAGTGTTGCAAAATTGTCTGGTCCAACTTCGAAGGTTTCTTATTTTTTCGTCGTGGGTTGTTTCAAGTTTTCCTATTTATCTTATCTTGACTTGGATTGACAAAGTCCCATTAAATAAATTAATTATTTTAATTAATCAAACCATCAGAATATAAAAGTTGAAGATGGGCAATGACAAATGATCATAATTTTTATTTACATTTTATAAAAATGCAATAAACAGAAATTGAATAAGTTAATAAAATTTATTATTAGGTAATCGTTTAATGATCAATTATCCTGGATTATTCATGAGAATTTAAATCAATTAAATCAATCAAAGAGTATTCCTTAATAAAAACATTATTCATAACAATTTCTATTTAGTATGATTAAATAAATTGATATATTTTTATTACCCTTATTTATATTATCTTACTTTCATTTGTATTTGAAGTTATTTTTCTCAAAATTTTTCAGTTAATGTATTTCCATTAAATAGATATCTAAAATTTAATGTATAAAAATTATTTATTATTTTATTACTATCTATAATATTCATGTAGAATGGGATTGTATAAAAAGTATTACACAATAATTATTTTCTAGTCATCCTATTTGTTTATTATACGAATGTAATTTGCATAGAAACAAATCCAGTGATTCATTAATTAATAAAATATTATTTATTTTGGAATGTGGTATAAAAACTTTTCAAAACAAAGTTGGAATCTTCGTGTATGGAGGTACATTTATGGTTATATCATAATTAGAAAGGCAAATATATTGTTCAATTAAGATGATATTGGTATGTTCAAAACCAAAGGAGTTTTGAGATGGAAGGATACTGTATTTAGAATGGCAAGAAGTGAAGCTTGTGTAATTTAACATATTTATATGAAATTTAGTTAAGAGGATTCAACTTTTTTTTCTTTGCTGGTATGATTGGCTCATTCATTTGGGTTAAATCAAACTATTACGATCCAAAATATGTTGCACCCAAAAAAGTAGAAAGCGAAAAAGAATTGGAAAGATTGGATGCTGAAGCTGATAAAATATTGTTCAAGAATAGATTAGAGGCTTATTCAAGACCACATAGAAGTTTGGAAGATTTGATTGCATTCTTATCTGGGTATGATGCATTTATTAAACTAATAGTTCAAAGACTTTTGATTAGTTTGCTGATTTCATCAGTTATGAAGAGGCAATGAATAATAGTATGGATCAATAAAACGGTTTGGATTCATGGATGGACGACTAAGATTAAAGAATGCTTAAATATTACCAAAGAAGCATTGGACGTACCCCAAAATTTGATTGATTTTGCAATACGATCACATAAGCATATATAAAAATATCTATTGATAGTTAATTAGTTATTACAAAAAATTAAGTTTCTTATAAGGTAATGATTTAGATTCTAAATTATATATTGAAAATCTCGATAATTTTTAACATTTTTATTATTTAAAATTCAAAAAAAGATGGACCTTTTTGATTAGTTTTAGAAATTCAAGACCAATTTAAAGACTTAAATTGAACATCGTCCTCATTCTCAATAAAGGAACACTGTGCTGAAATCCAATTTTATTTAATAAACACTTTAGACATAATAATAATAAATATCAGATGTATAAAGGAAAAAAACATTGTAACATCATAGAAGTTCTACTCTATTTAGTGCTGCAAAAGAGAATTAAGATAAATTGCAAAAACAAAATTAGCAATAATAAAGGTTTACTATGGTGCATAAATAATTGCCAGAAGTATTATCGATGTAGTAAATTTAACAGATTTCTGATGTTTTAATTGATTGCAGTGAAGGTTAAATAAACTCCTTATCAACCTAATATGTAGAAGAGTTAGTTAAATTATCAAGCATCATAATGTATAAAGTGAAGAATTCAAAATTCTACTCATGATAAATACACTCTCCTTTATTATTATATTAAAATTCACTTAATCTTTGATCTTTTCATCTAAATTTATATTATAATACATACGACTTTTAGATTTATAATCTACTCCGCATCTCTTTCCTGCATTATAAAAACCAAAGTATTTTTAAAGTATTTACTTTTTTTCTTCCAAAATATAAAATTTCATAATTAGATTTTTATTTAGTTGGCTTCTTGTCTATTTGATAATTGTTTTATTTATTATTTATATTAGAAATCCAAATATTCACATATTTCTCTTCAAAATTTTCTTATTGGAAATAATAATTTTAGACATTATTTCCTTGTGGCAATGCAATTAAAGTATTAAAGACTATCGATTAGAATTAATTTGAGATAATATCTCTAAATTAATTTATTGATAAAATCCTCTTTTCATTTTGATTATTAGATTCATATTGGCATTCAATCATAATTTCTCATTCATATTCTTTTAACGCTTTATTCTCCACTCTAGATGTCATAAAATGAAGAGTTTAGATGTTCAGACCACATTAATTATTTAATCACTTTTTTCCAAACGGAATTATTATTATTCAAATGTTAACAAAATATTAGAATATTTTTAGCTTATTAATCATAAATATTATAATAAGAAAATAATTGATAAATTATAACCCTCTTGATTAGTTTCATTATAAGAATTACTTTTATAACATAACATTAAGTCTTTCATGCTCATCTGAAATTATAATAATAATATAAATATTATTTTCTACAAACTCTTTTTTTTTTAACTTTCTCTATCCATGAAGTATTCTGTATTTGATAATAAAGATTTAATTTGAATGATGATTTTCAAAACCAACTTTATCCTAAATTCCAATAACATACTTTAAAACAATTTAGTTGCTAAGCAAATGTTATGTTAATTCTTATAGCTTCCTCCTTCTTCGGTGATTTTTAATATTAATTTGAATATAAATATAAGACAGTTTAGAATCTAGTTATAATTAAGTCTAAATTGAAATAATCAATAATTTTATAAACTTCACAGATTTCGATTAGAACATTATTATTAAAGAATGCTTAGATATATAAATAATTAAAATATTTAATGAATACTAGAGCTTCAAAGAAACAGAGTTTACCTTTACAAAATCCAACAGGTATGAAACATAAAATAATTTAATGGACATACTAAGCTATTTTATCTATATTTTAAATTATTTATTTATTATTTAGAAACAAGAGCTAAGTAAGAAGAGCAAATTGGTGAACCAGTTATTACAAAAGTAAATATTGAAAATGAGGAATCTAATAACAAGATTACAAGTCTGAATTTTCGCTACAATCAAGGCATTAAAAAATTATAAATTACCAAAGCATATCCTAATGAGAAAAGTGGTAATTGCTTTTAAATATGTCAGGTTTTAAGGCTCATAAAACTAGGAATAAGCCAATAGTTTTGAATTTATTAAATGGATTAAAATAGGGTGCTGATGGTAAACTGTATGATGTAATGGATGTCAATACTTATATTTAAATGATGAATGATTAGTAATAATCGTAAAACATTCCTAAATCTTTAAAGTGCAAGTGTAATAAATCAATGTGTTTAAAATAATATTGTGATTGTTTTGCAAATGGCAATATGTGTACTACACAATGTCAGTGTCAGGGATGTCATAATACTGAGGATTATTTAGAGGAGAGAGAAGAGGCAATCAATAAATTGAAAATGCAAAATTAATCAATTGAAGTTTTAATATATATATATATTATTAATAGAAAGAAGTACCAGTTGGGATTAGTTGCAAGTGCAAAAAATCAAAATGCTTGAAACGCTATTGTGATTGTTTTTAGAATAATCAGAAATGCTCTGAAAGTTGTCAATGCAATAATTGCTCAAATCAAGTGGAAAAGGTTGAACAAGGAGATTAAAGATTGATGATGAATTCTATTTCATAATTTGATGAGAATAGCAGATTGGCAAAGTCACCCATAGTTTACAACAGATAAGGGTTTTTCAGAAGGGCTGACAGCATGAATTATTCAAATTCCTTTGGTTATTCTAGAAGTATATAAGATAATAATTATGAGGAATGCTAATTCAACATGAAGGACCATACTTTTTAAAGTAAGACTCGTAAGGATTTAATTGAATAACATAATAACTGTAATTATAATTCATTTTGTAAATTGTATCACGGGAGACTCTTTCTGATGTTCTCGAGGGTTTACGTAATATGATTGACAGAGGTAGTGAGCTTTTGAGTAATTAACGAATTGATACTTGTTCAGCAGTACTTTTGATGCCATTTATTTAAGCCTCCAATTGGTTGAGTTTTTCTGGGACGGCTTTAAGAGTGACGGCATTTCTTTAAATAGCAGCAAAATCATCTTCAATTTATTGCATTTGAGGGACTTAGCATTAACCCATTGTGTATAAATAAAATTTAATTATTAATAAATAAATTAATTAATTTAAGGATGTCAATGAGTGATCAGAGCAAGACAGAAAATCGGATATTTGTAACAGGATATTCAACAAAAGATAAAAATGAGGAAGATATCAAGACTCTTTTTTCCAAATATGGAGAAATTAGTGAATTTTCATGGAAGGGTCGTTTTTGTTTCATTGTATTTTAGCATATATTATTATTTTAGGCTTATTCAAAAGCTGAAGAAGCTACAGAAGCAGTGAATGAAATGAATTAAAAAGATTTAGATGGAAATACTTTTGTCGTTGAGATAGCTCGAGCCAAAAAAAAAGACGGTGAATGCTATCAATGCGGCAGAATAGGCCATTTGTAAATAATATGATGATATGAATTAGTGCTCGTAATTGTAGATAAAAAAGAAGATCTTCAAGTTCAAGTTCAAGGTAAATATTAAATACTAATTAGACGCCACAAAAGAAAGAGTAGGAAGTATAAAAAGAGAAGTCCCTCCAGTTCTTCAAGTTCGTCTTCTTCCTCATCTTCAAGGGATAGGAAGAAGAAATAAAAAACTAAAAAAAGAAAATAATCCTCCTCATCAAGTGATTGATTTTAAAAGAATTTGGATATATATCAATGATTTAAAATTATCGTGTTTTTGTTGTGAATAAATCTAATCATTTTTTCAATGCTTATTCGTTGTCTCTTAAAATTTAAAAGGCAGTCTTTAACGAATTCAATTGTCCCTCTCTCTTACTAGCATTGGATCTGAAATTTGAATCATATAAATCTTTTTGAACTCTTGTGGTTTCTAATAATTATTAAGTATTCTCCTAATTCAAAGACAATTATTTATTCCTTCTCTATGCAATTTTCTATATGTCAATAAGTGATTTATGCATACCAAATCGTTTTATCTATTCTTTAAAGTGCTGCTAGTCTTCTGATTATCTTATCCTAATTTTTCCCTTAAAATTGACACTTCATTAATTAATGAATTAAAATTTTGTTCTGCAGCTGTTTGATTTTGCTCTCTGAATTGCTAGCCATCTTTGATTGATGCAATTATTTATTCAATTAATTCAATAGCTTTTCTAGCTGTTACTTCATCGAATCTTAATTATCCAGATACATTTACTTTACAGATAAATCTAATAATAAGGCAATAGGATGATTAAGTCCTAATTCTTATTTCACTTATTTTATTATTTCTTATTTTTCAGTTTCTTCAAGAAATGAACCTTAATTTGAAAGAACAGCCTTGACCAATCGATCATGAATTTCTTCTAAAGCTCCCAAAACCTTTTGAGCAGCAGTCTGTTTGGTTTCTACAGATTAGATTTCCTTAGCTCTATTATCGCGAATTTACTCTTCTCTTTAATTTATTGCTTCTAATTGTTTCTTAACGGAAACACTAGTGGATGTAAGTGTTGAAATAGCTTATGTGATTTCTCCTATCTTTCTGTTTGTTGTTTAAACTTCATTTTATAATGAGGCTAAATTTGTCTCTAATTATTCTATGCTTGATTAAAATGCAGCCATTCTAGAAGCATGTTCCAAATTTGCAGAATTAGTTTATCCAGTTAAATCATCAATCATTTTTTATAACAACTCAAAAACACGATCCAATTATCCACCTGCAACACTCAATTCCAACATATCAACTAATTGTGAATTATATTCATTCGATTCTAATTTATGTCTTAATTGCTAAAGAGCAGGACTCTCTGTAGCAATTGCAATTGTTACTAATAGCAACACTAATAGAGACTTTTATGACATTTAATCCGTTTTTATATTTATTATTAATAATCATTATTATGGTTTCCTTTAGGGAATCTATGCAGGGGATTATTTTATATGTTATTAAGGCGAAGCATACTATGTATTTATTAAATTGTCTTACTGATTCCTTTCTAATACATGGTGTTGGATGAATGGCCTCCAATGTTAATTCACCATTTTGTCTTAATAACAATGCTCTATCTTATTCGCTTAATTTTGAAAGTTTTGGATTAGCTTTCAAGTTTCCTTAAATCGATTTAAATATCTCAATTAAATTCTCCTTCTTGTATTGAACTGTGGCTTTTCTGATTGGCGATCCCTGGATGTCTTTGCTTCCTCTATCGATTATGCATGATTTATAAATACTTATGTTTAGCAGGTTGAATTTGCTCCGAAGTCTTTCTTGAAGTCGATTTTTTTTCAACATACTAAAATAACTATAAATTAAATACTGGGCTCTATTAGACCTTAGGAGGTTTCTCACTATTTTTTTCTTATTTTTCTAGTGATTATTTTTCAACATAAATTTCTTTGGGTCCTGAAGTAGGAGTCTTTGTTTTTTTGTCCTAATGCTCAACTTATTCGCTTCCCTTGCGTTCCTAACCTGATTACTTTCTTGGATTCGATTGCTATTATTGAACTGGAGGATAGTATGGTTTTGCAGTCTTTTCATGTTGATTCTATACTTGAGCATCATCTGAAGCTTTTCTTATGTATAGATTTTAGAACATTTGATTATCTAGGTTATTAAAATACTTTTACTGTATTGGTACAAGTATTATCCTTGGTTGTTGAATCCCAATGACTTTGTAAGGGATTAATACACATTTTCTGGTTCCACATATGCCTTCAATGGATCTTTAGGATCAGTCACTGCTTAATCTAAAAACTTCAAACCAACTTCATCATCCTTAAAAGTCACTCTACAACATCCACCTTCAAATGTAATTTCGCACTCAATATTCTTCAGATATTTCTCAATCAAGTAAGCTTTGAAATCTGCATTTGTTTAACTGATTTCATTTATTATAATATTCTTAGTGTGTGGAGGTATCAAGAGAGTCACATATCCTTCATGCAATTTGCAATTTTTGCATTGCTTCAAAGCCTATTCTTTATTTAATTAATCTTACGCCCAATATTTCTTCAATGGAATGCTTTGCTAGTGAATATTCTTTTTGAAGTGCCACTATTGGTAGATTCAAATTTGGGTCCAAGTTTTTTAGAAGGTATTTATTTTTCTCTAGGTGTTCTCTTGTGAACATGCCATCTAATTGTTTTATTAAATCAGTCATTAAAAATTTAATGAATAAATAAAATATATAAAATACTACGTATGCCATTCTTAAACTTTAATTAGAATTAGATATTTAAATGGAATCAACGATAGTTTGTCTAAAAAATAAGAATGGTAATCGTACATTAATCTCTCGATAATTAAATACTTGATAATTAAAATAACTTATGAATAATTTCATTAAATACAAAACTATGAAATTGATCATCCTAATTGAAAATGATCTTCGACAATTATACTTCTTTTCTTAACCTTACCTAATTTTTTTAATCTACTCTTCAAGTTTATAAATATTTTATACATTTCATCACTTTGTAAATAATATCTTTCCCCTTTTTAAAAAACTACAGTAAATTATTTTAAAAATTTGATCAAACCATTTTATTTTGGTACAGATGAGTTGATAAAATAAACATTTATAGATTTAAAATATACAATGAAAGTAAGTACCAAACATGTCATAGATAAAATATTGTCTCTCATGTTAGAGACACTTATCATTTAATATTGAATAATCAAATTTGCTTGGTACAAGTTGATACCAAAGAAAAGGTAACATTGTAATTCCTCCTATAATTTACCTACCCTAATAGGTACTGAATGTTAAATAAATAAATATTTTTCTACTATGTATATCAATAACAAAGAGATAATTGAAGATAAAACTATAAATGGATAAAACAATCCAATAGACAGACACAAACAATAGATTTTGTAAATTGTAAATCTTCTTGAATTAATTTAAAATTCTCTTTTTTCAAATAATTTATTTGCCTCTATTTATGTTATATTTCTAAAATTGGTTAGTTTTTCTTTTTTATATTTCAGTAATCTCCATAAGTAAGATATATCAAAAATAGAAGTGAATGCTGGAATAAATATATTTAAGTAAGAAATAGTAATTTGATTATCGACTAATCCTTCTTTTTGTAACATCAATCCGGAAGCATTTAGTTCTGTGAATAGTCAAATGGATCAAAGCAATCAGTCCATTCTGTAAAATGACCCGAAAAAGCTATATCTATAAGCACAAATAATTGCATCTAAGGATAATAATTGAATTTACAGATTAATGCACCATTGATGATCCATTTCTACAAAGATAGTCACTTAATTTTAATATTAGGATTTATGAAATACCAAATGAGGCTTTTATAATGATTTAGAGTATTTTAAGATCATCTCCCTGAAAGTAAGTTGTTAATAATTTTAACCTGAAAAACATTGTCATCGTGATTAATACTCTAGGTAAATAATATGACAATATCAAATTTAGGAAAAAAAACCACAAGGCTTCTACATATTTCTTTTGAGTGTCTTAATTTTTATACTCCTAAACTTATTAATTATACATTTGGCAAATCTAATACACCTCTGTTTTGAATAAACTTAAATGATTCATCAATACAATCTTCCCAGTTACAAATTCATCTAACAGAGCATTATCATAAAATGATTTAATCAAGATTTTGTTTTTCCATTTATCACTAAAAATAAATAATTAAAATTACTCCTTATCATATTGTTTGGAATATTCAAACTTTAGCTTTTCAAATAAAGCATCTTCATATTTCTCTAAATCAAACGCTATGTATACAAAAAGGTTTCGTTATTTACATTTCATGAATTCAACTATATCTTAATGGATAGTCTTAGGAAAATAAAGGCAGGTCTATTTTAAATACTCGAAGGTAGCAGAAGTTTACATCCTTTTAGTTGTTTTTCGATTATAAAAAAATAGAAAATGGACTATTTAAAGTAGTAGATAGGTTAAATGTACAAAATAACTATAATTTGGATTATTTAGAGAGTAGTATTTAGGAATCAGATTCCATACTGAATAAACTTTACTTGAATTAGGATCACAACCTGATACTTACTCACATTAATTTCCATCACTATAAATCATAGAACTATAAGGGACAAGAAAGATACTAATCATAATTATTTCTATTACCCCATAATCAATAGCTAATAAATGCAATACTATATCAATTGAAAATATTCACCTAGTGAACTATGGTGATGATAATATTTTCTGCCTTCAAAAAAATTGTACTTTATATGATCTTTTGAAAAATTGCAACAAAGACATTATTAAGAATTTGGAAGAGGTATTTTGTGAACTGTAAATGCTTACTAAAGTTAATTATGAGAATTACTCTGTGTAAATAAGCTTTGTCCAAATCAGGAGGAATCTTAAAATAGTTGTAGTCTATGCCAGAATCATCAAAGGACATATATTTTATGTCAATTACATCCATTTAGTCAATCTATTATTCTTGATTTAAATTCATTGTTTTTAAAACTAAATAAGTAATCACAAACCACTATTATTTGGGAATAATCGTATATAAAATTCATTATAAAATGTAGTGATTACAATATCTCAGAAAATTGGGATTTAAATATAAATATGGAAAGATCAGTATTGGCTACATTTTATAAATATTAATAATTATATCTGATTGCCTATTACATTAATCAATTCATATTCTAAATTAATTATTAAAACCGTATATTTATGAAAATTTTGAAAACGTTATCGATTATTATTTTGGAATTTACCCATTTTAAATTTAGATGGATTCATCTAGAATTTAAAATCTGGATTGCTTATTTTAATAGGGTTCCTTAAGTGCTTTCAACTAACCTGATTCTATTGTTCTACACGATGTTCTTTGGAATAATTATTTCATGCTATATAAGCACTTCTACTCCTTTATCTAACTTTACATTAACTTATTGTTTTCGTTGTCAAATAATTTACAAAATGTCTAAAATTCTTTTATTAATTTATACTTCATCATTTGTGAAACAATTTAAATAAGTAATCTAACATTCTAGTAAGAACCTCATTCCATATAATAGTGATATCTCTTGCAATGCATTGGTTTGTTAAGGAAAATAGAATGTTCCAACAATTATCTCATTTAAATCTTATTTTATCATAAAATTTGCTCCTTTATTTGTGTTATCATTAACTTTCCCAAAAATTAAAGCATAATCTCTATTTTATTGTAAATTTATTGGTTTGATCTATTATTTATTATATTCACTGAAGATATCTGGATATTCAAGTAAAATTTAATCTAAATGTGGCTTTTATGGTAGAATAGCAGATAAATTATTGATATTTTATTAAGAATAAGATCGTTATGATGAAAGTTGAAATTTATTTTGATCAATAGAGACTGATAGATCTTAAATTTTGCTTTAATCTTATAGAACTTTTACAAAATTCTTTTCCTCTCTTGATAATTATTTGGCTTAATTATTTACTTCTTTTGGAATTTATACAAAATTTATTTAATAGAAAAATTAAGTATATTTAAGTATTACCTCCTTAAGGATTGCCAATTGACCTTATAAATTAAAGCTTCTATGCTTTGTAACTAACTAACATATAAAGTCAATATACTTGACTATTTCCCTTCACATTCAATATTTTTATTCCTAAATCGATGCAATATCTCATTCCTTGAATAGTAGCCAAAAATTCTAATTCATTAATTGTTTTATCTGGATATGCTTAACTAATGGTTACTAGGTCTTTATTTTGGTTTTTAATAATAATTCCGAATTTCCCCTAAATATTAGTACTTGAGGCATAATACAAATCATAAGATTCTTTTGGGTTTATTTAGATGTATTCTTATAAAGGACTTAGGAAACAGATTTTATCTCTATGCTGATTATCTAAATCTGATAAGGAAAGATTATTAATTGAATTTGTTTTTTTTCCAGAAATGGAAGAAATACTTTCGAAATTTCTTGAACTTCTGCTTATTTCGGAATAATTGTCTTAGACTTCTGATTTTATTTCACTAATAGCTGATGAACTACCTAAGCTGAAACAGTAATTATCCTGCATTGATTTTAATTTTATTGATAATTATTAGACACATTTGGGTTTTGAATTGAAAAGAAAATATTTGACAATAAAAAAGAAAAATAAAATATGAAATGAAGATGTTTCATTTTAATTTGATATTTATAATGATTATTAATAAAATGTATAACAACAATGATTTAGAAAAGTTGGTCATTAAGGGCAGTACAAGATTTCAGGAAGTTAATTTCAATTAGCCAAGACTCTTCTAACCCAAGTTGAATATAATTAAGTTAAAAGGATTTCAATAGATAGTAGATCTAATTAAGTAATAAGAATCTTTTTCGAAACACAATTAGATTCCATAAATCAATACTCAGAAAAATCTACCTTCTATTTTGGTTTATCCTCCCAAAGCTGAATTAATTACATCTTCCAAGAAGGAAATATCAATTAGGAAATATAGTGAAACAAGGGTTTATGGCAGAAACAGTTTTACTGAATCAGCTGAGCCTCAATCTCTTGAAAGGAGGAAGATTGATACTAAAAGAAATAAGTTCGCTATTAAAAAGGCTCTTCCAAATAAATAAGAAGAACAAAATTTATTTGAAAATCCTTCTGATTTTGCTACAATCATAAGTTACTCAAATTTATTAATGATAATACCTTAAGAGAAGATAGTTTATAAGGCTTTCATCACAAAAGGAAACAATGGTTAATTAGTTCGACAATTAATCAAATCTAGATCTTGGTGGGTGTTACTTGATGCTCCTTAGAACGATATGAATCTTTATTGGACATAACTTAGAAAACAAGGATTTTATAAGGATCTAATAACCATAACTGGGAATTAGTCTACATTTACCAAAACATAGAAAAAATTAGTGTTCGAAAAGTTTAAACTCAGATTAGAAGAAGAAAAATATACTAATTTCGTCTCTAGTAATATCTTGAGAGTACACAATCATTTGGAAGGCAATTTCCAGATTTCAAATAAGAAGGCTTTGTATTACAATATGAAATCATATTATGAATCGATAGGTCAAGATCCATTTAAATTTATTCCATTAACATTTCATATTCAAGATGGAATCAAAGATCCTGTATATTAGTAATTTGAGGAATATGCAAAGAGGAACAATATCAATGTCTGGATAGTTAAACCTGGAGAGTAATCGAATAGAGGGAATGGGATAGAAGTGGCCAATTCGATTTCTTAAGTTAAAAGGTTAGTCTCTTATCGTGAGTTGCATTCCAATGGGGTAAAGAAGACCTTTATTGTGCAATAATACCTAAATAGACCATTGTTGTACAACAAACGGAAATTTGATATCAGATGTTTTATGTTGATAACTTGTATAAACCACCAATTTAAAGCTTATTGGTATTAGGAAGGATATATAAGAACTAGTTGTAAGGAATTCAATCTGGATGACACAGATTGCAAATATACTCATTTAACCAATGATGCTGTACAAAAATACAGCAAGAACTATGGGAAATATGAAACAGGAAATAAAGTAAATTAATAATATAAATAAGGTTTCATTTAATGACTTTTCGAAATATGTTTAAGAGATTTATAACATGAACTTCAATAACACAATAGAATAATTGAAAAGTTTGTGTGTTGACATTGTCAAAGCCTCTAATTAACATTTAGATCCCAATCGGCACTTCTACACTTTTGAACTGTTTGGTCTAGACTTTATGATAGACAGTGATTTCAAACCATGGCTGATAGAAGTGAATACTAATCCATGTCTTGAAACCTGTTGTCCTCTACTGTCTAGATTAATTAATCATTTGGTCGAAAACACTATCAGAATTGCTATCGATCCTATGTATCCTCCTCCAACGAAGAAGAAACCACTACCTGAATTCAAAAACAATTTTGAATTGATTTTCAACTCTCCTCTAATAGAATAATGTGATAAACTGCCTGAAATCTAATAAGATGATGACGATCTTGATGTAGATGATGATAATTGAATTAATATATATATTTGTCATTCTTATTCCATACTCATTTTATTAAATTTATAGTCTAGATGAACGATTTCGCTGTCTGTCCTCAGATATTGAGTTCCTGATTGTTTCTTCTGTATTGATATTTAATCTGCTTGTTCATCTAATAAATCTTGATAAGGAAGTAAGACATCTTGGAATATATTGGATTCAGGATGAGCGATGCCTATATCATAATGTTGTTTCTATTCCAGACTCATCTAATGTGAAAATTACAAGAAGTCTCCATTTGAATTGAGAGAATCTATGTAATTTATCATATTTTCATATACCTCCTTTACCAAGTCCATTATATGAGGTTTACATGTAATGGTTATGCTATTATAAATTGTTAATGGAGTTTTCTTGCTCAAACTAACTCTGTATAGTATCTAATTATTTATCTTCATTCTATGATCTTAAATACTCCTTTCCTGTTAAATCAGATTTATTGTATTACTGTGTAGGAGTAATCTCCTTACCATCTGAATCCGATTCCTTCGTCTAAACATTATAGTGTTTCTTTATATGAGAATAAAACCGATTCTTTACTGAATTTTCCTTTATTATTTGATTAAATTATTACAGGTCTTCCTATTAAGTTCTTTGATATTTCACTCCATCTTGGACCCAATTTCATATACAAATTATATATGTCTTCATCCTCCTTCTCATCAAAGGGATCGTGATTGATAGTTTTATCTAATTTATTGATAAATCTTTCTCTTATCTATTTCCCAGTTCTCCCATTCATTTCGTTTTCAATTCTTTTCCAATTCTTCCCAAACTTTTGGATCAACCGTAACACTTATCTATCTTCTTCCTCCGTCCATTATTTTCTCATTTTAATCTTTATATAATGCTTAACATACTCTATTCGGATTTATTCTTTTCCACCTTTGTGAACATTACGATTGATTTCTACCAGGTATAGCTTGGGCTACTTGTGTCCAATTTCCATTAAATTTTTCATAAAAGTTTTACAGCATCTCATCCTCCTCTGGTGTCCATATCTTTACAACTCTCTTCTTCGTCATAGGTTCTGAATCCGATGCATCTGAGTCATAGTAATCAGAACTATATTTTCTAATGCTTTTTTTCGATATCTAACTCTATTGACTACTGCCTCTATGTTTTCATTAATTGTATAAATACCTGGCTCTAGTGCTTTAACTCATTTATATATAATAATAGTAAAAAATTATAAATTGTTAATTATCAAAAATCGAACAAATAATATGTTATTGAGCTCAATATGACCACAATCATTGCCTTAATTATCTCATATTATATCCTTATAAATTACTACCTAATTGTATTAAACTATTAATACAATTTATTCCTAAAAAGTAAATAAAAAGGATTATAATGATGAAGGAGTTTGTTAAATTGGAGTATTCTTATCCCTGATATGAAACTTATATATAAAATATTTTTATATGCAAGAAATTAATTATGAATAACTTGATTAGGAGTCATTCTCATCATTAAATTTATTATTAGTTCGACAAGAGTGGGTTCAAATTGAGTTTAAATTTATTGAATATAATTATCCATTGAATTTGGCAAGCTCTGCAAATGAAATTTTTGTCTTTGTAACTATGATTTTTTAATTTTTTAATTAATATTTTATAATATTTCAATTCTGAGTTGATTATAGCTAGATTCTCACTAGAAATTAATTTAGCCATCTCTCAAGCTCCCTTATAGCACACATTAGAGCAAAAAAAATTTACTTTCATATACCAATTACATTCTTAACTCATCTAATTATTTATTTCTTATATTTAACTTCGTTCAAGATAAACTTTGATAATCTACTGATATTTTATCATTATATTATCAAATAGATTATTTTTGTTTTAAAATCAGAACCAGAAAAGTGTTTACTTAATTCACAATTTTATTATATACTATTAGGATGAATTATTCTACAGATCAGTTTATAAAAAGACTATGGATATTATTAGTTAAATAAGAATAATAATAATACTATAATTTATATAAATCCTATTTAATGTTGTATGGTATTATATCATTTATTTTGAATATCTAAATTTTTGTAGACATTGTTAAATCTCCAATTATGATAATAATGAGCAGGAGAATAGTCTGAATAAACATGATTTGGATCCTTCTTGGAATAAATGATAGATGGAACGAATTCCTTTCCTACTTCAGTTCTGTCTTTAAGTAAAAGATGAACACCATCATACATAGATAAGAATCTAAATTAAATATTTTCAGTTACTTGGTGAATCTGCTTGCAAAGACAAAGGATTAATCTTTGAATTCATAAATCCAATGGTCTAATTATAATTCTAAATATTTACTTAGGGTGTTATTGTCTCCTTAGACAGAATGAACATCATGTCCAAATCCTCTAACTTATGGGCAAACCTTCAACATTGGTAGGGTATTGGTTCCTAAATGCACCCATCTTGAAAATTCAGGGAATGCAAAATGAGTTCTGCCTGTAAAAAGACCAGCTTTGATTGGCCAGAAAGCAAGAGAATCAGCTTTATTGAATTAGATATTGTCATTTAAAAATTTAAGAGAAAACTTCCAATCCCATTATCCTGATGGTAATTTAACAAGATTATCACTAAAAATAGATCTCCATTTAACACACTATATAGAAATATTTAAATAATTGAACCTCTATGTTTTCTTTGAGAAATGCCTCAATTTATGATTTGGTCATTTCTTTAGTATTAATTTCTGATAATTTCTTAATGAAGCCTCTGAATTCTGTAAATGCCTCATGATATCTTTAATCCATAGGTGAGTAGTCAATGCAAAACACACCTGTTGTTCTTTCAGGATGATAACATCCAGCAGCTAAAGCAACCTTTGCTCCAAATCCATGTCCAGCCAAAGTTGCCATGGTGATTTTGTTATAATACATGTATCTAACAACATCATTGGCCAGATCTTCAACATCGAATGAGAAATGCTTGTCCGATGTACCAAAATTTCTTGGACTCAAAATATGCACATTTCTATAATCAAGGATCTATCAATTCACACACTTTTCTACCTTATTAGCTGGGTCACTGAAGAAGGGGATCCAATTTTCGACAGGATCACAGGCTTCAGGAAAGAAGAGCATATTTGGTAAATCATTATATCTGCCTTTGAGAGTGACTCCTCTTAGGACTACATTCTGGGAAACATTCTAGTGCTCACTAACTCCTTTGTGGAATTAGAGTGTACTGAATTTCCAAAGTTATCGAAATCTGTACATAGATATTTTAATTAATTAATTTATTCATATACTATCATAGCCACCATGTCTAAATCTCTGAACTTGAGTTTACAACCTATCTACACCAAAATGAAACAGTGCTCTGACTTGAGGAATAAGAGTTTTGATTTAATGAATGTGAGGGATAGCATCTTCTCCTTCTATTTGCAATTTCTTACGATTGTATATGAAGCGGCCCCCAAAATATAAACAAATAACAAAAATGAATTTAAGAAACCAATGTGAACCTACATTATTGATATGGAATCGATACTTGCATTTCTGCAGGCAGCATGATGTCTAATTTTAAATTGATCAATGCATTCGTTATCTGGCAAAACTGTGAAAGTAGCTTCATCATCTCCACATTCAATAAAAAAATGAGCCTGTCTTGGTTACATTACTCCTGTAGGTTGTTATTTTGGATCCATACATAAGTCTCCTTAGGTGTACTTTATAACTATGCCTTTATTTAAATCTCTTTAATCCAAATGCTCAAATGCTTAAGTTTCTACCAATCCAGCCACATCACAATTTTCTGTTATTTATCCCATGACTGCCAAAGCTTCTATAGCTCCCACTTATCTATCATGACATTTAATAGGTTTGAAATCACAAAAATTGAATATGTAAACCATGCTAAACATTCCCATCCCACTTGTCTCGTCCTTCAATTACCAGCCTCCAGGTTTATCTAAAGATTTTAAATTGTAGGTGTATCCTGACTCGTCTGTCCATGTGCATTATTGACATTAAGCTATCCCTACCAAAAATACCAAAATTGTTATTGTCAAATTAGAACACATATGTTAATTTATTTTATAATATATTTATATTTGTCAATGAATCAATAGGCTCTAATAGATTGCTGTTACATTTTATCCTTTAAATCCTGGTTTTCACCCTCCAACTCCTAAATGTGTTTGTCAAAGTTATCCAAATCATCATTCAACTATCCAATTATATTCTCTTATTCTTTTAATTTATTTTCAGCCACTTAGTATTTATATTTTAAGGCTTCGATCTGAGTTGCTAACATAGCGATCTTACCCTCATTATCGTACTAATTTTATCAACATTTTTATTACCTTAATCTATTCTAGTTGTTCTATCTATTACTATAATTGCCCAATCTTTTCTTTCAATTATTAATTCTCGTGATCTTTCTATTATAATTCATTTTCCAATTATTATTAATTAATTAGTTATTCATTCAACAAATTCAACTAGTTTTAAAGGTCATTGACACTAAATTTAATAATTTAATATACTTGGCTTTGGCCTAATTCAATTCATCTGACTTAGCTGTTAATGTTTAATGAAGAGTATTGTTTTCCTTCTCTAAATTCTACACCTTCTCCTCAGCTTAATTTAAAGCGTTGTCCAAATTTCCTAATTCTTGTTATAAGTGTTCATAATCTTATAATTTTTCTTCAAGTTCCTTAATTGTATTTTAAGCTCCATTGTACTTTAGCTTAGCTCTCTCTATTTCTGGTCCAAGTAATGCCACTTTATTTTACAATCCATAAACTTCATTATTCAACTTATTTATTTCATCATCCTTTTTCATTAAATCCAATTAATCTTGATCTGTTTTCTTCTTCATTTCTTAAATTTATTCTGACAATCTTGTGTTTTCAGGATCTAATGGCTCAAGTTAAGCAACAACATTTGATAACTATAAAATCATAAGATAATTGTACATCTGTATTTTAATTAGTTAATTCATCTATTTTTTCTTATTTATTTTTGTTTAAATGCTTTTATCTCTCGATTTCTGCAGCCAACATTGCTATTCTCATATCTAGATTCTCCTTTTCCTTAGTCACCTTATCCAATTATAAAGTAGTCTTGTCTAAATCCTCTTTTGTCATTCTCAAGTCTTAAGCTCTATTAAAACATTTAATAAATTTATACTTTTCAGCATAATTGGCCTATAATTTCTAATAATCCTTCTCCATAACTTCATATGCTTCTATTTTACTTTCGAGCTCTTTCACTTTAGTCTGAGCTTCTCCTAATTTTTTGGCTAGTAATTTATTTTCATTCTACAATTTATTTACTAATTGTTGTAAATCATTCACCTAAGTTTGTAATGGTTCAATTTATGCTACTAATTATTCTAATTCTGCAATTCTCTATTTCTAATCTGCAATCTATTATTATAAATCTTCTTCCATTATTTATTTTTCTAAAGTTATAGCCTTCAATTATTTTGTTAATTTATTGAAATTATCTGTTAATTCATCATTTATTATTCTCATCTAAATTGCTTCTGCTTTATACACTTACAATGTCTTAACCTCATTGTCTTTCTATAAATATTTAGCCTTCCATTGTTCTAATTCTTCTTTTAATTATGTAATCTCATTTTTCAAGGACTCATTTTCTTATCTTACTTGATTGAGTTTTGTATCCAAAGTAAGGTTGAAACCTATTGCTTCCTTTAATTCTTATTCTAATATTCTATCTTTTATTAGTTTTCCCTCCAATTCCTTTATATACTTCTCTAACTATTCAATTTTATTTTTCAATTGATCCAATTCCTTAGTGGCTTTCTTTAATTCATCAGCAGTCTTTTAATGTTATTCCTACTCATTTAAAAATGCCTATTCCAATTTTGCAGATTGCAGTCTCTAATCATTCAATTATTAGACAACTAATGAATAATTAGATTCCAATTATTATAAATTTGATTTTACTTAGAATAAGGTTCTTATTTGCAATTCCTGTTAACTTAATTACTCATTTTAAAGATTTATTTAATCATTATAATCTAAATTCTATTTCGATAGTTTATCTACTTAATTTTATAGTCTATTAGCTTTTTATTCTAATTAAGGAATCAGTTCTTATAAATGATTTAATTCATTCACTTTCTATTCTAAATTCTTATTCTTTCTCTTCAACTCTTCAATCTCCTTGATTAAGTTTTATTTCTCTTGTCTCAATCTCTCTACTTCATTCTTATAAATTTAGAATTATTGATCAGTTCTTAATAACTTCTTTTCTAAATCAGAAACTTGCTACATATATGTTGGTAATTTAATATTTAGTTCTGTGATTTCTTTGTTCTTTAGTGTATTTTCTGCCTTCAACTTTTCAATTATCGCTTCATATTGTTTGTTCTAATCTTCAAATAAATGAGTTTCTTGAATCTTAATTTATAATGATCTATTCTCACTTTGTAATTTACTTATTTAATCTTAATAAGCTGTATTTAAATCAGCCAATTAATTCTTTTAGATTGTAATGTCATTTAATTTTCTTTCAAGGCCCTTCAAATCAGCTAATTAGCGATCATTTTCCAAATACTTTTCTTTATATTAATCAGCTAATTTTTAAAGTGCTTTGATTTCCTCCTATTTGCGGAGAATTTCCTCTCTCAATTCTTAGAGTTATAGATGATGATCATTTTTAAGAGAAGTATTTTAATCTTACAAACTTTGAAGAGTTTTCTTAAGATTGAGTAATTCAGATTCTAATTCTTTGATTCTATCTTATAATTTAGCATTTAAGACTATTTAATTATCTAATTCTTATTGTTTGTTTTACAATTAATTATTGAGAGTATCAATTTATTATTCAGCTTTTGCCAATTTCAATCTCAAATCCTCAATTTACTATGATTTTTAATTTAGAAGAGTATTATTTCTTTATAGTTCAATATTAATTTAATTATCTCTTAAATTATTAACATTCTTCTATTATTAGATATTTTATAATTATTATTATAATTATTAATTTCTTGAACTTAAATCAGAATTAATTTTAAGTGTCTGTTCATACTTTTATTGTAACACTTTCAATTAACTTTGTAATTCTGCCAATCCATCTACTTAAGACTACAATTATTGATTTTCTGCCTCTAATTAAGCTAATTATAAGTTAAGTTGGTCATTTAGGGATTTATAAGTTTCACATTATTAGAAAATCTTTAAATACTCTGTTTCTTTAGATATCAATTCTTTTAATCTTTGTTCTAATTCAAAGTTCTTAACAGTCAAATCTTTAATTTATTTTCTCAATTCAGCAATGTCTCTGTCCTTCATGTCTATTTAGGACTTGGCTCTATTTAATTCTAATTCAATTATTCTCAATTGTTGTAGTTTTTCCTATAAATTCTATAATTCTTTTTCAACATTAGCTAACTGTTCACTCTTTAATTTGAGTTCCTTGTCTAATGATGACAATTCTGATAATAAACTTTACTTTTCAATTTATAACTCATTGATTTCCAAAACTTATTATCTTAAAGTGTTATTATCGTTTTCAACAAACTTTAATTTATTATTTAGTTTATCATAAGCTTACTACTTATTTTCAAGTGTTCTATTTAATTGATCAATTTAATAATTCAAAACACCATTTTACTTTTGCAAATCTGTATTGTAACCTCTGATCTGTTCCAATTGCTTTTTCAACTTCTCATTCTCTAGAAGTTATTTGGCTTATTCATCATTTTTTCTTTTTAATTCATCAATGACTCTTTATTTCTCTTAAATTTATTGTTTCAACCCTTGCAATTCTTTAATATGATCTTCAGCTTATTAGAGACTAATTTATTATTTTTATTTTATTACTTCGTCTTTAACCTCTCTATTTCTTATTATTTAGATGCTAGTTGTTGATTCAATCTTTCGATTTCTTTTACCAATAACTTATTATTGTTATCTTAATCAGTTACTTGAACCTGGAGATCAAATACTTATAATTCTAAAGTCAAAGCCTTCTTTCTCCATTAATCTAGATCATTTAATATTTAATTAATTTAATCTCTCAACTTCTTATTCTCATCTTCTAACAAATCCATAGTAGATAATTGACCTCTCTTAACAGAATCCAAGTTTAATTGATTCATTCTTTCCAATAATTCTCTTAATTCCTATAGCAATCTGTTTCTATCTTCTTCAGACAACTTGAATTTATCTTTCCACATAGCCAGTTCATTTTCAAGATTCTTGATTTTACTTTATAATTCAAAATTTTCAATTTCTTATTTTCTTGCATCTATCAAAAGTTCTTCCAATCCCTATAGTTTTCCTCTTAACTGAAAATTCAAATAAATATTACTTCTAAGTTTTCATCTTGTTTTTTCTTAAGCAATTCTTAGAGTGCATCATGTTCATGTTAATTTAATTCAAGTTAATAAATTTTATTATCTCTTTAAGCTATTGCTAAGTCTTTCTATTCGTTTTCATTGATAAGTTGTTTAATCAATGCTAACAACTTTCCGTTTTCATCTGATAGTAATTTTAACCTCATCTCATACATTCCAGTCTAAAAAATATATTTTCATTAATTACTAACTCTTCCAACCCTGAACCACCGCTTGTAATTTAAAGAGCAAAGAATCTTGCCTTCCATTATTCAACCTCTATACGCAGTTAATTAAGTTAGTCCAAGTCAGACCCATCTCCATCTTGCTTAATGATAATGGCTAACAATTATTTTATAATCATTACTTTACTAAGGTCTAACAAGAGTGGGAACTATCTTTGATGTTATCATTGGCTATATTGATCCATTAGGCATTTAGAAGTACTCTAATTGATTTACTACAGCCGATTATGTCATAGCAACAGGAGGCTAAAGGATTATAATTATTCTTTACTGAGTTAATCACTCTTACGCTTGACCCTCCTGCACTAGATCTCTTCATCTTATCATTTGGAATGACAATATGACTCTCAGAATTAACTCTTGATTGTTAATTTTATGGTTATGGTGATAAAAATCTCCCTCGATTAGGTGTTTATTATTCACTCATTAGATTAAATTAATATCTTTGCAATAATTTTTATATCAATATATATATACATGTAATTAAATGAACTACCTCTTCATTGTTTGCTCTCTTAGATTAACTAATTTATTTCTATTTAATCATAATCATTAATTACCAGTACTTATTTTATTTTCCATTATTTAAAGTCATTTAGACTTGTTAAATTTTATTGAGTAAAATAAAATTTATGTTTGAAGAAAATATTAGTTAAAGAAATCCTTTGGAGGTTTCCAATCATGCCAATGCTGTTAAAAGATTTGAGAATCTAGAGAAACTTAAGTTAATTGAACGTCTAGAGACAATTCAAAGGATTAAAAAATCTAATGATAGATTAGAAATTAAGAAGTTTATGTTTCAATTGCAATAAAGAATGTTTGACGAGCCTGATTAGTTTTCAATTATTAAATTTTCAATAGGTCTAGTAAAGCCAATTTTAGGGAATATGCTTAGAGAAGTGTCGAAAAATTAAAGCGTGATTCAAAACTTTCTCGTTCTCCTGACTCACGCTAAACTACAGCAGCTGAAAAGTAAACAGAAATAAAAGAGATTGAAGTTAAACCATTTAAAATGTGATAGTTTTCATTAGTTAAATATGATTAATATAATATATTAATAGTTAAATTCATAACTCATTGAATTTAATATTCTTACAAAATAAATTAGAAAATTATTTCTAATTAATTTGTTAAAGTTTGAATGGAAAATATAATATTTTAACTTTTAATATTTGCATTTTTGATAAAAATTAATTTTATAATTTAAGTCCCTAAATAATCTTGCATATAAAATTAAGATATATCTAATTTCAACTAAAAAAATGATTTTTCTTCATTCTTCTCAAATTAGTATTGTTGACTTGTAAATAAAACAAAGATTATATGATATAAATATATTTCAGGTTTCAGATTTCATATATATGACTTAAGGAACATTTTTTTTTTTTTCAAAACATCTGTTTGTCTATTGATACAATTTTTAGGACTCTGAACCATATCAAAATGTACGCTTTTTATTGATTTTTAAACATCCGATATTTATTGAAAATATGATGATTTATTATTTGTAAGGTCCTTTTTTTTCAAAATGCTACGAATTCCTATGCTTTAAAAGGATGTAGATAGCTTTGTAGTTAATGATCTAGTTTATTTACACTGTTTATGATGGTTTTTTCTCCTCATGTAATAAGTAGTAAAATTTTCTCTTGAATTAGTATAAATATCGCCTGCTGGAGAATAGGATTTTGCCTTTGTTCTGCTTTTTACGATTAGACGATCATATTGATCCATCACTAAAAATAAAGCAAAGTCATCTTCCTATTGGAGAGGCATAATTTGTTCCAAAGGAATAGGCTTTTTGAGATCTGCCACTAATATTTCATGAATACTGTTCATTGGTTCTATTTTGAGCTTCATTTCTTAGATAGGGTCTGATGTGTTTTTGCAACAGCAAGGTTTTGAACCCATACTTTTGCTAAATTCTCTTTTATATTTTAATTAGGTTTATCAAGAACTTCTAAATTAACAAAAAAAGCTTTATAGAAGCTTTTAAAATAAGTTTATTTGTTCGAAATTGTCTAAAGAAGTATAACATATGAATGATTAAATGAAGCATTATTTTTTCAATATCACAAATAAACCTTGTCACCTTACTGTTTCAAAATATAGTAATCCATAAGATGATTCTCGGTCAGAATAATAATATCTGAGATTATAAAGGAAATATCGTAATTTATCATCTCCTTCTATTATTAGTAAATAGAGTACTCTGCTGAGTTTAGACCAAAATTTCTAAATGGGTGCCCCTTGAATTAATTTAAAAAGGAATGTTTAGGAATCGGCATCCCAAAGGTTTAAAGACCTGCAATGAATTCCTAAGAAATATAAAAATAAATTTGTAGTATTAATTTAATAATTGATTTATATTGGTATTATTTGAATAATTGCAATTAATTAAATTTGGTGTTGTGATAATATTATCGAATTGGTAGTTAAATGAGTAATTTATTTATAATCATATTCCGTATTATTATTTTGCATAAATATATTACAGAGTATTTAATTAAAGTGCTATTTTTAATAACGGATTTAAATGAATACATTTAGTTATGATCAATATAATTATTTATGATTAGAATTAAATTTATATAAACATAAACAAGTAGTAAATGGAGAATCAAAGATATGAAATTTTCATATATCCATTATACTTTTATTATTATTTGTTCTTCTATAAGCCCTTTATAGAAAACCTAACTCTTTTTTGTTATTGTAAGTTTCTTTTTACCTAATCCTAAAGCAATTCCTTATTTTTCAAAATGCTCTTAGGTGTTATTTCAGAGAAAATATTTCTAATAATTACACTTTTTGATCTATTTTTAGTTCCATCTGGATTATTAATGACATTGAAGTCAGTGATTTTGTCTAACTCTCTTTGAGATAGATGTTTGGTTTCTAACTTCTAGAATGACTCAACCATACTGATAGTTGTTTCTACTTCCTAATTTAATTTATCCTCATCCTGAGATAGTTTTAATTTAAGCTCTTCTAATGTTTCCGTTATCATGGTACTCTATTCCAATGTTACCCTAGAACTGCCCTCTTTATGGCATTCTCTTTTAATTACAAGTTGCTTCAAGTCAGTCATTGATGAATCACATCGTTATATATTTTTTGCACATATCTATTATATTTGCCCCATTTAAGTTATTATATAAATAAAGAAAATAATAATAAAGAAGGAAATTCATAAATGGTTTTCTCTCAATATATATAATAGAAATAATATATTAAATAAACTCTTATTCAAAAAATATCAATCAACTTTTTAGAATTACATTATAAAATAAAAGGTAGAAATGAAACTTTATTTTTTGATTTTTTCTAGAATTGAGATTTCTGAGTGTTTGATCTTTTTTTTAATATGCTATTCAGTTTTTATGTTGTGCTTAATTTAGATGAATCGCTAATATATTGAGATGCGCTTAGAGATCTGCCATACTGTATTTTTTTCTTTTTCTACTGCTTAGTACTTATCATAATTCCTTTGTATTTATTATCTACAGAAATAGAGCGACTTCTTATTTTCGAGGAGCCATTTTAGGCTGTGCTTATTGATTTTCTATTCACAAGCTATTCATAGGTGGCCATAATTTAGAGTAAAGAAGAATCATCTTCTGGACTGATTTGCACCGCTTAATTAAAAACAGCTTATTTAAATTAAGTCAAATGAGGTTCATTATCTGTTATTATATTTTCTTTCCCCTTAGAATAAGATTAGGGACAGCAAAAACAACTAGGATAGGATCCCATTATTTATATAAGTTAATTATATTATAGAATATTCATTTATGTGATCTAAAGATTAGAGCTAATGTAAAGAATATTCTTGAAGAATATTAGATAAATATTAAATTTACTAATATTATCTCTATTCACATTTGGTCGTGCATTCGATTATCAAATCTACTCTTGTCAAGCAAATGATCAAATCATCTCTAATAAAGTTCAATTTCTCAACAAAATAATACCCTTAGATTAAGGATTCTTCATTCCAAAACCAAACCGAACAAAATCATTTCTTAAAATAATTTAAGCTTTGAATTGGATAAAATTTATTGAGTTTTTCTTTTTACTTAATAAGACAAGCAAATGTCTTTTGTTTTTCTTAAGAAAAATTTTTGAGAATCTGTTTTTAATTATAAATCTATACTTTTAATTTATAAACAATATAAAATGTTGAGATTAAAAATTCATTTTCTTGTAGTACTTTTAAGTTCTCTCAATATTTTTTTTTCTTTGTTTTAACGAGGTTTTAAGATATATCAATTCATAAAAAACAAATTGCCAGCTTTATTTTTTGATATCTTAGAAATACTTAATTCGACCAAATATGAATTTTCTTCTTCTAAGTTTTAAGTTATTGCAAGCAAAGCTTCAATATAATTTTAGCTTAGGGTATTTGAAGGAGTAACTTCTTTATTATGTTAAGAATAATAATTTTTCATTAGTATAAATATAATCAAAAAATAATATGTAAGGATTAAACAATTAAAACTACAATCCTGTTGTAAGACCAAAAACATTGATTTGCTATATTTGTGGAAGAGAGTATTAGAAATTGGTTATTTAGGTATGGATCAAAAAGTTTAGAGATACATCTTAAGACTTGCCAAGAAAAGTTTCTTATGGAAGAAGCTAAAGTACAGTTATATTTGCCATTTTTTCTATTAGAAACCAAAAAACCAAAGGAGACCTTTACCATAACCTCCAAAAGCTTTAGGGGGAGGTGGAAATTATGATGCAGAATCGTATAATGATTAAGCATTTAATGCATATAAAGAATAGAGTCTTGAGAAATGTGCATATTGTGGCAGAACGTAAAAGAATTTGAGTTATCCCTAGTTTTAATAGAGAAAGCTATCCTATCCATATAAAGATCTGTAAACCTGATAAACCATTTAAACCCCTTCCTGGATTTGTTTAAAATCCTAAAGAAGTCCAGTAACAAATGAATAGAGATAATGGAGGAACTCAATAAGGAAAATCAAATTCTAATGGTTATTCAGGAGAATAAAAGGTTCCTTCAAGACCAAAGACTCTAGTGTGCTATATTTGTGGAAGAGAATATGGTAGTAAGTCTTTGGGAATTCACATACCTTAATGCAAAGAAATGTTTATGGTGTAGGAAATGAAGAAACCAAAGGGGGAAAGAAGGAATCCTCCAACAACTCCAAGAGGTTTATGGGATTTATTAAATAAGGAAGAAATAACTATGGAAGACATTATGGCCTATAACAATGGAGTATTTATATCTGTTCTATTATTTAAAGGCTTTTAATAAATACAATAAAGAAGCCTTAGTTGCATGTAAAAACTGTGGTAGAACTTTCAAGCCTGAGGCATTGGAGCATCATATAAAGGCTTGCACTGCTGAAAATCCCTTCAAAGCTCTGGATTCTGTTGATGAAGGAGGTTAAGTTGAATTAGTTCCTTGTAAGAAATGCGGAAGGAAATTCTTGCCATCCAGAGTTGAAAAACATGAAAGCAATTGTAAAGATATAAAGGGAGCCACATAAACATAGACAAATGGATTTTAGAATTAAAAATAAGAATAATTATAAAAATAATAATAAATTTAGAATTCTGAAAATCCACAATAAAAACAAAAATAATAAACAAATTAAATTTAAAAATAGTAAAGTTTCTCAAAAACATAAGTTAATTATGATGATAAAAGTTTGAAATGTAAATATTATCTCCATTATTTTTAGGTTATAAATGTTTTTAAGATTGTAATTCTATTTAAGATCTGAAGTAACATGTGTAGAATTGCAAAAATCAAGGTACAAAACCATAAATCTATGATGATTTGGTATAACTTCCAAATCCATCATAAGCACTTTAAACCATTTATATGAGTTCTGTTTTTGAAAACTTTAAAAAAAAAGATAACAATTCAAATGCTATTGAATAATAAAAACAACAGCCCAAATAATAATCTTAATCATAAAAATAACAATAAAATGATAATCATGATTTTGATGAGGATCAAGAGGATTAATAAGATGGAATTGATTTAATTACATGTGATAAATGCGATAGAAGATTTGCTTAAGATAGAATAAAAAAACATTAGAAGGTTTGTAAAGGCAAATAGTATTTTGAAAAAAAAGAGCATAAAGTTGAAGTTCAAAAGGCTCCATAGACTGGATGGAGACAATCTCATTAAGAATTTATTAATACTTTAAAATATAACAGATAATTGAAGAAAATATAAGAGGAAGGAGGAGACATTAGATAATTGGGACCTCCTCCTGTATCATCTAATAATAATTACATTCAATGTCCATATTGTCAGAGAAAGTTTGATCCTAGTAAAGCGGATAAACATATTGCTATTTGTTAGAATGTTGTTAATAAACCAAAAACGATTCAAGAAAAGAAATAAAATCCTTAAGCAACATAGCAACCAATTTTATAATTATAATAACAATAACTACCTTAATAGAATTATAGACAACAATAAAAAGTATAATAAACAAATTAACAACCATAAAATAATGCTAATCCAAAATATGGAAGAGTATTTTAATAAAATGATGAATCTTAATAGCCAAAAGTTCAATTATAATAAATGAATGCTTAACAATCCAAAACTTCTTTCTAAAGATAATCAATATCATTATAAAAAACTCCATAGGTTCCTTAGAAAACAATAAATCAATAGTAATAATTATTATCTCCAAATTAAAGTACTAATTAGTTTAGAATAAGAACACCATAAACAACATAAAAAAGCTAGTAATTGAAATAATCTCAAAATTCCACTAAGATTGAAAACAATATATTTAGACCTCCGATATCTGGTAGGACATAAGAATTCACAAAATCTAATTCTTAAGTGTAATTAAAGCCAATTAATTAGAATATGTTGAGAAAATTTTGAATATATTTGATAATTTATATTGTATTTATTTTCTTGCCTAATCACAAATTCAATTTGAGAAATAATATAATCGACAATAAAAATATATTTAAAGATAGAATGAAATTGAATCATATAAGTTTTTAATAATGATTTAATTATTTATATATCATTATTTTGTATTGTATGAGCCGCATTTGCTACATTTAAGATAGTAATTGAAACAGATATCATTTGTAGTTTAACGACAATCCAAACATAAGTATGAAACTTTTAAATTTTACATGTGAGTGGGTATTATAATTTTCGCTGCCTCAGCTAGTAGATCGTAATCTTCGATCTCCTCTGTAGACATTTTCTTTTAATGAATGAAATACTTACAATAATAGGAATGCTACATATTGGACAATTTCTTATATTGGATTTAACTAGTTAGTTGAGACACAATGTATGAATGAAGTGAGCACAATTAGGTAATTGGGCTATATAAGTTGTTGAAATTTTCAGATTTTTTAAACAAATAGGACAATTAGTGTCTGCTATTTGATCGAGACATTTATGCGAATCTTAATTTTTTTTATTCAAACAGATGCCACACACCTTACAATGGAAATTCTGTTCTTTGATTCCCTGAATAAGCATAGGATGATTACCCTTCGGCACATTTTACATTCATCGCAGTGATACACATCTTTCTTTGGGTCATCTTCATATAAATTGCAAATTGAACAGAAGTATGTAGCGAATTGAATTTTGCATGATATACATTAATTGGTTGGTGGTTGTTCACATAAACATTATCGACATCTTATAACTGTAACATTATATCGATCCATGATTTCAGTTTTGCATCCATCAGAATTCGGTCCTTAATAATTGGCATCATGACATAGTCTACAAGGATAAAATTTACCACAGCATGGAGCCTTCTTGTCACAATTTCTTTAATAGTGTGGACAATCAGGTACTGGAGTTATCATTGCTTTAAAGAATTTAAAATGTATATAATTTCTTGGGTTGACGCATCATTATGTAATTTACTTTATATTGGTTTATACGGAGATTTATATAATAAAGAATTGTATGCAATAATAGTAGGATCAATTGAAGATAGCCTTTTTACATCCTGGTATTTAAAGATAATAATAATAAAGATTTGGGAATTGGAGGGGCAGAATAATTAGTAGTAAATCTTGCATTGGCTTTGCAGAAAAACCATTATGTTAAAATCTATACTCCACATCATGATCCTAATCACTCATTTCCAGAAACAAATGGGCAAATACCTGTGGAAGTAAGAGGAAATATTATACCTGCTCATTTCTTTGGTAAATAATATATCATAATTATAAAAAGGATATTGCACAGCAATGTGCGCATATATAAGAATGATATTGGCTACTTTATATATAATATTTTTTAGTGGTCGTTGGGATGTTATTATAATTGATTAAGTATCTGTTTGTCTTCCGTTGCTTTGGTTATTTAGAAGAAAGACTATATTTTATTGTCATTTTCCTGATAAATTATTATGTGTAGAGAGAAAGTCATTTATAAAAAAGATTTACAGATTTTTCTTGGATTCTTTTGAAGAAATTAGCATGCTTTTTGCTAATTTAGTATTAGTAAATAGTTAATTTACAAGAGAAATTGTAAAATAAGCATTCCCTTTATATAATAAATATGGAAGACAACCAGAAGTTTTATATCCAGCAATAGAATTCTCAAAATTTGAAATGGCTCCTGAACTCAATAGACTTGATAGTAGACTCGAAAGCAACAATTACTTCTTGTCTTTGAATAGATACGAGAGAAAAAAGAATATTGCATTGGCAATTCATGCATTTGCTGCATTTAGATAATAATTAAATTCTGATGAAAATATTGAATCTGTAAGATTGGTGATAGCTGGTGGATTTGAATAGAGAGTAGAAGAGAATGCTTAGCATTTTGAAGAGCTGAATCAGATTGCTTAAAGATAAAATGTTGCTGAATATGTTTCATTCAAAAAGAACATTTCTGACTCTGAAAGAACTCAGTTGATGTCAAATGCTTTGGCTGTTCTATATACACCCGAAAGAGAACATTTTGGGATTGTTCCCGTTGAAGCTATGTACAATTAAGTTCCTGTCATTGCATGCAATTCTGGAGGTCCGAAAGTAATTATTGTGTAAATATATGTAGGAATCGATTTAGAATGGAGTTACGGGGTACTTGTGTGAATCTAAAACGAATGAATGGTGTTCAAGAATGATAGAGATTTATTAGAATAAAGAGAAAAGCAAAGAAATGGGAGAAAGAGGGAGAGAACGAGTTATTCAATTGTTTGGATTCGCATAATTTCAAATGCAAATGGATAGTTATGTAAGGATGGTTACCAAAACAGGAAAATAAAAATAATAATGAATATTAAAGGTTATTTTGGAATCATTTTATTATCGTATAACATATCAAAATGCGTAATATTTGAGAATTAAATCCAACTTACAGAAAATGACTTCATTTTTAAAATAAAACATCTTTTCTTCTTAAAAACACTGAACAACCACCATAGACTGGCCAGGTCACTTAATCAAACCAGCAAATATGCTTTTAGATTGTACTTCTTAAGAGGTATGTTTATCAAAATTTAAATAATTTTAGGTTGTGATAATAGATAGCTCACCTAATCATAATAGAGGGAATTTCTTAATTATGCTAGAATCGATCCATATGGCCATTCCTTTATGATATATAATTCAAATGAACTTAAGAATAAGGTAAATTCCTGGAAATAAACTCTTCCATGGATTACGCCATATTACGCAATTAAGAGCAACCCTATTGAACCCTTAATCTAAGACATCATTAATGGTCCTTTCGGGACTTTTGACTGTGCCTCAAAAGGAGTAAAATCTTTAAATATCTTAGGAAATCTAAATGGTGATGAAATATGGAGTTCCCGCATCAAAGCTGGTTTATAGTAATCCAGTCAAAGAGGAGAAGGATATTTACTATGCCAAGAACAAGGGAGTCTAAATAACCAGTGCTGACTCTATTGACGAACTAATCAAGATCCAAAAGATAGCACCCGAAATGAAGATACTATGGAGATTATCTATTGTTGAAGAAAACCCAGAGTAAATGGCCACCCTATTTTCTGGCAAATTTGGGGATGATGTGCCAAATTTAGATGCTGCTCATAAAAGGTTTAAGTAAATTCAATAAATGGGGATCCAATTGCATGGTATTCATTTTCATTGTGGAAGTGCTGTTTAAGGATCATCCTCTTTTGGAAAAGTAATTCATTTATTTATCTCTAGGCTATTGATTTGGCCTAAGAGTGTATGAGAATAGGCAGATTGTATGGACATAAGATGGAATTATTAGATGTAGGAGGTGGATTTCCTACTGGTAATATTCACGAAAACGCAATTAATGCATTGAAAAAAACTCAAAACGATCCCTTAGGATATTAAGTGATTGCTGAACCTGGAAGACATTTTAGTGCTAATACATGTTCTCTTTTGTTTAGAATTATGACTAAAAGAATTAAACACGGTAGATTATGTTATCATGTCAATGAATCTTTGTACCATTCCTTCAATTGCATATTAATGGATGGTATCTCATTTGAAAATCAAAATGATCAATTCTATGGTGTTCTCAATTCAGATGAATCCCAAAATTCCTAAATTTCAGAATAATCCAATGTCTCAATATTTGGCATGACATGTGATGGTGCCGATATTATTGCTAAGAATATGGTTGTTCCCAATGATTTACAAGTTGGAGATTGGCTTTGTATGCAAGGTATGGGAAGCTACACTGTTGGACCAAAATCCACTTTCAATGGAATGAAATCAACAGCTAAAATTTATCAATGGAGTGGTTAAATTGAAGAATAAAATCAAGTATCACCTTAAATTGCCATCAGCTAAATTTGTTGATTTATGAATATTATGCATAAAAGATATAAATTCAATTTTATATTTAAATGAAAAATGCCAATATTCAAAATAAGATTTATAAAACCCTTGTCTTAATATAACACTTATAGTCTTAAAAAATATTACAAATTGATACTTTTTTCTTATTTTTGGATTTCAGAGATGGAAGAGAATAAAATAGAATAGAATTATTTTAATAGTTAGCATTTATTTCCTAATATATATCATTAATATTATTCATGAGATAAAAGAATATACAAGATCTTGAGCTTGATGAAATTGACCTCAACTACTAGATTACTTATTCCATTAATGAAAATAGAGATGTTTTAATAAAACATTCATCAAATGGTATTACCACTGAACTCAAGAGTTATATAGACTTTTAAACAATCACAAAATTCAAACATATCAATCAATAAACTAAAATGAATTACAATATTCACTTCGATATAATGTCGGAGATTTCTAATTATATAAACAATTAGGACTCTAGCTTGAGAATGTGCACAGTTTAATTGGAACAATAAAGATTTGAATAGATTTAAATTTAGTTTTAATTAATCTACGCAATCACATTTGAATATGGTTATCAAATCAAGGAAAAAGAAATTGATGATGCAATAGTTCAAATTAGCTCTCGAATTGATCAGATTTGTGTTCAAACCTATAATCATGGTGATGCAAATTTAATGAAACAAATAGACGAACTCTTCGAATAATACTAAGAAATTTTTAATTGAAACTTTAATATATTAGTGATATTCATTTTTTCATTAGAACTTCCATTGCTTTTTGAATCTCAATATTGGCGTCTAATTGTGGGGCTACATATTTCTATCTGTAATTTTCCCCTGGCTTTCTTTCAAATTTTGTTTCATTAAATTTGGGCCTTAATTCATCCTCAGTTGAAACTAGAAAATATTAATAATAATACTTTGTTTAGTCCTCTTATACAATTCTTTAACCTACCTTTGTTAGGTTGCTTAGCCACCATTATTTGTTTATTATTACAATTTTGATTTTTTAAATTCAATAAAATCTTAATACTCATTATCATCAATTATTTTTTATTACTTTTTCGCTGCCTCTTTAAATCGAATAAATTCTAAATATTCCTAGTCTATTGACTAATCATCATTCTTTTATAAATTTGCCTTCCTGTCCTCCTTCAGACTATTTTATTAAGGCAAAGGAGGTCTTGAAGGTTTCTGCTATTATTGGTAAGGATTGTTAAGACTGTCTTAAGCTTATTGAGGGTAGTTTTACCGTTAATAATAGTCATATTGATCGTAAGGAGGCTGCTGATAATTATATTGATTAGGCTATTAATAATGTTACTACTATTGAGGGGGGAATTGATTGGGATATTGATAAGGAGATGGATAATATTGTTATTATTATTATTGATATTATTGCTATATTGGATATTGAGGAGAAGGCAAATGCGAATGTGATGCTGGAATGAAATTCTATTCCTTAAAGGAGTTCCTTCTTCTTTAATTATTGTATTATTCTAGATAGGGATCTGGAATAATCTCATCATATGACCTTTTCCTTTAATAATTATATTATTAAGGAGAAGGAGGTGGTAAATATTAATTATTGGGTTGATAATGAGGGTTTGCTTTCTAGTAAAAATTAGGATTGTAGTATTGTTGTTAAGGATCCGGAGGGTAATAATTGTCGTAATAATTTTACATCCGCGATTTAGGATTTTATAATAAATCAAGTGCATGCTTAGCATTATCAATCTAACACTGATGCCTTTAAATTTTGTCATAATAATTAACTTGTGGTTAATAAGGAATTGGAATATTATTTTAATAATAATATTCAAGAGGGTTATGATAATTTTATTAGTTTTATTATCCTCTTTCCAATTATGCATAACTTGAAAAAGCATTATACTTTCTAAATTCATTAAATTCATCTTTTGGTGGTTATTATACTTCTTCTTCTTCTTCTTCCTCCTCCTCTTCTTCTTCTTATTCACTATCCAATTCTTAACTGTCTTCTTCACTCATATTTAATTTGAAAACTAAAAATTGATTCAAATAATATATAAGTGAATTTATATAATCTAATTTAAGTGTTCTTCACTTTTAATATTTCATCTTGCCTATAATCTTGTTGTAAGCTCTATAGTATATGTAGAAAACAGTAATGATGAGATTGTTGATCAAATTAATACTATATTTATTGATATAACAGAGAAATTAGTATTTATTTACATTATTATCTTAATAAATTATTGGAACATTGATTAAGAAATAAGGGACCTTTCATAATTTAAAAATAATAAATCCGCCTTGTTAATTTTATATTTAGTTTAAGAACTTGGCAGAAAATATAAAGTTCTATTTGGTTTATTTAAATATAACATACTTATTTAATTAAAAGGGCATTGGGAATTTTTAATTAAAAAACACTTAATTTTATGCAAGGAAATTATCATTTGATATTTCTTTGAAATTAAATTGTAATAAAAGAAAAGTGAGTATTATATAATTACATATCATATTCAATTCATTTCATTTTAATTTAATAATTTGAATAGGATAAAAATGTCTAAAGAAGTTGTAATGATGGAGTAGGTAATATCGAATTAGATAAAGCCATCTTTCTAACGATGGCTCGTTTTATTCTCTTATTCCATAATTGCGTAATGGATATTAATAAAACTATAGAATGGCTAATGTAATGTAATTAGTAAGTTACAGTCCAATTTGGGAATCAGCAGCAATCTATTATGGAATCCCATCACAAGACTTATAATGGATAGGGAATATGTATTATATCACATTTTTCGTCTTGGCTCCATTTTGCATTAAGCCATTGTTAGTAAGATTGGATATTAGCATGCATGTAATTGGTGTTATAAGTGCTATAGGGTAATTTTTTCATGGTATAAATAAAAGAGCATGGATAATATGGATTGGAGGATAATCTTACTTAATGACAATGGTAGGGTTATTCGTGATTGGAATAAGTGATGCTATGATTTTAATAGTCCCAGTTTGTAATTTTAAATGTAAATAAGGAAAGTTCTATCAGAAAAATGGTTTACTGTATACGAGAGATTATTGGCAACTAGTTTAGGCAGTTTCTTCTAATATGTTGGAATGGCATATGCATATGCATTTGCTTCATTCTATTTTGATATTTTGGATGATTAGAGTGTTATAAATATGAAAATTGATGAAATGAACTTAATGATTGCAGTATTTAATACAGCTGGAGCTGTTCTTCTGTTAGTGTTTTTCAGAAATAGACCACCTCATCCAGCTTCAAATTCAGATGTATCAATTATATTGGAATATAAAGAATATAGTTAAAGATCCTATTTGGAAATCAACAGTGAAGATGCTTACAATGGAAGAATCAATAATTGATGGACTATCTTTGGGGATTTGTAAATTTATTAAATATTAAAAGTTATTGGATTGGGTTGGGTGTACACAACTATTATATCTTTTGAATTGTATCCTTTTGGTTATACTCAAGTATTTAATCAATTAGTAAAATTAAGGCAGAAGTAGCAATTAATGGAACAGTCTATCAAATATCAGGAGTGGTGGTGGGATTATGGGCATCAATAAAGTTGGATTCTTAAGCTAAATAGGGGAAACAACCAGATTATGACAGATACATTAAGACCTTTACAAGCATAGGGATGATCACTTTGATTTTAGAAGCATTTATCATAGAATATGTAGATTACTGGATGTTGATTTTCTTAAATTTTGCGATGGGTGTAGGTCTTAATTCATTTTATCCTATTGCAATATAGTCTTATGTTGAAAAACTCTACCCAGCTTCAGAATTAGTTTTGGTGACTGGTTTGTTGTGTTTGGCGAATGTATATATTTAAATAAAGGGAAGATGGTTGGATTTGTGTTGAACTACTTGATAGTCTTGCCAGAATTTGAATCATTTGGGTTGTGGATGGGATGCGTTATAATAACTCCAGGGTATTTACATATCTTGTTAAATTATAAAACAAAATATAGAAGGTTCGAATAGGAAATTTGATATTATTTAAATATATTAGTTTTTGTTATATGGAAAATAAGCCAATGCGATTTTTTGGAATGAGCTTAAACGTTTTAGTTTCTGTTTTTCTTGCTATTGTGGAGTATTTCATCAATAATGTCTCTGATTCGATTATAATAGACATAGTTTTAATTATATGCGGCACCTTTTTCTCATGGATCTTTATCACTCAACAATTGGGATGGAAGAAGGGTAAACTTCAATATTACCTTTAGGAGATATCTCACCTTTTTTTTATTGGGCTTTGGCGATTAAAAGATTAACTCTGGTTGGAATATATAGAAGTGAATTCATTTATTTCATATTTGGTTTTTTAAATGGAATCTACTCAAGTAAACTGGATGTGAAGGATAAAAAGAAGTATTATTAAAAATTTAAAACTGCTTTTTAAGTGATATTGGCATTAGGGTTAATAATTTTCAACTTCCTAACAAATACAATTGATTATCAAATAGTTTTAATTGTCATTAATATAGGTCTTCTCGTTCTCTTAGGCATATATGATAATATTGAAATTAACCCTAGAGGTTCAAAATAAGATGGTTATTCTACTGATTAAAGGAATACCTAAATAGAGTTGAAAAAGTGTCAAACAATAGTATAATAAAATCAATCAACTAAATCAATATGGGAATAATTTAACAATTTAACTGATGACTGGATTTGTAAAGTTGACATCACTAAAACTGTTTTAAATCGCAGTTGGGAAAGCAAAGAGCAAAGCTGTGTCTTGAAAAAATTCTTAAAAGACAACAAAATAAATTTGCAATAATTTTTCAATCATCTTCTTATTGTGAATTCGTAATCAAATACATCTCAATCATTTGTTACTCAATTTGAATTAGATGAAAGTAACACCTTTTTAGCATGGATAGAAAAGAATTATTTATAAGACAATGTTAATCAAAAATAAAACATTGAAAAACAGAAATAATATTTAGATGGATAGGATTGTAATTAAAATTAGGAAGAATAACCCTCAATAATATCTCCTTAGAATGACAGGAAGTATATATTTTAGAAGGATAGATCTCAGGATATATCTGGATTATTAGCTATTCCAATTAACATGGATTAACCAGGGCCTACTAATAAATAGTATTTGCAATGTTAATTAACTCTGAATTAAATTATATATAATTTAAGTTTATCGGTTTTATTAGTTGATGATGATCGAAGTAATCAATAGAAATAGTCAATTATTATTCAAATCAAAAATATTAATATTTTAATCAAGAATGAATTGTTAGAATAAAAAAGTGCTATCATTTATAGATTTGTGGGTAAAATGGCAAATCTTTCAAGCCAAATCTTAAAGCGTGTTTATCAATTAAAATAGTCCCTGTAACTACATATAAAGTATGTATCATACATTAAATAAAAGAGAATTTGAAAAGATCAAGCAAAGTAGTTATAATTCTTTATCATTTTGTGATGATAATGCATTTATTAAATCTGACAAAGTAATTGGAGACTTTAAACAAACACTTTTGAATATTCGAACCCAATCTCCAGGATAAAATGCGTACATCAAAGTCACCTCATCCAATAGTCATAATCATGAGAATTAAGATGAGAACTTGTAAAAATTATCAATTCTTTATTTATAATAATTAAAGGATTTGCTTAATTCTGTAGAATCATTAAGTTTCGACTTATTGATTACAGAACAAAACAATTTCAACTTCTATGAGTTATTTAGTACTCCTTAATTAAAAATTGAACAATTTAACCTAATATAAACATTTAATATCGTGATAGATATATTTAAATACCACATTTTCCTAAAACAGCATAACATCATTATTACTTAAGAATTGGATAATGAATCGCAATTAATAATCTAATCAGATAAAAGGAAATTGAAATAAATCTTGATCAATATAATTAACAATTCCATATAGAATTTCAATACTAATTTAAATTTAGCCTAATAAGAAAAATGTGAAAATTTATAAATTCATCAGCATTCAACGATTTACCAATAGGAAATAAAACATCAGAATGCTATCATTATAAAAGCACAAAGTGATGCTGACAAGATTACAATAGAAATCTCTGATAATGGAGGTGGAATCAATGAAGAATAGTTAAAGAATAGATTAAATGAAGGTAAATTTGGATTAGCTGCTTGTCACAAATAATTAAAATATCTGGGATATGATTCTAGAGTACCTTTTGAAATCATTAACTATGTAAAAAGTACGACTGGGATTAAAGGAAGTGTTATTAAGTTTGTACTACCTAAATCTAGAGATAATTTTTAATTAAACGAAGATAGCAAATATTCAGAATCCTTGAGAGTTAGCAGAAGAATAGAGAAAAATTGATCATATTCTTATCGTGTATTATTCTTTTTTTAAGTGATATTCTTAAATTCTAAATTATTCTATTTTTGAATAATTATTGAATTGAATTATTAAATAAGTTTACTATAATAAATTGATATTATATAGATTATAATATTAATTAATTAATCAAAGACAAGCACTTGCTAATATTCGCAAAGCTCAATATTGGAGTGTTTATAAGTTTTAAGATGGACGCTTTTCAATCCTAATTTTTGAAACTTCTAAATATTTTGGTTAAGAGAACTTTTTTCTTATAGAATTAAATTGTTTCTTATCTTGACCTTGTAAAAGATTACACATTTCTTTTGCACAGGTTCTAATGTCAATTTCATTCAAACCAGTTATTGAAACCATCTAATCTTGACTCCAAGAAGGATGAATTCTTCTAATTTTATGAACTAAATAAATAGCTGCACTTGCTAACACATTATTTGAATATTGGATCATTGGATACTCTAGCAAAGACAATTCAATTAAATATCTAAAGTTCATATATTTATATATACCTACAAAGCATAAAGTTTTTTTATTCTAATTTCGCTGTCTCCTAATATACGTTCAACATTCTGTAGGGACTAGTAGTTAACAAGTCAAAGGAGAGTAATGAAATGATTTTTCCTTCTGCTTCTAGTATTTCTTCTTTAGGATATGCATTATCACAAACATAAACTAAATCTCTTACATGAGGAACAGAGTAAACTTCTTCGTATTTGGATGCTATAAACAATGCTGCAACTCCATATAATTGAAATTTGGATTTTGATATTTGATGTAATTCAAGAACTCTCAAATTTATGGGATAAATACCTATCAACTATTGATATTGTCAGGAACAATGTTTCTGGGTCTAATTTGAATTTATGATGTACATCTACTAGCCAATCTAGTAGAATACTACGCATTTTTTCAGTGATTTCTGTTTAAAGTTGAAAAGCAGTCATTTTGAAATTAGATTTACACTAAAATAAGAATATTAATTACACTTCTGTCTCTCATGTATGTGACAATTTCATTTTTATATGCGTTTACTAGTTGAGGATTTTCAATTTTTGAAGGTATTTAGAATGTTTTATTACTTAAAATGGTAGTGACTCCACTAGTAATACTGAGATTTCTTCCATTTCTTAAAGGTATCGGCATATTTGAGTCTGTTTTAACTCGTTAAATAACTTCTCTAGTTCTATTGCTTTATTCTTCATTTAATTTCAATTGTGGTTTTTAAGGAGGCATCATAGAATGAAATGAATTTGATGATTTTTCTCTTATGGCAACTGATGATTAAACTCTTTGATGTTTAGGTGCACAATAAAAATTTTCTTTATCGTAATCTGCAACACAAAATAGTCTTGGAATTTAATGTGCTTTCATTTTGAATATAAATTATTAACTGAAAAAATACTATTTAATTTAAAGAATAATATTCATTTTATTATTTTGTATACAATACATTTCTAAAAGTTGTCTTCTAAGTATAAATAACTTTGGTTTAGTAAAGCCAATTGGTGTAGTGTTTAAAATATGTTAAATATCTAATCACATTCAAATTTTGAATCAAATGCTATTTTAAAGTATTATTACAAAAGATATACAATTACAAGTGCATAATGTGTAGATCTATTTAAACATTTGGTTTAATTTTATAATTTTGAACTATTTGATGGATATTAGTTTGATTGTTATATAAATAAAAATGATTCAACTTTTAATCATTAGAATGATTATAATCTTAAATTAATTATGATTCCAATTTATAAATATTAATTTGTTTATAATATTAATCACACAGCTTTGAAATGCTTTAGTTAATGGAATTTGCTCAATGAAAAAGTAATAATATGATTTCTATTGCAAATCATGAATATTTTACTAATAGTATACATAATCATGACATAAATTTAGAATCAATATTTTAAATACATAAAACTAATTATCTAACAAATATTATTAGGTACAATAATACGATAATCAATGTTGTTATTATATTGAATTGATTTGCATTTTTGTTTCAGAGAATCAACGCATATGGGTCATTTGATGCCATTCATATTTACTAAATATTTATAGGATTCTTTCAATGCGCCAGTAGTGATTGAATTTGTCAGATGATGAGAAGTTTTTCCATAAGAGTAAGACATAATAGCATGTGGATTCAACGTTAACAAAACATTAAGTTCATGATATGCTGGTCACATGTATCATAACATTTCTAAATTCGTGTTTTTGTTTAGTTCCTTAAGGTATAGACCAAGACTCTTATTTCAGAATGATAAGAGATATATTTTATAAACTTAAGGTTCCTAAAACTGGATGCATTCATTCCCAATATTTGTCAGGACTTCATGGATTTCGTACCAAAATGGGAACTACAAATCCGATGCTAGACTTGAGGAAATCAGAGTTCAAGATGGAATGGGTGTCATGATGACTAATGAAGTCAAGCAAGAATTAATCACAGTGGTCACTAAAATAGTAACAGAAAACCAATAGATAAGAGTTCTTGTGACCGATAAAATCGTATAGAAGTTCATGGAAAATAAGACCCTTAAGCAACTATCCACCTAAAAATAATAATTGAGATATTATAAAATAAAAATATTATTATTAAAATGCTCACTGGTAAAGAAGAATTTGATAAATTAAATACAAAAGTATCATACCTATCTATATTTCTAAGAGTGGAAAAGGAAATGCTGAAAGTGAAGAATTGCCTACGTATCTACGATCTTCATATTCCAAAACATATTAATTATTAGAGCCAACTAAAATTCTCAAGGGAAAAAAGGTACTCTATTTGTGATGAATATTAAGGTTTTCCCATAATTTGCTTACGGAAATTCCCATGAAGCTCCGACTTATTTTAAATTATCGAACTCGTTGATCTGTCGAGAAAGTTATGATAATCCATATATCAAGAGCAAAGTGCCTCCATTAAGCAAAATAGATTCACTTAAGGGAAACACTCTCAATAATTATGAATTTTATAATGTTTCTGAATAGAGATTTACAAATCTAAAACCTACAGGTTACGTTACTAATAAAATAACAGAGTATAAAATTAATGTCAATATTAAGTACGATTACAAATTAGGTTAAAATTGTATAAAAGCCATTAAATGACGATAAAGACTAGATCTTTACTTTTGAAAGTGCTTACAAATCTATTTAGGACCAACTATTCAATAGAAAAAGAGGTATATTTCAATTTAAAATAAAAGAGCTCTTCACAGATTTTGTTGAAAAAAATGATTTACTTAATGTATATGGACCATTAAATATGAGGACAAGACCCAAAGAATTTAGAGAAGTCAAAAACTATGCCCTAGATCCAGATTAACTGAAATAATTGAAAGAACAAAGATCAAGATAGCAAATCACTCCAACTAATAGAAGTGGCTTCACTGATCTTATTAAAACTGTCAGACTACCCACAATATCGAAAATGAAAGGGTTGGATACAGACAAATACTATAACAAAGATTAACATTATCTCAATAAATTAACTAATTCAATTATAGTCTAAAAAATCGATGAAAATATTAAACTGAAAAATAAAACTCTCGCAAGTTTCAATAAAAATAAACGTTCTATCAAACACAACACAGAAGACACTGAGAATATGTAAGGAATTATTGATGTATTTGAGAAACATTTAGAATTCGAAAAGTAATATAATTGTTGAAATATAATTAAAAATTATACATTTAATTCAAAATTGGTCTGTGTAATAACTTAATTGCTCCTTTAGTTTCTGTATTTTAAAGTCCTTCTTATCTAGTGCTTCCTATACAATAGATTCGAATTTAGTAATATCTGTGTAATGTTGTTATTTCAAATTTTATAGCCTCTCCTCGTAATGCTATTTTAATTATTGATTTTGAAGTTTAAGTAGTTCTATCTTTTCATAGGCAATTTTCTTTTCTTCTTCTAAATTGATTAACAAAGTCTCTATCTAAATTAATTTATTGCTGAATTCCTCTGACTATTACAGGGATTTACAATTTTCATCCTACAAGAAGTGAAGTTATTCAATCAATTCATTTTGATTTTCCTAGGGTTCTTGCTTTTAAAATTGTGACAATTATAACTATAAGTCTTTTTTATCTTATAAGATCTTATCTATGAAAGTTACATACTCTTATAAGATGGATTGGAATTCATTTTTTTGTTTCAATAGATCAGCCTCTAATTTAGACTTCCTAATTAAATAAGTTGTAAATACATTTCCAATTTCATTTAAATTATAGTTTCTTTAAGCTTACGATTTTCTAGGACCAAATTGTTTTCTTCTGTTAAGTATGGTTATGCTCTTTTTGTTTACATCTAAGGTACATCTACAGATATTTCTAAATTCTCATCTGTAGGATGAGATTCCCATAATTATTGAGTCAACTCTTAATAAAATTTTTGATCGTTTGAAAACTAACCTTTGGGAATAGAGGGATGAGCATCTGGAGACTTTTTTTTTTTTAATTAGGAATACATTAATTATTTCAGTTAAAAAATAATATGTATAATAACATCAATCTCTTCTCAACACATTTTTGAGAATTATAAAGATCTTCTATTTTTTCCAATCTAGCTCTGCGTTGTGAATGCTATAATACTTTTCTGTAATCCACTTTGTGATCTTTTAAGTACTTGCAAAATGAATAAGTTTCAAGTCCATCATTTTACTATTTTATAATGCTTATTATTGTAGTCAAAACTTCAGGATTCTTCCTTCCAACCAAAATAGCCAGATTAGAATTTAACATTACATTCAACACACCATGTCTATGAAATTTTTCAACTTATTAAATTAATCGGCTACCAAAAATTTAAGCCTATAATTCAGTTAAGTTATGTTATCTAAGGGCTAATCGATAGAGGTCTGACTTTTTGTATGAGAGGCAATCTTTTAAGAGATTCAATGACTAAACATCATTCAACAATTTAAATAAAGAAGAAAGGTGCCTTTCTTAATAATGTGCTTTTTTCATAAATTCCATTATAATTGTAGGAAGCAAATCTTTGAACATCTATTAATATTAGTATTAGAAGTTCAATATGTCGTGTATAACTTTCAGAGGGTTTTCTTGGATTTTCTTTATTAAAAATTCATTTAAGCTTTATTTAAGTTTTTCATTTGTGGTGACAGCAAACGAATGAAGAGGATGGTGGAATGCATTCTCTTTAGTGAGAAAGCAATCAACTTCCTATCCACAGATAAATCTTAAATATAGAAGACCATTCTCTGAATATTCCAATTTACAAACTTAACTTACATAATCAGAAAATACAGTCACTTTTGATCTAAAATTAATTGTTAAATTTAATTTGCATAAACCTAAGATTATCTGTGCTATTTTGTTGGCTATTGTAAGTGAAGGCAGATGGGTTTCTGATTACAATTTTGAAATAATTTCATCAATTAACTTTTCAACTTCTAAAGGAGTACAAATTGATTAGAGATTAATCAAAAATTATTAAATTAAATAGACAGATATTTTTTAAGGTCTCAAACTTAATTATTTAAATAAGAACTCTTTGATTTTGTTTTCTAAAACAGGAGGAACATCAACTGGCAACAATTAATAATTAGCTATGATTGATAAGATTGTATGTTCATCCATCACTGTTAGATTGTCAATTAAGGATTATCTCATTTTTATGAGAATAGGATGTGACTCTAAATATGGATTTAAGTACTGATATTTCACCTTAAGTAACATAATGTAAAATTGAGTGACTTGTTAAAAATCGTAAAAAAGTGAATTCCCATCATAATGAGAAATACAGAATTCAATCAATGCAGAATTAACAAATTTTCTCTTCTAGGATTTCATCATCTCACACCGTATTAAAAGTACTACTTCCATAGGTGAAAGAGGTTCAGTGTTTAAGCGATCTTCAACTAATGAATTAATTAATGGTAAATTCATGTTTAAAACTTGGGAGTCATACCAAATATTTATGTAATGTCTAATACTAAAATCAGAGCTATCTTGTAGCATCTAATTTAAATTATTCGCTAATTTTTAATCATCAATATTTTCAAGCAATTACTATTGGCCCTTCAATTAATATTTAGATTTGAAACAAAGCAACTCAATCAAATCCATTGGAGAAAATTCATCTAGTTAACTATTTAAGAAATTCGATATTTCCCCCATTCCTTAATGAAATGTAGGTTCATTTTCATAAATTTTCACAGAGGACAAAAAATGTGCGATAATACGAATTGTAAGTTAGCAATGCTATATACCAAATATACTTCTATTCTTGTTGAATATATCGATCAAAACTTTGGGATCTACATGCTAACTAATAAGTGTCATTAGTTCTGATTCATTTTAAACTATTCTCACATCCTCTTTTGGAAAATCAAATATATCGATGTCACTATCTGATTGATTCTCAAACCGGTCTCGAAATGCAAAATTAATTTAATTAGTGTGAGTAGAAAATCTCCATTTCAATAAAGTTCTAAAAATTATCATAAATATTTTTATTATATATATATATTCATTTAACAATTATCCAAATATAATATGGTTCTAATTGATACTAATTGTAATATCTAATAAATCATAAACTGATCCGAAGTTCTACCTTCTCAATACCCTTACCTTATTTATCAGCATCTCTACAACGATTTATTAAACACCTGAAATTTGATTTTCAGGAGCATTAATTTGAACCACAACGCTATTGTGATTTTGTTATAATCATAAAGTTGTTTAAATTATTGCAAACTCAAAATAACTCAGAACATAAACTCTAAGAAAACATCCTTTTTTTCTTTAACACCTTCTTCCTCATAATTTAATGCTGTAACTTTCAATTTGAATAACTTAAGATGATATATGAACATAAGTATTCACTTAAGTGCAAACTGGAAATGGTTCATAATTGATCATGTTCTCAACTTGGCCTTATTTCAAATTGAATTGTAGCTCTATATTCCTTTGACTGTAAAATTAGGTTTATTATTGTATTTATATTTCAATCCTTAATTCCAAGCTTTAATCTTGGGGAACACATTGTCATCTGCTCCTAGTTTATTTAATTAATTGAAGAATTTTCCATTAGTAATTTTTTGTATATGAAAACAGACAGGTTCTTAGAAACTATTAGGATGATTCCCACTTTTTCGAACTACTCATCTCAACTACTAAAAAAGATAAATTCAGGAAAAGCTCCAGAAAATTCTAGTTTTCTGATTAATCATTGATATTATGGTACATCAAGCAAATGATTTTATTGAATAAATGCTTGATTGATTTCTTTCTTTTCTGAAATATCTTTTGAAAAATTATACATGTATTCTTTGTTACCAATAGAGAAGAGATGTGACTTTTTACTTTTTATTTCAAAAAAGTCCCAATAATTAGGATTTTTGATAAATTTTTCAGATCCTTAATAGAGGAGTTAGTTAAAAGTAATAATTATAATGAGTATTCAACATCATTTTCATAAAAAAATTGATTTTATGTTAAGGTTTCTTTAAGATTTGTCCCATTGAACAACTAAAATATAAAGATTTTATCAATATACCTATAACATCCATTAAAATAAGGAATCAATACTTTGTTAGCCAGTAAAGTGAAAAGTGTTTACCATCCAGGAAAAGGGGAAGAAATAGGGAATGATGAGACTTTTAATTTTTAAAGGGGATATCTTCACAAGAAATGATGTGTGTTGGATACTTTTTTGATGAGTTGTTGATATCCCAAAGCGAATTGATTATATGGGACACATAAAGATGCATAGAATTCAATTAAAATTAAAGGATTGCCTGATATCAAATCATTAATGATGCTGAGTAGAGTTAAGGATTTGGTAGTATATTACTAGCAAGGGTGTTTGGATGGTAGTTGGATTTGCATCTTGAATTAGTTGATCAGTGGAGTATTATTTTAGGAGTCACGTAATGAAACAGAATATTAAGTTAAATTTCATTATTATTAAATTCATGAACAAAGTTGAAGATTCTACAACAAAATTATTGCAAACAGAGGTGTTGTAAATAGAGTAAGGGAAGGAAAGCATTATGATAGTTGAAGAGAAGGATAGCAATTCATGGAAAGAAAGAATGAAAAATTTGTTTATTGTACCCATATAGAAATGTAGTCGTGTAATATGTTTAGATGGACAATGTACACCAATCAATTAATAAAGCAATGTTATCAAGAATTCTAAATATAATGTCTTCACATTTCTACCTAAAGTGCTTTATTAATAGTTTCACTAATTCATCAACATCTTTTATTTAGGATTGACAATCTCGCAATTTATTTAACCCTTCAAAGTTGGATTTCTGATAGGATATTTGGGGCCTCTAGCTCTGGTGGTCACTCTGAGTGTCCTGAAAGAATTGTACGATGACATAAAAAGACATAAGAGGGACAGACAAATTAATAGTACAATATATAAGCGGTATATAAATGGCCAATGGTAACACATCTCAAGTGGTCAATTGGAAGTCGGAATGATCATAGAAATAAACAGCAATTAACGTATACCAGCAGATATTCTGGTATTGGAAGCGAGTGATGATCAAGTATTTATTCGTACAGATTAATTGGATGGGGAGACAGATTGGAAATTAAGGAAACCTGTTTAATATATTTAAAAGAAAGGAATATAGAATTTGTAGTTGTCAACTTGTTAAGTAAAATGTGATCGTCCATAAGAAAACATCTACGATTTTTATGCTGTATTTGAGTGTGAATAATCAAAAGAGCCATTATCATTAGAAAATGTTATGTGGGCTAGTACAGTTCTTGCAAATGGTAAGGTAACTGGAGTAGTTATTTATAATGGATTTGAAACTAGAATGGCTATGAACAGCAGACAACCTCAAACTAAGTTTGGCAAAATCGACAGTAATCAATATTACTTATTACTTAGCTGAAATCAATTATATGTCAATTATGCTTTTTGTGGCAATGGGATTCTTGTCAATTATCATCACAATTCTCTCATAACCTCCATTGAATGCCTTAGCAATATGTGTCTCTCTAGTTCGATATCTAATTTTACTCTCCAATATCATTCCCATCTCCATGAGAGTCAATGTTGAATTTGCTAAACTCATATATTGCTATAAGATATCCATAGATAAAGGGATAGAGGGCACAATTCCTAGAAATTCTAACATTCCAGAGTCTTTAGGTAGAATTGAATATTTGCTTACGGATAAAACAGGAACCTTAACATAGAATGATATGATTTTTAAGAAGTTGTCCTTAAAATAAAATGTGTATACTTATGAAAATTACGATGACATGAAGAGGAGTCTGTAGACTGGATTAGAAATAGGGAATGCAGAGGAAGATGCCATCTTAAGAGACTTATTGTTGGCTATAGCATTATGTCACAATGTTACTCCAATAGAGGAGAATGGGGAAAGACAATACTAAGCTTCATCTCCAGACGAAGTTGCTTTGGTTAAGATAGCAGAATCCCTTGGAATTACTTTAATGAACAGGGATTAGAATTCTATGACCATCGAATACAATGGAAAAACAAAAAAATATGAAATTCTCTATAACTTTCCCTTCTCCAGCGAGAGTAAAAGAATGGGGATTCTACTCAAATTAGATAACCTATACATCTTTTATTTAAAAGGAGCTGATGCAATAATGAAGCAGTTCTTACCAGAAACACAACGAGGATTTGTTGATGAAGAATGCGAAAATCTAGCCAGAGAGGGATTAAGAACATTGGTCTTGACCTAAAAGATAATTACTCGTGAATTTTTTGAAGATTGGAAAGTCAAGTATGAATAAGCCTAATGTATTGAAAATGTTACATAGAGACAAAATAAATTATCTAGAGTTAGAAAAGAATTAGAAAATCATATGTAGTTTTTAGGGATCACAGGAGTTGAAGATAAATTATAAGAAGATGTTTGTTCAACCCTGGAAAACATCAGAAATGCTGGCATCAACGTTTGGATGTTGACTGGAGATAAAATTGAAACTGCCATTTGTATAGCTATCTCGAGTGGAATTAAATCCGCAACCTAAGAGATATTCTTACTTAAAGAAATTACCGATGAAGAAACTCTGCAATAGAGACTCTAATAATTTGAGACTAAAACCAATTAACTGTTGGTTATTGATGGTACAAGTCTCTCCACAGCATTTAAAAAAGAAGAGTTCTTCTTTAGAATTGCAACTTAAGCTCAATCTGTTGTGTGTTGTAGATGTTCTCCTACTCAGAAAGCGTTAGTGACCGAATGTATCAAAAAATACACTCAAAAAATTACTGCCTGCATTGGGGATGGGGGTAATGATGTAGGTATGATTTAATCAGCTGATGTCGGAATTGGAATTGAAGGAAAGGAAGGTAAATAAGCAGCCTTAGCAAGCGATTTCTCTATTCTTAAATTTAAATATCTAAACTCTCTGTTGCTTTGGCATGGCAGATTATCATATAAGAGATCCGCCTTGTTGTCTTAATTTGTAACTCATAGAGGATTAATTATTTCCATGATCTAAACAGTTTTCATGTGCATCTACTTTTATTTAAGTATTAGCATTTTCAGTAGCACATTAATTTTGGGATATGCCACAATCTATACGTAATCATTTAATCTTTATCAACTTAGAATGTTTCCAGTGTTTAGCATCATATTTGATGAGGATGTTGTAGAAAAAGTAGCGCTTGAGTTTCCTCCTCTTTATAAATCATTATAAAAGAGTAGAGATCTCAATCCGAAGACATTTATGATTTGGTGTTGGAAGGCCACATATTAAGGAACCTTAATAATGATTTTGGCTTAATTTCTGTATAAGAATGTTTTCTTGTATATAGAGACAGCAGCTTTCACATCTTTAATTATTACTGAATATTGCATGATTTTTAGTGAAGTATTATTCTAACTAAATTATATTTAGCTTAATTCCTTGCACATTGTAATGTTCATTTCAACTATTGGATCCACAGTATTTTACGTATTGACAATGGTACTCATCCCAGAAACTTTAGTAGTTGGAGAAGTTCTAAATGGAACATTTTGGATAAATACTATGATCATAGTATTATTTAGTTGGTGTCCAATATTTCTATTTCAATGGATTGTCAGAATAAAATAGCCAACTGATTATGAGAAAATCATGAAATAAGTGAAGGGTAAGAAAAAAATAAAAACAAATTTATTCACTTGAATTCGATTCATATATTTATTATTATATATTGACTATTTAGAATATAATATGGTATATCATTGTTATTATTCTTTCTTAGAATAGCAAACTTAGTGGGAAGATTAAAAAGCCACCTGTCGTAGAGGAAATATAAAGTAATATGATCAATCTCAACCTAGGTAAACCCAGAACAGAAGAATAGATATAATCAGTAGTAAAAAATGTAAGGAATGGAGATGCATCTCATCCAGAAGTGGTCCTCATAGGGGAAGCAGAATTATAAAGAATGAAGGTATTACTTATATTTTCTATTTTTCCAGAATAATGCTATTATAACGACCAAAGAAGAATAATTATACTAGAAAAAATTGCTTGAGGAGTAAAAAGAGAAGTAAATGGCTGCAGCAAAAGCCAAAAAGCAAAAGATGTTACAAATGGAGGAAGAGAAGAAAAAATAAGTACCTCTCTCAGATCAGCAAGAAGAAGATAAGGTAGTTAAAGATTCACTTCTGGCAAGGGTAAATTATAATTTTGATTGTTTGTTAGGCATCAGAAATCATGAATGAATAGATGGATGATGTAAAGGAAATGAACAAAATGGTTATGTATGCAAAATGTGTAACTGTTCGAGATAAGCAATTAAAAGAGAAGAAAGAACTTCATGAATAATATAAAGTGTAAGAGAAACGTAAGGATTTAATGATGGAAATTGAACGACTTAAATCCATTAAATATCATGAGGAAAAAGATAAATAAAGAAAAGTTGAGTAAAAGCATGGTCATGATATTATTATTGAATAAATAAAGGAAAGAGAACTCATTCGTTTAAAAGATAAGGAAGAATAAGAAAGAGAGGGTTAGGTCATGCTTAAATAGATTAAACAACTGTAAATAGAAGAATAATAGAAAGCTATGCAGAAGAAGGTTACTTAATAGAAGGTTTAAGAAGAAATTTTGGAGGCTAATGATAGAGCTATTTTGGTTAAAGAGAAGAGAAAGTTAGAAGAAAGAGAGGAAGAAGAAATGATTGTCAAATACAATTTGCAAAAGGCATAGAAGGAAGCAGAATTGTTAGAGGAGTAACGAAGAATCAAAGAAGAAAAAGAAAGAGAAGTTTAAAGATTGAGAGAAATGCAGGAAAAAGCACAAGATAGATAGGCAGAATTGGATGCACTAAGAGCCAAAAGAGCTATGGAATAAAATGAAAGATAAGCAAGAGAAAAAGAAAGGAAGGAAGCAGAATGGAAAATGAAATTAAATCATGAGGTCTAAGAGGCTAGAAAATTATAATAATCTGAAAAATAAGAACGATTAGAAGAATAAGTATATTGCATTATTTATAGTATTTAGGCTAGATTAGAAAGAGATGAATTTTAGAGAGTTATATTAGAAACAAAAATAAGAAAGAGAAAATGAATTGAAGTTGCATCATGAAAAAGAGGCATTAGTAAAAAAGCATGCTGATGAACTCAGAAAACAGATATCTCTTAATGAAGAAAAGAGAAAATAGGAAGAAAGAGATAAGTAAGCTATTTCATTTTAATGTTTTTAGATTAGAGGAAGGCAAGAAAATTAGAGATAAAATGCTAAATGAGAAGAAATTATTAGAGAATATCAAGGAAACTAAATTAAAGACGTTAAATGAAAACTCTATTCCAGATAAATATAAAGCAGAATTAGCTAGGAAAAAAATTAATATATTAATTTGAACAAATTCATTATTCATCAATTTAAGTGGGTTCTTAAATGTATGTTTCCTTTAGTGCATCCACTACTCTTTCAATTAATTCTTTCCAAGTCTATGGTTTGTACGTTTGCAGATGGTTTGCCAATAGATTGATTCTCTCCTCTAAATTTTCAATTCTTTAATCTATATAGCATTTTTTAGGATCTGCAATTGCTCTGAATTAATGCTCTTCATCAATTACTTTAGGATAATTCCATAATTCTGGAGGTCTTCTCATTAAAACATATTGGTTATCGTAATCTTTTTTACGTAATTCATTGAATAATAAGCTGGGATCATTTTATTACATCTGTCTATTACGAATCCTAAAAAAGGTTTAAATAATAGTTATACTTGGGTATCATACCTTCCTTAATGATTTCATCTTCAATATCTTATTACACTGCTTTATTAATGTGTCTAACTCTTTCAACGCAATCTTCAAAAATTTGTCTATGTTCTTATGAACAATAAAAGTCCCATAACCAATACCTCCCATATTTTTGCATCAAAGATAATTACTCTTTTTCTCTTGCTGTTTCTTCTGCCAATCTTTATTCCTCTTCTTTCTTTTTTTACTCTTCATCCATTTGTCTCTTCCTTTCTGGAGAAACATAAATATTAGTTTGAGCATTTGCCAAATTTTCATCTTATGTGCTTTGTAATTATGAATGTTAAAGTTAGGTTTACTTCAATTAATCTTACTATTCTTATTTCATCTACTTTAAGTCATCTTCTTTCTTTCTATCCTTCCAGGCTCTCATGTATAAGATAGTATGATATGCAATTAATTTTGGAATGCTTCCTTTAATACAATTTTCATCTTTCTTTTACAGAAATTCTCTTGCTTGTGGATTTGCATGAAAAATAACGCTTAACACATTATATACAAAATTTATTTGGTCTCTTTTTAATGGTGATCCAAGCAAATGCTCACTAATCAATTCAGCCTTTATGACTTCATTAATATCAATTACAAATTACTAATAATTCGTTATTAAAATTACTTAATTCTCCATTAAAGGTGCTTTGTAAAAGTTGATTCCTTTGAGCATTAAACAAAATAAGTTTCTTCTCATTTTTTCAAATGCTTCTAAAAGTGGTCTTAGATAAAATGACTCTATCTTATTAGTTTACCTAAAATTATAAAATCTATAACTTACCAATTTTCATAACCTAATTTATTAAAAATAAGTTTCACATTAGGGTTTGCTTTTATCGCTTATGATTCAAGCAAAATTCTTTCGCATTCCTGTAAACAAATACAATATTATTCAATATCTGCTTTTATTATAAAATCTCTTATCATCCTATCTCTATGGGCAGTATTTCTTAAATCAAAGAACATCAATTTCTTATTGATTTCCAAGAGTGCTCTTAATGGAGCTGTAACTTGCATTAAACGCTCTTCAATCAGTTTATGACTTATTTTTATTAGAATAGGTAATTTCTTAGTTAACTCATTCAATAGGGTTTGCAAGTTTTTTCTCTCCGCTTAGTAGTTTTCGGCATTCATATCTTAAAACTTATGATCCTCCAAAGCTAAAAATTGTTTTGCTATAAATACTTCTAAAAATTTTAGAATAAGCTTATTTAACATGGTTTCCACGATCCTTATCTAACTTCTCTACAGAACAATAGATGCCGTCAATATATTGCTTTTAGATTTGCTTATTTATTTCAATGTCTTCCTTCGCAAAAAATGCACTTCGGATATGAACATGGTCAATGAACTTGAACTTAGGTTTACACTTGAAAACTTAGCATAATTCAAAAACTTTGTTGTGATAAACCTACATAATCATATTATTTACTTGCCAATTTCCTGTTATATCGGGGGATGTTTCAGAAATATTATCTAAAGATTTTGAGATAATCATCAGTTCATTCCAAACTCTAAATTCATCACTTTCTTTCCATTTCTCAAATTGTTCCTATAATTTAAGTTGAGAATACTTATTGCAATTAAGGATCAATTTGTTTAGGCTTTTTTGGGGGCATTATAAAATTTATTAAAAATATATATATTCTGCATATGAATATAATGATATCTCCATTTATTGCTTTGCCAATTTATTAATTTTAAATATCTTGATAAATTCCATTTATATAGATAACTATGATTAAGTTTATTGATGATAAATAAATTTCTCAAGCTTTGTTATTTTCTCATGAAGTATGGATCCACAGCATAACAAAATATCCTGAATATATTCGCATTTAAAATAACTGCTGCATGAACACTTAATCTTAAATAGAATTCTATAATATCTTATCAATATTGAGAATTATATAATTGTTAATATCTATTCCAACCTCCCTTTGTATATAAGAATATAATATAGATATTAAATTTTCTCCTTAAAAATTTGATAAATGGATTTATCATTTTATTAATTCTTTATTCTCTATAGATTGATATTATTTTAGTTTAATTTTTCATCGATTCATGGATTAACAATAATACTAATTAAAATATACAGTTTAAAACAACAATGTTGATGATAAAAATATTTTGCATAAAGTGTTTGAAAAATGTGAAGTGATTTTAAGTTTTTAAAAAATGAGGCCTTTCAAACAGTTGAAATTTTATCGCTTAAACCTTATTCTGATGATCTGATTCAGATCCTCTGTCATATCACATTATAATGAAATTATGTAAAGATAATAAATTATCAATAGAAAATACAATCCCATTCCTATCCTTCTTTAGTGAAAATAGTATTAGATTCAGATTATAATTGTGATTGGGACAATATAATCAAAGCTACTTTAGCAGTTTATAATGGAAAAAGCGTTGAGTGTAAAAAGCAAGTGATTAGTTATATTTGGCACTACTAAAATAGAAACCTGAAGTATTAGAAAAGGAAGAATAACTAAAAGTTATTGGAGAGAGAACTAAATAAAAAGGTCCTTCAAAAGGGTTCAAGGAATTTTTGTAATGCTAGAAGAAATAATCCTGAATTTATTTATGTAAAATTGCAAAATTTATCTATTATCATTCAAATCTTTTAATAATATAATAATGATTAGGAATAAGCTTTTTATGCTAATTTTAGATCAAAATTTAATGTTGTAATAATTTAAGAATATTTGATTATATTATAAAACTATATTTAGAACTTATTAAAACTTTTAAGAATATAATCATCAAACAATTTACTGATATTATTACATTTCTTAAAATTTTAGGTTTTTTGCTTTTGGAATAATTATATTAGCATGTATACTATTATTGATTTTTTCATCATAAAACTTTGAAATTCATCAGAATTTAGTAATAATTTATATAATTTGATGAATATTTAAATGTATATATGAGTAATAATTGACATCTACACAAGCATTAAACTAAGAAGAGCTTAAATTAATGAGCTGAATAGTTTTAAATAGAATGTGATAAATTCTACTAATGTAAATTTAAACGAGAAAAAAATTGCCATGATTTTGAGAATTATATTATTAATTGGATTACGTCTTGTTGAATTTTATATATGAGAAATAATAAAAGTTATTCTGTAAAACATAATTGGGGCATTAACTGCTTTATGAGTTAGTTTAAAAAAATATTCTTTTACATCTGATTATTATAATGAATCTTTGTTAAGCTAAAATGTTATATGAAATGCACATGAATGTCATTCTGAAAGTATAGTCCATCATTAATAATAAAAATACTAATTAAGGCAAGTCTAAAATTTTCTTAATGGATTAAATTCATTTGATCTTAGTGGAAGAGTCAATAGAGAATGACCATTTAGTAGTTAGGTTTATGGATAATAACCAAGACTATATCCCAAAAATAGAGATCAAATTGACCGAAAATTATTCAGAAGTATTTTCATCAGTCCTATATGATAATTTGGATAATAAAAAGGATGATGAGTGTCACTATTTATATTTTGTAAGTGATTGATAAACTAATTAATTTTGTTAGAATGAACCTTTGAAATCTTTGGAATGCATGAGATTCAATTTGATCACATAATTGAGTGCAGATGTTATACTTAAATTATTAAACTTAAAATATATCCCGATTATAAGAACAAATTATAGTAACTACAAAATTGAAGATGTAATTTTAACAAATATTCAACTTAGATTATTCAAGTTGGAAACAAATCAGTAATTGAGAAATTGAATTAGAGTTGGTAAACCTAATGCAAATTAAAATCTAAGATCACAAAAGATTTCATATCCATAGTAAATGATTTTAAATATTACTATCGCATTGATATCCTATTAGTATCAACATTACAATAAATAAAAAAGGAGAAATATTCAAGCTATGATGTACTTTATGTACCAACAGATGAGTTAATATAATTAAAAACAGGCAAAAGATAATAATAAATATCACTCTCTCTTCAAAATTTAAAGAAATTGAATAAGTTAATATGAGTTTATATATATAAATATAAAGAGATATAAGCAAGAATAATTTTAATATAAATTATTTTAATAATTACATCAAAAACTGATTTACAAATGACAGAAATAACACCAAAACATAATAATTCTTGCAAGATTAATTCTAATTTCCAATTCTCTTCAAATAAAAAACAACTCCTTAATTCTTCGCAAAACCTCAATAATGATGTAATATCCAGTAAAAAGAAGGTAAAATATAACACTGAAATTTAGGAAGTTTATGATAGATTGATGAGTTCCTAAACTAATAGAGATAATCAAACTCAAGTATCCCAATACTTTGATCATTTAGGAGGTAAGTTTCTATTAATATAAACAAATAGGCAAATGTCTATGTGCATTATGTAACTGTGGCAAACACAAATGTAATGGCAAAAATTGTATACACAAACCCTAATTACATGGAAATTACACTATCTATTAGAAGGAATACCAGAAAAAGACTCCAGAAAATGGATCTCGCTATAATTAAAACATATTCACCCAACCTAAAGCAGAAGGTGATCTTGAAAATGTTACAACTTATAAAGTATGAATAAACATTCTATTTTATTAGCATGATTATCCTGGATACAATAGTACTGGAGAACTACACAAGAATTCATAGAAACCAACAGTAAGTGGAGTCCCTTTCTCTGGGTTGTCAACCTATAATAATATGTATTTAAATTGGGGAATGGGCGATACACCTTAATTACTTCCTTAAAATAACCCTACAGTTATTAAAGAAATGCCATTCATGGGAAGAAGTATTTACAAAGACAGTTACCAAGGAACGTAAGCTCCTCCAGTATAGAGTTGTAAAAACATGAATAAGGCTCTAAAGTATAAATTGTATTCACGTAGATCTCCGTTGTCACCACCAGATTTGAAGTTCTCTGCCGAATCAATAGCTAAATCTTCATATAAACCATTTAGAACAGACAGAGTACCTACAGCAAAGAGCAATCAAAATGTAGATAGTACAAATAAATAATAGGCAACCTTAAATCCATCATATAATGGCTAATACAATAGTGAATATCGAAAAGAATTTGATCCAAAAGGTTTGAATCAATGCCCTGCCAAGGAAGTATTAGATGAGGTTGCACGCACTACCAAATTTTGAAAATACAATGATTATAATTAAAGATATAAATGTTAAAAGATTTTGACATATTCTTATTACGCAACTATTATTAATCTCATAATAGATTGATAAGAATTCTCAACAATCAATCGTAGTATTGTTTTCTATATATTTTTAAACTAGATAATTTAAAGGCCATCAAATTCAAGATTTTTCAATGTTTATAAATAATTATTGTAATTTCAAAAGGAATATATTTGAATTTACATCTTAACCTTATAAATATTATATTATATAACAACTTTTTATGAGTGGAAGAGATTTTCATATACATAGAAGAAGAGATAAATATCCAAGATAAGACTCTTATCATGAGTAAAGGACAAACCCTAATTTCATCGAAGATGATTCCTTAGTTGGGACTTTGGAAAGAAAAATTCAGCATTAAAATTAGACCATTAATAACCTTATTAAAGCATTTGAAGATTCAAGATTAGAACAATAGAGATAGATTCAATATCTAGAGAAATTGAAGCAAACAGAAGAATAGAAATATAGCATATAAATTTTAGAAGAACTTAAGACTTTAAAATAGAAGATCAAAAGAATTGAACACAGTCCACCAATCATACAATCTAGTTCTTAAATGTATCAATAACCTTTATTTCCTCCTTTACTTCCGTAATATTAATAAGGCTATCCCCCTTAATAATATAACTATGCTTAAATTCCATATGCATAGAATCCATTTCATTAATAAAGTCAACCAATTCAACCTCAATTTTTAAATAATCAATAATCACTCAGACCCAAAAAACCAAAAGAAATGGATACATTACATAAATTTCTATTATAAATGTTACATGAGAAGGAAGAAAAAAAAAAGATAGACAAGAAACCGAAAGAAAATTCAGATGCTCGCTATGTGACTGATATGGAATCATCACAAAATTACTCCTCTAAAAGATAGACTCTCTAAACGCCACTGAAGTCCAGATCATAAAGAAGATCGTAAAAGTAATAAGATAGAATTGATTCTGGTGCCTCTGATAATTCTCAATTCAACAACACAAAATAATCTTAAATATCCTAATAATAGTCTCTAGGAGCAAGATCATAAAAGTCATATCATTAATAATCACAGGGAGTTGGATCACTGAAATCATCTTAATAATAATCATTAGGGGTTGGATCATAAAAATCATCTTAATAAAAGTTTCTAATAAATTAGTAAAGATTGAAATATTTGATGAGAAAATTCAGAGCAATAGCAAGATATTTCTGGCTAGCGTTGACATACTTAAACTATTGTAAAAAGATTTGGAATAGTAAGATGATTTCTTTTAATGAATATTCTTAGGAATATATTGGATAATATGATACTTAATTTGTAAATGATAAATTAATTATTTATAGAACTATTTGTCCATCATATCATAATTTTATAGAGAATGTACACTTAAGAAATAATTGGATCGATCATGGATCTTTACTTAAACTTTAGACATTCAAACTCGATGTCAAAATATGCTTACAGCTTTAGAGATATTTTTTAGATATTTAATAGTTTAACCTTTAGATTTCACTAAAGATCACATAGAATTTATGAGAAAATTCTCGCTTCCTAATGGATATCTATTGTTAGGACATAGTAAATATGTTGCGAGTAGAATCAACTTAAGACCAAACAATACTTTAAAGTAAGTCAAAACTTAAATTTAGTATCGAAACACCTGAACAATCATAGATGCTGCTTATGGAATATTCCTTCATTTAAATCTTATTACCATAAATAGTTGAAGCTGATTTCTGGAAAAAGTTAATAAATTATAAAGAAGCCTTAAAAGTCTTTGTCTCAGTTCTTCATTATTTATTTATTGATAGATTTTACAATATTCCTCTTAGTAAATAATAATTACATTTTAATGTACATTTATAAAATACTATTTAAGAAAGAGTATGTTCCTTCATTTGATTTTACTCGAAATCCTGTAGAAGGATTTTACCTATTAATTGATTCGAATCATCCATCATATGTTGAATCTAAGGAAGAAGTGGCATTAGGATTATTTACAAAGGCGTAATTGCAACCTCTAATTTAACATGCTGGATTTAAGAAAGTCTAAGAAAATTTTTAACAATATTGTGATTATAATATATTCATATTATATTAAATGAGTATCTTTCACCAAAACTATTTCTTT